GAGAGAGAGAGAGAGAGAGAGAGAGAGAGAGAGAGAGAGGTAGACAAGGATGAACATCGAACTGTGTACAATGGTATAATAAGAGTAATAACAACGACCAACAACAACTGATTCTACTGGCCAAATGATGGTCCATACACAGCCTGCCACTGCGCAGCTGCTTCCGCCCGATCAAAAGCATGCTTCAACATGTACAGTTTCATAGTATACTGTGCGTCCTCCACCGGACCATGCACACCACCCTTTTGGATCTCCACCTTCAAAGCATTCCTAGTCACCTCCGCAAGCCCCGGGGTAGCCTTATCCCCCCCTTCTGGCGTATTGGCCCAATCTTCCTGCACATCGTAGGTAGTAACCTCCTTGAACATCTCTGCAAAGTAATAAAATGCTGTGCGATCATTTGAACCGCCAAAGAAGACTACACTGTGGTCACGGAAGAGCTCATTACACCATTTTTCGACGACTTCGCCCTTGACTGCGCCGTTGACCTCTCGGACGCTCTGCGCCGTCACGCCGAATTGTTTGCCGGGCGCGTAGGGAAACATAGTTTGGAGGGCCTTGTCTTGAGGGTAGAAGACGTGAACGTCGAGAATGACCTCGCCACGCGTGTTGACGATGCCGATCCAGCCGAGACGGTTTCTCCATTGGGGTTTGCCGGAATTGCCCTTGACACGGCCGCGGCTGTCCTTAACTACAGGGTGGTTCTCGCCGATTCTGTGGTAGTTTTGGAATTCAATGTCCAAGGCTAGGGGCTCACCAGGTAGGAGAAGTTCCCAGCGTGGCACGACTTGCGTGCCTTTGCCTACACCACGAGCTGGCGCATTGGGCTTCCTCAGAATAGCCGGATTGTTAATAGAGGCACTTGAAGTTTTGTCTGTTGATGCTTCCCATCGTAGGAATCCCTGATTCGATGCTGTGTTAGTACTGCTGGACATTTTGAATGCTTGAAAAGTGGGGACTAATAGGTAGTGACTGAAAATTTGCGACTGATATCTTGTTGTAATCGTCTTACTTCGCGAAACAGGCCTGCTGTTATATGGATTTCAAAAAAAGTCGATTGGAGTGCTGAAGCGATGCCGGTGGGAGTGATGTGTTGATGGAGAGAAGATAATTACCTTGGTCGGGGACGCTTCCTTATGAATGCCCTCGAGTATTTCGTGGCTCTTTTGATGCAATTTCGAGTCACCATAAAGGACATCCTCTCTGCTTTGTTCCTCGAATCATGCCAGTCGCTCTTCGATCTATTCCTGGCTTGCGAGGCATTGTGCTGCTGGGCGAACAAAGCCGCCAAATGTAATTGAGGAAGGATGTGATTGGAGGGGGAAAGGATGAGAGAGCGAGGAAAGCTGTAGACGTGGTGTTTTGAAGGCCCCGAGCCACGGTCCCCCACACGCTGGCACCATGTGGAAGGACACACCGTGAAGGGCAACCGCTAGAAGGTGGTACTTTGGAGGTGTCGGTCGGTGACAAAGTACCTTATATATGATAATTTTTCCCGAGTGCTGCACAGTCCGTAATGAGTTAGTAGTGTCCTGTAGCAACATCCGCTGAAATGTACCGCATGCGTAACTGTACTTCGTATAAGGAGGTAGAGAGATAATATACTAGCCCGAGGCCGCTGGCCCAAGTCGCGTATAATCTGATATGTATCATGTATAACAAAGAGTTTATTGCAACTGCTAGAAAGAAATTAGAACAGTTGTAGAGAGCGAGCGAGAGAGGGAATGAATGGGGTGGAAGAGTACCGAACCTTTTTGTAGTACCAGCAGCACCTGGGACAGTCTCAGCCGTCGTGTCCCGGAAAATACCACATCCATGTGGCTTGGAGAGTGAAAGCGACCCTGTTCGTAAAGTTGATGACACCGCCAGCAAAATCATCAAGTTAAGGTAGGCCAAAAGGGCGAATCGTCTCCAGCCATGGACATGAGCATGTCTCGCCAAGCGGCATATCCGGGTGGCTATATTAGGCAGGTAAGATAGTTCCAGTTCTGTTTCAGAAGACCTGATGAGGACCTCGATCTCCTTTCGGGCGCGTATCTGCAAAGTGGCGTCGATGAAGTCGCAAAGCGAATTGGTGTGCAGCCGGCACAGCTTCTACAGGAGCGGTGGCACTGGGGGCAGGCTCCCGGAGACATTCCGAGGATCCAGGCCTCCGATGGAGCGCAACGGGGCTTCGGAGCCCACTCTGGAGATCGAAAGTCGATTTCGCCTTCTGGATCTCGATTCGCTTCTTCCAGTTGGGTTTTGTCTGTTGTTGGGGAGGCCCAGGCGTCCACCCAATCCGATCATACAGCCTCCGTTGGGCTTCACGGTCATAAGGGAAGCGTAAGAGATAGAGCTCCATGGCGGCGATGGCATCCTGATCCGGTCTGCGCGTGTGGTCGAATTCCCGGTGGACACTTCGGCCCAGCACGAGTCTGGTCACGGTAGACAGGGTGGGTTGTGCATCGTGCTGCAGGTCGGCGTACAATAATTGCGTGTCCCAGACGAGAAGATCGCCCAGAACATCCTCGAAGTAGTAGCACGCGTCGGAATAGCCCTTTCGGCTGTGCACAACCACTGCGCGGCCATTGAGAATTTGCACGAGGTTTTCTTCAACCTCTTTTCCATCGCGAGCGCCATGGCGCAATAGCAGGTCTTCTTTGGCGACATTGTAGCGTTTGTTGCTAAAGTGCTTCATTAGACCTGGCTCCTTGGGATAGGTCACGAAGGGATCGTAGACGACCTGGCCGGCGGTATTCGTCACCGACACCCAGCCCAGGCGGTCTCTCCATTTGGTCTGACGTGGCGCCAGATATTGCTGGAAGACGATCTTGATAGAGACAGGTTCGTTCGGGAAGAGGAGGTTCCAGCGGGGCAACGGTGCTTCTGATTTGGTGGGAAGTGAAGTTGGTATTTCTGCCGAAGGGCTCTCAACAGTCTTCGTCGTCCTTGTCGTCGTCGTAGTTGTCCTGGCCGGATGAGGAGGATGAGGAGGCATCATATTGTCGACGATATTGTCGGGGTCCTCGGGGATAGGTAAGAGGTAATGTAGTGAAAAAACGTGTAATCAACACGGTACAGCGGTCCAGGTCCGAGGTTCTGCGTGACGACGAAAACGACAGATTGTCGGCAAGCATCAATATTACCAAATAACAATATCAACGTTAACATCAACATCAACAACAACACCAACACCAACAATTCGTTATTTGGGACTGCAAAAGAGAGAAAAAGCGCGTCTTTATGAATATCAGGCCGTGAGGAAGAAGAGACATTCGCCGTTCGCCGACGCGCCCCAGAAGCCTAAATGGTACATAACAGTAGAACGCCGGAGTGGAGAGGAGAGGGTGTGTTTTGTCTTTGGGCGAGACACTGGTATCCTGTCGAGTCAGCGACCCACCGCCGCCGCCTTCGGGCGAACTACTCACTACATGTACTGACAAAACAAAATCTTGCATAAAATCAACACAGAGGGTACTTGATGAAGTCAAAGGGAATGCCAAAAGCAGAATAAGAAGAATAAACATCAGTAAAGTAGGTACATAGTGAATTGGACATCACCAACCGACCGACCGATTGACGGCCCGTTACGGCTGTCTATATCACACAGCTCTATCCCATCTTCGCGTGCAGGTATATAGCACAGCTCTCTGATATTATTAACAATAACTCGCCGCCCAGCTGCGAAATTTTCGTGGTAAGAAACGTTGTCAGAGAGACCTGACCATGCAAGTAGTGAGTGAATCGTGAAAACTGCCCCCTCCAACTCAAGCCCCGACGAATACACACACATATTCAGGACTTGCGGAACCATGTGACTGCCCATCCCAAGAGTCGGTATACCGCAATGATAGCAATCATGATACCCACCCACTGGCCCTCCCGGTTCAACGCGTAGCCGTAGCGAGACAGAACCGCTGTGCCGGCAATCCTGCATTGGTCCTGGAGCGCGCTGGGATACATGCACGAGCATTGTCCGGCAATGGTCTCACATGCGTAGCTGCGCTCTTTGAACTCGTTCACCATCATGCCCTGGAAGACGTAGGACTGATAGTCAATGTAGTGAAACACGTACTTCCAGAACGCATTAAGCACCGGCAACGACACCAAGAAGCCACCCACGCTCATCCACAGTCTGTGTGCACACGCTCTGGTCAGTACACCGAATACAACGATTCTCCGGCCCGAACGCGGAATCGCTCGCACACACACACACGGAGAGGGGTCACTCACCCATTGGCGAACGCGATCAGTGCAAGTGACACGACAAAGTTGGGAAACAGGCTGGCCATAAAGACGACGAGCGACTCGGCTGCCAGCAGGTCGAGAAACAACCACATGATCCACGTGAAGAAAGCACCCGCCTCTGGTCGTAGCCCGATGAGCCAATAGGATACGATCGAGAAGAGCACGGCAATCAAGACTAAGTCACACTGTTAGCGGGGTGACACAACAATCACACAGAGGGGGTAAGGGGGCAGGGGCCTGGTCGGTTGGTGGTTGCACATACACAGATATGGCAAGCCAATGATGAAGTTCGAGAGTAGGAACGCCGTGGGACCGTACAAGCCGTTCGCACGCTCTTTCACGAAGATCGCGCGATCCTCCAGAAATGCGGGTACGTATGCGACCGCCATGAAACTCATAAAGGCCGAGCCGAAGAACTGTGTGCCCTGGTTAGCAAGTTGCACCACCGCAACGCAGCAAGCTTCAGCAGACGTACGATGGAGTTGATGAACGGTTGGATGTTCTCTTGCGTCGTCCCCAGACGAAGCCACACCGTGCCCATCATGATGGCCAGACCCATGTACATGGCGACGCGGACCCAGTAGGCTACCAAATCCCTCCAGCTCTTGATGAGTGCACGATGGAGCAGTGTCGCCGTCTGGGCCGCGAAGGATGGCTTCCCGTCGGTGATTTCCAGGCGCAGCCGGCGTGCGGAGCCTCCCTCGACGTCTCGCTTCAACTCTCGAGCACGGGCGGACTGCTGCCAACCCCGGAGGATGATCTCCAGATTCGTCTGGGCATCGCCTTGAGAGAAATCTACGTTGATCAAGTCGAGAACCTCCTCGGCGGGATTGATGTGCGCTGGGATGGGCATGCCAATCTCCGCGAAGAAGGTGGACATCTCCGGTACACTTCCATTGTACACGGTTTTGCCCTGGCTGAGAAGAACCACGCTGGAGAACAGATCGAAAGTCTTGGTGGACGGCTGGTGTATGCTGGCGATGACGATCAACTGTAGAAACGTGTTAGCCTGAAGCCTTCCCCCGCCACACGTGCTGAGAGATAGATGGTGAGGCCTGCCTTGGTTCGTCGCGCAATGTCCCGTATGAATGATATCACCTCATAACTGGCCGTGGAGTCCAGACCAGATGTAGGTTCGTCGAGGTAGAGGACTCTGGGTCCTGTGATGAGCTGGGTGGCGACGCTGACTCTTCGTTTCTGGCCGCCTGAGATGCCCTTCTGAAGGGGAGTGCCTATGAGGGTCCGGCGTTGACCGGTCAGCCCAAACGACTGAATGAGCTTACCAGCTCGTTCGCGTGCTTCGCGTCGGGTCACGGTACTGTGTATATCTTCAGTCAGATCGGGTGCATCATTCATCGATGGCGCACATGTGGGAGCTGCCTCCTTACCGTGGCAGGCTCAGACGAGCGGCGAACACCAGTGTCTCCTCGACGGTCAGACTGCCCGTAAGAGTGTCTTCCTGCTCCACGAACGAGGAGATGGCTCGGTGGGTCGCAAGCGGGTGTTCCTCGCCGTTGATCAGGACTTGACCGTGAACGGCGGCCGTTTGCCTCTGTGCGAGAGTGTGAAGCAGCGTCGTTTTGCCCGAACCACTCGGGCCCATGAGGGCTACCATTTCACCGGGGCGTACAATACCGGAGGCATTGTCCAAGATGTCGCGGTCCAGTCCAGTGGCGCGATCTTTGACGGTGACGGTGAGGTCCTTCCACGCCAGGCAGTCGACGTCCTCGTTAGCAAAGGAAGATCTCGGGCTCGCGTGCTTCTCGATGTCCTCCATATGGACCTGCTCCACAGTGCCGTGAGTAGAATGAGATGCTCGCATTTCGTCAGGCACAATCAGCATCTCAATGTCTGATCGAAAGGATGTTCTTGATTGCATGGAGCGAGGGCGGTCGGGGGTGTGGCAGTGAGACGGGTACTTCTTAACAGTATTCACTTGCTTTCCTCTGGACATGGGCTTGGGGTTGTGTGGTCGGGGGAGCGCGGGAGGGTGAGGTGAGGCCTGCAAGTACCAATTGAGCAGCACGAGGTGACTGGACGGGTAAAGCAGGATCCCGAATCTGGCAGGCAGGGTGGGCAACGAGGCAAACGCGAGTTCGGCGACAGTGTGTGTCGCAGGCTCGCAGCACTCCAGGGCCTACGACTCTCTCTCACGCGCCACAGGCCACAGAAGAGGCCCATGCTGCCTGCCCGTGGCCACTCCTCCGTGCGCGGGATGCGGCATGCGACATGTTTGACAGCGCACCTCCCACTCACCACTGCAGCACCACTATGCCCAGCACCGGTCCTGCAACTGATTGACTTGAAGAGGTAGGTCGGGCGGGTTATTCACGTCGCTTAATTAAATGTCTGGGGGGGGTCGTCTGCCGCGACGGCGATCACGCCTGCATTGGCACTGGTGAGACGTGAGTCGTCGTTGTTTTGGCTTTGGCACCAGCGCGACGCGGCTCCGGCTCGACGTTAACATCTCTGACCTGGTTCCAGGGTCGTGTCTGTAGTCGCCGAGTGCGACCTGCAGTCTTGCACCCACCGCACCCTTCCCCAGGCTCTCGGGTCATGCTCATCCGCCGTAGTCGCCGTTCATACTACCTCCTACTCTTGCGCCCGGGCTCTGCTGACTGCGGAGAGCTGACTGTCCAGAGCCTTCTGTATGTGCTGGCGAATCGCGGCCGTCTCCTCCTCCTTGCCCCCCTAGAGTCCCGTGAGCATCAGTCGCCGTTCATCAGCCCTGCCGCTCCTGACTCTGTCGAGCGCTGCTGACTACTGTTATCTGGCCTGCTCTCCTGCGAGCGAATCGCAGCGAATCGCGCGCAGTGGAAGGAAGTTGGATGATGTGACAGATCATCAGAATGCATCGACGGCAAGGTAGTGGTGTGTAGTGCTGTCAGACACATCATGCTGTGCAACGTGGGCGGCCGCGTCTATGCTGCCGTATCCCCGATAGTATAGTCTGCAGCGCCTACTGTGCAGAGTAGATCAGACCCACACTAACAGCTTGTTTGCGATCATCTGCATGATTAATTTATTATACATTATGCACTCTGCACTCTGCACTCTGAACTCTGCTCTCTGCACTCTGCCCTCCCCGGTTCTTCGCGCATAATAAGAGAGAGCGAGAGAAAGGGAGACAGAGAGCGGGGAGTCGAACGACACCTCTTACATGGGATGAATAATGACAACAATATCGACTGTGCCGGTTGCAAGTACTGTACATATAGTTCAGTGATATACGAAGCAGACGAGTCGCTCATAAACGTTGAAAGAAGGAGAGTGTCGGAGAAGTGTTTGAGAAAGGTGGGATAGTGTCACGTGGAAACAGCTATTTGTCTTCTGAGACGCCTGTCTCCTGTTTCCTACTTGGTACAGTACTGTATCCACCCCATGCTCCCGTTACCCGTACAAATGAGCATCATTACGACTACCAATCACAGCAACAGTGTGACCTCAGCTCTCGGCATGTCAACAGTCAAGCTCTGCAGGTATCCATTATTACATTACCATATCATTACCCCCCCCCCCCTCTCAACTACCTATACTTCACCTACTGCACAGCGTCCTTCAGGAGTCAGCCTACCTACCTATTGCGTACAGGTAGCTGTCCATGCCCAGTTTTCGCTACCAACAATCAGCAACATTCTCTGCATCTCAGCCGCAGTAGGCACACATACAGGTACGATGTACCTAGGTAAGTAGGTTATGTTTAATGTAACCTCGCCGAAACTAAAAAAGACAGTCCCTGAGGTGTCCGGTGTATACCTGAGGTTGCCAAGGCCGCAAGCGCCACCAATCGCCCGCGCCCCGATCGGATCTCGCGCCGGGTAAATCTCTCCTCTCCCTGGCTGTCTTTTTATCTCCGACAGGGTACAAGCCCTATTAGCACGCACACGAACTTCATCTCCATTATATTATAGGTAGGTAGGCAGGTAGGTATATCTTGTACATATGCTGCACTACCTCCTCTCCCTCCGTCTATAGCTACCTCCTACCTAGGCAGGAAAACTCTTCGGCTTCGTCGGACCCAGTTCGGTTGCTGCCATTATCGCTTGGGAATGTGCGGAATGGTATCGGGACTATACGAAAGCGCACCACAACTACGTTTGCCTACACGAGTTTTACGATATGCTGGTTCACCGGATTGATCGTTACGACGAGGAACTCGCTGCCGAGCGGGTGTTGTGACGCAAATGTTATCAGCCATTAGATGGTACCTAAAACGACACACTCTGGCACTCAGTCCAGGCCATCCCATCCCGCTCCATAAGGACAATCTTGAACCTCGAATATGCCACTGGGTCCGGAAACGAGGTACTGGTTCCTTCCAATCAGTTCCCAATCATTTTCTTTGTAAGTACTCGGCTCCGAAGCCACAATGAGATGATCTCCATGTCGCTCTTCTGGAATTCCAACATATCTCTGTGGTCGAGCGACTCCATCGGCATTGTCAGGATATTTCCTGTTCAAAGTCACTCCAGCTTTGGTGCTGTAATATAGACTGGGAGGTTGAGAAGTCTTGTGGTTTCGGAAACGGTAGGCGATTAGGTGAACGCCATCCGTGGCGCATAGATTGAGGGAGTTGGCTCTTTTCGCGGAGCCGAGGATCTTGTGTTGGAGGCCGATGATGGTTGCTACGGCTTTGTGCAGCGCTGCAGTCATTTCTTGCGGAGAGTAAATGTTTTCGAAAGTCGAGGCGTCCCCGCTAGATGTTAGGTAGGTCATGTAGAGTCCTGCGATGTGTCTAGTAGGAAAGGGTCAGTCGTAACTCATGATGACCGAGAACAGTGATTTGCGTAGACACACTCGGAGTCTGTGCCACCGTACACACGTGCATATGCAGCCTCGCTCATCTCATGAATCACAGCTCGCTTGATTTGTTGAAAATCACTCGCCGCTCCATTGTGCATGAAGGTATGCCGACCAAACACGAAAGGATGGTTATTAGTAGTCGCAATAGCCGTACCCGACGACGCACGGATATGGCCAAAGAGCACTCTCGTCTCCGTATTGGCACAAATGGACAAGAAGTTCCCATCATTCCTCGGAGGCTGAATCGTTTTATACAATGCCGGTCGTAGTCCCTTGGCCATGTCAGAGACAAACACATACGACTGATCATCATTATCATCATCGAGAAACGATACATCTTTTTGGGTGCCGTCTGCGCTTTCGCCCGTGTCGGCCAATTCGAAGTCAGCATTCGAGGAAGTGTACCACGCTATTCCGAGGCCGTCGAAGTTGAAGACGATGTTTCGGGCTTTGGCGTCGTCCTCGGCTGGCTGATCGCCCTTATGAGGGACCAGCTTCGGTAGGTAATGGTCGGAAACTTGCTTGACTAGGCTGTGTTGGGGCGAGACAAGCACATCTTCGAGCAGACATGGCTCGGTGGAAGAGATGTATGCGAACCAGCTGGAATACGGGTAGTTCTAAGCATTTGTGGACCTGGGCAGAGAGGTTGATGATGCAGATCACTTACCGACACATGCTTAGGGACAGGATGAGTACAGAATATCAGGAGTGTCAAGGGAAAGAGGCATAAGGTATACAACTTACAGTGTCATCGGTATCAAGGTATGTACCTCCTGCCGCTTCGGTACTGGTATGTCGGTCGGCGTTTTCTCGGCCGAGATTCCGCCGATGAAGCTCCTCCATAGGTAGAACTAAGTTTACTAGCTATAGCATCTACAGAATACAGATATCTACATGCTGATTGCTTAGGTACATCGGCACACTCTCGATATTCTCGATTCTGAAGAACATGGCGACGATACCGCCCAAATTCCAGCAGTCAAGCGTTCCGACCAAAGAGCTGTTGCCGTTTGTTCACAGCCAACCCACGCTTCGTCTGTATCCTCTCAGCAACTATACTTTCGGCACGAAAGAGACGCAGCCAGAGGAGGACCCATCCGTCAAGGACCGACTGCGACGTCTGGAGGAGCACTACGAGAAGCATGGCATGCGCCGCACGTGCGAGGGCATTCTGGTCTGCCACGAGCACAATCACCCGCACGTGCTGATGCTGCAGATTGCCAATGCGTTTTTCAAGCTGTAAGACGAATATTCATGAATGCACCTTGCTTGCGCAGGAGGGACGTGTCATACTCACCACCACTACTCATACAGCCCTGGCGACTATCTTCGCCACGATGTCGACGAGATTGAGGGCTTCAAAGAGCGCCTGAACGAACGCCTCGCGCCCACGGGCTCGCTCGGAGATTCGGCCACAGCAGCAGATCGCGACTGGAACATCGCCGACACCCTCGCCCAATGGTATCGACCAAACTTCGAGACCTTCATGTACCCCTTCCTGCCACCTCATGTCACGCGACCGAAAGAGTGCAAGAAGTTGTACCTCATCCAGCTTCCTGAAGGCAAAGTGCTCAGCGTGCCCAAAAACATGAAATTGTTGGCTGTGCCTCTTTTCGAGCTGTATGACAACAGCCAGAGGTATGGGCCACAGCTGAGTGCCATCCCACACTACCTCAGCCGCTATCGATTCGAGTTTGTGGATGAGCAGGGAGAGGTGGTGTCGTATACTCCGGGTGGTCCCATCGACGAGAATGTGAAGACCAAAATCTTGGCTGGAGAGCAGAATGGAGTCAAAGCAGAAGATGGAGCGCCTGCAAAAGATGAGGAGATGGCTCAGGCATGATAAGAGGGATAACTCGTGCTCCGCGCAGTGAAAGCTGGTCCTCGCTTCTCCAGTCGGAGCGCGGCCTCGATATTCTCATGCGTTGCACGTCGATATGGCAAATATCGACTCTGGTCCTACCCTGCGCTGGTCACGATCATAACAACGTCAGCTCACGGCAGGAAAGGGTCACAGGCCCACCGAACATCAGCTGAGATGTCGGGCGGAGGGAAGCTTGCTCGTATTCATTCCAGACTGCATGTCTGATCCATGAACGAAAACCTCTACTCGCTCGTCCGAGACAGTCACGCACGATGTGATGGACAGACTTCTCATCGGCCGCACATAGCGGCGCTTTCTGAATGCAGTCATGCTATACTGCAGGAACAGCTCAATTTCCGGCTTCCCCAGACCCTGTTGATGCGCTGGAAATATAAGTAATGCAAGTGTATGCAGCTTCAACGCAGGACGAGACTTCAAATGTGAAGTTGTGGCTGGGACATGATGCACTGCGAGAACTCGCTGCATTAGCTGACCGGCCAAGACTAGGAAATCTGCCGGGATACGCAGAAGGTCATCTATAGCATCGAAGAACAACACTGTAGAGCATTGTTCATAGCATCGAAGAGATGGCGGATACGTGCGAAGGCGTCGGTATGAGAGCCAGGGAGCAAAACACATTCTCTGTAATCAAAAGCCATGGGATAGCTAGGCTTGGCCGTTTCGAGTGGCTGTTTGCCACAATCCTGCATTTAGAAAGCTGCAGGCTAGGAGGCATGCTCTCTCCGTTACTATGACCTAAGATATACAAGGTTCGCACAGCTCTGGAGACTTCAATGTTCCGACCTGCTGTTGTGGACACGAATGCGCCGAGTATCGCGACCCTCCATCAGTGGGAGCACGAGAACAGGAGGCTTTTCCAAAGTGTTGTAAGACGCCACAGATGATGATGACCTAGGAGGTAGCTATATCACGAACGCTGACTGCCACCGCCTTACGACAACGCCAAATCAGCCTCGAAATGAGTCCAGATCAAGACTACGAGCCTTACGAAGACTTGTAAGGCAGGCCAACTTGACCTATAGAAAGCTGCATCTAAGATGCGCACGACCGATTTTCGAGGCATGCACTCCGCAATGAACGCTGTCGATCGTATAATGTTTAGCGAGCTACGCACTCCACATCCTCCGCAAGGAATTCTGGAGTACAACGTCTTTCGGTATGCGCGATATCAGGGCATGAGAGTGCCCTCGTTCTTCTCGCGCGAGGTCCTCGTCAGCCGTTTGTCCCACCATGCTCACGTACCTATTGTTGGACAGTATGGCTCCATAGCCCAAGTCACAGAAGCTCATGTCGTACCGACGCGTGGTTGGAAGACAGATACGGTTGTGTCAGGACTTCATTGCATTGGATGGCATTGAGGAGTCGGTTATACTATCCAAAAGTTCTGGACGATGCGTGCTGTCAGTAGCATCAATCGTGCCACGTTCATTGTTACGTGAGGATGATTTCAAGCCCGATTGCCACAAAGCCACCTTCGAGGACCTGCGAACTGATGTCCCATTGCAAACGACATCCCTTCTATCGAGCAGCTAGCTCGTTGGTCGGAACATGGCGAGAAAGACAAGCCTCCAGTCTCCCTTGATTCGCTCCTTGTAAGCACGGCCATGTGCCTCATATGGGCTTGCAGCTCGAGGACGGGACACTGCTGGAGCTGAATGCAGAGTCCATCAGGATTCATGCAATGCGAGAACATGTAGCGTCCACAACGACAGCAGAAGAACGTGATTGAAAAGGTATAAAATGGATATGCCCAATGCCAGATTCAATTCTCATCATCATCAGCATCATCTCATCCTCTGAGCAAAGCTTCACTTATAGCCTCTTTTCCAGGTTCACTATTCAGCAAGCATCCACAGTCGTTGAACAGAAAATATGCATTTCCAGCTTGCCACCCTTGCTCTATTCGTCCTCAGTGGCATCACCAATGCCCTGCCGAACCCAGGCGAAACTCCCACTGGCTACGGGGGCACCACCACCTCTACCTGGGGCACCAAAACGAAGGAAACCTCCACCACCTCTACTTGGGGCACCACATCCACTTGCACCCCCTCAACCGGCTATAGCTACTCCACCGGCTACTCGACTTACTCCACTGTCTCCGTGACCACAGTCCCCTCCACCAGCTACAGCACCGTATGTATACAACTCCCTCCCTTGCCCCCTACCGATCCCAAACCCCTCTCTCTCCCCACTACACCCTAACCTCTCTCCTCCTCCTCACAGACAACCTCCACCACAATCAAAACTCTCCCCCAAACCCACATCCTCCCCACCACCTCCTACGAAACCTTCTACACCACCATTCCAGGCGTCCCCATCACTTCGACCTCCTACACAACCAAAACTTTCACGACAGAAATCCCTTGCGGAACGACCACGTTGCCCGGAAAAGATGTTGTCAACACTGTGACGAAAACTTCTGTCGGCGAGTTTACCAAGACGGAGGATCTTACGGAGACGATTACGCAGATTGGTACGATTGCTGTTACGACGGGGCTGGAGGAGTCGACGACGGTTTATGGGAGTTTGGAGGTTACGGATAAGGTGGCTTATACGACTTGTGTGGCTGGGGCAGGGGGATATTGGCGTTGAATGCGGGCGAAGTGAGGATGGGAGGGGAGGGGGGATCGATAGGATGAAATCACGAATTCTTCTTTGGAGGAATGAGGGGATTGATTCATCACACACACACTCTTTTTAGGGGCGGGGATGGATGAATAGACGAAAAAAAGGACATGTAGTCTAGATTAAGTCAAAGTCAGCTGAGCTAGACTCAAATCTTTTTTCCAGGATACCTAGCTTTCTACGAATGGGCAGGATATGCTACCTAAGATATTGATATTGGGGTTTGATTTTCACAGTTCATTTTGGGGGCTGTGATTGAAACATTTTCTGCTCCCAAGTAGGCAGGCACATAGAGAGAGAGAGAGAGAGAGAGAGAGAGAGAGAGAGAGAGAGAGAGAGAGAGAGAGAGACATGATATTCGTTATAAATCCAATTGTCTTAATTGATATCATAGTCATCATTATCATCATCATGATCATCATCACCAAGCGTTCTTACGTCTCCAAAGTCCTTTATTGTTTTCATCCTTTCCATCACAGTCTACTCCTCAACTCCACCAATTTCTCCACCTCAGCAAACTGATAGTAAAAATTCAAACATTCCTTATTCGCCAACGTGTCTGACGGTTTAATAATCTTCCCACTGACAATTTGTTTCACGGGCAATTCGACTTTTTTCAAATTGATTGTCGTGGGAATTTCCGGCGTCTCAAAGATGTATTTCGGCACACATCTTCGTCCACAATCTCGCGCGATGGCGTCTTTGACGCGCTTTACGAGGTCTGAAGAGAATTTTTGGCCGGGATTGAGTAATAAGAAGAGCATGACACTCTCATCGGAATCTTGCGGACGACGCTGGCCCACGCAGATGCTGTCTTGGATCTCGTCGGGGAAGCTGTTGTCGAGCGAGTTGTAGATTTCTGCGCTGCCGAAACGGACACCGGACGGGTTGAGGACTCCGTCGGATCGGCCGAGGACGTGGATGCCTCCGGTCTGGGGATGCTGCGAGATGAAGTCGCCGTGAGTCCAGACGTTGTCGTATTTCGCAAAGTAGCTGTTAAAGTACTTCTCGCCGTTCTCATCACCCCAGAACTTGACAGGCTGTGTAGGGAAGCCTCTTGTGCAACAAAGTTCACCTGCTTCCCCTGCGGGCAAGGCCTTTCCTTTGACGCCTTTGCCGCCTTCAATCGTCTGGTCAAACGCCTCAACTTTCATGCCGAGTCCTGGACCGACTGTGCCGCCGCAGTATACGGGCTGCATTCGGTTGCCAAGAGCTAAGCAAGCTGCGAGATCTGTGCCACCAGAGATGTTGTCGAGCTGGACGTGAGACGGGAAACCTTGATCATAAAACCACTCGAACTGTGCTTCTGATAAGACCATCCCAGTGGAAGTCACCCTGCGAAGACAACTCAGATCAACGACGTCGCGTGGAAGCACGGGTGGCTTTGCTGTTGCCAGCGTCTGCATCCATCTAGGGGAAATACCCAGATCTGACACTTTTTGATTCTGAACGAGCTCGAGGAAAGACGTCAGATCTGGCTGGAACGGCGATCCATCGTACAGGACTGTCCGAGCACCATGTAGCAGTGCAAGGACACTGCTCATATACATGATCCAGCCAGTAGTGGTGTACTGCAATACACATAGCTGGTCGGGGGATACGGCGGCCCAGTCACGATGCAGATTTCCCTCTTTTTTGCTATTGAGCAGCACACCTCCAACGTTGTGAACAATGCACTTAGGCTGGCCCGTGGTGCCACTCGAATAGACGATCAAGAACGGGTCGCCAAATTCTATGCGATCGAAGCGGAGCTCTTTGTCTTCTTTGGCTGCGATGAGGAAGAACTCGAGCCCTTCTGCATCTCGAACATTTGAGACATCTCTGGGCCTGCTTTGGGTCCTCGGCATGCTCACAATGCTTTCGAACTCGGAGACGCCATCCATGCCGCTCACGATCTCTTCCATCTTGGGACGCAGATCGATGGTCTTGCCATTGTATAACGCCCAGTCGTCCATAAAGACGAACTTGGGTTTGATCTGTCGCAATCTATCGAGAATGCCTTTCGTGCCCATGTCGGTCGACGAAGACGAGAAGATTCCGCCGAGAGCGGTGGTCGCCAAGAAGACCACCAATGTATCGACAGAGTTGGAAGCAACAATAGCGACGCGATCACCTTTTCCCACGCCTCGAGCGCGCATCGCATTCGAAAGATAGCCCGTCCTATCTCGCAATTCTTGCCACGTCACATTTCGAATCTCTGTCCCACCTTCACGAGCTTCTACACACGCCACGCGCTCATCGTCCTTTCGGAACGTACTTCTCTTGCCCGGGTTCTTCCCATCGGGCGAGAAGAGGAGATTCTCTGCGAAATTAATCCGCACACCCTCGAACCATGGCGGGACAGCGTCCATACGAGCATGCTCGTCCACGACTAGCTTGTACTTGCCTTCGTGAATCAGAGGATGCTGCTGGAAGAGTTCTTCGTAGAATGCCGCTCTCTGGTCCACACTCCACGCATGCAGTTCGTTCCAGGTCTCGAGCGTCGTGCCTCGCTTTCGATTGACCTCTTGCATGAACTTGTATGCGAGCGTGGCCTGGGGACTCGACGGCTCCCAGAGCTTGCGAGGCATCGTGTTGTCAGCCATCCTCGGGCAGGGAGGAGGGAGGAGGCAGGCTATGCTATGTGTGCCTGATTCAAGTCAGAACAGACCCGAAGGAATTGGTGCCTGATGGATGGAGAAATGGGTGCCTGATGAGCAGACGAGGCGCAAAACACGAACAGGTATATTACGACGGTTGATATGAAGTCAGAGTGTCTTTCACGCAAGGTACCGAGAACCGTTCGTCGTTTGCACGCTCAATGCCAGTCCAACCACGCTGGGTTGGAAGAGACCGCTAGGCTGACCTCGGTAATGGCGTCAACTCAAACTCAGCGCCGTGGGCGTGTGAGGGGCAGCTCCCGCCCAAAACACCCATACAACGATGGACTACTGTGGGGCCACCGACTCATGGACATGAAAAATCGTCATGTCGACAGTGGTAGATGGGCAGCCATACTGTCATCGTGCAGCATTGTGGGAGATCCAGTGCGTGAGGAATAAGAGGCCGGAAGCTCCCCTTTTTTGCATTTCCATGTTACACCTCATCGTCTCCTTGTCATATAATCTATAACATCAAAAATCATAGCAGAGCACAGTCTCAGTATGAATTCCAACAACAACAACTCGGGCGGCCGAAGCAGCCACGACTTTGCCCGAGGCGGCAACTCCAGCAACTCCAATTCCAACAACTCCAATGGGGGCTCGAATGGCAACTCAGGCAGCAGCGGAGGCTCATCTGGCCTAGGGGGAGGCAGCTCAAACAACAACAGCAACAGCAGCAGCGGCGGGAGCAACGGAAACAGCGGCGGCGGTGGCGGCTATGGCGGCGGCGGCGGCGGCGGCTCTTCTAATAACAACTCATCAAGCAACTCGTCAAGCAGCCAATCGAGAGGCGGAAACAGCTCAGGCGGCTACGGGGGCGGTTCGTCCGGCGGTTCATCCGGCGGCTCATCCGGCGGCTCAGCCGGCGGCTCCTCTAACAGCAACTATGGGGGCTCAAGCGGTGGCGGTGGCGGTGGTGGTTCTTCTTCCGGAGGCTATGGCGGAGGCTCCAGCGGCGGCTCCGGCGGCGGCAATTCTTCCTCTGGAGGCTATGGCGGAGGCTCCGGCGGAGGCTCCGGCGGCGGCAGCAACTCCTCCTCCGGAGGCTACGGCGGTGGCTCCAGCGGCGGCGGCGGCGGTTCTTCTGGAGGCTATGGCGGTGGCTCCAGCGGCGGCGGCGGCGGTTCTTCTGGAGGCTATGGTGGTGGCTCCAGCGGCGGCGGCGGTTCTTCTGGCGGCTATGGCGGCGGCTCCAGCGGCGGCGGCGGTTCTTCTGGAGGCTATGGCGGCGGCTCCAGCGGCGGTAGCTCCGGTGGCGGTGGTCGATCGGGCGGTGGCAGTTCTAGATCGGGCGGTGGTTCATCTGGTGGGTCCCGATTCACCACAGACAAGAAGATGGATGTCGCATACGAAGCCGGGTACAAGGACGCTATGGATAAGGTCAAGGGCGACATGATGCGCAACTTTGGTAACTAAAAGGTGTGCCATGAGCAACACACCATTTCCCTCCCATTTGATCAAGCGGTACTGATTTCTTCTTCATAGATAAATGATTCACGACAGCGATGCCCCGAATCCAGATCGGCTGTAATTCAATCCAGGAGGATGCAAGATGACGGTTCTAGGTTTCCGAGTCAATGTGGGGACCTTGTGGCGATCTCGATGGTTCTCGCGCCTTGCAGGCCACCGCCGGAACCGGTCGCAGCAGTTATGTTCGGATATATTGTATAGGCGTTTCAAATGTTTATTCGACTTTCAACTATTGCACATTCTGTACGGGACTGCTGCTGCTGCTGATTGACTGAACGAGATAGTACCCTCTAAAACTGCGCGAAGCGACCCCGGTCTTGATAGAAAAGCGCATGATGCCAAACATGTGCATGCAAGAGCTTGAACGATGAAGTCGACAACCCAGGTTGTTCTCACTGGAAACGCTCTGTCGACAGCACTGATGGTCAGTCGATGCCACCCTCAATTAGTGGGTGCATGCGCTGTACCAGAGCGTCGGCGAGCTCAGCATGAGTTACCAAACTCTGCTGATGGCACAACATGATGCCGTCACCGAGTGGAATCAAAATCAAATCGAATCGCCCGACATAAGCGTTGAAGAGCGGACAAGGGTTATTTCCCATCGCCAACGGTACTACGGTCTTGGTGCATGGAAACACATTAGCGCTCTTGCGCGCTGAGTCTCTGCAGTGCAGTGTGGCATGAGCGCGCAGACATCAGACACATGGCGGCGGAAGACCGACCAAATTGTGGAGGTCGACGTCCTCACGCTTTCATCTACTTTCACGGTCAGCGTTGGCCGAGATCGTACGTCTCTTGTTTCCATGCAATGTGCTCGATCATACAGGGTGCCGTCTCAGCATGAATCACCGGTCAAGGCGCTATGAAAGCCATGCATGTGTAAGGCAGATAATCATGTCGAAGGCTGGGAGAGTAGAGGAGAAGTTGCAGCTTACCTACGCAGAGAGCAGTCCGCAGGCACAATCGCTCAGAGCTAGACGCTACGAACCGCTATGGCTGAAGTGCCTGCTTGGTCAAGTCTGTGTGAGCATTTAAATACTGATACAGTATTCATTTCAAGTCGCTACGTAATTTTCGTCAGTGAAAGCAATGCAAACAAAATCAATCGCCTCCGAGGCGTCTGCCAGAACCACTCCAAGCAGAGCCGCTTGTCCATGAGTTGGGTAATGGTCCACTGCCCTGGTTCTGTGCTGCTGGCTGGTTTGCAGATCTTGAGGCGAATGCTGTGCCGTATGCTCGATTCGTCTGTGGCTGACCAGTGCCCGTAAACAGCTTCTGAATGAACAGAGGCGGGGTGGTATATTTCTGACCACCTCCGTAGGTGGGCCACACACGGTCGAGGAAGTCGTACATGTGAGCTGCAAGGATACCGGTGGACTGAATCATGGTCTGAAATGGGCCAGCTACGAGGTAGGTGATGGCCAATGACGCGTACGGTAAGTACTTCGCCGGCATTTGAACAATGAAAAACTGGACCTGTCGATTCGGATCTTCCTGGGCGAATGTGTAGATCAGGGCCATATTCAAGGCGCTTAGAAGAACCGCGCCGCCAAGGTAAATACCTCCAGTAAGCTAAATCGTTGTCAGTGTATTGCACACCATAGGTGAATGATTACAACACGAAGATTTTCACAACAGATACATGTAGGGTCCAAAAACCACTGACAACCACAGGATCAAGGTCGCCAGCTTTCTCAATCCGGAATCCCACCATGCCCACACTCCACAAACGCTCTATTTGTTTTGCGAATGACGAACGCTGCACAGCGCAGGGGGTAATCTTGCTCAATTCCAGGAACCGTAACAGCTATAAGAGGCTGGCCGGGCAGATTAAGAGAGCTTGCCTTGCATTTCCAACGAGTGAGGGACACTACGAAATTGCGTGTGCTTACCAGGATGACCATTGCCACGAAGAGCAGATAGAAGGCATACGCGCCTGGTGCGCTGAACCGTGCCGCACCCGTCTCGAGCTGGCTGCTATAGTGGTAGAGGAAGAAGGGATCCATGATCAAACCTAGCGACGGCCCGGTGATGAAGAAGCACGTGAAGGTGCGCCATAATTGTGGCAGTTGTTGCAATGTGAAGACGTAGTCCTTGAAGAAGACCACCCAGGCCAGGTTATACAGTTCGAGGTGTCCCGGTACGCTGATGAGTACGGCTGCTGCTGTGATGGTTCTGCTTAGCATCAGAATTCTGCATCAGCTCACGTGTGCTGCGCAGTGTTTCTTACCTTGTGACTGGCGGTGCCGAGAAGAACGCCTCCTGGAAAGACATCCTGTCGTCTCTGGCAGCTTTGACACACGTCGAAGTGCTGTGAGATGGAGGCAACTGGTGGTGGGTGGATGGATGGAATGGGAGAAGAGATGAAGTGTGCAGACGAAAGAGGAAGCAAAGCAAAGTGTTCTCTTCAGAATTCCATGTGTTTGCTCGCTAGACTGTGACGGAAGTCGCGGGTGCCACCACTAAATTTTACCTGTGCGGCCAGATGCCAAGCACACATTTCGGAATTGGTTTGTGGTCGAACTGGCTGGCTGCAAACTTCACGGATTGACAACGCCAGTCTACTAACAACCACAGCACCTGTCTTTCACATCGACCGCAATCATGGCTGTCGGAAAGAACAAGAGACTGTCCAAGGGCAAGAAGGGCCTGAAGAAGAGAACCGACCCATTCGCCCGCAAGGACTGGTTCAGCGTCAAGGCCCCATCGACGTTCGCCATTCGAGAGTACGATATCACTATCCTTCTACGCGAGTCCTCGTACCATGCACACGTGCGCGAGCGGGGCGAAGAGCAGAGCAGAGCATGATCGGATAACTAACTCTTGCTGCAGTGTCGGCAAGACCCTCGTGAACCGCTCCACTGGTCTCAAGAACGCCAACGATGCGCTCAAGGGCCGTATCTTCGAGGTCTCCCTCGCCGATCTCCAGAAGGATGAGGACCACGCCTTCCGCAAGGTCAAGCTGCGAGTTGACGAGGTTCAGGGCAAGAACTGCCTCACCAACTTCCACGGACTCGACTTCACTTCGGACAAGCTGCGCTCGCTCGTTCGCAAATGGCAGACTCTCATCGAGGCCAACGTGGTTGTCAAGACCACCGACGACTACCTCCTCCGACTCTTCTGCATCGCCTTTACGAAGCGGAGACCTAACCAGATCAAGAAGACCACCTATGCGCAGTCTTCGCAGATCCGTGCAATCAGGAAGAAGATGACGGATATTATGCAGCGCGAGGCTTCGGCCTGCACCCTCAGCCAGCTCACCACCAAGCTGATCCCTGAAGTGATTGGCCGCGAGATCGAGAAGAGCACCCAGGGTATCTACCCACTGCAAAATGTATGTACACACACACCAGAACGAGGGCAAGAAGACGGGCGCATGGTTTTGGGGCAGACATATACTAACAAGAAACAAAGGTCCACGTTCGCAAGGTCAAGCTTCTCAAGGCACCCAAGTTCGACCTTGGTAACCTTCTCTCGCTTCACGGAGAGTCGTCCACCGATGACGCTGGTCAAAAGGTTGAGGGCGCGCGTGACTTCAAGGAGCAAGTCCTCGAGAGTGTGTAAGCGGGTTATGCATGACGCTTTATGGGACGGGCATTGGGCAGCGTGGCGATTTCACGTTTTGCGTGTAGAAAGGCGTTTGAGAGCAGGGCCACGGACATGAGATGCAAGAGAGACATCATACCAGCGCCACGTTAGGTCCTACGCAAAATCAGTGAAACGTTTAAATGTTCAATGTCTCCCCATACCTCAGTTTCATACTGCTGTATACTGTATGCCAGTATTATGTCAGTGAATGCGGCCATGCATGGATTGGGGGGAGTTTAGGTGAACAGGCTGAACAGTGCCAATGCCAATTCCACAGACAGCATGTATCTACCTACTACATGTAGGTGCCTGTAATATTTCCCATTTCCATAAGCGGGCAGCTTTGTTCTTTCCCTCTTCGCTCTTCCCAGACCTTCCTTTTCTCAGAAGCCGATATCAATTCCACACCATCCATCATCTCAAAGTCCCGCACAACAATCACCGCACCGCCAAACTTGGAAGTCCTCCCCACTTCCACTTCCACTTTCCACTTTTCCACCTGTCCACCTCATCCCATCTCCCAAATCCTAACCTCTCCCTCACCACATCCTCACCCATCCACTCCCCACGCCCTCAAAGACATTTCCAAGAAGAAATCCATCAAGTAAAAGCTTCCCCCCCAAAAAAAGAAAAACCCCAAAAAATCGGAAAAATGCCACCAAAAAATCTCAACTTCATCACCGGCAACGCCAACAAACTCGCCGAAGTCCAAACGATTCTCTCGTCGACTCCCGTACAACTCACATCGCAGAATGTGGATTTGGTAGAAATTCAAGGGACGATTGAGGAGATTTCGAGGGATAAGGCGAGGAGGGCTGCTGATGCGGTATGTATCTTTTTCTTTTCTTGTTTTCTTTTTTCGGGGGAGGGGGGGATGAATGAATGGATATATCTTTGGCTATTTTGGGTACTGAGATTGAAAGGGAGGGAGGGAGGAAGATGTTGGGTATTTGTTTATTGTTCACACATACAACAAGTCTCTTTTATGTTCTTGGTTTTGTTGAGTGAGCCGAATGAAATATGCTAATTCTGATGTTTGCCGGTTTTTTCTTGTTCCACCACAGATACAAGGACCGGTATTGGTAGAAGATACGTGTTTGTGCTTTAATGCTTTCGATGAGTTACCTGGACCTTATGTGTACGTTTGTTCATTATTTCGATTTGACCATCTACTCAACGGATTCTGCGAGCAATCTACCTACCTACCTATGCGCTGATTACATCTGAAACAGGAAGTGGTTTCTCAAAGCTCTAGGCGTGAAGGAGTTTCACAAGCTATTGGCGGGCTTTGAAGACAAGTCTGCGCAGGCTGTATGCACTTTTGCATACTGCGAAGGACCTGGGAAGGAGCCGATTGTGTTCCAGGGACGGACGGAGGTGAGTTCTCTGTCCCGTTTTCCAGTGCGGAGTGGAACACATTTCGCTGATGCTGGGGGTAGGGCAAGATTGTGCCATGTCGCGGACCGACGGACTTTGGTAAGTTGCACAACGTGCTCGTGAAAAGCTAGCTGCGTTCTGACTGCATCCTAGGCTGGGACGCATGCTTTGAGTATGAAGGCCAGACGTACGCCGAGATGCCCAAGTCGGAGAAGAACAAGATCTCGCATCGAGGGAAGGCTCTAGAGAAACTGGTCGACTGGTTGCAAAAGGAGTTGTAGAGGCAGCAGCTGCAGAAGGACCAGACCAGTAGAGATAGGTAGCTGGGCTGTGATCGTCCAGCGGTGGACCCACGCGATCATAAGTAAAAAAATGATGGCGACTCACTCGCTACTCAACCATGCAAGAACATAGGGTTTTCCTCATCCTTCTGCTCAGATTGCGCCTTGACATCTCCCTCCGCTTTCCCATGATCCTTCTTCCACTGATTCACCCAACTCTCAATCCTATCCACATTCGAATCGATATCCTCCGTCTTCTCCGAATGCAACTCGACCACAATCTCCCCATCATACGCATCCCGCGCCTCCTGCAACAACACCTCCATAATCTCACAATCCAAATTCTCCTCCAACTTCTTCCCTTGATACCCTCTCCCCTTGAGCCGATCATACAACAAACCATTCTCACACCTCACCACCACGACCAAATCAATCAAACTCGGCGGAAACAAATCACACGCATGCCAATCAATAATCTGTCCGCCTTCTTCCAAATCATTCTCAATCACATCGAGCAGTCGATCCTCGTCCACAATTTGTAAACTCGGATCAGAAGGATCGTCTGATTTTTCGCCAATGTTGTGCTTTTTCACAATCTCGTTGATGCTCATATGGTGCAGACCGGGTATCCGACGCGCGAGTTCTTCGGCGTGAGAGGTTTTGCCTACGCCGGGCGTGCCTGTGATGATGATGTTGGGCTCGGTGCGGAGCATGGTGGTGATGGAGGAGATGGCTCGGAATTTTTGTCTGGTGAGAAGAGGGCGATTATGAGGGCGGAGGGAGTGGAGGGGGGTTCTTTTTGGAAATGCGCGTGGGATTGCTGAAGGTCTGATGAGAAACATGGAAGAAAGAGAGAGAGAGAAATTATTGAGATGGAGAGATGTAGAACAGGAAAAGAGTGCGCGGGACTGGCTCTGCGGAGTGACGCACGGGTCACGGTCGCAGGTCTTGATTCGAAGGGTTTCCCCCCCTTCCACACAACCACAAAGTACATTTCACTATTAAAAACTGTCAAGTATATCGTCCTACGAAACGCGCCCGAGGACAAGGAGAGGAAATTATACCAACATGCTTGCGCAAAGGCCACTTTTGCGCCTGCAGCAACCATGGAGATTATGCGCCAGGCGACCCTTTTCGACCACAGAACTCGGCAATGGCATCAATATGGCATATGAATTGTATGAGCCGGAAAAGGAAACTCAGGGCAGCCCGATCATTCTCGTCCACGGTCTTTTTGGCTCCAAACGAAACTACCGGTACGACCTCGATGGACATATGTTCTCTCACCTGAGCTGGCTGCTGATGTAGATCTTTAGGAGCATGAGTAAGTACGGCTCTCTCTCTCTCTCTATCACATAATGTGCGAGATGACAGAGTGCATGTACTGATATCATTGCCATAGAGTCCTCGTTCGTGACTTGAAACGTCCTGTCTATGCCATTGACACGCGGAATCATGGTGATTCTTCTCACCACCCGAAGCACGACTACACTTCCCTGGCAGAAGACCTCGAGCTCTTCCTCAGGCACCACCAGCTGCAGGAAACGTGCCTCATCGGTCACTCCATGGGCGCAAAAGCAGTCATGGCCGTCGCTTTGCGGAAGCAAGTCAAGATTGGCTCTCTGATTCCTGTCGACAATGCTCCTGTCGATGCAGCGCTGAAGAGCGACTTTTCCAAATATATTGTCGGCATGCGGAAAATCGAAGAGTCGTCTGTCAAGACCATGAAAGAAGCCGATCAGATTCTGCAAAGCTACGAGGAGTCGCTGCCTATACGCCAATTTCTCCTGACGAATCTGGCCAAGGCGGAAGATGGGACGCAGAAGTTCAAAGTGCCGATCAAGTTTCTCACACCATCATTGAATGGGCTTGGAGACTTTCCATTTCGCGATCCGGATGAGACGAGATACGAGGGCCCTACGTTGATTGTGCGAGGCACGCAGAGCCACTATGTCAGTGATGAGACGCTGCCCGTCTGTGGGAGGTTCTTTCCCAACTTTGAGAGAGCGGACATTGACGCGGGACATTGGGTCATCAGCGAGAAGCCGGAGGAGTTTAGACAAGGTGAGTGTGTGAAGTGTTGGCATGATGCTGTCGCGCGATATGTATGACTCCAGTGAAGTGCTAACATGTTGATATAGCGATTGTGGAATTTTTGACAAAGCGGCAAGACTGAGAGTGAGGGCGGACTTGTACCTTCTATGGGCTTTCCGCGCGCGCGCTGAGCTCCCGCTGTGCAAACGATGATGCTCCGTCAGCACGCGCTGCACCATGTACAGAAGATGCAACTAAGACATTATTGCGTCCCGTGCGCATCCGGTTTTAAAGCCGACAGCCGCGGGATTCACATTCAGTTCATCATCAAATCCCATCGAATTCGAACGGCACCAGACATACAGTACATGACATTATACTTGAACGATGCGGCAGCCCATATCTAGGTATTCCATGGTTTCACATGGAATACGAGCCACGTTCTATTCGGGCCGAAGACGTATCAACAGCTTCCTACCAGTCACTGGCATTGGCCGATCAAAGGAAAAGAAAGTGCTGACCACAACAATGCATACCATGTGTTGGCAGGGCATTTCGGTATGGTATACAAGTATAATATCCATGGCGGGGAGGGGGGAAGTTGGTGTAGGGGCCGCGGAGAAATGGCAAACAACAGCGAGCGAGTTCGCTGCTGGACCACCAATTCCGGGCTAGAGCAGGCCAAGCGGGCGAAGCGGGCGTGGAAGCGAAGTAAAAGTGGTGGGTCCCCGTCGGTTGGCAGAGCTTGACAAGCTTGTTATGCGGATAAGCAAGCAAGCAATCAATCAATCAATCAATCAATACTACCCAATACCGCCGTGGGTACTACCCAATACTAGGAGGTAACCAATACTACCTACCTGACCTACAGTACCCAATCCCACCCGGACACTGCAATCCATCGGAATAATGTCCATGGCTCGGCAATCATCATCCTTATCCAGCACCTCTTAGATCGTTCCTGTTCCTGTTCCTGTTCCTGTTCTTGTCCTTGTTCTGTTGCTCTTGTTTCCCTTCCTCTCCTCTTCCTCCTCTGCTTCGTCGTTGACTACCGGCGATTGTATATACAGATCCAACAGTGTCCTAGAGAGGTACAGACAGACTACAGAGTGTGGACGGCAAGTCTACACCCACACTATCATGTTGTCCCTCCTGGCCCTCGGTGCCCTCGCGCCTACAGTATGGGCTCAATCCAGCGAAGAGACCATTCTGGGTGTATACATGTTCCACCGCCACGGAGACAGAGTAAGCAGCCCACCAGACAGACTCTCAACAAGTACCAAACGCTGACATATGTATGTGTGTCCGTCCAACAAAAAAGACTCCCAAAGCTCTCGCTCCAGCAAACTTGACCGATCTCGGCTATCTCCAAGTCTACGAATCAGGACAATACTACCGCAACCGCTACATTGCCTCCAATGCCACCGCCCGCATCAATGGCATCAACGCCGACATTGTCAAACAGAGCCAAATCTCCGTTTCCGCCCCCGACGACACCGTTCTCATGAACTCTGCCATGGGTTTCTTACAAGCTCTCTACCCTCCCGTGGGCACCGCATTGGGCTCCCAGACTCTGCGCAATGGCAGAAATGTCACCGCTCCCATGAATGGTTACCAGCTCATTCCCGTGGATTTGGTCGCTTCGGGTGCGGGCAGTGAAGATAGTGGTTGGTTGCAAAGTACGAGTAATTGTGCTCAAGCACAAATTAGCTCGAATGAGTATTTTATGAGTGAAGACTATCTCTCGACATTGGATCGCACTCGAGAGTTTTATACTTCGCTGGAACCAGTTGTCAATGGCACTTTTTCGCCTGATCAGTTGAGTTTTAAAAATGCTTATACCAGTAAGATCCACATCCGAAAAAAAAAACTTCCCTCGTTGTTGTACTACTCATGCTTACCTATCAAATTCAATTTACCTCTCACAGTCTTCGACCTCATCAACGTCGCCGAAATCCACAACGCCACCATCAACTCCTCTGACCTCCTCACCCCAGAAACTCTCTCGCAACTCCGCACCCTCGCCAATGCCCACGAATGGGGTCTAGCATACAACGCCTCCTCCCCCACAGATATGCGATCCATCGCAGGCAAAACTCTCGCAGCGCAAATCGTACAATTCCTCAACACAACGATTCCCAACAACGGAAACGGAAAAGGAAAATCCAAAATCGGAATTCAATTCGGCGCATATGCAACATTTGCCTCATTTTTCGGCCTGGCAAATCTATCTCTTGTGGATGAAGATTTTATGGGAATTGTCGATTATGCTTCCGCTATGACTTTTGAATTGTTTACGAATTCTTCTTCTTCTACCTCTTCTACCTCTTCGCTGGGAGAAAATGAAGAAGAGGACCTCTACATCCGTTTCCTCTTCCACAACGGCACTTCTTCTTCGACGAGTGAACCTACGATTTATCCACTCTTTGGCACTCAACAAGAGACTATCACGTGGAAAGAATTTACGGCACAGATGGAGAAATTTGCGATTGGGACGACGGAGGAATGGTGTCTGGCTTGTGGGAATTCTACGGGGAGTTGTGCTGCTTATTCTTCATCTTCCTCGTCCTCTTCATCTTCCTCTTCATCCTCTTCGAGTGGAAATAGCGGAAACGGAAACGGACTCAGTCCAGCCGTCAATGGTGTCATTGGAGCCATGGTAACTCTTGCTGTGATTTTGGGTTTGGAGGCTTTGATTTTGGGCTTGGGAGGCTTGAGGATTGTGTCGAAGAAGAAGATGATGAACGATAACCACGGGACGAATGAAATGGGTGGTGGGAGTGGTAATGGAAGTGATAGCGAGGTGGGAGGGAATTTGAAAAGTGGAATGTGATTTTGATGGAGGTGTGAGATGTGAGATGTGAGATGTGAGATGTGAGATGTGAGATGTGAGATGGGAGATGTGAGATGTGACTGGAGAGAGCTACGTTATGAAAAGAGGAAGAAAAATGAAGAGTGATGAAGAATGAAGACGATGATGATGACAACAGATTGATGAGAAAAGATTAGATTTCATGATTTTCTTCTTCTACAAACTTCCGTCAGTCTTGGCTATACAATAGTATACAGTAACGAAAACCTCATTATTATTTCTATAGAAGACCAACTCTTGTCACTCTTTTACTTTTCTCTCTCTCTCTCTCTCTCTCTCTCTCTCTCTCTCTCTCTCTCTCTCTCTCTCTCTCGTTCTCTCTCTGAATTTATCATCATCATCGATAAGGTAATCCTCTCCATCCATTATCAGCGGGCGGCATCGGCTGGAAGCGCGCTCCTTTTCCCCCAAAGTCCACGTCTTCTTCTCCATACCTATACACCTACATATGAAAGCTCAAAACGAGTGGTAGGTACTCCTGTGAGCCATCTTACATCGGCCAAGTCATGACTGATTACCGTGAGCCATTCTCGTGAGTCCCTTTGCAAAACTCCTTGCACTTCCCGGGTAACGCTTCTTCTGCACGCCCACCTGAAAATTCACAACATCGATTTTTGCAGAAAACTCACTCACACCAAGCGACCTCGGTGATTACCTCTCTGCCGCATTGCCACAATACAGCTGCCGCCTGCCGCCTGCCTTCCACCACTAAAACCTCAAAACGCCTTGCTATGCTCAAACCAAAAGACCTCTATCAAGCCCGCCATATGCCTCACAGATTATATCAAAATATTCTCAGCATTCGACGTAACTCGGCCGATTCGGCGCTCATGTCTCGTAATTCATTTCCGCGCGCGGCGCTACTATTGGTGCTCGCGGCTTGCGCGGGCACGCCGTGCTGTGCATTAATGGGTTGCGTAGAAGAACCAATCGAAGGCCCACAGAAAGAAGCAGGATGGTTGTTGAAAGGAAGCTGAGGCATTTCCACCGGACCCGCGGTGTTCGCCGTTTGGTGGAGATAATTGCGAGCATAAGTAGTGGGACTATACGAGTCCCCGATTGCTACTCCAGAGTCGGCGTCGCTGGCTACCTCTTGACGAAGTGATGAAGATCGCGGAGGCGTCTCGGAGCGAGAGGCCTTGAATAACGGCGAGAGATTTCTATTTCCATAGTGCAAGGAGCTGTTGTCTTGCTGTTGCTCAAAGGTTGGCAGTGGAGTCATGGGCCCAACGCTATGCCGGGACTGTGATCCGGGCTGATTGAACGGCGATGGAGAGTTGAAGTGACCATTTGGGGTCGCAGAGCCAGATGATGCAGTTCGCACTTGGGAGGAGTTTGGCGTCTTCGTGGGACGAGTCGCGGCAGAGAATAACATGTTCTTCAGAAACTGAGTGTTGGCGCGTCGCTCCTCTTCGCCAAAGTCGGCAGTGTGTTGCGGAGCACCAGGAGACGACGCAGCCCTGTGTTCCAGGTACGGTCGATGATTGTTCGTAGGTACCGTCCGTGGGCTGGGCATGTCCGAGTCTCCATTGATATCATTCAGGAAAACGTTCTGTCGTTTCGGGCCAAATGCATTCCGAGGCTCAGTCGCAGGCGGCTGAGACCTCCTTGCCATTTGTGGAGACAGTGACTCACTCCCACTTCTTGCCTTCTCTTCTCGATCCGCCTTGAAGAACAGGTCCAAAGGAGAGTTCATCGTTTCTTGTGGAGGTGGAGCAGGCGCTGCGACATCTGTCTCTGGAGACGACTGCTCTGCATCTGACTTCTTTTCTGCTGCCAACCTCGCCGACAGGCTCCCTCGCATACCCGCGTTTGGAACTGATTTGGAGAACTTGGGCATAGGTAGGGCAGAGGCTGCCGGTGATGCCTGAAATGTAGGTCCAGCATATGCTTGTTCTTTGGCAGGCGTCGCTGGTATTCTGCCACCTGCATACGAGACTGGCCGGGCTCTCCGCACATTGCCTTGGCCCATGTTTTCGTGTTGCTGTTGTGCTGGCGCTGTCGCAGCACTTTGTCGTTGTTTCGTTTTCTTCGGTCGCGGAGAAGGCGCTGGGTTGATGAGCGCGCCATCGGACATTGCGCCATCCGCCTGCACAGTGGGCTGGTTGTTCTTGCGCCCGCGGTTGTTGCGCTTTGGTGCAGGTGTCGTCGACTGGTGCTGCCTTCCCTGCTCGGCGCCAGGCGCAGTTTCGCTCGCGTACCCGGCCATGATAGCGCGGGCGTGTGTCGCTCTCGAGCGGAGAGAATGAAGTATGTAAGGTAGGTAGTGGATTTGAACGGGGTCAAAAGCGAAGGCAGGAGCGTGGTCGTCGTGGGCGCAATTCAGTCGCCTAAGTGATATACCGGTCCCAGGGTACGTGAGGCTGTTGTTTTTGTTGTTGTCGTTGTCGTTGTCGTTGTTGTTGTGCTTGTTGTGTGCGTGTGGATCGTGATGGTGAGGAGGCGTACGTAGACATTTGGGTGGTTGAGAATAGGTCCAAGGAGATGTTGCAAGAGACTTCGAGGAGAGAGTCTTGCGGTGTCGGTGTCGGTGTCGGTGTGGTGTGGTGTGTGGGCAACTGGAGCGAGGCTGGAATGACGACGAATCTGCAAGGTTTCACATTGGCCCGCTTGAGTTCTCCTCTACCTACGGTTGGTTCTACGCCGATGACTCGTGATGGTCTTTGTCCACCACACACCTCCGGACAAAGCTAATCAATACCTACCTGACCTATACGGTACCTACCTACCTAACCTCATGTCTGCCCAAGAGCTTCGAGCGTCGCTGGACCGCGATGGCTTCGTCATCATCCCGGCTCTGCTGTCTACCGACGAGGAGCTTGATCGATACCGTCACGCCTGTCAGCGCACAGTCCAGCAAGCACGGTCGGGCCAGTGGCCTTTTGTTCGGACTCTTCCCAAGCAGTTTCCACCGTGGAATGCAGCAGACGCCACGCAGCAGGGCATATGGGGAGTAAGGCGAGACTGATGAAGCTGGCTTGGCTGCCGCACACATGGGCCATGTTGTATTTACATACGATTGCAGGTGCAGCATCTCTTGCATCCAGACTTGCGAGATCGAGACATCTTCGCAGAGTCCTATTTCCACGATAAGATCATAGACGTCGTTGTCAAGCTCCTCGATTGCTCGAGAGATGACTTGGTTTTGGAGCTCTATAATCTACTCTGCAGACCAGATCATGACTTCGCGTTGAGGTGGCACCGAGACAACATTGGACCGGATGCATCTGCGGAAGACGAGCTGCGGCTTTTACGCGAACCCGTGATTCATGCGCAGTGGAATCTGGCACTGTACGAGGACAGCTCGCTGGTGGTAGTTCCCGGCTCTCATAGGCGTGTCAGAACCGATATGGAGCGAGGCGCTGATCCATTCGAGGATGACATGCCTGGTCAGATGGTAGTAAAGCTGCGACCTGGCGATGTGGCATTCTACAACAATAACATACTTCATCGTGGCTTGTATGACTGCCAGACAGAACGCATGACTCTCCACGGCAGTATGGGCATCGCCAAATCAGATCCAGAACGAGCTCGAAATATTCTGCAGCATGGAATTGGCTCGTGGGCTGCCGACGCTGACTTCAATATGTTACCCTCAACTATGAATCAATTGGCAGAAGCCATGAAGCAGCGCCTGATATCTATGGGTAGTGGTGATGTAGGATATACCCACCAGGATTGATGGCAGCACAATCGAGATAGTCGATGCCAAGCAGTGCTGCCTTGCTGTACATACAGTAGACAAGCTGCTCGCTGATAGCCTCCACCCCGTAAACATGCTTGTGTCTTAGAATCTGCGCCTCACCGCACAGTACTCCAAAAGTCTTCTTGCAACGATCGCTTCATTGCTTGAACTTGAATTGAGCGCTTTGATTGTCCACTCTCTGACGCTCGGCAGCTTGCACTTCCAGCAGAGAGTCCTGTGACTGGCGCTGAACCTAAGGTGCTGACCGATGGGCTCCTTGGAACTCACGCTGGCCTTTCGTCCCATCTCGATTTTTTTCTCGGAGGATCAGCTTGTGGTTCTTGATACTGGGCTCCAGGGGCAGCTTCGATCTTGACCTGCGAAAATGTGGTGCCCTCTGGGCGATGCCGGCCCTGTTGACGCACGATGAGCGGTTTCACCATATCGAGTGCCCGTTTAATTCGAGCATCAACTACTTTGGTGTCAAAGCCGTTGTTGTGGATCCTACTGGAGTCTTGCGCACCACGAACGACCTTGTAAACATGGTTGCAGAGGTCGGACCATATTCCCATCTGAATGAGGTCAGTCTCCGAACACGTATCTGGGTGGGATGCAAAGTGCCTCCTCGTCATTCACTTACTGGTTGTGCTCCGATGTCAGAAGTTTGCTTTAGACTAAGCTTGCTGGCCTGGTTTATAGCACCCTTAGTCATGCTGAGAACACCATCCTGAGGATTAATCACACTCATCGGATGCAATTCTGGCACTGCCATACCGATAGGCCTCATCTGTCCATGGAACCCAGGCTCAGCCATGTTCGGGGAAATGGTCGGGAGCGGGAGACCGCTGAGCTGTGAACGGGCAGGACCATTCATGGGAAGGGATGAAGCGTAAGTCAAGGACCTATCCCTGGGGCCATTCGGTGCTTGGCCAGGAGCGCGATATCCCCGGATCGAGCGGGGTCCGCTTGGTGGTTGGGAAGAGGTATCGAAGCCCATAAGATGGCCAACTGGGTGTGAAGCAACGGGAGATCCGTGAGCCATGGTTCTCGGGGCCTCGAGCTGTCGTGGTTCATATTCCATCATCTCCTGCTCACCGGCGATAGATGAGCTTCGACTCTGATCAAAATTGACAGGAGGCTTTTGAGCAGACAACAAGCCCGCAGGTGGTGCACCCGAGCACACCGGACCACCCAGCGGCATGGTGTTTCTGCCTGTTTGACGCTCGAAGCGCTTGTCAGGACTGGCTGGCGGTGGCGGCTCCACCGCAGTGACCGCAATCATCGCCTGCGGCTCCGCGCAGATGCCCTCCGTGAATGTCGCAGCCGGTCCCTGCGAGAGAGGACCGGCCACCACATTCGACGGCTGATCAGCCTTGCAGCCTTCGTCTGGCACGAATTGATCTACTGTCAATCTTTTCTCGCGACCCTCGACCGCCGAGATCTTCTGGTCATCAAGCTCATTGAGCGAACCGTTCATCCGAAGACGCTTCACGAGCTGGTCGGGGGTTTCTGCGGTAGATGGTGAGCAAGGACGCTTGCTGCCGGCTGTGAGGATATGCAGTTAGCGCGTGGTGGCGATGAGGACCGTCAAAACGTCAACACTTACCGCTCTCCATGACGGGCGATGTTCTTTTGGCGATGTTCGTGGTTCGTGGTCTGTGAAGTGAAATTTCAATGTTGTTACGAGAGGACGAGTGGAGTCATAGTTGAGGGTTGCAGTGAATTGACGCCAACAACAACGCCGTTGCGCCTTCCCCATTTGCAACATCGTCAAAATGGAAAGAGCGCGCCCCTTATTCACATGATGCCACACGTGTTCCACCCCCAGCCCGAGCTCACCCATCCATTTTACACGTGCATGTACCTTACCTTACCTTAGGTATATGCACGTGTAGGTACTCATTTCCACGATCTCTGCAGTCTCTTACATGTAGTCCCTAGAACACGCGACTCACGTCGTGCACATAATTCACGTCCATGCCACGTGACTACGACTTCTTCGGATAGCAGACCGGCTGGGCTCAATGTGACGGACTGCCAAACATCGCGTGTCCAAGTCCATGTAATGCTTGTTCGGCGCGGTGCTTGCTTGCTTGCTTCACTCGCTCGGTCCCGCGGTATTGTCTCACTGCATATTAGCTGCTACTTGTCCGTGAGCCCCTATTTCAGCATCATGAGGACTCAGCAGTGACGAAGTTGGATCAACCAAGTGAAGCAGACCTCGGACGGAGCTCAATACCAGATAATGGCTTTTGCGGTACTCGTATTTTCCTCTTCTTCGTTCTATCAGTCTAAAGACATCTCCTCTCCGCAATGCGTATTCACCATCGAAATCACAGTCATCTCTTGCTCCCTACAGCTTCCGCAGCTTGTGCGAGATCGTTATTTTCGCGCGTCTCTCCACTGACCAAATGCTGACGGCCTCGCCTTCAGATGCGTCCTCAAATTCGCTGTGCATTCTGGAAGTAAGACTATGCACTTCCAACATCCAAGGTGTGTCGTAGAAGGAGAAGTGAGAAGTATCAGAGTTGGAGGTAAGGTGCAACGATGCACAGCTAGTCTCACTGCCTCAGGCATCAAACCATCGCGGTCGATTGAACTCACCGACACCAACCTTCAACAGCGGCTTCCGTAGACCTCGCGTGACAGGTTCGCACTGACTACCTATAGGTATATCCACCTACCTATGATGATATTGCAATAACCCAACGGAGCATTGAGAGTGACAATGGATGATTTGCTGGGCGAGGACTGGCAAAAGCCGGCAAAGCCAGCAGCACCACCCAGCAACACTTCCCAGAACCCAAGCACATTCGCGTCGAGCTATAGCAGTTTGCGCGCAAGTCCTGCCCTGCCACCCTCGAGAATCGCATCACCGGCTATCAGTAGGCCGACGAGCACCGTGAATGGAAGTGGTCATGCAAAGTCAACTGGCGGCGATGCCTTTGGCAATCTCTTGGGATCCAAAAAGCCAGCCAGTAGCAGTATCTCTATACAGGAAAGGCAGAAGCAGCTGATGGAGGAGAAGCGGCGCCAGCAGGAGCAACAGGGACAGCAATGGGATACGCTGGGAAGTGGCAGAGGAACACCAGAGATACGTGGTTCCCATTCACCTATACCACAGCAATCACAGGATGCGGAGGACGATATCATGGCTGCCTTCAATAGAGACGCACCTGTGGATAGATCAAGCCACTTTCCCCCGCCCATCTCAAGTCCTACTAGCGGTCAAACCACACCTGCATTCCAGCCAATAGCAGCGCAGATACCTACAAGCAATGCCGACTTTGACGAGGACGATGACCCTTTTGGGCTAGGATCTGTGCCTAAGCAGAGTAACGGCCATTCTACAGCTCCCATCGGACAGTCAAATGGTGATGATGATATACTTGGCGACCTAGGAAAGCCTGTGACGGCTCGTCCTGTTCAGACGAATCGTCCAGCGGAGCGCGTGGAAGTATCAGAGGCATTCGCCATTGACGAGCCGGAGGATCGAGCGCTGGCGGAGCTCATAGACATGGGCTTTCCTACGGATAACGCTAAATTGGCATTGTCAGAGAATGGCGGCAACGTGCAAGCTGCAGTCGGATGGCTTTTGCAGCAGGCACACGAGGAATCCAAGCAAAAGGCGAGAGCTGAAGCTGGTGATCGACGTCAGAGTCCACCTGCTGCAAGCAGGAATTTGCAAGGAACTCATCGGGACCAAGATCAGGTACCGGCATGGATGCGCGAAGCGTCACGGCCGGGCTCAGCTAGTGCTCGGCGGCAAGATAGCAGATCCCCAGCAAACAGCGAGAAAGACCCAGCAGCTGTGGCGCAGGAATATGGCACCAAGTTCCTGAAGGGCGCGACATCGCTCTGGAAAGCCAGTCAGAAACAAATGGCAAAAACTGTTGCTGAGTTCCAGCAAGACCGTGACCCCAGCCAACCGAAGTGGATGCAGGAACCGGCGACAGCTCCCAGCAGGTCGAGCAGTCAGCAACGTCAGGATCTGGCTCGTGCCAAGCAACGCGAGATACAGGCCACTGACGAGGCAGCAATGCTCGACGCACCACGCGAGCGGCCTCAAAAGACCGCAAGGCATGCTGCGCCAGAGCGTCTTTCTCCGCCGATCTCCAGCTTTCGCGATCCTGAAGAAACGCTGGCGCATAGACCTGCAGCACAACCAAAGCGAACACATCAGCCAGCGCCAGCACAGGCCCAACGAGCTCCCGCAAAGATAACCAGGGAAGAAATTGAAGTCCAAGCAGCCCAGGCGTACGTCAGCTCCGCACGCCGAAGAAAACCGACTCCACAGCCTCAGCACCCACCTGAACCAGAAGTCGATCTTTTCAATTCCGCGCTACCTCCACCCGCTCAGTCTGCACCAGTTGCCACGAAATCTTCCACACGAGCCACCCCATCACCGGCTCCTGCGCGACCGAAGGCACCACCTCGGAATGTGCCGAGCATCTCCCCATCTGCCCTAGCAACATCTGCTCAGCACCGGAAAGCAGGCGGAGAAGCATTCAAGCGTGGTGACTATGCTTCTGCGCATGACTCTTATGCTGCAGCTCTCCGGCCACTTCCCGCATTACATCCTCTCACAATTGTAGTGCTCAGTAACAGGTCTCTGACTGCTCTCAAGACCGGTGACCCAAAGTTAGCTATATCCGATGCAGATCAGGCTCTTACGGTCATCGGTGCTGGTCAGGGTATCGGTGAAACCATAGATATGGGTGCCGGTGAAGGCACGAAAGATATGCGTGAATTCTACGGGAAAGCTGTCATGCGCAAGGCCGAGGCCCTTGAACATCTTGAGAAGTGGAATGAGGCCGCTGCTGTGTGGCGCATTGCGATCGAAGGTGGTATCGGAGGCGCAGTGAGCATATTCTGCGAACAGCGACAAGTCTTCTGTCCTTTTTTTCCTTCATCGCCCGCTATATATAGACCCCCTATATTATCCCCCTTTTTTTTCTTTCCTTTGCCCCCTGAGTACCTTGGGGAAGTCAGCTACGTAGGCACCCTACCTCCTACTTCAGGTAAGAGACTTAAGACTAGCGCCTAACAACCTCAGAACCTAAGGTACCTACCTACCTACCTATCTACCTAAGGTATATAAAGCAGACAAGGTAAAGTTCTTTACGCTCCCCTAACCATTAGATCAATCATTATCATTGTCAGATACCTAGGTACGAAGCTGCCCGTCTATATATTTTATTATAGACTAGCGAGTTTACTTAGGCTATAGGCTATAGGCTATAGGTAGGTTGGGGCTGGGGTTTTTGCAAATGAGTTTTCAAGAAAGGTCAAGGGTCAAGTTACAGTCAAGTATCTATCTACTCGTTTGAGGTATTTCTCTCGAGATTAGTTATATGTTTCCAAGGTAGGTAACTTCATGATTTCTGAAATATACTTGACTCTTCGAGATTTGAAGAAGGAAAAACGTACAGGACGTAATGTGTGCAAAGCATAAACGGCTCGGTCGAGTCGGATTGTATATGAAGCTACCTATAGATTGTTGTCCTGTTTGAACTTATCCCAGGCTTCATTCAAGGTGCTGAATACAGCCGCACTGATCATTCGTTGCTCAGTCGTGGCGTCTTGTGCAATCTGCATCAGGTTAGCGAGTGTTCGGGTCATGATTTCAGCGTGGGCAACTCACCTTGTCAGGATGCACCTTGGCGATGGCCTTCATATATATAATCTTGACCTTGTTTGGTAGCACAAGATCGCTCATGCCGACTTTCTTCCAACCTGCACTTTCCCATAGCACATTGTCGAGACTTTGTAGCAGTGCTCGCAGATTGTCTGCCTTGCCGCCTTTCCATGCAGTAAGTCTTGCTTCCACTTGGTCTGTCAACGCGAATTTCTCGTCATCAGCTTTGTCTGCTGCTGCGTTCTGAGCACGTAGTTTGTTGACTGCTTCGGTCTCCTTGGGCCCTGGTATCGTTGGACGACTGGAACCATTGGATGAAGACTTTGAAGAACCGGCACGAACAGATGTCGCTGCAGGCTTGCGGGGCGCTGCAGCTGTATTTGCAGGTTTGGGCGCTGCAGTCTTCTCGCAGCGATCACGACCACGCAATTCTTTTCCTTGGTTGCTTGAATTCCTGCTCGTGTTGATTCGAAAAGGAGAAGAAGAAAGAAAAAAAGAGGCAAGAGAAAGTTCGATTTTCAAATTTTTCCTTATCCATTTGGTATGCCGTAACTGGATGATACCTAGGTAGGTAAGGTATGCATGAGTGTCATTTCGCTGAGGTCTCTCCTCAGAGAATCGAAAAATAGTAAATTACGCGACTTCGGCATTTATTGCCCTGCCCTGCCCTTCACTGAGGAAATCGGCTGTGATTTTTTTTTCTTTATCAGTCGTCCCTCTTCTCTCGATCAATAATCGGAATCGGCAAAGGTCCTCCTTGAGCCTTCTCCACCTTGTTCAGCAAACTTCCCTTGGAATACTGACTCTCACCACTAAAGTCCACCAGAGGCTTCCCGCCTGCACGACTCCCGTCAATCACGCCCCGACCTTTGTCTCCCGTACCCCAGCCTTGTCGACCACTGGCAAGGAGACCTTCTCCTGTGAAACCCTCACGAGAAGGTTGAGAACCATGTGATGCGTTTCGAGCATCAGACATGGTGGTGATGGCAGGGCCTTTCCTGACAGCATGATGGACGGGTTCTTTGTGCTGAGGTGTGATGTCGACAAGTCCCTGACTGTGACCAGGCATCGTTCCAGTGTGATGGTGTTGTCCACTGGCGTTGTTACGAAAGATGGTATTCTGCGGTATGTTCAAGGGATCTTCGGGCGTCGTAGCAGCCTCGATCAAACCTCCGGCGCCAAGCCGATCGGGTTTATGTCCTCGACCCTTGCTCTTGAATTGAGGTGGTTCCTTGTATTCAGGCGTAAGATCTATCAATGGCTTGCTCATAGGACCAGTAGGCTTTCGGCTCCGCGATGCAGATCGATCGAGCTGTCCTGGCCCGCCGCCACTGCGATTAGGGTCACGAGTGGAGCTTGAGCGGTGCATGTCGCCTCCACTGCTGTTGTGTTTGCGCGTAGAGGACGCTCGTTGCAGACGTTCACTGGAGTTGCCCAGATGGTCTTCTCTCCCTTGCCGCTCGGCATCTCGCTCGCTCTCCTTTCGTCGCTGCGAGTAGCTCCTGCCAAGTAGACCACTATCCTTGAACTCACTGGTATTAGGACGGTTCTGATCGGTGGATCTTCGCTTGCTGACCGACGTGCTTCGGCCTAGATTTGCGAGTGGTTCATCCTCGTCAAGCACAACTCTATTGGCCATGGTGCCTGGTGGATGCGATAGTTTGACAGTGTTGCTACGTTTTGCAAGTGGTGCGTTGGTATTGGACTGATCTGCAGACTTCGCAAAACCGCCCGAGCCGACTTTATCGCTATTGGATTCCGATGGGGGCCGCTGCTCGAACGTGGCGAAATCTACCAAGGGCTTGAATGAGCCGAGCTGGTAGTGCGAATCCATAGACTCGTGGACACGATGGTGTTGGGTGGATTCAGTGCTCGTTTGCCGATCTGTCTTCTTCACTCCAGAGTTCTGCGATGGCACAGCGGGAAGCACAGGTGCAGCTTTTGGCTTCTCCTTTCTGCCTTCGCCCCGAACATTCACCAGATACCAGCTACGATAGCTCTGGACTGCTTTGTAGAAGCTGTCGCTCGTGACAGGATCTGCTGTGCAGAAGAAGTGCACATAATCTTCTGTGGACTCGAACATGGTCGTCTTCTGCTGACTCTTGATCGCAAAACAATACTTCTTGGGAGGCTTGATCTTGCCCTTCTTCCTCTCGGTCGTCGGCGTGTAAATGTCAAAATCGCTGAGATGACATACATTGCTTACATCTTTTGGCTTATCCAGATCTTTTTGCTGCACAATCTGCCCATCCGGCTTCAAAGTGACATAACGATTCTCCCACTTACCAGGTCTGTACGAGCTTGTCATAAGCCAAGTGTCGCCTTCCGGTCGATCCATTGGTGCGCCCGTGATCGTGAGTTCAGGTTCAATGGTGCCAGCTCCAGGTTCCACGAGAATCAGCATGTTCTGCGCGTCGTCATCCCAGCTGTTCAGGACATCTCGTATCTGCTCATATCGGCGCAAGGGTCGTTGCACTCCGACACTTCTGAAGATCTCCACCAGCAATGCAGACCTGATATCGATTCGCTCTGACATGACAGTAGCCGCTGTCTTGATGATATCGGTGGAAGTTGTCTCTGGCGTCACGGAGAACCACCTTTGTTCCTTACGACATTCCACCAGAACTTTCCGATCGCCTGCGTTGACTGCCGATTTTGGCGCGTCGATACCAGGAACCACGCCACCGCCTCCCGGGCGAATAGGCTCGTTGTGTTTAGCAGCCGCTGGCCGAGTGATCGCGCTCTTGCTCACAGTCCCTGACGTCGCGTCTCCTCTTCTGCGCTTGAACAAGCCACCGAAACAACCCGTGTTCTCGTTCACAGGATACTGAGGCAGCTCGCTTAAACTCTGCGTCGCGCGGATATTCCCAGACTGGGGAGGCCCATCATGCCGAATAGGTTCAGCAACCTCCATTGGACGCGGGAACAATTCTCCCGTCACAGCAGGGCCCTCAGGATGGCGGTAAAGTGGCAAAGTTGTCGTTTGTGGTTGCTCATTAGATCTGGTTCTGCTAGGTCTGTCTCTGGAATGCTGTCGACTGTCTACTTCTGAGTCCCGCTCATCGTCGCTGCTTATGTGTCTGCTGGGGTCGTGGGCGCCCAGTCCTGCTGGAGGCGTCGCTACGTATGATACGTTGGTGGTGTAGTTTTCGCTGGAGGTGGTTCTCGTAGCCTGCAGCCGTGGGGCCTGCACGACTTGCTCTTGGTATAGTGGTTTCAATGGCGAGCTGCGGTGTTTACTGTGGTACCTCGCTGGCGTTTCCTGCGAGGCTGGCCGCGTCTCTGGTGGACTCACCGCCGTGCCACCTTGCTTGCGGTGGTACCGCGACTGGCTCCTGGCCAGACCGCCGTCTCCTGCCACTCCATGCTGCTGCTGCTGTTGCTGCTGCTCTGCTTCAACGGACGCATGCTTCTGTCGTTGCGATCGGTAGCGTGACGGCGGCGGACTGGTAAAGGAACGCACTTCGGCCATGGTGCATTATGCGGTGCGCAAAGAGCCGTCTGTGCGATCAACAGGCGACCGGGATGGCGAGAGCAGTTCCAAGTGAAGTAGCCTGCTTGGTCTGCGCAGACCTTGGGAGCGAGGTTTGCTCGAGGAGTTCTACCTCCTGATTAGCGTCCTCTCTGCATGCGGCCGGCAAATATGGTTGGGCCGAGGACGCGTGCTCAGCGCGAAACGGAGGGTGTGGTGTTGGCGGGCGGAAGATGTTGAAACATGGGAACGTGCAAATTACACAAGTGCGCGTTTAATGATACATGGTGTTTTGGTGCGTGTCACATGGTGGCTTCCGGGTTCCCTCCTGGGAGGAAGGATGATTAGAGTTAGCCGATTGAAAAGTGGAGACTCCGCAGCATCCTTGCTTCAGAGTTGAATGGAGGGGCACAGTACACGCCAGGGCTAAGGGCAGACCCCAAAATGTCTAGTCGCAGACCCCATTTCTGAGTCATTAAGTTATTACCGCACCCTTAGCCTCGGGCCTTACGATATATACTCGCCCTTTGAGTCTCTACCTACCTAGGTACCTAACCTATAGGCTTCACTCTATATTACACCCCGAAGGATACCCCTCTCGATTCTTAGCCCCCCTTAGGGGGTTGGGGGGGCAATCTAGTCGGTACCCCCGAGGTATTTGCTTTTTGCTACGAACAAAAAGCAAGAAAGCGAAAAAGCGGAGGCCTTCGAGCGAGGGAGACGGCGAGCCCGAGGGAGGCGCGTTGTTTTTCGGGGGGTAGGGTTACAGCGGAAGGGTACGGTAATAACTTGATGACTCAGAAATAGGGTCTGCGACTAGACATTTTGGGGTCTGCCCTTAGCCCTGGCGCACAGTACAATGTACAACCGTACAGAGAGGAGGTACAACCGTACAGTGCTGCTTACCGAAGTGGCCCAGGTCTGTGCAGGCGCTAGGAACGGTCCGGTATCAGCTAGCCGGGATCGGTGCTCAGAACCTTTGAAACCCAAATCTGCAGCGAGATATCGACGTCTCTCGGCCCTTTCCTGATTTATACGCGTCTATACCTGTTTAGTCCGCTCGGACCGCTCCTAGCGCCTGCACAGACCTGGGCCACTTCGGTAAGCAGCACTGTACAGCGTCATTACAAATTTATAATAGTGTCTTACCATACTCAGTGGTAAGCAGTTTCCCAATGCGTTTTGCACACTACTATTAATAAACGAATGAGAAACGTTGCTGCAGGCTACACATTCTTACATACGGTACCTACTTACGTTACAACGGATTCTGCGGAACCAAGGGTGTGAAAGTAAGCAGGAGTAGGACGGCGACGGGAAATGTGTGATTTTATCAGGCTCATGTAACACTACACAGGGCCAACGAAACACATATACACTCAGGGTCCTTGGAGGTTCGTATGCGGCTCAAATTCATGCTTGTTGTTGCCAGCGGTCCGGTCCGTGATGCATGCGATGAACCGGGGATGATGTAGTTCCACCTCAATGCTACATACCGTATCTCCTAAGCTATGTACATATATTTACCTGACCTTTTACCTCCTAGCTGTACAATGGTGTCGTGGAGTGGCGTGCGATACTCATCATCGAAGCCTCTAGACTGTCCCGTCTCACCTGCGCTCCGCGCTATGCAAAAATACATAATACACTGTACAGGAGTCATAGAAGTGATGGAACGAGCGAGCAACTTGCCCGCTTACTCCCTCTGCTCCCTCCTGTACATCCAACTCATATAATCCTCAACAGAAGATATGCTCTCCCGAACACTCGGCAGCGGATCATCGACCCTCACAATATCCTTGTCTTTCCCACTCTCTCGATCCGCCAGGTCTATCTTCTCTCTGAGCATGTCACCCTCTTTACTCAACCTCTCGAGAAACTGCAGATATCCATCCTGCTTTGCCACCTTTGGAGTAAGATTGCCCTCGCCATCAAGTCCCTCGCCCACCTCTCCCTCGTCTTCTTCAAACCAGAGTGCTTCCCTTCTGCGAGCTTTCATATCACTATACAAACTCCATATGTGGCTGGTGACGTCGTAGTCTTTGATCAGGTAATTGAGCTCCCATTGGTCGTCAGCCTTCAGATTCTTGGGTCGATCTTCCCCCGGGATGGCTCCGTTGACTTGGGACTGTACGATTACGGTGGCATAGAAGAGAGGCCTGAGCTCGCTTGTCTGAAGAGTTTTGACTTGTTCGAGAAACGGCTGGTCCGCTGGGGCGTCTGATGAAGAAAGACGTTGGCGAGCATAAGCGCCGGCATCGTCTTGGTCATTGCCAGTAGCTGCACTTTCATCAGAAGCAGCCTTCTCGCCTTCGCCTTCCGCTTTCTCCTTCGCATTCGTTGCTGAAGATGTCTCCTTGCCCATGACTGTACGTTCGTATTCGGCAGTCCTCTCCTTGTTCTTGTTCTGTATGCCATCAATCTCTTCTTCCGTCATCGGCTCTGCAAACATGTGCAGATGTGTGGGCGAATCATCATCACCGCGCGACTCTTGGGTCTCGAAATGTATTCGCAAAGACTGCTCGGGATACTGGGCTGTGGCCTTATTCAGCAAGTCGTTCATAATTCTCAAAGATGCCTTGAATTCTTGGTCGCCGAGACTGGGATCGGTCTGGCCGTGCAGCAGTTTGTCCATTTCCGAGATGGGGATATACTGAAACCCAAAGATGCGCTTGACGTTGTGGTATGCCACGAATATGCCATTCATGCGGCCCATTCGAGCTTGAAGCATGTACTTGAGCATTGTAGCTCGGGCCATGTCGTGGTATTCCTTTTCGTACGAGCACCACCTTCCATGATCACCATAGATCTCATATCCAGTCATCTTCTCATGATCTCTGGCCGACATTCGAATGCTCACCACGGCACGAGTCTTGAGATCGAAGGTGCCATTCCCGGGCAAGCGAGGATCATAAGCGTCAAGCTGGGATCGCATCAAGAAGTCACCCATCGTAGAGTATTGATAGCTTTCCGGAGCTGTGCGCTGCACTTCAGACACCTCTCGCGGGTCACTTTTGCGGTATTTCTCATATTCGTCTTTTGGCAAGGTCAAAAGCAACTCCATGGATTTTCCGAGTAGCATCAACACGTTAGGAGAATCGTATTCTTTGTCAGCATCGATAGCATAGGAACCATTTTTCCACCTCAAGAAAATGGCGCTAGGAGCTTTGGTGATTTTGGTGTACTGCGATCTGGTGTTTGGGCCGAAGTACCCATGTGACAACATGTTCAGGTTGAGCGGTCGCCAGTTGGAAATAAGATAGTGGAAATGTGCGAGAGAGCTTGTCATACTCGATGTGGACCCAACATAGCGAGTTCCCTCCTGCTTTGCAACCTCAGCAAGTGCAGTATCTTGAGAGGAGGTCTTATATTCCTTGAGTGAGTTGAAGTCGAATTGTTCCACAGGCATAATCTTCTGCAGGTAGGGATCAAAATTGTAGACCCGGGATGCTGCGTCCTGAAGCTGATAGATGCCAGGATTGAAAAGCACTCTATCCAAGCCATATTCTAGAAACGGAACAGGAGGCTGTGGAAGCTCAAGTTGCTTCACCTCCAAGTCGGTCAGCTGGACCGATTGCAGGTCTACTCGAGCCTGTTCCTCCACTTCGACTCCGACTTCACCCACCTCCGACACGGATTCTGGTTCCACGACCGGGTTTACTTCTTCCACGACCGGGTTTACTTCTTCCGCAGCTTGTTGCACTGCCGCTGGGGCTTCGACGTGGGCCTTCCTTTGAGGTACTTTTCTGAATACGGGCCTTGCGCGAGTAGCTTCTGACTTCGCGCCACCATTCATAGCATCCCTGAGCGACAACCCAGAGACTTGGTCAGCAAAACTATGTGCAGTCGTTCCGGCGAGCTCGCTCCGGTTATCGTGTTCCTCTGAACTGCTGAGATGAGGCGTCGGAGATTTACTCAACTCGCGAGTGGCATTGCGATCTCGCCTTGAGAGTCTTCTCCTTTTTGCCCGGCTCGGCGCCGTGTCCTGCGTTGCTGCGAGTGGCTGCAATTTTAGCTTTTCGGCTTCCAGTTGTTCCAATCTCAGCTGTGCGGGTTCAAGCTTCAATTTTTGAATCGGCCCAGATTCATGTGAATCAGTCCCTTGAGCCAGAGTACCGTTTTGGGGGGGTTCTGCCTTAGGGTCTGCCTGTGAATGCTCTGTAACTTCGCCCTCGGCGCGCGACGTTGTATTACGGGACTCTTCACTGAGCGGAGACCCCTTTGTGTACAGTTTCGTCAGACTCGATAAAGCTGCCTCATGGGCTTCTGGCGGCGGTGCTATGCCGGGCTCGGACGACTGAAAATTCGAGGGGCTTGCTGCGTCCGCAGACAGTGGATGGACGAGTTCAACGTTGTCTGAAACGTTATCCTCAGTCGTGCCAGCCGCTGATGCAACAGAAGTAGGTTTTGCTGTATAACTGTCATCAGGCTCTTTTTCCGTGAGAGGACTCGATCGGAGACCCTCCATAGGACCTTCGGGGGGCCCTCGCCACAGCTTCTTCAGGCTGTCCATGATTCCAAATGGTCTCTTGCTGACGGATGTCTCGATATGTTCCTTTGGCGTTGTTCGATCGGCTTTGGCGAGGGTGTCGAAGGTTGCCTTTGGCGGAGGACTGGAGGCTCGTTCCCGAGCAGCGCCTCCCCACGGCTTGCGCGACTGTGTCTCCTTGAGGCGATCCATCGAACCTATTGGCTGATCAAGAAGTACACGATTTTCGACCTGACCACCCAGCCCACTCTCGACTGGTGATGTCTTTGCCTTCCAAACTTTCGGTTTGCTTGTGCCTTCACCAGCTGCATCTGCAGTAGTTTTTCCAGGGGGCACTTCTAGCAAATCGACAGGCCGTGGCGGTGGCCCTCGAAAAGTAGGGAATGGCCTGAGGCCCGTGTCTTTGGGCGGCGCAGTGCTTTTCTCATGCTTCATGCGCCTTGCGTCCGCCTCAACCTTCAATTCGCTCAGCAGCTCGGAGACGAGAACATCGCTGCTAGGCTCGTCAGCCACTGGCTGTTTTCGTCGATCCCCATATTCTGCTTGTCCCGATCCCTCCTTGTAACTGGCAGATGGTGCAACACCAACTTCCGCAGACGTCGCCAAGGAGGTTGCTGGCAACTGGAGATCGCGTGCCCGTGATCTGTCTGAACGAGAGCTCGACCGTTTCCGGGCCTCTGGTCTATGTCGCCCGCCTTTCTGCTTGTGCTCCGAATATTCATCGCTGATTTCGTTCATGGTGTCGAACCACGAGTCGGCGGCGGCGGTGGGTGCGGAAGGCGACGATGTTGTCTGCTGCTGCTGGCTGTTCCACCGTCGCTGATGCGCATTCTGCCATTGCTGGCGACACGCGCGAGACACGTAGGCTTGCTTGCTCCATGTCTGCCGACTGTGGACCAGCATTGAAGACTTCTGCAGCGACCTGGTCTGGCCTGGCGTATATGAGCACGACGCGAGCGACAGGTAAAACCGAAAAATAAAAGGCAAGGTCAAGAATGTATTCGAGTGGAGCCCGTCCCTGGCAAACCATCATCGATGCCGCTGCCGTCAACCGTTGCCGCCAATACGGAGGCCCAAAGTGGCCAGCCGCTATACTTCACCCCCGGCTTTCTTTAGCTTTAACTTCCTACTACTTCTACCTTTCTACCTACTATACACTACTATATATACTCGCTATACGCTCGCCGCCTACCTACCTACCTATCTACCTACCTATTCCTATAGGCTACCTTATCTAAAATTAAGAAAAGAAGGATAAAAAGTAGAGAAGGAGAAGGAGGCCTAGAGAAAGGAGGCCTAGGAAGAAGAAGCCTAGGAAGAAGAGGAGTAGGAAGAAGAGGCCTAGAAAGAAGAGGAGTAGAAAGAAGAGGAGGTCTTAAAAGAAGAGGAAGCCTAGAGAAAAGAGGAGACCTAGGAAGAAGAGGAGGCCTAAAAAGAAGAGGAGGCCTAGAGAGAAGAGAAGGCCTAGAAAGAGAAGGCCTAGAAAGAAGAGATCTAGAGAGAAGAGGCTTAGAGAGAAGAAGAGGCCTAGGGAGAAGAGGAGGCCTAGAAAGAAGAGGCCTAGAAAGAAGAGGCTTAAAGAGAAAAGAAGGCCTAAAGAGAAAAGAAGGCCTAAGGAGAAGAGAAGGCCTAGAGAGAAGAGTAGGCCTAAAGAGAAGAAGTAGCCTAGAGAGAAGAGAAGGCCTAGAAAGAGAAGGCCTAAAAAGAAGAGAAAGCCTAGAAAGAAGAGAAAGCCTAGAGATAAGAGAAGGCCTAGAAAGAGGAGGCCTAGGAAGAAGAGGCCTAGGAAAAGGAGACCTAAGAAGAAGAGGAAGCCTAAGGAGAAGAGGAGGCCTAGGAAAAGGAGGCCTAGGAAGAAGAGGAGTAGGAAGAAGAGAAAGTTTAAAGAGTAGAGGAAGCCTAGAAAGAAGAAGCGGCCTAAAAAGAAGAAAAGGCCTAAAGAGAGGAGGCCTAAGGAGAAAGGAGGCCTAAGGAGAAGAAAAGGCCTAGAGAGAAGAAAAGGCCTAGAAAGAGAAGGCCTAGGAAGAAGAAGAGGCCTAGAAAGAAAAGGAAGCCTAGAAAGAAGAGGAAGCCTAGAAAGAGAAGGAAGCCTAAGGAGAAGAGGAGGCCTAGAAAGAAGAGGCCTAGGAAGAAGAGGCCTAGGAAGAAGAGGCCTAGGAAGAAGAAGGGGCCTAAAGAGAAGAGGAGGCCTAGGAAGAAGAGGTCTAGGAAAAGGAGGCTTAGGAAGAGGAGGCCTAGGGAGAAGAGGCCTAGGAAGAAGAAGCCTAGAAAGAAGAGGCCTAGGGAGAAGAGGAAGCCTAGGAAGAAGAGGCCTAGGAAGAAGAAATAGAGAGAAGAGACGAAAAAGACAAGAGAGATAAAAGACGAGAGACGAGAGATAGAAGAGACTTAGGGTTAGGCTTAAGGTTATAAAAGATAAGATAAAAGGAATAACGAGACTTTCTAACAAGACTTTATAATATAATTTTATAACAAGACTTCGTAATAAGAGGAACTAGAAGAAGAAAAATAATAAGAGGAATAAGAAGAGAAACGAGAAGAGGAATAAGAAGATATTCTACGAGCCTACCTAGTAGTAGTACGGAATTAGCTAATTTTCTATATATATTATATATATATCTATATTCTATCTCTCTCTATCTCTTCTTCCTAGGCCTCTTCTCCCTAGGCCTCCTCTTTTCTCTAAGCTTCTTCTCTCTAGGCTTCCTCTTCTTCGTAGGCCTCCTCTTCTTTCTAGGCCTCCTCTTTCTAGGCCTTCTCTTTCTAGGCCTCCTCTTCCTAGGCCTTCTCTTTCTAGGCCTCCTCTTCTTAGGCCTTTTCTTCCTAGGCCTCCTCTTCTCTCTAGGCTTCCTCTTCTTCCTAGGCCTCCTTTTCCTAGGCCTCTTCTTTCTAGGCTTCCTCTTCTTCCTAGGCCTCTTTTTTCTAGGCCTTCTCTTCTCTCTAGGCCTCTTTTTCCTAGATCTCCTCTTCTTAGGCCTTCTCTTCTCTCTAGGCTTCCTTTTCTTCCTAGGCCTCCTTTTCCTAGGCCTCTTCTTTCTAGGCCTTCTCTTCTTCCTAGGCCTTCTCTTTCTAGGCCTTTTCTTCTTCCTAGGCCTCTTCTTCCTAGGCCTCTTCTCTCTAGGCCTCCTTTTCCTAGGCCTCCTCTTTCTAGGCCTTCTCTTTCTAGGCTTCCTTTTCTCTCTAGGCCTCCTCTTCCTAGGCTTTCTCTTTCTTCCTAGGCCTCCTCTTCTTCTTAGGCCTCTTCTTCCTAGGCCTCTTCTCTCTAGGCCTCCTCTTCTCCCTAGGCCTTCTCTTCTTAGGCCTCCTCTTTCTAGGCCTTCTCTTTCTAGGCTTTCTCTTCTCTCTAGGCCTTCTCTTTTCTTTAGACCTCTTCTTTCTAGGCCTTTTCTTCCTAGGCTTCTTCTTCCTAGGCTTCTTCTTCCTAGGCCTCCTCTTCTCTCTAGGCCTTTTCTTCTTAGGCTTCCTTTTCTTCCTAGGCCTCTTCTTCTTTCTAGGCCTCCTCTTCTCTTTAGGCCTCTTCTCTCTAGGCTTCCTCTTCTTTCTAGGCCTTTTCTTCTCCTTAGGCCTCCTTTTCTCTTTAGGCCTTCTCTTCTTCCTAGGCTTTCTCTTCTTTTTATCTTTCTCTTCTAAACTATAGGTAAAGTAGCGATAGATACGGTAATAACGACGAGGTAAGTAGCGAGCGTATAGCGAGTATATATAGTAGTATATAGTAGGTAGAAAGGTAGAAGTAGTAGGAAGTTAAAGCTAGAAAGCCGGGGGTGAAGTGTGGCGGCTGGCCACTTTGGGCTTCCGTCCGCCAACCGCTGCCGCGGGATCCTTGAACGCGCTAGAAGAGACACGTCTGGGCGCGTCTCCCGATCTTCCTTTCCTGCTCACTTCGTTGGCGACATCTTTCACTCTCTCGGTCTCCCCCACAGAAGACGACAACGCCAACTGCATCTGGAACCAGGCATCATGTCGGACATTGAAGATGATATGGACATTGACGCGCCATCCCGAGCCAGCAACACCGACGACATCGTCTTCTCCTCCAACACCAACAGCAAAGGGAAACGCAGTGCCGCCAATCTGCCCGTCGAAGCCGAAGACACGCTGCCATGGGTGGAGAAATACAGGCCGAATGCGCTGGCCGATGTGTCGGGTCACCAGGACATTCTCGCTACCATCAACAAGTTCGTCGACTCGAATCGTCTCCCCCATCTGCTGCTCTATGGCCCTCCGGGGACGGGCAAGACCTCCACAGTGCTCGCCCTGGCACGCCGCATCTATGGCAACAAGAATATGCGTCAGATGGTGCTTGAGTTGAATGCGTCCGACGACAGAGGCATCGACGTTGTGCGAGAGCAGATCAAGACGTTTTCCTCCACTAAACAAATCTTCGCCGGTAGCTTCGACAAGACACGGCGCGACGATAGCAGCATTGCCCACTACAAGCTCATCATTCTCGATGAAGCAGATGCCATGACTAGTACCGCACAGATGGCTCTTCGTCGAATCATGGAAAAGTACACCGCCAACACCCGTTTCTGCATCATTGCCAATTACACCCACAAGCTTAGTCCAGCCCTCCTCTCGAGGTGCACACGGTTCCGCTTCTCTCCTCTCAAAGACGCCGACATCCGCCAGCTGATTGACAGGGTCATCACCGAGGAGAATGTCAACATCGAGCCGACTGCGGCCGATTCACTCGTCACTCTCAGCAAAGGAGACATGCGTCGTGCATTGAATGTGCTTCAAGCATGCCATGCTTCTTCAACACCATTACACATTCCAGGAGAGCCTGTGGTCGATGACAAGGCCATTCCACGTGACCTGATCACGCAAGAGACGATATACGATTGCATTGCTGCACCGCATCCAGCGGACATCCAGACAATCATGAAGACTCTGCTGAACACGCAAAACGTGGGGAGTTGCATGAACACTATCAATACTCTGAAGAAGGCAAAGGGGCTAGCATTGGCAGACATCCTGACTGCGCTAGGCGAGCAGTTGAATGAAGTGGAAGCTTCAGCACAGACACGAGTGACGTGGATGGAAGGACTGGCTGACATCGAGTACCGTCTCAGTGGTGGTGGCAGTGAAAGCATACAGACTGGAGGCTTGATTGGAATCGTGCGAACCGGTGTAGCGATCAAGGATGCGAGGGGTTGAAAGTGCGCAGTAAGAATTGTTACATACATAATACCTTGGCACTGGATCGGTAGACAGCGTGTCGAGTGATGCGACAACCATCAGGCACCAGCGGCGATGAACACCAAGCCTGAACACTAAGCCTGACAGCAAGCCTTGGTAAGTATCGTGAGCACGACTAGCCCGTATCTGACTGCCGTCCCTCAGACACATTCGAGCTGGGGTCCGTAAGCTCGCCACGGTAACGAACATAGCGAAGGCAAACGGCTATTCCAGATGATCAGGAGACTATTTGCCTGTGTGGAAGACAATGCACACAAAGGTTGCACGGCATCAATCATTCCAGCTCCAAGCACCCTCATGCTGCTCGGTCTAACCCATCAACGCATTCGGGGTGGAGCTTGCGGAGAATCGCATAGAAATTGCCAAGTTACCTTATGGAAAGGCTCTCGAAACCACTTTACTTCTTTCCCACCCGGTGTGCTACTTTCACTGTGTGCTCTCACACATATGTCACGTGTAAAGCTTAACATATTGACCCAGGTTCTGCTGCACTTTTGCACATAAGCCAGGTAGTCAAGTTGACCCTAGGAACTTGGCGCCGACTCCGCGTCTTTCAAGTTGCACTGCATCACTTGTCCCATACTCATGCTGCCGTCCCAAGAGCACACTTCGGAGAGTCACAGCCAAGTATGTACACGCCTGAGATGGGAGAGACGAGGCTCTTTTTGCATGGGCATCGCCTGAAGTCACGAGTGATAGAGTGGAGCAAGAGCACAAGCAAAGAGTTCAGCTTATATTCAAGAGAGATTTTCACGACCTATGTGAACATAATACCGCCGAGCATTGCAGCTTGCGTGGCGGTGAGTACATGTCGATTGGCATCACGGAGCATGGGTGACTGCGCATGGCTTCCGCTGAGCACGAAGTGAAAAGCACGACTTGAGATTCTGTTGCATCCCTGCGATAAACACCAAGTATTGATTTTTTTTATCATGCGGGCGCCCCAAGCAAATCCACGACGGCTCTGCGGAGGCACGCCATCCTCAGTCAATCCGGCCATGGCCGCTTGCTTATGGCTACATCTGAGCCTGATGAGCTGTACATATAATCGAAGACCAAACCAGCCCACCCAGAATGAACGGCGGGCCAGCAAGTGTGCGCTGAGATTATATTCTCGAACAGCAGGCGGGCGAGTCGGGCTGCTATCCAGCCACCTACCGGAATGAGCCTGGCGACTGTCAAGACGCAGCTTTTCCTCCATTCAACCACGGCAGCAGAGCCACTCATAGCTGTCGACAGTGTAGCAGAGACGCCCATACACCCCAAGCGACGGCTGTTCAGTCAAATTTGGGCCCGCTCTTGACTTCAATCTCAGACCCCAACTGAAGCCATCAATTGCACCGAAAATTGATATCCAAAAGAACCTCGCAGCGCCGATATGCCATCATGCCGAGGCATTCGATCAGCGCGGCCAGCCTCCGAGGATTTGAGAAGAAACTTCTTCATGCTTAACTCTATCTCCACATTGCACTAGATCCCCAGAATCACCATCGTTGAAAGAGGCAAAAGATCGTTGGCAAGTGTAAGGGCTCACGAATCAGAGCTCACGCAACGTAAACAGCACGCAACGCCACTTGGTCCTTTACCAATCAGGAAGGCGAAACACACATCGAGTGGCGTAGGGCTACTCCAGTATCAGTCTAGAACACAATTCGTGAAGGTAGGAGGTATATTCACCGCTTGATCCATCTTCTAGTATTGTGCGACACGATCACAATTCTCCTAGCAAGTATGTTGCGTGCTGTTATCATCCTGCCGGCACTGGTTGCAACAACTGCTGCACAACTGAACATCCCAGCCTTACTCTCGAGTCTTGGGCCTGCACCAGCCGATGATCCTCGCTTCACGAACTGGGTGGCTCCTGGGCCCAACGACGTGCGCTCGCCATGTCCGGGACTGTGAGTACAGGACGAGCCATAGGCTGACACGTTAGAAAACAAACAACTGATTATGTACTTTTCAGCAACGCCTTAGCAAATCATGGTATGTCGGCATCGCCAGACTTTACAGCCGTCATGATATAGAGCTAATCGATTTCGTCCCAGGCTTCATCCATCACGACGGACGTAACATGTCGCTCCCTCATCTCCTCAAGGGTCTTGCAGCTGGCTTGAACATGGGTGCAGACTTCACCGTCCTGATTGGAGGTCTCGGTCTCCTCTCATCCAAGGACATCGCCACTGGAGCCTTTGACCTCAACGACCTCGACCAACACAATTTTCCCATCGAACACGACGCCAGTCTCAGCCGCAAAGATGCGTACTTTGGGGATGACCACACCTTCTACGACCCCATCTGGCAACAAACCTTGTCCTTCTACAACGGAGATGACCAAACGTCGTTGCTACCAGCATCCAAGGCGATTGCCAACCGCACACGAGACTCCATGAACATCAACCCCACTTTTACCTACGGTTTCCGCGAGTTCATTCAGAGATATGGCGAAGTTTCAATCTACCTCCAAACGATGGGCGCAGACGATGCGACGGGTGTGACGCGTGTCGATTGGGTTCGGGAACTGTTCGAGCAAGAGAGGTTGCCATATGACTTGGGTTGGAGACCTCGTGCGCAACCTATCACCGTCGCCAGTTTAGGCCAGATGGTTTTTGAACTGTACACTATCAGTCCCTCGGCGGTGCCAGAAGGCAAGAAGGTTGCAGCGTAAGTTTTTCTGTTGTGTTTCTTTTGTTGTTATTGACTGTGTTCTTTCCTTTGTGTGTCTTGTTGAGGCTTCTTGGAGGGAGTTAGCTAACGTGCTTTTTCAAACAGGGATTCCTACAAGAACGTTTTTGAAGTCTTGATCGGAGGATCAAACGTGCTGAACAGCTTGACCAACGGATTGTCAAAGGCTGTTGGCTTGTAGAAAAATTTTCATTCCCTTTTGGCGCTCAGGGCAAGATTCAACACGCTTCCGTGTTCCGTGTTCATTTATTGCCCTACATTTATGTACATAAGGCAGGTATCTAGACAAGAGAATTATTGACTCAACCGCGTCCCACCATCTTCTGACTGACTTCTCTGAGGTCGTTCATGCAAGTGCTCTTGGCACTCGTCACTATCTCTCGCAGACCCGGTGCCTCAACGCTGTGACTGAAGTGGATTCAATTGTTGAAGATGTGTTGTTGAAGATGTGACAGGCATGGATGAAGATGCAGACTCAATATTGGGAAAGTCACTCGCGCAATTCGCCTAGAAGAGGCACGATCCCCGCACCATCTCAGTACTACTGTATTAGTGCTATCGAGGTTCCCGGCTCCACTTTCTTGCATTTCAACAGATCTCAAAGTTCAAACCGCGCGACAGCTTTTGCATAGAACGTTTTAGTGACGGAGTGTTTGTCAGATGAAGAAGTACCCATAGACTATGCTGTAAAGGGAAGGAGCGTCCGTCTTTTTTTTTATGAAAAGAGCTCTAGAGGCTGCGGCGGTATCGTGGCTTTACTTTGCTTGAACACCACAAGCCATGTCAGTACTCAACTTTGGTGTTGTGGCCTTGTTCGACAAAAGCCTGAGCACAGATAGATTATGGCTCGTTGTACTGAGTGGGCATGATGATCTGCCACATATCTCTCATACGTGCAGCTCCTAGTGGTGCTGGCTCACCGGACCACATGTGGGCTCTGTCTTGTCAGTGCTATATTTCCAAAGCTCCATTGATTTCTGACGGGTCCTGTGCAAATCTCACCACTTGACCAAAGTCCTTCTGGTCGCCGATTGGCAAAAGGGGAACGGAAATGGCAGCGTTCGGTGGCAAGAGCAGATCAGAATATCAGAGAGGAGCTTTCGTGATCTGCTATTCGACGTGCGGTTGCGCATGCCCATGCGAACTGGCAGTCTGCTGTTCGGCTCGCGACTGAGGCGGGGCGGTACGATATCGGTTGGTATCTCGTCAATCAGCTACTAGGCATCAAGTAGCAGTCGAGTTGTCCCTTCATATGCGATCGAAGTAGTCAACCAAATGGAGCACATACTTATTACCTCTCCTCATTTCAGGAAAAAGTTGAACCCACTCCATCCCAGCTGTCATGTAGCCATAACCTCGACAGGCAGCTGTGGCTGTGATCCAGTGCGACTGGCGTACCGCGCGATTTGGATGCATCCCAAGACGTATGCCAAAGAAATCGCATGGTGAAGCGCAGTGCACTTCAGCTCCTGATCGCATATCCCCAACATAGCCAGGACGCCTAACATTTCTCGGGAGTCGGCAGGATTGACACCAAGGAGTGGCAAGATGGACTTGCATTTTCCTGAGCCCGACCTAGACAGGCTGATCTTCGGTTTTGAAGCTTGCTTGGGGGCAATGGCCCTAGACACATTCGCAGAATAGTCCATCGCCGGTGGCGCAGACTCATCACGGAATTGCGGCGAGACTGCCGGCTCCTGCAACGGCGCCGTGGCTGTCAAGCGACTAGAGATGCCATTGGTAGTCCCTGGTTCTTGTGGTGATGGACCGGGTCTGGATGCTCGAGCAGCGTCTGATGTGATATGTACGCCGTAGGTGTGCTCAGCACCTCTGGACTGCCTCGCTGGGGGCCATGGCCTGCTTCGAGGACGGTACACAAGCGGTTCCACGATTACTTGTAGCTTTATCCTTTGCCCACCGGTAAGATTCGTAGAACTCAAGCATATCGCGGGACCACGCTGGAAATGGGAAGAGGTGAGGTTCTCCAAATGTTCGCTCTTTCCCGAGCACTTTGTCAGCTAGTCAAATAATTAATCAAGCTGGCTCAAACTCCATCAAATAAGCTTGGCTCCGCAAGACCGCACATCTCCCTTCGTCGCCTCATTCCCGCTCCCATCCTGGATACATGTACATACAGTGCAAGCAAACTGCCCTTTCTTTGGCCATGGCTGCCGCTGTGCGCCCTAGCTGATACAAACACCTGTTCTACCTACCGCCTGCTCCCGCCTCCATAGCCCTGCCCTGACCCTCCGACCATCGTTGCAAGATTAGCAGCATGTCAAGACATACATGGCCAGCAAGAGTTGTTTGGACGCAGAGCATGCGGAGTGGTCGATTTCTTGCGTGAATGTTCATGCAGCGCTGCAGGACTCAATGTCCATAGTGTTACACCATATGCTCAGGAAGTTAGCAGAAACAGTAGATGCTCTGGGCGCAGTCAGAATCGGTCAAATGCGCTCTCAGCGCCGCCACCTCCCCACGGTCGGTCGGCTAGAACGCGGCATGGATGGTACACAACTGGCACCAATGCTCACTCATTCTGTGCAGATAGCGCTGGCAGTCTTTATAGGCAAAGAGTACACCTCAGCAGCGCCAGAACGCCCACGGGCCAGGCGAAGAAGGCCACCGCCGCCACGATGCACCGCCTCTTGAGCATTTCTTCACGGACGCGAGCTCCAATGTAGACTACATTTCACAACACCGAAGCGAGTTCCAGTGCAAACCTGAGGCTCGACATCTCTAGCGATCGCGGCGTTGGTGTTTGGCGAAGTCAATGACGACACCGTTGACGACACTGTCCAAAGCACCTCGTCTTTGCCGTGTTTGCGCGCCTTTTTGCGTCCTTTAGCTAGCGCACGGAACTCCCGAGCGAATCAGAGCGACTCTGCGCTGCGCCTCCCAGATAAGCGAGCGGCACTCCAGAGATACGCGGTGGTGTGCCACGTGGTATGGATAACGAAGTAAGAGTGCATCAACTACCTCCTAGGACAACAGGACAGTGAAAATGTCCAACCATCCCTCCGTAGCAAAGATGAAAGGGAATTCTCTCCGTACGCAAGAAGAACAGGATGTTTAGGCGTCTGCAGCTATGACTGCAGCGCCCTGGGGCTCTTCAAGTTGAGCAACGCTCACTCTCATCTAGCCACTGTGGTGCAGTGCAATGCGATGATTTCGAAGCCGCGAAAAGTACCTGTGTGTCTGACCAGCGGGCTGCGTACCTAGGGCACTACGTACAGCAAATTATCCACTATGGAGAGTGCTAGGAGTGTCACCAAGGATCTGTTCTAAGTGACTCCATAAGCGGTAGGCATTTTGGGAAGACGCAGTACGACTCGGCATAACCTGACCCGTAAACTCGCTACTAAGTAAGTGGCGAGAGAATCGCGGCATAGTCACCAACGAAGAATGCGGCATGGTGCCTTTGAATGCTACGAAAACGTTTCAAAATGTAACCTCCCGTCTCGCTATTCTAGGCCTCTTATTACACTGGCACGCGCATGGTCCCTGAGACATACAGGAGCCGCTCTTCAAAGCACAGCCATGGCATCGGGTTTTCTCATGACATTCCTTCGTAACAAGAATAGTTTTTACATTCCGCTGAACACGAGGCGGGCGGGTGGCTGGACCACGTTTTGCATGAACATGAACACACCATGCTTTTTCTTTGACAGCAGGCACGTGCTGACAGACCGGTATGTCTCACACCTTCATCTGCCGTTGTGTAGGAGAGGTAGGATGCGAGATGAAAAAGGGTCACATAGAAGCTGGATCGAGCGGGAACTAAGGTGCCTTTCTCTCGGTGCTCAATTGAACGTTGAGTCTATAGATAACCCTTTCGATAGGTCAGGTTAGGTAGCCAGCAGTACGTATCTACTAGGTAAGGCAATCACGATAATCCTCGGAATTCGTGCATTGCTTTCATCACGTAGAAAAAAGAAGAACAGGTGAAAAGTAAAAGTCAAAGTAAGTGAGCAAAGGAAAAGAAAAAAATTGCCTCAAAAAGTACCTTGTATAAGGTATGTACCTGCCTATGTATGTACCTAGAGAACAAAAGTGTTATCTAGTCACATGTATTATCTAGTCACGTCCCCGGGCCCCAGTTATACCTTCGTCATTATACCTTAAGTGACATGTACATGTATGTACCTGCACATGTATACCTACTGCTCGTGGACATACCTAGTGTGCAGGTCAAGAATTCAAGGTTCAAGGTATTTGATAGGTATCTGAATATGCAAGTATACCTTAAGTTACTGCCCGCAGGGTAGAGGGAGAGAGACGGTAAGTCAATACATTACCTGACCTACCTGACGTAAACCTCCTAGCTGTTATCGTGTACCGACATATGTCGCATTTTTGCTTTCTTTAGATACATGGTACGGGGACCCTTTTCCGGGTTCGTGATAAGGCAGGGAATAAACGGTTTTGATGCAGAAAGAGGTATAGATCAGATAGGTAAGATAGGTAGGATAGGTGTGAATGCAAATAAATATCGTGGGTATAATTGAGACTATTGGTATGTGAAAGTCCGCATCTGGTATAGTAGGTAAGGTAGGTACAGATCATACACACAGACCATACACACAGACACAGCCCACACACACACACACACACACGCGCACACGCACGCACGCACACAAGTCTCCATCGTTGCTTCTGTCTCTTTTTCTTTCTCTCGGTATCTTGGCCTTGTCTTGATCTGAAACTGTCATTCATATGCCTGCAATGCTAAATCTTGGGGAACGGATTCCCATACATCCGACAAACGCCATCGCTAACCCCCAAAACGTTGAAATTCCAATGAAAAATAAGTGGTTTCCCCGTTCCCAAAACGTCAATTCGTTTATCATCATTCCAAGCTTCCAAGCTGTGGAAGCTACACTGCCAATGGATTGGGTTTCGGAGTTCCGAGTAAATCGCCCCACTCTCCTTTGGGTGCTGGAGCTGCGGGTGTTCGTGCAGGCGTTTGCGCATTGCTGTACCTTCTCCCAGCAGACTCTCGAAGGGGTTGGTGCACCGTAATGACGAGTGAGTCTCGTCGACCTGGGGTGGAGTATCGACTCGTCGTTTTGTTGGCAACACTTGCAATGTCAATTGCAGAATTCCGTCGCTTCAGTTGTCGTAGGTTCTCAGTCATGGCTGACAGCGCTGCGGGCGGAACGCCAGGGTCCGTCTCAATGGGTATGGTTTTGCGTGTCATGATGCGATCCATACTCCGTGTCATGAAGGATGGTCGTTTTCGTAGCTCTGGCCGCTTGCGGATTTCTGGTCGCTCCGGCATGACTTCGTTGTCGTCAAAGAAGGTCCAGCTTGCCGTTTCCTCGAATCGCACTCGCTTGACGGGCTTTGCGATGGAGCTGAGTTGGCTGCAGGTGGAATTGTTCGAGGTCCGACTGCTGGCCATCGAATTCCGTCCGCTGCTGAGGCTGTCGTGGCAGCCACTCAACGTCGTCGTCTCCGATGAAGGAACATTCTCCGTCTCGATCGTGTTGCTTCTTAGACGCAGGTCGGGACTGAGTTCCAAGAACTCCATCATTGATATATGGGACCCCAAGTCGGCAGGAAGCTTAGACGGCAGTCTGCACGCTGTGGCGTTCGAGGCAGCCATAGCGTTGTGCCTGTTGTTCTTTAATCCGACGTCGACTGCGCTGTGGCGGAATAGTTGGTGTTGGTAGAGGTGCGAGAGAGTCCAATACATTAATGAGGGAGGATTCGGATGAATGAATGAATGAATGCAGTCCCCAGTCAGGCTCCAGCAGTCAGTGGCGGGAGGGTCGGGAGCCAGGAGAAGCGGTAAGGTAAGGTAGGCTGTACCAATATGTACCTTATGGATGCCGGGAAGAGGATGATGGATGCAGCAACCTCAGGCAAGACCTGGCCAGCACCGACAGCTGTATAAGTCAGGTACCTGTAAGGTAGGTACAGGTGGGTGTCTGTGGTGTGACGGAAGGTGCTGTGTGTGTGTGTGTGCTGTACTGGATGAGTCCGATTGCCGAGGAGGGAGTTCGTAAAGAGAAGTGTTAGGCAGGTTAGGTAGGCACGAAGTAGGTCCTTTCCCTACCCAAGGTCTCTCTCAGAGATGCGAACACCTTCGGTCTTTTAGGAAGTGCGTCTGCGCGCGTGTGCGACTTGAGCTGACGCTGGTTGGGAATCAGCCTAGCCTTCCCCAGCTGCCAAATAGGCCAAATAGGTGGCCTGCCGACGTGTGTCCGGTGTCGTGACGCCGAGCCCGCCCCTTGATTGGCCCGTTCCTGCAGGTTGAACCACGGACGTGGTACACTATCGTGCAGTGTGCATTTCAATGCGTATGGCCTCTTGACTGTTGTGGTATCACTGTTTCATAGATAGCCAGCTCCCAAATGTGGCGAGAGAGCAGCGCGCAGCGCAGCGAACAGAGAAAGAGGAGACGGCCGGAATCTGCGCACAGGACCCTCGTAAACAACACACCCACTGCGGAGAATGTCCGTTCCACTACGACTCTAGTCACCAGCGACCCGTCCATCCTGCCTACACGTACATAGCATAACACCTTGCTGCCGCACGGCCGAAATCCCGGCGGTGCATTATTTTTCAGTCGGTCTCGCGCGCGCGCGCGCGCTGGCTCCCTCGCTCGCTCGATTTGCTACATCCGTCATCGACTTTGCCTATCGCAGACACGCTGTAAGTTCTCGTTTATGCTAGGCGCGATTCCCGTCTCAGGCACCGAATGGTGCCGTTGAGAGGCTGATGATTCACGTCCTGATCCCCCCGGCTCCATGAGCGTTTTTGGTCTTCAACGCATTCTTTTGAGACAATCACTCGTTTCCACGCCAGGGGCAGCTGCGGACCACCGTCCCGTTGATGCGGCTGATACTTCTTCGTGACACCTCGACCTGGCCTGGAACGGTTCATCGTGCTTTTCAGACGGATCGCAAATCGACAGGGAAGCGACAGCCTCGTCTGGAGTAAGACAGGCAAGAGGACAGCTGCTTGTACCACTCCATCTCCACCTTATCTCTCTGCCTGCATCCACTCTGCAGTTCCACAAGGCTGCCTCTCCCACCACTTTGCGGCTGTCACTCATGCCTGCCCTCCAGAGAGTGCTTCTCACTCTGACCCATATCCAAATTGGGACCCATCTCTGCTGCCACTCTGGATGACACCTCGTACTTCTGAGTATGAGCACCCCACGCAGATGCGTAACCGACACAACTGTCGGCGCCACATGAGGAGAGCCAGTGTGTGCGCCAGACCCATACAATATCACTCTGGCTCGCGGGATACCAAAATCGCATGAAGCCTCCCTCTCCAGCTGGTATGCACAAGTCTGTTATGCCATAGGCTGGACGAGTATTGCAATGCCTACCGCTTCCAGGCATGCATAGATGCTCTTAAGCACGGCTTAAGCCATCACGCTCGAAGAGACGAATCGTGTGGCCTTTTTCGACATCCACAGAGTCCATTCACAGGGACCATCCACAAGAGGCATGTGATCCTACTTCACATATAATGGTCATCGAACAGGCCCATGTATGTTAGCAAGAAATCGACCCAGAGTACCCCATGGAGTGGCCGATAAGCGCTTTTATCCGAGCGTTTTTCAGATATCTAAGGGTAATTCCTCAGGCCACGCTTTGCAATATGCTATAATGCTGTCGATATGAAAAGCCAGATGAAATGTGGACCCCTTACCTGGATCTCAAGATGGATTCGATGCACCTCCAGAGCTGCATTGTTCATTCTCATCTGGCTGTAACTACACTCCGAGATGGCCCGAGCTATATCCCACACACCTGTATGTCATCGAACATGCCTAAGTAGAAGTCAATCCCTTCGTTGATGCACAGCTGCATATGTGACAAACCCAGCACGGAAGACCACTGCCGGAGCATGAACTCAACGCCCGTGCGCCGACCTAAGAACCGGACTGAGTCTCCCAGCAGTGGTTCGCCACAGGCAAATGTATTGCTCTGGCCATCCATCAGTCCTGCGTGACGCGACAAGCTGATGACATTTCCCGGTGGAGGAGCATCTCAACGATAGTGCCCCGCAATGACTCTCCGCTCCTCAACTGAAATGGTATTAACGAGGGCTCGACGCGCGTCAGGCGTGTCCACCGCTACCCTCAGGGATATTGTCGTTGACCATCATCGCATGGAGTGCATATCGCCCTATGGCAATGTGAGTGAGTAGTGGTCAAAGTGAACGACTGCAGATCAACGTGAATTGGGCTATGTCGCTTGCGGCACTCCCCAAGCAGAGTGATATCCCAGTTAGCGAAGCTCAGTTTGCGGAGATCGTTGTGCTACTCCTTGCGGGCTGAGTGTGACTAACGCCTCAACATAGTTCTGTCACGCATAACTCGCTGCCAAGGCAACTGGGGGCGCCTCACACTCGAACGACTAGGGGCATCGGGAGTGATGCCGCACTGATAGCGAGGCCCGGGCGTAGAGTGACTGATTAATATATGGTTAGCGTGAAGATGATCTCGCAGTGAGGTCAGACTAGACTTCTCATACTTCCGGCAGTGGTAAAGTGGTTTCGTTCTTGTGGAGTTTTGAGTTCAAGAGCCAAGGATAGCAGAACTTGGAACTCCAGCCATTTTGGTCGTCTTCGGGCGCGTCGCAATCGTTCTCCCGTTGTTGAATACTCGACAGCAGTTCGACTTCGTCCAACCGAGCAAGCCCTTCGCTAATAGCGAGACGTAGATGTAGCACTCTGCACGCATGCCGAGTCGACGCACTTGACAGAGTGAGGCTAGGACCAGGAGAATGAACGACGGGAGTTCAGCCAAGTGCCGTCAGTGGTTACGGGCGGCAACTAGGCTCTTCGAAGTTTGCATTGCATAGATTGCGCGGGTAAGGTGCGGTTGCCCCATTGACTTTCCAGGTTGCGAAACAGAGTGATGGCGTCGTCGGTGAATTGGATGGAGAAGGTAGGTTGGTGCGAGGAGGGTGCTTTGCCAATTTCGCGAGGATAAGGTAGGTACTCTACCGTACCTGACCTTTAAGTTGAGCTTTTTGTCCACTGTGAGCCTGTGGCCCGCTGTGGCTCAGTGGGCACGAAATACCACAATCACATCCAAGAATGGACTTGAGCACCATCTCTGTCCATGGCGTCCAGTAATAGCTTCTGGGGTCTGCTCGCCACAGTTGCAGGGCTGGCATATGGGTTGTTCTACCTGACCATTGTGTTAGGCTATTCCCTTACCCACAAGGACTTCTGGCAGCCTCAGACGTCCACCGAGAGACGACTTCATGAGCGGGCATCCCAGGAACTCTGGTCCTTGCGGGAGAGTGTCGAAGGTATCAAGCACGACTTTCTCCGACTAGTGGACGGTACTCAACTTCATTACCTATTATCCTCCCCTCACCTTGTGAATCCTCGGACTCTCATCATCTTCCTCCATGGCTTCCCGGACTCGGCTCATCTCTTCCTGCATCAGCTGCGCTCACATTGGGCCAGGGACGCACAGCTCGTAGCTCTCGATCTGCCTGGATGTGGCGGAAGTGATAGCATTGAGCAGTATGGTCCTGACCAGGTGCTGAATGTGGTCTCGGAAGCCATTGTACTTCTCAAGGAACGCCACTTGGATTTACAGGCCCACCCGAGGAGTGAGAAAACGCGCTGCATTCTGGTAGGGCACGATTGGGGAGGGATCATTGGCTTCCGTCTTGCAGCAGAGACCTCCGATCTGCTCGATCATCTGATTGTCATCAATTCACTTCACCCTGCTTTCGCTGAAGAACAACTGAAAGGTCGAATCGCGAAAACGAAAATTCTGCTAAAGAACCGGGATTTCCGAACAGCAGCGAGTGTTTTGGGACCCGTGGTTTCGCAGTTGGTCAAATCGAGCTATACATATATGTTTTCGCTACCACTTCCACTGGCGAAGCTGATACCAAGATTCACGATGTATCTGATCCGATTTTCTCATAATCTCGAGTACAAGCATGGACCTTCACCATCTCAAGAAGAACGTGCCATCCGACTCGCAATTTCGTGTGGACCCGGAACAAGAGAGTGTCTATCTCCAGCTGAAAACGGCTCCACGTATGGCCCGTCTGTCTACGCTCGTTCCAGGACGACAGTACCCGGAGACTGGGACGGGAGAGTCAAATTGTATGCACAAGGTCTCCTACGCCGGAAGTGGACGCCATCTTATCCCGGTTACATTAAACAGCATGATCAGACTCTGCCATCTACATTCGATGGCAAGCATTTCAAGTGCCCAGTCAGCTTCATTTTCGGATTGCAAGATATTGCATTAGATCCTCGCATCGCAGTTGATGGTGTCGAGAGATACTTTCTCCAGAACGAAGAAGCTACTGCAGCCTTTCAACAGAGTAGAGTAGTGCGGCTGCCCCGGTGTGGACATTGGAGTCTGCTTGAGAAGGATGGCGAGCGGGCTTTGAATGAAGTCTTGGGATCAGTCGTCTGAGGTACTAGATGCGGGTCGCTGTATACATAATGTCTACCTATACCTAGTGCTCGAGGCATCGCATACGCTGCACTGTACGAGGAACGGATGCTTATAGCCACTCGTGATCAAACTCGAAAGTGCAGCTAAGATCGCCCGCAACGAAGGCTCCGTTCGAGAAAACCATCTGCACTTGGGCAGCATTACTCGAGGAACTTGAGGAAAGAGTGCCTAGATCATACCACCAAGATCAAGACACTGTTCGCCCCAGAAACCGAGTAAATAATGCTTTGAGCTAATCTGCTATTTCAGAGAGGAGATATGGCCACCAACGAGAAACCGGAGATCAAGCTCGAAGAGCAAGAACATCACTTGAGACGAGGTCTCCATCCGAAGGGACGCCCATCTCGCGAGCCACGTGGCTAGAAGGTCCCGAAGGTAAGACGGCTGCTACTACAGAGGGTAGGGAAGCTCGAGCACTGGTAACCTGAGCCAGTGATTGCTATACACCTTTTGGCCGGACCGAGAGCCAGGGCTCAGTGCCGAGAGTATTCATCTGTTTGCGACCCTGCTTGCAAATGGCAGACCGTCGACTGCGAGATCGCGGGCCAGTTAGACCAGACTTGTCGTAGGATAACGAAGGCGCGTAGCTCAGCCGAACTGTGTCGAGCATCAAGTGCTACTGCTACTTGCGCCTGTGTCTTCCGGAATGACCAACCGAGGCGGAAGTACCAGCCTCGAGGAGAGGTGTGATATCCAACGAGCTGCTAATGTGGTCCACATCGTTGCATGCGCCAAGTCTGTCATTAATTGACATGTCCCATAGCGTCTCTGATGACTGCAAAATCCTGTAGGGCTTCTTGTTGATAGAATGTTGTGTCCGCGAAAGGCAGCACATATAGCTCGATCGTATCAACCACTCTCAATCTTCACCAGTTGCGCAAAAAGTTCTTCTACGCTGCCATCAATGGCCAACCGTTCCTTATGATCCATCTTCTTCAGCACATATCTCGCCACATCATCGCTTTGCCTGCTCGCGGGCCTGCCAATTCCCACACCAATCCTTACGAATGCCGTGTTACCAATAACAGACATGATGCTCTTTAGACCATTGTGCCCTCTTGCGCTCAGACCTTGCTGCGTCTTGACAGTAATGGCACCTAATGGCTTCTCCAGCTCGTCATGTACCACAACCAATTTACCCACTCCATCAACCAGACTCCGATTCCAAGCCTGATATGCCGCTCGTACGCCCTTCCCGCTCTCGTTCATGTATGCGGTACTCTGCCACAAAGTCCAGTCTCGGCTGCTCCCCACAGATATGGCAGGAGGTCTGCTCACAAGGCCATTACCCCAACTTTTTTCCTTGGAGAATGGCGCATAGCCTAGGTGAGCTGCTAGGCGATTCAACGCCGTGTGACCGGCGCTATGCAGCGTGTTGGCATATTGTGCTCCAGGATTGCCGATGCTGCAGATTAGAAGCGGCACTGCGCGAGCAGTAGGAGCTGCGACCATTGAATGTCCAGCGACTAAGGACTCCTCGCTCTGTACTGCGGCAGCGATGGCGTGCAAAGTTGCTTGAGACTTCTGCTTCTTCTTGTTCGTCTTTCGCGACTTTGAGGGTGCTTTTTTCACAGATGACCTCCGGCGGACGTGGATCGCGTCCGGGTCTCCGTTAGTCAGCACATCGTCATCCCTCGAGTGCTTCGCGTGCTGCGCGTCTTCGTCTCCAACACCAATAATAACATCGTCATCTTCGCGATTTGGCTCCATGGCTGCCAGCATTCTGATTACAATGTTACGGCAAGGTTGTCAATTTGCAGGTTCTTAAATACTCAAAGACTTCCACAAAGAAGAACAAAGTGCTTTTCGGATGAGGACAGGTGACTCACTGACCACACCAGCTGAATAAAGACGCCGCAGTCGGCAGCATGTGATTGAGAGAAGCCGCAACCAGCACTTTTGATATTAAGGTGTATTCTGGTCAGAAATCGGGACCTGGTCTGCTACAGTGACCATGTCTTGAATGAGATGTCTAACCTCTGGACTGCTCAAATCGTAGTAATCCTGGCTCACTATCCTGACGAAGCGGTATTTCCTAAGCCGTCAACTGCACAACTCAACGGGCATACATCTGGCTGTCATGAAGCTGAGCTTTGAAGAATTGCCTGATTCGGTTCTCTGCAGCGCGGATGGCGAAGACATGGAGGCAGCGCGGGAAGATTCTGCAGCAATGTCCTTCCTCCAAGCTGCTCACAATGCGATGTTGACCAGCTGGGAGTTTCACTTCCTCGACCTTGCCTTTGTTTCGGGAATAGTCACAAGTCGCTCAGTACGATGTTTCCACACAGGTTTTTGCAATGCCTTGTGCGCTGACTATGCTCCTGAGACCCATGTCTGCAGCGGTGAAATATGAGTGAAGAGGAAAATCGACCTCAGGTAGCATGATTCGGAAGATTCTTGCGGGAGGCACTGTCCAGCCCAAGGAGGTGGTGAGAGCGACGGGTCTGATCGACCCATATAGCCTTTCTTCCGGCAGTAATGACAATGTTGTAGTTATTTTCCTAAAACTCTTGTGGCAAGCTCTCGAGGCACTTGCGAAGTATCGTGGTGTCAATTTCGTCACGGAATGACGGTAGTCGTGGCTGTCGTCACAGTAGTCAACGGTTTGCGAGTGGTGGTGTCTGAATCCATGTCGAAGGTTCTTGTCGCTGGTCGTGGTTTACAATGCTGTGAATTGAAAAGATTCCGAGAGTGTCGAAGCTAAGGAGCGGTGCCAAAATCAACTATAAGTGAAGTCAAGTAAGGAGGGCGCATATGACACTTATCCAAAGCGTAGACCAAGGACTAGCCGTAACGATCGTGTGATTCATGATATGTGCAATGCATCGCTACTAAAGATACTTAACCCACATCGGGCACCACAGGCGCAGCGATGTCCCTATTCAATGCTGCAGCGTGCACGTCGGTTTCGGCCACGGGTACAACTCTTCTCTCAAAGAGTGAGACCCACCATTGTGGTGGGTCTAGTGGTCGATGCCCATGGTGCGTTGATGGGTATATGTCGTTGAAGAAATAAACAACTGTGATGCGCAATTAGCTCAGCACGGCTTTGCGACCTGCCAGTTTGAGGTGCGACCACATGTACTCACCGTGTCCAACAGCCACTCCACAAAGCTCATCTTTCGGCCAATGTCCATGCAGAATCACATTGAACGCAATCAGCACCCACGGCAGCCATGGAGCTGTGAATGTGAGGACGCCCAAGAAGCTGAGCCTGGTATCCGGATTTCGCCTCGCCCATATGTAGACCAGTGTGCTGCTTAATGTGGATGCCAGAAATGCCTGATTGAACATCGGTTGAGCAACTGCCAGTAGCGTGACAGCCGTATAGGCCAGCATCCAGCTGAAATGTGCTGCAGATGCAGCCGATTCCTCCAGCATTCGCGCGTAGCGTTGGATGAAAAATATATGGAAGACGAGATTGAGCGATAGTGGGCCGAAGTAGATGAAGGTGGTGATGAGGCGCCAGAACTGATGTATCACCACTATGTCAGTCCTTGTGTTGGGAGAGCGAAGAGGCCATAGATTTGTGCGTACCTGCTGTTTCTGCCATACGGCTCGAAAGCTGTAGAACAGCTGGAACGGTGTGAGGACCTGACATTGTACGAGAATGCCTGTGGCCACCGTGGCCGTGGTCCACCACCGCGTGCACACGGGCATCTCAAAGAACCACTGTTCCAAAGGCATTGCGCCTCCGCCCTCTCCTCCGCCGCCCATGATTGCGGCCATGTTGGGAAGTGATGAGTCGTATTATCGGCGAGCGAGAGTATTCGGTCGAGGTGGAAGCAATGTGTGGAATGGTTGAGGTACACGCTTGGACGGCGACAGATCCAGTGAGTCAGTGACTTCTGCGGAGGTGGGTGTTGTTTGCAACGTGAAGTGATTGTGAGTGACACCCGAATCTTACATTGCCTTAGGACCTCCGGTAAGGTCAGGTATGCGCCAGGGCCAGCTGTCTCTGTCGTCAGTCGCGCTTTGTCTCTAGGAGGTAGACGCCGTCGCTACCTACCGAGCGAGCTCTTATGATCTTATCTAATCGAACAAGGGGGCCGCATCACTAGCGCGCCTATCGTCCTCTCCAGCCACACGACAAGCGAGGGACGGCGGAGTCTCGGTGGCTGGGGCTTCGCATTCCGAGAGTAAACAGAAGCCGCAACCAGGTTCCTTTGGCCATCAACAGTAGGATATGACAGGTCTCCGACGCCCTCACAGAACACCGTATTTCGCGCAGAATTGGTACGCGACCCGAACAGCCCAAAATCGCGTCTTGGATCTCCCCACAGCCGCCGCAGCCGACGCGTTTCTGGCATTGAACTCACGCGAATCGTCAAGTACTGGACGCACGACACCGAGACAGCTGAGGCTCTCAGCATTCGCTTGATAGGGATTAGGCAGGTCATGATGGCACGCACAGCAGCAGCTTCATCATCAAGAGGAGGGAGACCAAGTACAGGCTCAACTGGCACGCCTGCGCGAGGAAAGACTGTGCCTACTCGAGGGAAGACTATACCCATGCGCGGAGGCAGAGGTGGAAGAAATAGCACCGGGGGGAAGGGACCCAGAAGGAGTAGTGGACCTGCCGGTGCGGTGTCAAGTGAGCAGCAGAAGAAGCGCAGATACAAGCCAGGCACTCTAGCTCTAAAGGAGATTCGCCGGTATCAGAAGTCAACGGATCTGCTGGTCGCGAAGCTGCCTTTTTCACGTCTGGTAATTCGGAATTCTAAAGTGGAGAGTAGTACGTTTGTTAACAGTCAGAACAGGTCCGCGAAGTTTGTCTTAATGTTGCGCCTCCTGGATCTGAGGTTACAAGATGGCAGTCACAAGCCATACAAGCACTGCAGGAAGCGGCCGAAGCGTTCCTGGTACATCTCTTCGAGGACTCGAATCTGTGCGCGATCCATGCGAAGCGCGTCACCATCATGCAGAAGGATATACAACTGGCGCGGCGAATCCGTGGAGCATGGGGAGGTCTTGGTTGAATTGTTTGTCGGGCGCGTTGCATGGGGCAAAGGCATGCATCTGCCGTTGAAATCATTGTTGAGCTCAGCGAGGCGTCTGGCGAAAATTGTTTTATGCGAGTATTGGAAACGTGGTGATACCAGAGAGTTTTGAACAGAGAATGTACAGCAGGAATTGCTGTCCAGAAGAGTCTTATCTGTGCCACATGTCGACGACCAAAGCTCATACAATGTTGAAATCATGCAACGGTCCTGCTATGCTTCTCAACCATTTTTTTTTTCGCTGATTTACTGTGTCACCTGTGCCCATCGCTATCGTTTTCGTACAGAGACAGAACTGCGGCCAGTAATCTTGGCGCGGAATGGCCGCACTTCTCCCGCAAGTGCTCAGCTTAAACACCGACCTAACCTACCTTACACTTTCAACTGCTCCTCTTTCACATTTCGAACCTACAACAACCCAACACATACCTGTAGCTAAGGTACCACTGGATCTCTCACGCCTACTCTATTGGGAACATCATGGTCTGAGACGCGGTCATAATTCTGCTGTCGATATCAAGAGGGACGGGAGCCACTTGGCTCACAAAGCTCGAAGATGCTGCCCTATATCAACACTCGTACGACAGACCTCGGGCATAGCAGAAACAACGACGAGCTGACAATTTGATAGCGTTTTCATATGTCGCAGGAAAGCTGGGTGCTTCGACCGACGAGTGTGGGTTGCACGCCTTACAACAAACAAAAGAAATCTCCGCTGACCCGAGCACCAGTCAAACTCATATCTTCGTTCTTGATATCATATCCACTTGCAGCTGTCTTGAAGCGATTGCCTGATGACAAGCCACATCTGAAAAACATCTTCAGCATCTCGTATGTGAATGCAATCTGAGTTGCACGCCACCTCCACTGACTGCTCTCAGCGTCGCTCTGTTTTACCTTGTCGGCCTCTTCGACCTATGGAGTGGTTTGTTTGTGGTTTTGTTTGATGCCATTGGCACATATCTGATCGCAGCCTACATTGGAGGACCTTATATGCCATGGATCGGCTTCACCTTCTTGATGGGCCACATGTCGATTAGCCACATTTACCGCATGATCGAAGATAGCCCAAGCTCAGTTGATATCACTGGAGCGCAGATGGTCCTCGTTATGAAGCTTTCTGCTTTCTGCTGGAACGTCTGGGATGGAAAGCAGAAAGATGAAGACCTGAACGATGTTCAAAAGGAGCGAGCTATCAGACAACTCCCTAGTGTATTGGACTACGCGGGGTTCGTGTCATTCTTCCCGTCGATCATGGTTGGGCCGGCCTTTGACTATGTGGACTATGAACGATGGCTCAACACTACTATGTTCGCGCTGCCGCCCGGTACAGATCCTGCAAAGGCACCACCAACGCGAAAGAAGCGGAAGATTCCCAGAAGTGCGACTCCGGCTATGTTCAAGCTCATCACTGGCTTGCTGTGGACCGTCTCATTCCTGCAGCTATCCGCATACTTTTATCCCGAAATGCTGCTCAGCGAGGAGTATAAGGACATGAACATATTCAAGCGCATTTTCCATATGTATGCGATGAACTGTGTGCAGCGGATGAAGTATTATGGAGTCTGGACACTGACTGAAGGCGCCTGCATCCTGTCGGGTATTGGGTACAAAGGATTGAATGCAAAGACTGGAAAACCTGATTGGAATCGCCTGACCAACATCCAACCCTGGGGTGTAGAACTCGCTCAAAATACTCACGCCTATCTGGGAAATTGGAACATCAACACCAACCACTGGCTGCGTAACTACATCTATCTACGAGTGACGCCGAAAGGCAAAAAGCCAGGCTTCCGAGCCAGTATGGCCACTTTCGTGACAAGTGCTTTCTGGCACGGATTTGCTCCAGGTTACTACATGGCATTTCTCCTTGCCAGTTTCATTCAAAATGTTGCCAAGAGTGAGTTTTATTAACACTACCTTGCGCTCAGATCGAAGCATTACTAACCTAACCACGAATAGATGCCCGTCGACTCTTGCGGCCTTTCTTCCTCACGCCAGACGGTACCAAACCGACCAAATACAAGCCATACTACGATGTCTTCACATGGCTCGTCACACAGCTAGTCTTCTCATTCACAACGACCCCTTTCATCTTGCTCGACGTTCATGACAGCATGCTCGCGTGGGCTCGGGTGTACTTCTACGCCGTCATCGGCGTTGCAGCATGTAGTGGGTTCCTGGCATCACCCGGCAAGGCCTGGCTGCAGAGAAAAGTCAAAGCTCGCAGTGGTAGTGGCAGGCCCCAGCTCCAGAAGGCCGATAGCTTCGAGAATATGTCTGGAGCGACGCTGGGTGTACCTTCGGAACCTGGCCAAGAATTTGATGAGATGGTTGACGAGATTGTGGAAGAAGTGCGAAAGAGGAAAGGTCAGCAGGCGTTTCCTGATGCCCAGGAGTTGAGACGCAGGGTAGAGACTGCATTGAAGAGGGAAACGAGTGATGAGAAGAAGAGTGCGAAGGAGCTTTGAGGTGCAAAGTCGTTTCAACGAGTTGGGATCCAGGCGAACAAAGTAGAGCTGTTAGAAACAGAGGCGGTATTGGTGTCCCTAGCAATTCATATAGTAGCACTGCACACGATGAGTCTATAGAGTTGCCAAGCTTTCATAGGTATCACATGGTCGGCGTGGCATCTTGTGGCGTGCAGAGCCGGCTTCCAATAACCGGGTCGATTGCTCCACGTCTTGTCAAATGGGACATGGCGGGGTCTGAGGCGAGGATCCACGTTGCATTTCCACCCGTATCTTACCTCGTCGGTATTCATGGGTCTGGAAACGAATACTAACATCGTGGAGAATCTGGGAAAGCCAGGGAATCTTTTATTCATTACCTGCACCTTCCTATGCTACGGTACCTAAGGTATGTATTATTATATGATAATTTTTCCCTGTTCCCCCCCAACCAATGCTGTCGTTCCTCCAATACCTTAGGTAAGGTAGGTAGGAATACTGAAAAGCCCCAAATGAGTGACTGGAGGAATATGGGCCAGGATACATATAAAAAGTACGTTTTGCCATTCCATGCAGCGCCACATAGTCGCGTCTTAAGCCTTCACGCAAGCCCAGTATGCAGCCCAAGCCGTCGTGGAGTTTCCATTCCACTCTGCAAACTGATTCACCTCGAATCCGTTCTCGGCAGCAAGATCCTCGACTCTTTTCCCCGGCTCAATCAACTCGAATTCCTGGCAAGTGCTCACAATATTCGGCATGATGGGCACTGGAGTCTGATCCGGAGTGTAATGGGTGCCGAAATCAGGTTGCACGGGTGGAGTGAAAGTGTACCATGGGGTGTTGATGCACACTGGCACGTACGCTTGCAGGCCAAAGCAGGTCTGGCCGACGTTGGGGTTCCATTTGTAGAATTGCGTGACGGTGAAGCTGGAGAAGGATTTGGCGATCGAGAGGCAGGTGTCGCCGGATTGGACCGTGTAGAATTCTGAGCAGTCGGAGGGACGGACGGTGCAGACGCAGCCAGCGGAGACTGAGCAGTATTGGGTGCAGTTGCTGTTGTCGACCCGGGCTTCGAGCGTACCGGAGTAGGCTGCTGGGAGGACGGAGCAGACTGCGCTTGTTGCGAGTGCGCTGAGGGTGAGTAGAGAGCAGCGCATCTTAATACTGTGGTTTTCGGTAGTCTTGAGGTAGTGTGTGTTGTAACAACTGATGTGGCTCTTGGTCGCTTGTGGAGATGATGCTGCTGCTGCTGCTGCTGTGCTGGATGAGTATGAACGATCAGAGAAACATGCTCCTACTTATATGTTGCGACAGATCCCGCAGCTCTCACACCAGTCTTGATACCTCCTACCTCCGAAGAGGTAGCGTAGGCGACAGGTCTATTTCCGCGTTGACCATGCCACCGTCCGACTGGATGCAGCCTGCCATGGCGCATGCGAGTAGGCAGAAGGCTCCGCATTGCAAAGGATCAACATCGACCATGAATAAGCGGCCAAAGACGACTGGCTGGTGCCTGCAAAGACTGTGCAATAAAGTGGACTGAAGGATTCGAATATCAAAAAGGATGCTGAGGTAGCATTCGGGTGGCACGATGGCAATTGGACGATGACAATTGGAAATTGGAGATCGAGCACGTTTGGGTTTTCAGCCGCATTGACTTTGGCAATTTCGACGGCAACAACTACACCGACAACAACACCCTCAACACTGCTTCTCGCACGCCGCAACACATGCATAACCATCGCCATGACTGTGAAAATCATCGCCTGCACCCATCTTGAGCTTAGAAGCGCGCCATCCTCGCAGTTACCTGGGTAATGGATGGATGGACAGCCACACAGGAGACACAAACTATACCTGTGTGCCCGTACAGACTCAATTATGAAAGAAGATCACGACTTCACGAGCTGTAAGGATCAAGTATCGCGGCCGGCTCTCTTCATCTATATCGTACCACATCTAAATGATCCGTTTGATCGTCTTTGCGACTTCTTTGTATGCTGCATCGAGTGGCCGTTTTTGTGGACTCCAGTCAATACCATGTCCGTAACATATCCCGCTACGCTGAAGCTCATAGAGATAGATACCAAAGGCCTCAGCGATGCCGCACCAACCGCTCTCAGGTCGTCGAAGATGAAGGCTTCAATGTTAATAGGCAAGCTGACCAACAAGGTATTCGTGGTCACTGGTGTCAGCAGCGGCATTGGGGTTGAAACTCTGAGGGCATTATACGCGATTGGTGCTCACGTGTTTGGCACTGTGCGAAATGTGCCCAAAGGTCCGTCTTCTGCCTCCCATGGTGTCTGTGGGCCAGTCAAAGCCCGCAGATACCTTAATAATCATAGTGTAATCCTCCTGACGTGTACCACTGCCATCCACTGCGGGAAACAAATGCAATCATAATCGCTACCGAATATCGTGACTTCTGTTGCGTGTAGAACGAGGGCGAGGCATTACCTGATGCATACCTGAGGTGTATATGATATGCCACTGGCAAATTGGCGCCAGTGCCCGGCTCGAGAGAAAGTCAGCCCGGCAGACGGGGAGCGCGGATGACCTTAGGTACATTACCCTTCCACTACCTACCTCCTAGGTACCTTACCTGTACTCTAGCCTAATACCGAGTGCAGCGTGCAGTGTGCAGCGCCGTGCAGTGCAGCTCACTCACTTCACATCGCTGTGCCGTCGTCTGTCTGTCTGTCTGCCTTTCTGTCTGTGGCTCTGACGCTTTGTGGCTCTGGCTCCGTCCAGACGGTACCACCACCTTTATACTTCTACCTTACCTTACCTTCCCTACCTGACTCTACCTTACATTACCTACATGTACCTTCGCTCCTCTCGACGCCACGCCACAACACCTCCGATATCTCCCCACCCGGAACCATAGTGGACAACAACAACGACACCACCATCTCCACCACCGCCAACCACCACCACCACGTCGACATCATCCGCGAAACCACCCGACGACCCCGACTCAACCGCGATCGGAGCGTCGAATGTATCCACACTGAGGCCAGCATGGTGCAGCCTCCCAGCACTGGCGGCGGAGGCGGCGGCGGAGGCGGAAGTGCAGCAATGGCCGCACCGCCTGCTCGGCCGTCGCCCATAGCGGGACAATCGACGTCCAATGAATCTCCAGGTCCGCTGTCGAAGAAGCAGTCCAAGATGCCCGCAGTGCCAGGCACTCTGAACGGCCCGCCTTCTGGCAATAACCATGCCATCCCCCTCAGCGCACGGCGTGCGGAGGCGCTCGATCTCTCGACTGTCGAGCGGAGAGGGCAGCCCAATCAGCGCAGTTATCCGACAAGGAAATCGCGTCTGTTCGACATACCGAATGCGCCCATCTATCGACCGACCGAAGAGGAATTCCGCGACCCGATGGAATATATGCGCAAGATTGCTCCCGAAGGCAGCAAGTATGGCATCGTGAAAGTGGTTCCTCCGGAGAACTGGAATCCCCCCTTTGCCATTAATACTGAGGTGCGCAGCCTTCTCCTGCTTCACAGTCCCTTGAGCACTGTCGTAAAGATGACCTGGCTAACATGACGTCCGAGCAGCGTTTCCACTTCCGAACACGACGGCAGGAGCTGAACTCGGTCGAAGGTGGTAATCGAGTGAATAATGACTACCTGGACCAACTCGCCAAATTCCACAAGCAAAATGGACATAATTTGAACCGATTCCCGAGCGTCGATAAGCGGCCTCTTGATTTGTATCGCCTCAAGAAGACTGTAGAGCGTAAAGGCGGCTTTGAGCAGGTGTGCAAAGGCAAGAGATGGGCTGAAGTGGGCAGAGATTTGGGCTACAGTGGGAAGATCATGTCGTCGTTGTCGACGTCGCTCAAGAACTCATACCAAAAATGGCTCTTGCCATACGAAGAGTACCTGCGGTTGGCAAAGCCAGGAGTACATCATCACATCGAGATGATGAATGGAGGTCCCTATACGCCATCTCCAGGTCCATCACCAGTCAAGCGACCACCTGGGGCGACGCCCGGAGAACATACTTCAACGAAGCACGCGTCCGCCGCACTGCATGCTTCGCTCAACGGACACAGTCCGCACCCAACTTTCTCTGGCAATCACGAGATCCTGCACCCGGTGCAGCAGCATGAAACGCCCCAACAACCCCATTATGCAGCACCTCAGCCTCATATCGCACCCATCACAGGTGGATTCACTCCCGTCAATGCTGGCGGTTTCACCCCGGTCAATGCGTTGCCTCCCCCACCGCCCACACAAAGTGGCTTCACTGCTGTCAACGGTATGAATGGAATGCACCACACCAACAGTGGCCATCCGCCCCACCCCATGGAGGGCAATAGCAAACACATGTCCCAACACGCTGCTCCAAGCCCAAATGGCGTCTCGACCCTCAAACGACCACATGCGGAATTGACACCGGATGAAGTATCTCAACTGGAGAGGCGGAGCAAGCGAATGCGGAATGACGTTCCCACCGTGGCTGGTAGTAACATGCACCATTCTCGAATGGGCCCCAAGCAGCTGCAAGCGAATCGCGAACGCGGGAATTATAGCCCAGGCGAGGTGTGCGAGAACTGCTTAACACCAAATGAGCCTCACAAGCAACTGAAATGTGAGAGCTGTGGCGACGCTTATCACATGTACTGCCTGGAACCACCTCTAAAGCAAGCGCCTGCGCACGAGTGGCATTGTCCGCGGTGTCTCGTCGGTACCAATGAGTATGGTTTTGAAGAAGGCGATGTATACTCGCTGTCCGGATTCCAGCGAAAAGCGAATGAGTTCAAAGAGCATCATTTCAACACGATGCCTCGACAATACAGCCCGTTCAACGAGACGAAGCATCACCTGGAAGAAGATGATGTCGAGCGCGAGTTCTGGCGACTTGTCGAGGATATGTCGGATGCCACAGAAGTAGAGTATGGCGCGGACATTCACTCCACCACGCACGGTAGTGGATTCCCGACAATCGAGAAGCACCCCCGCGACCCATACTCTACCGATCCTTGGAACCTGAACATCTTGCCACTCGATAAGGAGTCTTTGTTTCGGCATATCAAGTCCGACGTGTCTGGCATGACCGTCCCGTGGTTGTACGTTGGCATGGTGTTTTCCACATTCTGCTGGCACAACGAAGATCACTACACATACTCGGCCAACTATCAGCATTTTGGTGAGACCAAGACGTGGTATGGTATACCTGGAGAGGACTCGTACAAATTCGAGGAGACGATGAAGCAGGAAGTACCCGAGCTTTTCGAAACACAGCCGGATCTTCTGTTCCAGCTTGTCACTCTTGCAAAGCCAGAGAAGTTACGAAGAGCTGGAGTCAAGGTTTACGCAATCGACCAACACGCTGGCGAGTTCGTGATCACCTTCCCACGTGCGTACCATGCTGGTTTTAATCAGGGATTCAACTTCAATGAGGCTGTCAACTTTGCGCCCCATGACTGGGAACCATTCGGCCAAGAGGGCGTCAGGAGGCTGCGAGACTATCGGAAGCAGCCATGCTTTTCACACGACGAGATGCTGCTCACGGCTGCATCACGGGACAATTCTATTCGTACTTCGAAATGGCTAGCACCGGCAATGGAACGCATGCGCGACGATGAGCTTTCTACCCGTCAGCACTTCATGGGTAGTCTCGAGCCCGAAACAGGAACTCAGCAACAAGACCCCTATACAGGACCTCGATACGGACGTGAGCCCGAGGCCATCGATCCCGCGACGGAAGAAGAGGAAGTGATTTGCACGTTTTGCAAAGCGTATTGCCATCTGTCGCGTTACCAGTGCAAGAAGACGAAGAAAGTGCTTTGCTTGTTGCACGCCGGCAGCTACGAATGCTGTGACGCCTTGGAGTCCGAACGTTACTCTGGGCAAAACGGAGAACATGCGGTCTACTATCGCATGACGGATGATGTGCTCACGGCGACAGTGCAAAAGGTTGTCGACAAGGCTAACATTCCTGAAGCGTGGGCAGTCAAGGTTGCCAAAGAACTGGAGGACAGTGCTCGACCATCGCTCAAGCATTTGAGGACTCTTCTGACCGAGGGCGATAAGATACAATATGAGCTCCCACAACTTCCAGATCTCCGACGTTTCGTAGATCGGTGTAATGAGTGGGTCGAAGAGGCCACTAATTACATCACCCGCAAGCAGACGAACCGACGCAAGAGCGAGAAGGTCTGGCGAAAGGGCACCAAGGCTGCCGAACAAGAAGAGCGGGATAAGGAGCTACGCAAGATCTCCAACATATATAATCTTCTGGAGAGCGCAGAGAAGATTGGCTTTGACTGCCCAGAGATTGTGACTCTGCGCGAACGAGCCGTCAACATCGAAGAGTTTCAGAAAGACGCAAACGCAGCGCTGGGGAACATCCTCGCCAAGAAGACGGAGGACTTTGAAGAGTTGCTCGAGCGTGCCAAAGATTTCCACGTGGACATGCCTGAAATTGAGAGCATCGAGAGAGTCCTCAAGCGTTTGCGATGGAACGACACCGCCAAGGCGAAGAGGCCGAGCCAAGAAACCGGAAAACAGGGCCAGACCTTGAGCGACATTGAGAAGTTCTTGAGTGAAGGTGCAGAAATTGGCGTGCCCGACACCAATCCTGACGTGGCCTTTTTCAAGGAGCACAAAGCGCAGGGCGAGTTGTGGGAGCAGAAGGCCAAGGAACTGATGGCAGTCGAACAGGTACACTACCAGCAACTGGACGCGCTGTCGCGTCAGGCCTCAACACTCCCGGTCACAGTCGAAACACTTGCTGCCGTGGATGCGATCCTGAAGAAGCAGCGGGAAATACAAGAGAAGATTGTGTCGCTCGTGGACCGTAGCAAGGACCCCGATTTCCGCAAGCGACCGCATTACAACGAAATGAAGGAAGTCATGGATGCCCTCGACGAACTGCAGAGTAAACCGAATGGCACCATCGATCTGGAGAAGGAATCCAAGCGACACGAGGACTGGATGCGGCGCGGCAAGAAATTGTTCGGCAAAGCCAACGCCCCCTTGCACATCCTACAGCAGCACATGCACATCGTGGACATGCGCAATCAGGCATGCTTTGACATTGAAGACAAGCCCCGAGGACCTGTCGAGCCCTCTTCCCGCGCAGGAAGTCCCACCGAAGGCGACGCTCCGATCACGGAAGGTAGTACCTCCAGTCGGGATGTCTTCTGTATCTGTCGCAAGTCTGAGGCCGGCATGATGATCGAGTGCGAGATTTGCCATGAATGGTATCACGGAAAGTGTCTCAAGATCGCCCGAGGCAAAGTGAAGGAGGATGATAAGTACACCTGCCCGATCTGCGACTGGCGAGTGAAGATTCCGCGTGACGCCGCTCGACCCAAATTGGAAGACTTGCAAGCCTGGTTCGATGAGCTGGAAACTCTGCCATTCCAGCCCGTCGAGGAGAAGACATTGTCCAATATATGCGAGTCGGGTCAAGTCTTCCGTGATTTCATTCGTCCATATGTTGAGCCATCGATGGAGCCCACCCCCGAAGAGGTCAGCATCCTACGCTTCTATTTGCGCAAGGTCGAAGGTGCCGACATCCTCCTTGCACATGAGACCAATTATCTTCGTCAACAACTGCATCGACTCGCCAAAGTGGCGCCGGAGGCTCCACCGTTAACAGACGCCTCGCACTCAACTCGGAAGCCGCGCCCGACAAAGCAACAGAAGCTTATGGCTCAGCTTGGTATTACCAATCCTGAGGACTTGCCCACGCAGTACAAGATGAAGCCTCATGTTGCCAAGCGCAAACAGTCTGACGTGGTTGGCGGCCTGCCTCTACAGCCAGCGATGAATAGCACTTCGCCGCCTGGCTCCATGACCCCTGGTCTGCCTGGCTCTTCGAACTCGGCACAGCCATACCCTACTGGTCTGACACCTGTGCCGCAGGAGAAGGTGCGCAAGCATCTCACGGCGCTCGCCATCCAGGTTCTTGGTACAACGGCTGGTCATCCTATCGTGGATGAGTTCCTTGCCCAAGAGCCACATGCGAACAGAGATCGTCTGCTCAAAGTCAAAGCTGTTCTGGAGCTCAACGACCCAGCCTTCACAGCCAATCTCGACACATTCAAAACCAAAGTCAACTCGATGCCGATGCCAGCTGCGCACAACCCTGGTCTAGGCTATGAGACTCCCCAAGAACGTCATATAGCCGCCAGCCAGCAGCGACAGGGCAGCCAAGTCCACGAGCCACCGACGTATGCCACGTCGAATGATAGCTATCAACCAGTATCCGCGTTGCTAGGATCAGGGCGCCAACAACGCCTTGGCTCGCCAGCGATGTTCCACGGGTATAATAGCAATCATGCTTCTCCTCCGCCACCCGGATTTGGCTCACAGATGTTTGGAATGAACGACATGTTTAGTACGCCGACTACGCAACCTGGGGTCAGCAACCCTACTGACGACAATCGACCCAGCCCAGACTTCGGCCCACGCCAAGCTGGCGGCATGGCCACAAGTGGCATGTCAGGAGGCATTTTCGACTCACCCAAGCAGCCTGATGTGTCTTCTGCATCTACTACCGGCTTCATGACCACGGCTGGCATCAATAGCCCTGGCTTCGGTGGCAGCCAGCAGAGCGCCGGTGCGCACATGGATAATGTGTTTGCAGACCTCGTGCATGAAGCCGATGACAATTTTGGTGTTCCCGGCTTGGAAAGTGCCAATGATGTCCGAGAAAGTAAAGAACTGCCCACGAGTGCTCCTGCCCCGACTTCGGAAGACATGAATATGGCGGACGCTGTTCCCTCGGACGAGACTCGTCACCAGCTCGATGCGCCAAAGCAAGAGAATTAGGAAGATCTCACGATTGACCCTCAGCTGCTGAACGAGCTCGATGCCTTCACAATGACCTCCACGGACCGGTGTGAACGATGATAGGTGTGGCATCACCATTCGGATCGCCCAGCGTGCATTCGTGGGGCTGGTGCACATCAACCGATACCACCACTCGTCTGATGTGATTGACACAATGATGCAGAGGAATCGCGAGATGAACTGCACGGCGTACGGAACATGGTGAATAAGTTAATTAATGGTTTCTGGAGCGGGTGAGCCTTTTTCTTTCTGATTTTGATATCCAAGCGAGCCAGACGTGCATGGGAAGGATGGGAACTGTACTCTGTCCGCGTACGAGCCTGCCGATGGCGTAGGCCATAATCTAGTACGAGAAGACTGCCGAAGCAGAAAAAGACTAGGTAGAAAGAACGCATGCATACGTTCGCCAAAGATGATTGGATTGCAAGTCCAATGTTGATTTTAAAAGGTCTTGTCCTTTTCTCTAGTTTCATATCATATGCTCACCCTTCTGTTGTGTGCTAACAACACTGCTTCTCTACTTGATCTCGCTGCTGGAGGTACTCGTCGCTGAAGGGGCAATCTAGGTAACCCTCGACTCGTTCTGGCGTGTAGAATGTGCTTCGGTCGTATGGATTCAGCTTCAGACCATGCCGGATACGAAAGGGAAGATCCGGATTAGCAATATAATGCTGCGAGATTGTACAATGTTAGTGCCACACCAGCCACAGGGAATTCATCAATCACATTGGGGGCAATGGAAAGTAAGTCAGTGAAAACTCACCCGACCAAACACCACCGCCACATCAAACTTCTCCTCATCATACTCCACATCCACGGCCTCCCGCGCCGACTCGGGCGTAAACCCGCCCGCGACCAACACCGGACTCGTCTTGCCCCAAATTTCCAAAAACGGCAAAATACTTTCCTGTTTTTCACAATCCACATTATTCACCACTCGCGACTCCACAATATGCAAATACGCCAATTTCTGCTCCTTCAACCCCCGTACCAAATATCCAAATTGTTCCATCAATTCCTTGGGATCAGCGATTTTCATGCCTTGGAATGTACTAAATGGAGATATGCGAAATCCGACTCGGGAATTTCCTACGGCGGAAATGAGAGAGGATGTGAGTTCGAGAGCGAAACGGGCGCGGTTGGGAATGCTGTTGCCGCCGTATTCGTCATGGCGTTGGTTGTTGCAGATGGATTGGGTGAATTGGTCGATGAGGTAGCCGTTGGCGCCGTGGCATTCGATTCCGTCGAAGCCGGCGAGGAAAATTGCGTTGCGGGCTGCGCGGGTGAAGAGGTCGATTGTAGAGTGGATTTCAGAGGGGGTGAGGGCGTGTGGAACGGGTCCTTCTTTTTCTGTTTCTGTTTGAGGAGGATAAGGGCTTGGGCTGGAACTAATTACAGGCCAATTCCCATTCCCTTCTTGTTGTAAGAGATTGGCATTCGCCACTCGACCGATACTGATGAGTTGAGCGAAAATAAAACATCCTTTGGCATGTACGGCGTCGACGATTTTTTTCCAGGCGGCTATTTGTGCGGAATTGTAGATTCCGGGCATGTGTGCTACTCCGCCGTGTTCGGGGGAGATGATGTTCGCTTCGGCGATGATGAGACCTCCGGGTTCTGAGCAGCGTTGCGCGTAGTGTGAGGATACCATGTCTGCTAAGGGGATGTGGTCTTTGGTGACGCGGAAACGGGTCAGAGGGGCCATTATTATGCGGTGCTTGAGGTGCATGTTGCCGATTTGGAGGGGGGCGAAGAGGTTGGAATTGGACGGTGGAGGGAGAGGAGGAGGAGGAGACATGGCTGGTTGTTTTGGAGGAAGGAGGATATGGAGGAGAGCTCTGTGTGATGATTCTAATCACGACTTTGTTATTGTTTTGCAGGAGAGCTGTGTCTTGTGGAAATAAACCTGGAGGAGGATTCAAGTAGTCAAGGGAGTCAGAACAACCCCCTTGTGCTGCTGCTTCGATATTCTTGGTATATTGTCGATGTCTGCTGTTATCCAGAAGTCGGCTGCGAATGACTATCAACAACAACATTCTGATTACTCTAGCACTTCTTTACTACTGCACGATTCTGCCTACGATTAGCCGGCCAAGACGTCGCGCTTGATAAGACGGATATGGTGGAGCAAGGCTGTGGCGATTGTGTGCGATAGGCACATATCTCGGCATATTGTCGCTGAGATTTCGCAAGGGTAGTAGTCATTACCAACAGATTGGTTGTATAGAAGTGTGTATTATGACGGGGAATGTATTCAGAAAGAAATCTGATAAGTGCAAATTGCTGCTATAACTTGCGGTGGGCGAGGTGAAAATGTCCGCGTTGGGCATGATGAAGAGGTTGGTTGGAATAGGAGTTAGAAGAGATAGGAGAGAGCATGCCAAGACCGAAGAGAAAAAGCGACATCACATTCAATTATCGTGGTAGATACCTGACATACATAGGTACCTACATTATGCCAGGTAGGTACTCCTCCAACCGTTGGACTTCTTCCACGGCACAAAGAGCCATGATGATATACTAGGTGAATACACCCCCTGAATACGCCTTTCCGCCATAGGGAACATTCCATAGATGCAACCTGGATCTTGATTTTTCCACAGGGCCAGATACACGCACCAGATGCAAAAGTTATCAGAACTGAACCGGACACACCAGTACTGCCAGCGCCGCGAATAGAACATATCAGTATAGCGACTCGTCTACTCTGACTGTGAGAACTTCCAGCCGAAAGGGGAAGCGGAAGAAAAGATATCGCTGCCACAGGCGATTGGTCTATCCATAGCGGCGATGCGTGCACAGGCTACGTGCATACAGTTTCCAACCTCACCTCTTCGGACAGAAGCTATCCGAAGCCAGGAAGTCACCGCCGCCCTGGAGAGGGTATTCAAGCTCTCCCAAAGACAATACCGTCGATGCCATGACTTAGGATCGGTAACGTTGGCTTTCATCATACGACTGACTGTGTAATAGCAGCCACTCGATATATGCCCACTCTCAATTTCTTCCGACATATGAATGCCTTGCAGAGGCCATTCAACTTTGCACGTGCGACACGGATCGCCGGGGCTTCATGAACCTTTTTCGCTATTGACCGCAGCCCGTGAGGAAACTCTTGCCTGAGAAGTAACTCATGCATACCGAGCAGACGATATTCAACTCTCCAGAATTCCACTTAATTGCCATTCTATGCTCCAAATTTCGACTTTGCGCAGACTTCTGAGCTCTCCCGAGCGTATGTGAACAATGCAGTGTCAAAGCTTGAGCAAAGTGTTGGTCGTGCCAGGTGCGCTCCGCAAGAGGATAGGTAAGCAAAGAGCAACATTAATGACGACGGCACAAGCTACTGGACTTTTCGCTGGAGATCGGTGCTCCAGCACACATATAAGCGAAATCTGCGTATACTTCTGCAGATTCCGTTTGGAGACTGCTATGATGAACATCGAGCAGGCCTTCCAAAGTCAGGTATGAATTGGCTTTCTTTCACATAGGCTTCTATCCGATGTGCTAATAACCTGTAGCTAGCTCGACCGGTCGAGACTTTGCACATCCTACCCATCGCCTGCAGTCCGTAGGTCGACCTCCCTCCTAATCGAAGTCTTTCAATGCAGAAAGAAGGCAGCGGTACGGCAGCCCGCCGTCTCAGCCGACAGTTGCTCGATCAAGCCCCGGCGTGAACAATAGTCGCTAGCCCGTACTAAGGTGAGTCTGAACATCCGCATCTCAATGCACATGGAAGACTATGTAGCACTTGCATCAACAACCTCTAGGCAGCTTGGCTACTACATTTTAACTTCATTCTCGCCATGTTCCAATGTCAGTACTGCCGCATAATGGCTCAGCGCGAATATTGAATGTATTATATAACCGCTATGTGATATGCTTACCTGTTTACGTAGAGATACTATCGTCTATTACTGCTGATTAAACCACGAGTGTGTGAGCAACTCCTTTGCCGTAGGCCTCTCCATCGGGTCTAGTTCCATGACTGTACAAAGAAATTCCTTGTCTCCTAACGTGAGCTCTTTGTCTTCTACCAGGGGAAACGGCTTCCGAGAATCCTGCTCTTCTATTAAGATGTGAATCGCAGCCAGGACCTGTTCCTCTTCTTTGTCGAGATACGTTGCGTAGGTCAAGGGAAAGGGTCCAAAGTATCTCGCTTGCTGTATCAAGACATTTACAGGAAACTCTTCATCATCTGCCGATATGTTAGGAGGCTTGAAGATGTGGAAATTTCGCCCAAAGATGAGGCTGATTAGCTGCAAAAACGATTAGCCACGTCCCATAGCGTGGTGGACAATATATATATATATAGGACTTGCCGTAGCCCCGAATGACCATATATCCGTAGGAGTCGACCATTTCAGGCCCAGCAAGGCTTCTGGGCTTCGAAAAATTGCAGCGCCAATTGGATGGGCTGTGCCGCGAGGGTCAGTCTCCAAACCGACATTCCAAGCGTCGCCTACGAGGTATGATGTTCAGCGACGAATCGATGCGACCTCCTATGAGTTGCCCGAGCTTACCACAGTCGGCCAACTTGGCTTCCACGACTCTTGAACTCTTTGCGTCAAAGTTGAGGAGTATATTGTCTGGTTTAATGTCTGGCAAACATAAAAATTCAGCCACGTCTTATCATATCTTGCAATCAGGGCAAAAAAAGCTAGATTGACAGTAGACCTACCCGTGTGGGCGATTCCTTTCGCATGTAGGGATTCCAACGCGGTGAGAACGCTGCGAGCGATGAATTTAATGTCTTGTCTCGAAAGTTTTGCTCGGCCAGAAGCTTTCAGCGCATCGAGCTCGAGGTACTCCAATGCGAGAAAGGGCGATGGTTCTTTGCCATGGTCGATGAAGCTTCGGAGACACGAATGGCCTTCGAATTGTTGCAAGATTTCTTTTTCACGCTGTATGCGCATCTCAGGCGCGCATTTGAGCACGACTTGGTTCCGCGCCGTGGCACTGAATGTCTCTGTTTACCTTAAATGGCACACAGAAGACTGATGATGTTGGGGGGGAGGAATAGGACTGACCTGGCGCTCCAGACTTGGTTGTGAAGCTTCTGCACAACGACATACACGTCTCGTACGCCCTTGACCAGCTGGCCTATCCGTAGAGACGATGCCATAACAGTGACTCAACAGTTCCGCCCGGGTGCTGGACAAGCGCTGGACAGTCAAGTTCAGTCTTGCACGATGCTCATCGGGTAGAGCCGGGCCTGCCCGCCAAGAGGCGCGTCGCTTCCAGTGTCGCTCGCGTATGCATGCCTCGTCACCGCAATATAATGTGACTTCTGCAGGCGGAGAGTGGTGGCTGTCTCTCTTCGTAATCAACTTTCACCTCACTTTTGAATTTCCTCCGCTAAAAGAAAAGTTAATTCCAACAACATTCGGTTACGACCTAGGTATATACTCGTGTATCAGAGAGAGAGAAAAAGCCCGACGACCATGGCTCCCGGATTTGATCTGGAAAACCTCGCCTCCTCCACACCATTACTTCTATACCTCGCCAGCCCCTTTCTCCTCATCGCACTCATCTGCTCCCTGACCCGTCTCTGGACCACATTCGCCTACTACCGCGCCCTCCAACAATTCCGCCAAACCGCCCAACATGGCCACACCAGCAGTCGCAGCAACAACAACATCGTCACCTCTCCACAACTCCCCTATTCCATCCCCTGGCTCGGCAACGCCCTCTCCTTCCTGAACATGACACCCGGCGGCTACTGGAATCAAATTTTCCGCTGGTATCCGCGCTCCAACGGCATCATGACAATTCTCATGGCAGGAAGAAAAACCCACATCGTATACGGATTAGCGCCCGTGCAAGCTTTGTTCAAAGCGAAAACTCCCAATAGAGATTTTTTTGAACGAGATATGTTTCAGAAGGTTTTTGGCATGTCTGCTGATCAGATCCAAAATGCGGCTGAGGGGAAACATTTGGAGACGGAGATGAATGCGAGGTATATGACGAATTTTGATAAAGTGAATGAATTGACGGGGAAGTTTGTCGAGGTTTTGGAGGAGGTTTTGGGGAAAGCAGAAGCACAAGATGAACAAGATCAACAACAGCCAAAACACTTCTACACCTGGCTCCGCGACAAAATGTTCACAGCCTCCATCACCGCTCTCATGGGCTCCCATCTCCTCGCCATGTATCCCAACTGGTGCGAAGATTTCTTCGCATGGGACAATGATTTTCTCGGATTTTTCTTCGGAATCCCTCCCATTCTCCAACGCACCGCGCATCAACGACGGGAACGCATCTACTCGAATTTAGAAACTTGGTCGCAGGAAATGCTCCGTCGTAGTGGAGGTCAACCTGTCGATCCGGATGGACCGGCGTGGGAACCTTTGTATGGAAGTCGATTGAATCGGGCACGACAGATGGATTATAAAATTCGAGGGTTGAATTCTAGTTCGGGAGCGAAATTGGATGCGGGGATAACGTTTGGATTGGCGACGAATGTGATTCCTGCGACAGGTTGGATGCTAATGCAAATTCTCAATCCAGCAGCAGCATCGTCGAATCTGCTTCCACGAGTGTTGGCGGAAATTCAAGCCTCTCGCCGGCCAGAAGATGGGTCGTTGGATGTGATTCAACTGGTGAGTCAACCTCTACTGCAAAGTATCTGGATTGAAGCATTGCGATTATATTCCGATTTACTGGTGGTACGGACCATGCCCGAAGACCTAATTTTACCTCTGGACGAAGACGGAAAGACACAAGTGCAACTCCGCAAAGGAGACAATGTCTTTGCACCCTCATACATTCCCCATCACGACGAGAGTTGGACCGAAAAAGTCCCATGGGACGTCTTTGATCCCGAACGATTCATCGTCACCGATCCCAAAACCGGCTCGCCCACTTTCGTGTTCAGTAAACCCGGAGGCAAATTTTTCCCATTTGGCGGTGGGAAGACGATTTGTCCGGGCAGGATTTTTGCCAAACAAGAGGCCATTGCCGCCGTGGCCATTGTCCTGTCCCGCTTCGACTTCGACGTCATGGGCTACGTGGACGAGAACAAGCAGCCATGCACCCAGTTTCCCGGCATTCAACGAGCTTATCCGGGCTCAGGTGCTCTGGCGCCCGGGGGTGACTTGGTCGTGAATGTGCGGAAACGAGTCTGGTAAAGCCACAGTCTGGGCCTATCGTAAACAGTCATTTCGGATCTCGACCTGTCTCTGTCATTCATCGGATAACACATCCTATCAGCCCGCTCCTTCTGTAACGACCAAGTGGATGGCCTAGGGTACGAGTGGTGTACATGCCATCATAATAATCATCGAGACGTTGTGTCGTGAGTAACAGAGATGCAAAGAGAGAATTTTTTCAAATGGAAGAAGAGGCGCAGAGTGGCGCAAGCAGCTCACTGCGCATGTTCATGGCATGTTTGTGCTTGCATCAGCGTCTACTGCGTAGATGGAGACCAGTCCACAGAGGCAACAGTGCCCAGCTAGCGTACCTAGTCTAGTGTGTAGTTGTAGCTCGAAGCAGATATCCCACAACACCTCGCTCGAAATCGCACCACTCACAGTGCTCCCACTCATGTACACAGTATCCGCGCAGTGGGTGGACCTCTTGTTATCTTCTGCGGCATGAATCGAGAAGCTGTCGCAGCTATAATTTTGGCTCAAGCTCCTCAAATTCTGATATGTCTTTCACAGGCAGAGGGATGGGAGCGAGCGGTAGCCCAGCTTTCCAGGCCTTGACATCTTCCACGAGCACTCTCTTGATCTCTGGAACACCACTCGTGTCGACATGTTCATTGCTGCCATTGGGCTCTTTCGTAGCTTCCGTCGCCGGGATAATGCCCGCCGCAGGTAAGAGCTGAGGCAGGGCCTGCGCGCCCTGCGCAAGCACCATCTTCGTGCTCTCCTCGTTGAGCCCAACGGCAAGCAGCCAAATGCCGATGGAATTGAGAATGCTTTGCACGTCCCCGGTAGAGACATCAATCTTCTCCAATTCTGTGACGAGCTTGGTGCGATCTGCTGGCTCTACTTGCAGACCCCCCTGTGCGAGCATTGCCAGGACTTGGTCCGCAAGTTTCTCGCACTTTTCGGAATCTGTAGTCTTGGCTGCAATGTCTGCCGGCGAGGACTGCGCCACCAATTGTGTGGCGAAGGTTGATCGTGCCGGCGAGTGTGGGCTGAAGCGTTTCGCATACATTTCCAGAATGTCGTTCTTGGTGAGCGTTTCGAGCACCTCGACGTCCCGATAAACTGCAAGACAATATTAGCGATATGAGAGAAGAGAAAGAGGAGTGCATAACTGACCGAGCTCGAAATCAAACACCTCGGAGACAACATGATGCCACAGTCTGCCACTCTCCTGAGTCAAGTTTCTAAGCTTCTCGAGACGCTTGTTGATGATGCCGACTCTGTGCTCCTCAAATTCTTTGTCTGTCATTTCCTTCAAGGTCGTCTCGAATCGAGCCAAGAAGATGTCAGCACGCTTCAGTAAGTACTCGCAGTCCCGCTCGCTTTGGATGAGAAAACGGAACGCGGTATTGTTGCCCAGGATCGTCATTGAGCCATTGACGATGTAGCCGAGCTGCTCTTGTGTACGAAGCGTATCAAAGACCGGCTCGTGGAGCATCTGGTCCAGGAGAAGCAGCTTAGCGCGCGTCTGTCGATTGCTCGCCTCGCCCACAAAGATGGAATAATCCAGACAGTGATTGACGTTGTTCGGGTTCTTGAGTATCTTCTGCCACGCAAAATTTGTACCTTCTGGCAGCTCAATGTAGCGCTGAGATTCCCACTGCGAAGGTGGTAGTGGATGTGGCTTGAGCGTCTTCTCGACCATGTCTGCTATACGCAACGCGTCCTCCTTGTAGACGTTGCCGTGAGCCATGATTTCGATATGCATCTGGCGCATGAGCGAAGGGATGAATTTGCGCAGATCATCTGCCGTGATGTTGGGTAGTTCGGCCAAGAGTTCTGATGGACTGAATGTACGTTCTTTGGACAGCTGATAAGTGTAGCGTCCAATCGTCCGGAATGGCTCCTGGAGTTCGAAATTTTGGTAGACGCGCATCATGCGCTCCTTGAGTATCTCAAATCGATCGTCTTTGACTTCGAGGTCTCGCATCGTAATCAAGACTTTCTCGAGCAAGACGTGCATCTTGTCGTTGTAGCCACTCACCTGGACCTCGAATGCAGTGGTAACACGCATCAAGTCATATGAAAGACCAGCCAGCTCGGCATCGTACGCATACTCTGTCAAGCTGTCGTCTACAAGGTCTTTGAAGAGTGATGACAAGGCAACGGTGTAGGCGCTCATGTACCCGATCGGGCAGCGCAGGCACACGTAAACATTGGCCTTGGGCACCCAGAACTGATCGTCTTTCTTCCACCACAGTCGTACGTTGGAATCGTTGCGGATCAGCTTCGGCGTGAGTGCAGGAGAGGCGACCTCTTTCTTCTCGACATCGAGCCGTTGTGGAATGAACTCGTTCTTGGCCGGGAGATGTAGCTCAGCGAGATGTGGTCCTTGGGCCACTGCCTCCAGCTCCTGCAAAAAGTCGCGCGGGATCTTCTCCAGCTTGTACTCGGTACCGTACCACTGCTCCTTTTGATCGAAATTGGCCATGTCGCCCTTGAAGTCTTGTGCAGAGATTGTAAACCGGAAGTTGTCTGCACGCAGCGCGCTAAGCCCTCGAATGATGGCTTCGGGATCGTACTTGCGGATCAGGTACTGCCCGCTCAGCAACCACTCGCGAGGAAGTGGCTTTTGCATGACACCACTCATATGACTGCACGTTGCGGAAGCCGGGCTCTTTTGCTTGAACCTGAATTCAATCTCGGCGAGCTTGGCAGTCTCTTGTGTGATCCATTCATGCGGAGGCTCTGACTTCAGCATGGCGATGTATTGGAAGATGGTCTTGATGATGTCGCGGTAGTTCTCGAGCCCCTGAGGCGTCATTCGTATACCAACAGAAAAGAAGGCGGTGCCAGGGCAGACAGAAGAGGAGCCTGCGCTGAGCTCCGTCACCCACCCCTTGGCTTTCAAATATGCTAGAATGCTGCCCGGTCCCTCGTGGCCAATCAAATGTCCCAGATAGCGTCCAGGCATCGACTCATATAGGTCCTCCTCATCCGGATATGGGAACGACAGGTCCATCATGCGCTGATCCATCACGGGCTTGGCGAAAATCTGGGTACACAGCTCCTTCTCTGTCAAGGCTGGCACATTGTCCCATCGCAGCTTGGGCAGATCCTGGTTGGGCACATTCAGAAACAACTCTTCGATCCACTGCTGTAGCTCATCCAAGTTCTCTCGTCCTATCACGCACAACTTCATCCTGTTTGCCGAGTAGTTCTTCTGGTAGAATTTCATGAATTCGTCTCGTATCTTGACACCTCTCGCTAGAGGGTCGTCATGCAATGTCTTGTAATTGCCAGTCGAGAACAGGTGATACGGATGCTCTTTGCCCGCTGTGCTCTTTGTCAACTGCATCATGCGCCAATTGTCTGCCTGCAAGTTCTTCTTGTTCTCCGAGTCCACGGCACGTAGCTCACGCTCCAAGCAGTCTTCCCTGAACAGTGGCTTGACGAAGAACTGCGCAAAGCGGTCGAGAGCACCGTACAGTGGTGCTTCTTCCTTGGGCACTGACAGCAGGCTCGATTTGCTCGTGTTGGCTGACGACTTGGTACTGTTCGATTTTGAGGACGCCGAAAGCTCAAAGTAGTAATTTGTGCTAGTTCCAGCTGTGAAAGCATTGCTCATGCCGCCATATCTGGTCAAATATGAGTTGTAGTCGTTTTCGCCCGGATATTTCTCTGTGCCCATGAACAGCAAGTGCTCGACCGCATGTGCCATTCCCTGCATATCTTCTGGGTCTGATAAACTGCCCACATTCACATCCATTGCGGCCGAAGCCTTGTCTGTGTCGGGATCATGGATCAAGAGCGCCTCCAGCTTGTTCGGCAGCTCAATCACACGATATGATCGATTATCGAGCAAGGGCTTCTCGAGCTTGTCTGCCAGTCGCCGTGTGCCCTCTGGCCGGCTGTGCAACACCGTTTCGGCATTCATGTCGGAGAAGGTGCTGACCGCAACGACCGTAGGCCAGCGCAGTGTAAGCGACGAGGAGAAGGAGGCGGAGGAGACGTAGGGAAGAGGACTGGAGCGATTGGCGTGGCGTGGCGTGGCGTGAATCGGGTCGGGCGAGATGAGGTGATTCTGGATATCGAATGTGTGTCAGATGGTGAAGGAGAGCGAGGCAACTAAAAGTACAATGGTGGAGCGGAATGCAGATATACAGTGGAGTAGAAAGTGGTCGACAGCTTAGTATTGTCCGTCGAAGGAGAGGGAAGGTATGCGACCCCTACGCTTCTACCTAGTAGGATTCCGTGTCTCCAAAACCATCAATGTCATCACTTCTCTGGCGGCGACTCCCTCCCGGCGCACAAGGACGTGAAACGAACGGCCCTACGAGACTGGCTTTGACAGGCAGGGAAGCGTGGTCGGGCGGGATGTTTACTTACATTATGCTGGGATACTACAGGTACTACACTGTTGTATACATTGATATATACCGGTCACCGGGAGTGCAGTCAGTAGTTGTTACTATAGCTTCAAAGGTGTCGCGTGCTCGCAAGTGACCGCGTCTTGGTCTTCGCTAAAGTGGCAGCCTAGGTACATGTAGGTAGACACTCATCTGCTAGATTACATGTACATGTACCTACATGTAGGCGACCAACATTATGAAGTCATAACAACAGGAGTACAAGTAGACTGTAGTTTCGCCCCCATACACGTAATATGACTAAGATGGTCTGGAGAACACAGAACTCATGCGGTAACTAAACTACGCCAACGCCTTCGCTAAGACCAAAAACAAACGTAAGGTATGCATCTCAAGCAGCATTCTTCTTCTTCTGCTGCAACAAATAACTCGCCTGCACACCCGTATCCACTACCAACACAGTCTCCTCCCCTTTCCCCAACATGCCCACTTCCCCCTTCTTCCCACCATCCATCCGCTCCCACAACTTCACGCTCCCGCCCTGAAACCGCATCACACAACTCGAACCCGCATACGCCACGCGATCGCCCATCTCAATACTCTCCCCATGTTCCATCTTGACAAACCCCTTCCCGCCACCCTCACTCCCACAGCGATTCGCCAACACCACGACAATCGGCTCAGTCGGCTGAGAATCCACAAACGGCCAAAACCGCTCTAACCAATACGCGACCGTCTCCATATCCGGCGTGTGCGGAGCCGTGGCTTCGGTATCCTCGGGCGTGAGACGTGTGAGCCACGCCATGGAAACAATCACCATGCGACACTCGGCGGCGAGCATGCGGGTGGCGAATTCGTAGTCGGTCCAGGGCGTTTCGAAACGGTAGGGGTTGATGTCCATGCAGATGCCTTGACCGACGGGACCGAGACCGGGTAGGTGGGAGGTGTAAAACGGTTTGCGAGAGGGTGTGGAGGGGAAACCTTCGGTAGCCCAGGTTTCGTCGGTGTAGTAGAGGAAGGACTTTCGGTAGTTGGCGAGGATGTGGCCCTCGGGGGATATGGTGACGATTGAGTTGTAGTTGGGGGTAGAATTACCATTTGGAGTGGTGGGACTCGAACTGCTCGTCTTCTCGGGATAGCCTACGACGACGTGACATTGTCGTTCTCGAGCGGTCTTGATGGCCCATTGAGTGGTGATGCCGTCTGTTGTGGGTTCGAGGTACGGAGTGATGGCTGCCAGAGAGGGGAAGTTGTAGCCGCTGAAGGCCATTTCGGGGAGAACGAGCAGCTCGATATTGGCGGTACACTTGGATAGGAGGCTGTCGGCATGCCGGATGTTGGCTTCCACTGCCCCCAACTTGGGGTTAAACTGGAGTATTGCTATCTTCATCTTGTCCGCCGGAGGGAGAGTTGTGTCTGTACCTGGAAAGGGCCCAGTATAGCAGGACTGGTTGTTGAAGAGATGGAGCTTGACAAACTTTCTATATCATAGTTCTATTCGACGAAACTTGACTCAAGTCAGCGGGATCTTCTGTCGGAAACAAGTGAACATTGTTCGACTTGGAAGTTGGTGCCTGGATGTGCTCAACCGCATAGTGTTGAGGTATAATACATCTTCTTTTGTCGCACCACCATCATGTCCCACGATAATCCTGATGGGAGGGCTTGAGTGGAATACCCCCGCCGGCCCGGGCCGACACGACTATCAACGCAACCGAATACATATATTGACGTGTACGAATGCATCAACACTCCAAGTTAAGTATAAAGAGTGCGCTATGAATCGTGAATATTGTTCATTCGTTGGAGTTCTAATCTATCTACATACATCCAGCAGTCTGGAATCCCGCATCTCCCGATTTTGTACACCTTACCAGCTTCCATGCCAATTCTCCTCCGCATTGCTGATCCAACCTGTCCATCATCATAAAAGCACCATTACCTATGTACAAACGTGACACATATCCCGAGTGGTGTACGTACGTCGTGCGCACCCACGCAATATCATCCAGCTCTCTAAGCCAAAGGCCATCGACTCTTCAGTCCCTCCGTCCACCGACCATAGAGCACATCAGACAACATACTGACATGTTCCATACCAGGCTCCACTTTCGCTCCAGGCATCTTATCTTCCAATCGAGCCCTCTCTTCCATGGCCGCTTTTTCCCGTTCGGCATGTAACTGCTGACTCGATCTCATCTTCTTGAGATGAGGATTTTGCGGATTGAGGACGAGTTTGCTCGGACTCGCTGCGCCGGTACTCTCGCGCTTGCTCGGCGATGGTTGCACTGCTTTCGACGGCGATGATTGCGGTGTGAGACTTCTCGATGCGGAGAGTTCTGTTTCCGAGACCTGCACTATGCTCTTTTTCGAAGGCGAGAGGCGGAGAGAGGCGAGTTGTGCTTGTGCAACTCGTTGGGGCATCAGGGCGCTTGCAAGCTTGGGATCTGCTTGAATGCGGTCCAGCATGCTCTTCATGAGTAACAGCTCGCCTTCGGGATCGACTTCATCAAGCCTGGACCACGCTTCGGCGACGTTGCTCAGGGCTTCTCGTTTGGTGCGATCAGCAGTGGCGGCATATGTTTCTTGGAATGCTGGGTCCAGGCACTTAGCAAAGGCTCTTCTCCCAAGAACTGCCTCCTTTGTTGCAGCTACAGGCGGCGGAGGAGGTGCATCCATCGGAGGCGGCTTGTTCTCGGAATCGCTGTCGAAGATGCTGTCCTGAGGCGAGCTCCCAGTCTGCTCTGGCGGCGTTGATGGACGGTGGCCAGAACCGACACGTTTGAATTGTCGTACCGTGGAGGTGCCGTTTCCAAACGACATATCCAGCCCGAGCGGCTGCTTTGGCGGTTGTTGCGAACTGACTCTTCTGGATGTAGGCGTCGCTCCGGAGACGTTGCGACTGCTCACCCTGCGTGCAGTGGGTGTTGAGCCAGACACTTTGCGAGTCGATGCTGCGGCAGACGCTTTGCGCTGTGTGCTACTCGGGATAATCCTATGGGTACCCAGGCCGCGAACTTTGGGCGTTCGGATGGTGCTCGCTTCTCGCGAAGGTGTTCGGATCGATCCCGACAAGGGCGCTGCACTCAAGCTCATATGCTCCAATGCAGAGGTTGCGTTCTCGACATCAGACCCATCGCCTGATGGTATCCGCTCCAGCTTCCGGCGCTTCATGGTAGGAGTCGCCTGTGCCTTTGGTCGTACGCTCGCACCGGGCTTGACTGTATCGAAGACCCATTCGTCATCGTTCGCAGTGTGACCCATCGATCGCAACGTCTCTTCGTAGTATCGGACATCCTTCTCGCGAGCGGCGCCATTCTGCTCGTAGTCCTTGGCCCTCCACACCAGCTCTTGCAACATCTCTGTCTTGCCTGCGCGCTTGATCCAAGCGTGCTTCAGCAATGACTTCGCACTCGGCCGCTTCTCGGGGTCCTTGTTGAGGCAGAGCGAAACAAACTCCTTGAACTCTCGGGTGAACCTGGTGCCCTCCAGTCGCGGGGGCTTCTCTTTCGGGATCAAGAACAGCACCTTCATGGGGTGCACATCGCTACGTGGCGGCTCGCCCAATGCCATTTCCATGGCAGTGATTCCCAGGCTCCAAATATCAGCGCGAAAATCGTAACCGGCCTCTTGTATGACCTCTGGAGCCATCCAAAAGGGCGTGCCGACAAACGTCAATCGCTGCGACTTGATGTTGGTGAGCTGTGCCGCCACCCCAAAGTCTGCAATCTTGACCTGTCCCATGTCCGACAACAAGATATTGGCGGCTTTGATGTCTCGATGGATCTTGCCGGTGCTGTGCAAATAGTCCAGACCCCGCAACAGCTCTCGCATGATAATGACAATATACTTCTCCTCCATGCCCTTGGGACATGACTTTAGCAGATCCAGACACGAGCCTCCTCCCAGATACTCCATCACGATCCACAGCTTGACGCCTCGCACAAAAGAAGTTCGATATCGGGTGACATATTCGGAGCTGCAGGTAGCCAGAAGTGATATTTCGAGCTGGATCTCGCGGATGTCATCGTCACTGCCTTCGAGATCGATGTGTTTGATGGCGACGTATTCACCAGTCGGCTTGTAGAGCGCGCGATAGACGGTGCCGAAGGAGCCGCCTGTAACAGAACATGTCAGTCTACTTCTCTTCGCCTTTTTCCCACTCTTTTCTCTTTTCCTGCTCGCGGTGGAGGGTAAATCATACTGCCCAGCTCCTCGAGCATCTGATAGTCGTCCGCCATGCTGCTGTGCCCGACTAAGATGATGGCGATGCGTTGATTGCAGCCACTGTGTCGGATGATTCGGACAGATAGGTATAAATAATGACGGGTGAAGGAGGAGGAGGAGGAGGAGGAGAGGAAGAAGAACAAGAACAAGAAGCTGCCGCCTCTCTGAAGGTTCACGGAGGTCTCAGATAGGGGCAGCGTGTGGGAACAGAGGTAGTAAGATGCAAGGTCGCAGTGGTGGTAGCAGCAGCATCATCACATGTCATGTTCATCCAAACCGACTGTCTGACTAGATGTATGTATGTAGGTACCTATACAACCTAAGTACCTTACATAGGTACATAAGTGACTTGGCGTTGCGGCGGTTCGATCAACAAACGGGGCGGATTAGACTGCGTCGCCGCAGCAACCGTTTCGGAGATCAACGCTACCTACCTTACCCTGCCGATACGAAGATTGTTTGAGAGCGGATCGTGTGTGTGTTGATCGCAGGTTGGCATTTGCGACGGAGCGGAAAAGGATGAAGAATAATAAATACATGAAGTCAGAATAAAACAGTATACATGTGATGATGTAGTAGTAATACATATTCGCTAGACAAGACAGCTCGAGGAGTAGTACTTGCATATGTGCGACCTGTGGAACAGTGGAAGTGGATTCTATCCCTGCATAAAAGAAAAGGCGACGGCCCGCTACCTCCCGTTTGTACCTAGGTAAACAATCAATAATTGAATAATAAAATAAATGAAATAAATAAACCCATCTCTCTGGACAACAGCCGAGATGAAAGTTCATCTTTCCCCCATCATCAACATCATCATCTGACTCTAATTCTACCTACTGGCAATAAACTGCCGCAGAACCCATCATCCTTCCCGCCCCGGCTACAAAAATTCCCGTAGCCTTGTCCCGTGCACAGTTCATGGACGGCAGGGCAACCATCCAGTCTATCAACAACAAAACAACAACAACAACAATGTAGTGAAGTCATTCATATAACATTGTGAACCTATCCACCGCCACCACCACCATCAAGAACCGCATAACTTATTATCTAACCGTTTTACACGTTGTAAGTGACAGATGACTGCACTAACCCATTGTTAAACTAAGCTCCTCTGCTCACATGGAAATTGAAAAAACAAAAAGACGGTAGGCCGTTGAGGACAATCACAAAACGTTCTGGGGAAGGAGAAATATTCACTCGAACCACCACAGGAAACAGGAACAGCCTATCTAGGTATAGCCAGACAGACAGGCAGCCTTACCGACCGACTACCGCTAAAAAAAGATGGCAGCCGATAGATACGAGGTGAGTGAGTTTAAATATATAACTGCCTAGGTACCTTACCTACATTAAGCGACTTATGACGAGATCCTGTTTTTTTTTAATTTGTAGGCTGTAGGTACTGTATTGTACATCCTTACATACATGGAAGAGGTAGGTAGTGAAGATAGTCAGTTTTTTCGTTTGCGTCCGATAAGAAACTGCGAAATGTGTATTCACTACATGTACTGGTGCAAGTCAAAATGCGCGTGGTATAAGTAATTATTTTCTCAGGTGCCATGACAAGCATGCTACAATACGCTGGATCATACACTCTCACTTCTACTTGATTCTCAGTGAACAATAAACAACAAAAACACGAAGCAGGGCAATTCGAAAACATCATGTCGGATCCATGAGGTATGAACGATGCATCGAAGCCATGGTGGATGGACGGATCTAATCCATGGGGCACTCTTCCATCAAATGTATGCTGGCCGTCAAATGGACCATTCACATACATCATGCCTGGTAATGGACCCTTCGCATATATCATGCCTGGAAATGGACATCCACAGCAGCAGCAGTTCCAGATGCCACCAATGTATCCTACTTCCCGTCATGGGGACTCTGACTTCAGCCTGCTAGGAAGTCCCCAAAACCCACAATGTCCCGGCAGTATTCGCCAAAGCTCCCACAATGGAGTCTCATCCATAAGAACCGGACGTGATGGATCGAGCGTCTCATTCCTTCCTTCAGGAAGTCGTCCTGGAGGTAGTCATGGTGCAAGCGCATCTCACGCGGAAAGTGCTCGCCATACATCTCATTCCGGCAGTGCGCGTCCCAGTCGTCATGCATCATCTCGTGTCGACGGTGACATTCGTCCAGAGGACAGCGCTTCTCAACTCCCAGGAAGCGTGGCAGGTAGAAGCAGTGCAGCGGCAACGTCTCGGGCCAGTAGGGACCCGGACACGGTGGTATCGGGCGCGACGTTTGGTTCGGGTCCTCTGGGTTTGCATAGGCAGCAACCTCGAGGACCAGCACCATATTTCAATGCCTTTCAGGGTCCGAGAGCGTATGCTGAACAGGGATATTGGGGCTAGTGATGGACACTGTGACCACTGACAGAGAGTCTTGCTGTCGAGATTCTGATTATGATCTTCCTTCCAAGATGTACATAATCATATCGCCCACTCTCGAGGATCGTCGGAGGCAGTGATGAAAGGCTCATCAATCTGTTTGACAGCCAATTCGCTGCAGAGCACGCTGAAAACTCGTGTTAGTACGGTCATTCACATATTGAATGCCACAACTTCAACATACCAACTGCCAGCGACCAGTCCATCTAATTCCCTGACCATGCCCTCTCTCCTCTTCCCAAGCGCAACCCCTCTGCCAATCTCTTTCTGCAATTCTCGAATTCGTTTCCCCCTCCCCATACCAGCAATCTTCATGACTTTCTCTCCCAAACAATCTGCATGAAAAGCGTGCTGACATGGAAAGACGAAGAATTGCCTCATCAACAGCGGCAGTCTACACTCCCAACATCTCTCACCGGGTTCCACAATGGCATATCTCTGATCCAATGCCACTATGTCCCGTTTAATATTCTGTGCCGTAGATGCCGATTCGTCCATTTCCTGTTTGAGAGAGTCTATCGTTCTCGAGTACTCTTCCAGTGCCGCGCAAATCTCCTCCTTGAAGTCGTCGATGATGACGAAATCCGGGAAGAAGGGGATCAAGTCCTCGATCCGGAGCAATTCGCAACCTTTGAGAAACTCAATGGCAGACTTGATGCTTTTGTTCTGACCAATGACTTTCTTGGCGACTTTCAGCCACAGCTTTTTGCGCAGGATGGCGTCGTTGTCCGGACGATCGGCGACGGCGGCAGCGAGTTCGACTTCGTCGTATTTGAGGGCGAGATCGACGGCAGATGCGTACTGTTGCATTGTCGTGTAGACGTGCACAGCTGATTGCACACGCTTGTGGGCTATGCAGAGTCGAAGAGCAAAGTCGGCATCGTAGAACTGTTCGTGATTTTGCGACTGTGATTTGAGGTATTGGAGAAGTGCGGTTTCGTCTTGGGTGGGGTGCGCAGCGTATATCGAGATTAGAGTATTGTGTACTGCTGGCTCGGACGTGTGGGTGTGATTGATGCAGAATTGCAGATAGCGAACTGCTTGATTTTGGCTGAGAATCACATTGCTGCCATGGACTTTGTTGTAGTTGAGGAGGGCTGGGATCATCTTCTTGGTGTCTAGTGCCGACTGGCGCATTAGCACTTGTATCAAGTCCCCAGCCACATGTGACATGAGCACAGTGCTATAACGATAGAACATCTCCGGATCTGTTTGCTTTGTGAGAACAGTCATTGCTTCTGGCCAACGTTCTCTGTTGATCCAATATGAGAGTACGTAATTGTAGTCTTCAACCACATTAGCAAAGTAGAGCAGCTCCTCCTCTCGCCCATGAGCACTGATGATTTCATATATGGTTTTGCGGTCGAGATCCGACTTGTACTTGTTGACGAAGTCCTGATACTCCTTTCGTACGGCAGGAAGTTGCTTTTGTGTGTCCCCAGCAGTGGTGCCAGTGCCACTGGCCGTCAAATCCGCTTTGGTGGAAATGGTATCATCAAGCTGATTGAGCTTGGCCATGTAAAGCTCCACCATCCAGCTTGCCAGCATGATGCGCTGCATCACATTGCTTCTCTTCAAGGTCGAAAGCTTGACAAGCAGGTACTTGCGCAAAGCGTCATGCTCACCCTTGTCAATGAAGCTGAGCGCCACATCCTCGAAGGCCTTCGTACTCTTGCCAAGGATTGTGGCAGCTTCTGCAAACTTGCCTTGTGATATGAGGTGGTCGCCAGTCATTGTTGCGACGGCATCCTTTTGCTCTGTTGTCTTGGCATACTGCTGTGCGGTCTCGTACTGTCCCTGCTGTAGCATGATCTTCCAAACATCTCTTGCTTCGTCATTGACGACAATTTCGAATATCTCTTGGGGCGTGAACAGCCAGTACGTGTTCTTCTGGTGATCAGCAAACAAACCAAGGCTGTTCTGCCCGCTCTCCAGTATCTGCTGGTTATATACGATAGACTCATCCAGTCGATTGATCGCAGTCAATCTCCCTTCTACAAGAGCTATCATGTGGAACTGTGTCAAGACCATCGACGACATATGAGGCTGCGTGGCACGATTGCGGCCACTTGCTGCTTGTACAGGCGGCAGCTTGGATTGTGGGAAAAGCTTTGATTCGCGGAAGACCTGTTTGCCAAGAGTGACAAGATCTGGTACCTCTGTAATCAAAGTGCCATGATAAATTCCCTGGGCGTTGAGCCAGGCATATGCGCAGTCGGCATCGTGGCGGTCTGAGCTGGCATGGCCTCCCTCTGGAGGGTCTGGCGAAGTGGCGAGGCACGCAGGCGCATTGCCTCCAGCATGACTGACCGTATACTCATTTGGCGTCTCGCTCTCGAACAATTTTGCATATATAGACCCTCCCGACTCGTAGCCCCGTCCCCCGGTCCTGCCGACAAAGTGCAGCAGCTTGTGCTGTGTCGCAACCAGCACTCTGCGGGTCTCGGGCTTCTGCACCAGCACATCGGCGTACAGGCCGACAACAGCGCCATCCTGCGGATTGTAGACATTCCGCAGGTACTTTTCAGAGCTGCGGTAAAACTCGGTGCTAGGCTCGATGTATGTCTCGTAGATGTTCCCGTCCGTCGTGCCGAGGAGGATCTCTCGCGTGGACGAGGTTGGCGTCGAGGCGTTCCAGGCAACACTCTCAATCTGCACGCCCTTCAGCTTGCTCAGCGGCTTGGGCTGACGCGACTGCACGTGCAGATAGTAGTTCTCGCCGAGGGTGGTGGAGATGAGCAGGTGTGAGGCGGAGGGATCGATGAACAGCTTGCGAATGACGCCAATCTCGGCAGGCCGCTTGGGCAGGTCGATGTCGTCGATGTCGGCGGCGTTGTCGAGGTCGAAGCGCAGCAGACGGCCGGTGGAAAGGGCCAGCACCAGCACATTGTTGGCGACCTGCGCAGCCACGAAGTCGGCCGATACGTCGAACTTCATCTGGACGCGCTGCACCTCGAACATGGGCAGCGCATCCTCGTCACGGGCGCCGCCCGCCGCAGCGTATCCTCCCAGCGCGTCCATCGCCGTCGCCATCGCCATCGCCAGTTTTGCTTTTTATCGGGACATGATTGATGCCGACCACATGGAGCTGTAGTGAAGTGCGAGGGGAGCTACCCTGCCTGATATGTTCAGTACCTTACCTTGCAGATCTCCACGCTGACGTTGGTCGCCGAGCTTGAGCCTCATCTGAGCCGAAATCACGTGACTTCGCTGCATTTTCATCTACAACAAACTCAATTAATCCATCTTCTATGTACCCGAAAACCCATCCTCCAGCACTCGAAAAAAAAAAACAAATCACAGTATCGCATCTCCTCTTCTCCATCGAACTGTACCTACCCACACCTCACCTACCTAGTAGTAATCCTCCTCCCCCAACCCAGAAAAATCCCTCCCAAACCTCCAATCAGCCTCCCGGCCCGCCTCGGGTAGGGTCAGCGGCCGTCTCGCTCGCATCATCAAATCATACAAAACTCTCTCTTCTTCGCGAGTAAACGCTCTCGGATATTCTCCCGCCATCACCCTCGAAGCTTCTGCTTGCCGGAATATGGGATCTGTTAGGGGAGTGTTGTGACCAGAAATGAGAAAAGGGAGGGCTGTGTGGTAGGATGTGTTGCTGTTGCTAGTGTTGTTGGTATTGTCTGGAGGAGGGGTAGTTGACCATCTTGAAACTGCTGCTGCTGCTGCTGATGATGATAATCTCGGACTAGAATGGTGAGTTTGTGCTTCACCATTACCGTCGTTTGGGGCGTGGAGGGTTGTTTCTTCTTCTGTGAGTGGCAGAAGAGTACTTCGTGATCTGTTACTCCTCGTCGAACGTCTTCTTCCTCGAGGGGAATGGGAAGGGCTTCTCTCGCTTCTTGTTCTTGTTCTTCTTCGACGACGACGACGATGATGATGAGGTTGTGATGAAGCGTTTGTAAGAGGAGGGGAATGGGACTGGAAAGAGCTTCTTCTTCTTCTCCTTGGACGAGGGGAATTTGCTGAAGTGGGAGATTGAAAAGAAGCACTCCCGCTGGGGTTGAGTGGCGTTGAGGAGTCCGGCGGCCAAGGGAATCGATGTACGCTGGAAAGTCTGCTTGGGCGAGGGGAAAGACGCACTCTAGATCCCATGTGTCCAGAACCATGACGACTTGTTCCTGATTGAGAGCCACCTGAATGAAAAGGTAACGGTAATGGCAATGGCAACGGCAATGCTTGCAATTGCTGATCATGATCAGGCATCATGTACGTAAAGACGCCACCTGGCGCATACACGCCTGGAGGAAGTGGGCCCCATGGATCCATCGTTGGCTGCTCACTCGGTCAAGTTCTGGATTCGTGGAGTGAAGGCAGAATCATTCTGAATACACGTATGGCAAGCATATATGAATGCTGCTGATTTTTTGGTCATCAGATTGCATCTACGATGGCGAGATGAAGAAGATTACCGATCAGGTCAGATCTTCGACTACTGTCTGCAGTTCGGCAAACTGGATCCATTCTGTGCCTGGGCAATGGGTTGTGGGGCGGGAATGGGTTGGGTTTGTCTTGATATGTGCCAAACGCCGGCATCATCGTTTGTCGTAGTCAGAATCTCGCTATCGGCCCCTTTTGCGTCCATCGGCGGTGAGCTTAGGAGGAGGCCCAGATGGCGATAGTGTCCATCGATCGTAGAGGAATAGTATTGTCCCACAATGGATCGGCGTCGTAATACCAGCGCGAAAGACTGCTGGTGCGAACAGGATCATCTACAATGTTTGTTCTAGTGATTGGTCACAGCGGTAACACTGATTGCGACATGCAGTCACTCATCTGCACTCCTTCACGGGTTTCTTGAGTCAACATCATCCAGAGGAAGAAGGTTTCATTGATTCATCATTCACATCTATGCGTCTATTGCGGAAGCGCGTACGCATAACCGCGTCTCAAAAGAGAAGAAGGCCTCCCTCGCGCTCGTAAAGACGTACGCCGCCGCCCTCCTATCTATCATGCAATCAATCAACTCATACCAAAGCCACATACTCAAACCAGGCAGCAAGCTTGATTACTTGTTTGGCGTTGTATTGATCGATCGATCGATCGACCGATCAATCCTCCCTCAGACCTGCACTCGCCTCTTTCTCAGCAGCATCTTCAAGCTTCCCAGACTCATCATCATCACTGCTCTGCGCACCATACTCTCTTGACTTCTCGTCCAGCTCGGCATCCGTCAGGAAGGGAAGTTCTTTGCTTGCTCGGACGTAAGAGATCTTCTCGTGGAAGCCTTTGGCGAAGATGAGATCAATTTCTTCCAATGAACGGCCTGCCGTTTCAACATAGAAGAAGTAGATGATGGGCAGGAAGGCAGCGTTGATGGCGCCGAAGACGAGGTATGTGCCCCAGGAAACTGTGGGACGACGGGCGTTAGCGGCGTCGTCTTGGGTGGAGAAGATGGGGAAGTGGGACTTACTGTTGGCGATCATGACAGGAGTGATCATTACGATGAGGAAGTTGAAGAGCTGGCATCGCGTTAGTTATACGCCTTGCAATGGCAAATGTGTTTTTCTCTTTTGTTGCTCACCCAGTTCGTGCAAGTCGACACGGCATTGGCCTTCGCTCTCGTCTTGATAGGGTTGACCTCCGCAGGGTACAACCATGGGAGCGGCAGCCAAGTTGCACCAAAGACCGCGATGAAGAGGAAGAATCCGACCACGGCTCCCTTCGCTGCAGAGACGGTTCCAGGAATCAAACAAGCCATCGACAACAGCATTGCAGCGCTTTGTCCCACTGTGCCCCACAAGAAGAGCTTGCGACGACCGACCTTTTCAATAATGAACCAAGATGTCGTGGCGAAGATGGCATAGACGATCATGTTGACGCCAGAAATGATCAGACTCATTTGTCTGGACATACCAACGCTCGACTCCATCAGAATTGGTAAATAGTATATGACGGCATTACAACCCCCGATCTGTTGGAATAGCTGACTTGATGATCCGAGTAGCATTCTTCGGAAGTGCTGAGTCTTGCCCCCACTGAAGAGTGCTCGGTAAGGAGTGTTACCGCCGGCATGGCCAGATGCTCGAATACTGTCCATAATGATACCGGCTTGGAGCTTGACTTCGTCGTCATCACGGTGCTTGCCTGAAAGAGCAGCGAGAACGGTCGTCGCTTCTTCGTGGCGGTCTCGAGTCAGAAGCCATCGAGGTGATTCCGGGAGCCAGATCATCATAATGGAGAGGAAAAGTCCGAAGATGACTTGGAAGGCGATGGGGAAGCGCCATACGAGCTACACACGCACACGTCAGTACATAAGCCATAAAGCACAGTCGCTCCTTGTCGTGGATGTCTCCTGATGAATTGGGGTCCCAACACTTACGTCTGCTGATCCGAAGGAACAACCGAAATCGATCCAGTAGGCAATGACAGTGCCAAATGCGATGATACCACCTTCGATACAGATGAGCAGTCCGCGGTTCGTAGTACGTGAGCATTCAGCTTGATACGTGGGAATCGTGGACGTGTTGATTCCATTTCCAATTCCAGTAACGGTTCTGCCAATAATGAATTGAGCTGTCGCGCTATGGCCCTTGAACGCGGTAATCTGGATGACAACTCCCAGGATCATGATGACACCGCCGAGGATGATGGCTCGTCGACGTCCAATTTTGTCACCATAGGCCAGTTGGAACATGGCACCGAATAGACAGCCAATCTCATAAATGGCAGTGACGAAGCCCTGCCACGTCGAGTTGTCCCGGACTTCGGGAATCGTGTCCGCAAACTGTGTTGCTGATATGATGCCGGACATGACTCCTTGGTCGTAGCCGAAGAGCAGAAAGCCGTTCGTGGCCACAACAGAGACCATGAGCGAGAGGGTACGCCCGCTCAGGCCCATGTAGGTAGGTATACCATGCTGGGTCTCGCTAGACCGTGCGGCGAGGACACCCATACTGTCGAGAGATGCCTACCAGAGGCGTGGTAGTGTTTTGTGTGATTAGATCGAGACCGCAATCATTCGGACGATGATGCGCAGCACCGATGATCAGAATGATGAGGGGAGAGCGAGGAGACAAGGTAGTGGGTTGCGGAGAAAGATGGTTTAGCACAGAAGGGGGAAAAGGGCTTTCTTTTGAAAGTGCCCTGAAATGTAACTCCAGCAGGCCTTTCCACCCCATCAACCATGGTGACTACTGAGGCTCCACTTTGACTCGTCGCACACAGAGCAGCGAGAGCACATGGACAGGCATTCACAGACGGCGCGGTGGTCGCTAGAGAGGTCCGGTATGGTTCCGTCTCACCCTCTCACCCTCAGAAGTAGCTATCTCCTAGCCATGGAGGGCAGTTGGGTGGAGAGCAGGAGATGCCGCTACGTCAGACTATCCACAGCAATAGCATGAATGGGCACTATCAGTCGTCGCCGTGCATCCTGAATCCCCATATCGCCCACACCGATGTAGGTCCTAGGGTCTGCCGCACATGGCTCTGTGGCCTGTGCCACCTTTGGAGAAAAGCCGCCCCCGCGATGCCCGCCCACAGCCCACACTTGTGAATGGATCCCTGGATGAGGAAAAAAAAAGTGGATGAAAAGGATGGAGACGCTCAGACGCAAGGTGAAGTTGTCAAAGACCAAAGACGCTCATTCGCTCGCGTCACGAGGCTGTCCCTGGTTGAGGCTCGGCATCAATCTCTTTCGAGGAAGCCGAAACTCTGCCTGTGCCGCCATCGTCATTATTATGGATACGGCTCGAGTCTTGTCACATGCTTCGAATGTCTTGCGTGCCTTAGCGAGCATTGGGCAAGCAGCGGTATGTATAAGCTTGCCATGAGAGGACTTGGCATGGTCGCTGAGGCCTTATTCAGTAGACGATCGTCACTTTGTTGAGAGCGGTTGGCGGTGTTGCAAACTGTCTCCCGGCAGCACATGCGCTATTGCACCACCCTGCAGTATCATTCGGTCCGCACGAGGGCCTGCTATTTCTACCGGTAGACTTCTGTCGCAGTACGGCTTGTCCTGCAGATATAGGGCCGAAAATGACTCGGGAATCTTTCGTAGGTTGAGTAGGTAGGTACCTGATTGTCCTAGGAGAGGTAAGATATCTCAAGAGTTGGAAGCTCTGTACCAACAACCTAGGAACAAACGCCGTTGCACCATATCTGCGGTTACACCATAATTGCGGAGCACTTCTCTCGAACAACATCCCTACAGTGGAGATGGGACACGGGGCTCTACAGCGCGGTACGTGAAAGGTAGGCAGGTTGAGCATGTGAGGCTGAGAACTGCTATCTGGAGCAGAGTGGGACATACCTAGGATAGCTTCTATGAACTATACACATCTAGAAGTACACTCCTGAAAACGAAATACTCGCCAAAACACCCGGGTGTGCAATTGACTATACACTCGAAGAGCAAGCAGGATTGAATATAGGAAGACGCTCGAGGAACAGGAGACAGACATGAGATCAACTGTACCCAGCTCTTAGAGTCTCTGTAGAAGTAGATTTCGCGACCAGAATTGGTCATATCGCACTGGGCAGTCTTCCACTAGGTATAGGAGGAGTCGTTCCATCCAGTTCCATTTCTCCCCTGAAGACCAGGCTCTAGAAGGTGGTCAAATGACCAAGTGTATCAAGCAAATTCGTATCGGCTTTCCAGCGCTGCGCAAAGGCAATATCCAAAAACTCATGTATGTCCTGTAGGTAGACGAGGAAAAGTCTCCAAGTACATGTTATGAGAAACTGGTCCGACCCGCTCTCGAAGATGTGTTACTTCTCGACCTAAAAGCGAGAATATCTAGAAAATCCCTGGTATGGTATAAGAGCGTCCAGGCTCTTGGCTCACTGAGAGATTGTACTATAGCATTGAGGTGTGGTTCCGCTTGCGTCCATGGGCTGGATCAAGAAGCCGCAATATCAAGAAGATACGTCCATGGCGCGAACGTGAACATGTGAGAGAGTCGCGCTGCACCTTATACTTGCTAGCGGTTTCCAAAGCGATGAGTCTGACGTTGCTCCTTTGGTTTAGGTCAGGATGACCGGGCAGTGTTGTCGATGGAAGGTCAGCGATTGCTCATTCAAGGCAGAAAAGGTAAGCCAGTACCTACTGGCAACACTGGCAACTGGGTGGTTATAGGCGGGCAGCTCGGAGGTCATGGACTAGCGTGAAGTGAATCTTATTGGCCAAAGCCAGAGGTAGATTGCACAAGAAGACCCTCCGACCCTCCGCGTCCGTTGGAAGCAGCAACGTGGTTTTGTGGACAGCCTAGGCGGTAGCCGTCCTTCTCCTCTTGGACGAGCTCCAACCATTTTTAATACACTCCCACTGCCCACTCTCTCGACTCTTTCTCCATCTTGCGAGAACCACCTGACCTCCCTTCCGCTACCACCACCCACCTCCTCGCACGCCGCGCTCGACAACTCAATACCGCCGCCACCATGAACCCGCAAATGTCCGTCTCCCACCCCCGCCGCCGCCGCACGCGACACTCGTTGCGCTTCGCGAAATCCCATCATGGAACACTGAACTGATATGGAGACAACAGCACCAACCTCGTCATCATCCTCGTGATGATGCAAGCGTCGAAGAAAATTCCCTTTGAAGACCCTCAAGTCCTCATGGGCGTGCGCGGACTCTACATTGTCAGCAACATCATCATCTTCGCCGTCTACATGTACACCAAGATGCAGATTGACAAGAAGAAAGGTACGTGCATGTCTTTCACTTGTGCTTACCACAGCCCGCCCTTGTACGCGACGTGTATGGAAGAGCTAGGAGAGATGGGGAGAAAAAGAAAAAAAGAAAAAAGAAAAAAGAAAAAAAAAAAACAAGGCGAGCGCATAAACTGACCATTGGCGTGATTGGCCGCAGACATGACCGTCCTCAAATACGTCGAGCCCGCCCCCATGGGCAGCACCGAAGAGCCCAAAGCCGTGACGACGACCGTCCACGCCTACGACCAGCAACAACTCAAGGGACTGTTCAAGTCGCAGCTCATGGGTCTGGGCATGATGGCCGTGATGCACTTGTACTTCAAGTACACCAACCCTCTTCTGATTCAATCCATCATCCCACTGAAGGGCGCATTCGAGGGAAACCTGGTCAAGGTACATCTGTTGGGTCAGCCCGCTTCGGGCGATCTGAAGAGGCCATGGAAGGCGGCTGCGGGCATGATGGGTGCTTTGAACCAGGGTGCTGGTGAGATCAAGACGGATAAGAAGAGCATTGAGGCTGCGGAGAAGGCTGGCCGTGGAGGTGCTAAGGAGGAGTAGAGGGGATACCTAATTGAAGGTACCTTTACCTCCCAAACCATACCTACAGCTCTTGTGACACATCATGCGCCATGCTCTGGATGGGGGAACATGTTGAAAGCAGAGAAGAGGCGCGAATTCCGCATCATTCGTCAGTAGATGAGGCTGATCAGCTCTCGGCACACACACACTGACATGGAAAAAGTGAGCGATGTCCGGCTTGTTCTTCACTTGAGGCCATGATCTTTTCAGCACTCGAGCACGAATAGAGAGACGGACGAGGAGTATTGCAGTTGAAAAAGTGAATTTTCGTGGAGTGTCGAATAGCTATATTCTCGCCTCTCCCAAGGCTTTCGTCGTGTTCCAACGTGAGTTGTCGTGTTCTGTATCTCATTTGGTGTCAATCATGTGACAGTGCCGTAGCACCCACAGACCCACTCACACACACACTACTACCGCACAATCATGTTCTCGTTACCAGGTCCGGTGCCAATGTACTTGACGCGGATGCCTGAAAACTCCTCGATAAACTCCACATACTTGCGGGCGTTCTCGGGAAGCTTGTTCCAATCCTTGATACCAACCGTGTTGCTCTTCCATCCCGGGAAGGTCACATATGTGATTTCGATGTTCTCGAGAATGGTCAGGTCCGCCGGGAAAGAGTTGAGCTTGACGCCGCTGTGATGGTATTCCGTAGCCACCTTGATCTCGTCAAAGTCGTCTAGAATATCCAGCTTGGTCAGGTTGATCGCGTCGTACCAATTGATGGCATGAGAGAACTTGACGACCACCAGGTCCAACCAACCGCAGCGTCGGCGTCTGCCAGTAGTGACACCATACTCCTTGCCAATGTCCACGAGCTTGTCGCCAATCTCGTTCTGAAGCTCCGTTGGGAACGGTCCTGACCCCACGCGGGTAGTGTATGCTTTGACAACACCAATGACTTCGTCAATCTTGCGAGGACTCAGATGTAGTCCAGTCATCACACCGCCGAGGCCGGTGTTGGACGACGTGACGAATGGGTAGGTGCCGTTGTCGATATCCAGCATTGCGGCTTGGCTGCCCTCCACGAGCATCTTGACATTGCCCTTGACAGCAGACTCGATCAACGGCACCTGATCCACCACGTAAGGCTTGAGCTGCTCGCGGTATTTGTCAAATCTTGTGATCTCTTCCTCTGGGTCATACTGCAGCAGATCGCCATATCGCTTCTTGTATCCATTGTAGAGATGTCTGACTTTGAAATCGAAAGTCTCCTTGTTAAAGACCTCGGCCATGTGAATGCCACTGCGAGTAGCCTTGGTGGAGTAGGTTGGGCCAATGCCCTTACCGGTCGTGCCAATGTTTGCCTTGCCGAGCTCAACCTCTTCCAAGCCGTCGACTCGGGTGTGGAGGTCGAGGTCTACATGGCATCGGTCGCTAACGAGGATGCGGTCCTTGGTGTCTATTCCCTCCTTTTCAAGCTGCTCGATTTCCTTGAAAAAGTTTGGCACGTAGACCACGCAGCCCGTGCCCACGAGGTTGACACAGCCGTCGGTCAAGACTCCCGAAGCTACAGCAGTGTCAGTTTGTGATCGCGTAGCCCCTGGCACAAGTAATGCACTCACGCAGAATGTGCACGTCAAACTTCTTGCCCCCCTTCACAATGGTGTGTCCGGCATTGTGGCCGCCCTGGGCTCTGCAGCACAGCTGTATGCCATTCTGTGCAATCACGTCGACGATTTTTCCTTTGCCTTCGTCACCCCACTGCGCACCGAGGATCACCGTCGCCATGTTGGTCGTGGAGGGGGAGGGGGATGAGGAGGAGTGGTGGTTGGTCAACGTTGATCGCCATTTTGTAAGAGAAGTAGTTTTGAGAGTCAACATGAAAAATGACAACATCTCTCGCTCGCGCCGAGCCCCGCCATCGCCATGGATCTGAGAAGCCCTGACGACTGACTTGGCCTGAGGCAACAACCTACGTAGTCCTCCCTCCCTTACCTCCTTCACCACCGCGACAGGGGCAAAGGGGGAATTAGAGCCGGGGCCCGGGTGGACGGGGCGGTGCGGGCAGTAGTTCTACCTGTTTATTGGTGCTCTCTCCCACGAGACTGGGTGGGTTGGCGAACAAGAATAGAGCGACGCGGCCTCCGTGGCGATTCACGGCAGCCTAATGGACTTCTCGGACACCTGACGACTGCGGACGGACGACTGACGATTGACGATTGACGACTGACGACTGACGACTGACCGCTTGAGCACCTCATTTTTCATGACAGCAAACAGTACATCTTGACACAAACAACAACACCAACACCAACAACAACACCATGCGCATTTGCATCTCCGAGCATCGAACAGCACGACAGCAACAACACCAACAACATGACTCACGTGCGCTGCCCTTTCTGCAACTCCATCCAGGGCGACGAGTACATCATCCAGCTGCACATCGAAGAGTTCCATACTGAAGACTCGCCGTTCGTCCCTCAACGGGGCGAGGCGTCCACGTCTGCCCACGGAACCCATGCATCGCTCAGCAGTCAGTCGATGCCGGATGATCTCTGGACCAAGTGTACCCGGCGAGGGTGCGGAGAGTACATTCAGCTATCAGCTATCGATGAACACCTGGACTTCCATGCTGCTGCCGATCTCTCCGAGATGGACAACGGAGAGCTGGCTCCGCCATTGCCACCACGGAGAAGTGTGAGTCCCTCAGCCAGTCCGCCACCACCACTGCGCACATCAATAGGCCGCGAGCTATCCGAGCAGTGCAAAGCTAGACTTGAAAAACAGCGGTCTAAGATCAAGGAGAGGGGGAAGGAATCCTCTTCGGCTCATCGCTCCTCCATTTCTCAGGCCAAAGATGAGCGACGATCAACTGCGAGTAGCTTGTTGAGCTACTTCTCGGGCACCTCAACGGCGCTCACTCGCTCCAATCTCAGAGCACTACAGGCACCGCAGAATCCTGGACGCCTTGGGAAGCGTGAGCTTGGTCCACATGCTTACGAGAAGAGCATGCCTTCCGGAGTGCGCAAAGCCCTCATCTACGGCGCCGAAGCTCAATTCACGCAACGTATTGGCAGTGATGGAAAGCTGTACACGCATCGCTCTGTGCCCAATGAGACGTGCGGCCTTCCGCGAGCCATTGCAGATCTTTGCGCGCTTGAGGCGAATACAGCGGCAACATACCTCTGCCATCCCAGCACGAAGCACATTTACAAGATTGAATGCGACGGCAATTTCTGTGGCTTCTGGTCGAGTCAGGTCGTTCTGACCTACATCCAGCATGTGGACCGAGAGGGACCTCAGAGCATGCCGCATGTCATTGAGATGCAGAGCATCATCGAGGACGCGTGGAAAAATGGGATCTGTGCGTATGACAAAGTTCAGACGGGGGGCATCCTCAACACTCGGAAGTGGATTGGCACTACGGAAGCGTTGGCCTTCTTCACACAAATCGGCGTCAAAGTCGACGCTCTCACATTCAAGGATGGAGAGGACGAGCACGAGAAGTCGGGGGTGGAAGCCCTTCTGGACTATATTGAGGCCTTTTACATGAGCGGCATGGACACTGCAGAGAAAGTCGGCACATCTCACATCACCCAGCTGCCCCCAATCTACTTTCAGCGCTTTGGGCATTCCATGACCATCATCGGCATCGAGAGACTCCAGGACGGTTCTCGGAACCTGCTTGTTTTTGACTCCTCGTTCGCGACATCCACGCCGATGCTTCGTCTGACGGAAGGGCGACGCGCGCGAGCATTGGTTGGCGATCTCTTGACACCGTATCGCCGATCCGACCAAGCGCTGAGCAAGTGGGACGAGTTTGAGATCCTGATGTGAGTCTTCTTCTTTTCAAGCTTCTTCTGCTCGGGGCTGGATCTGCGTTTCTGTCTCGAGATGATACTAACACCGGCAGTAGTCCACAGTTGCAGGCAGTCCGTCTCCATTAGGGTAGCATCCGGGTCTTTCAGAATCGGTTCGGCAGTCACTCAGGGAAGTCCTTGTGAAAGACTTGAGGTGTCCGTCCGGTGTGAGGCATAATCCGACGACAAACCAATGCGACGCTCGCGCATCGTTGTTTCCGGCATTTCGAGGCAACTGTCGGGCTCTGCCCCAGTCCCAGGGTGTTTGCGCATTGGTCTGTGAAACATTTTAGGGGATCGTGTTCATCCCAATCGTTTGGTACTCGCCATGTGTCACACTCTGCCGTCCGAGGACTAATATAGCCCATTCGCCGTGCGGTAGGTAATAAAAAGTCTTGCGAGAGTCGTTCTGTTGACCCCGCGCATGCAACAGACGTCGATGGCAGGTGATCGATCCTCCTACAGTCGCGGTGCTCGTCAGGATCGGCCCTTGGACTGACGTGATACGTGATGCGGCCTCGTAATACATGTACCTCCTCCTCCTGTGCAAATGTGTCCCTTGCTCTGCCTCTCCGATCAAACGATGCCAACATTGCCCAGCCACCAGCCCACCACGGAGAGGTTTATCCACTTGGCGCCACCCCGGCTTTTGCAGTGTGACTACGATGGCACTACTACGGAAGATGGCTTCAAGATGACCCGACTCGACCACAGCGCCATCCCCGCTCTCCAACCCGACTATTGCCACAGAAACTTCACAATTTTCACAAGACTGCGACCGGCACCAAGAGTCTTCTTCAGTCCTGCTGTATGCCCAGAAGCAACGGAGGACCTTACCCTTCCCAGCTCTCTCTTGGCAGCGCTCACCCGAGCATCTTGGGCCAAGTTGTAACTTGTAAGTCACTCACTCACTGTATGGCTGACGGGCGGTGCTGCAGGTGCACAATAACAATAATCATCATCATCATCATCATCCCCCCTGGACGCTGGAGCCGATTCCAAGCGTGTACTCCGCATGGACAAAAGCAGCCAAGCCAGTAGTCGGTCTTCCACCTGGAGATGGTGGGCTGCGACACCATGCAGAATCTGGAGATATGGCACGAGCATGCAGGGATCTCTCCTAGCTTCGGCACACCTTAGAGGCCTCACGTGGCACTTTGAACTTCTGTGCACCTCCTTAGCTCCTAGGCCCGTGAAAGAAATTTGCAGGTACATGTAGTTCGGACGTGTAAAAAACTGTGGTTAATAGGGCACACCTTGCCGTGAGCCCATCTTCGTCTTCCCCTTTCATCTCACACGATTGATCTCGTGTTTTTTTCTTTTTTCCTTTTTTCCCCTTTTTCATCCCCAACGATCAACCTCCTTGTTGTCGAGATCAAAACACCATCATCATGGGTCTTGGCATCAACAAGCCGGCGGACGTGCCTGGTAAAACATGGCCTGCTATTGTGATTGGTCTTTTTGTGGCCTTTGGTGGAGGTGAGTGGGAGATATCGAATCATGAATCCTGCTTTCGAGACAATGTGACTGATGTTGATTTCTTCCATTCGCAGTGCTTTTCGGTTATGATGTTCGTTGAGCCCCATGGCATCCATCTTGAACGATCACCTGAGACTGATTTTGTATGTTTGTATGATGATAGACGGGCACCATCTCAGGCATCTTGGCGATGCCTTACTGGATCGAAGAATTCCGCACCGGTGACAATGAGGGCATCACGTCTTCTCAGGACTCGTTGATCGTCTCTATCCTCTCGGCTGGTACCTTCTTTGGAGCTCTGACAGCTGCACCTGTGGCAGATCTGATCGGACGTCGACTCGGTCTGATGTTCTCTGCTGGAATCGTCTTCAACTTGGGCGTAATCCTTCAGACCATCTCCACCGATCAACCACTACTCATTGCGGGACGATTCTTTGCAGGTTTTGGCGTCGGTCTCTTATCTGCCATGGTTCCTCTATATCAATCGGAAACTGCTCCAGCGTGGATCAGAGGTACCATCGTTGGTGCTTACCAATGGGCAATCACCATCGTGAGTGAAATGAACACGTCTTTGGCATCGTCTCGTGTCAAACTGACACACACCCCCTTCAGGGTCTCTTCCTCGCCGCCATTGTAAACTACTCCACCAAGGATCGCAACGACTCGGGAAGCTACCGCATCCCCATCGCGGTGCAGTTTGCATGGAGCATCATCGTCGTCACCGGAATGATTTTCTTGCCAGAGACACCACGTTTCTTAATCAAACAGGATAAACACGACAAAGCCGTTGCTTCGCTTTCCAAGCTGCGACGACTACCCGGAGACCACCCCGCCCTCATCGAGGAACTCGCTGAGATTCAGGCCAACCACACGTATGAGTTGAGCCTGGGCAAAGCTTCCTACATTGACTGCTTCAAAGGCTCCATCGGCAAACGTCTCGCGACAGGATGTGCATTGCAAGGACTCCAACAACTCAGCGGTGTCAATTTCATCGTATGCGAATATTTTTTTTTCCATCATTCATTCTCCCTCCCTCCCCCCCCCCCCCCCCCTACCTTCCAATTGTTTCCATTTTTTTCTCCCCTCTCCCGCCTCCAGCATACTGACTGACCGACTGACTGACTGACAACAAATTCAATATATAGTTCTACTACGGAACGCAATACTTCGAAAACGCCGGATTCGAAGCTGGTGGATTCACCATTCAAGTCATCACCAACGTCGTCAACGTCGTCTCCACTCTCCCCGGTCTCTATCTCGTCGAGAAAATGGGCCGTCGCGGTTTACTCTTGTTCGGAGCCATTGGAATGTGCACTGCGCAATTTATTGTCGCCATTACGGGGACGGCGGCTTCGGCGGATAATATTGCTGCACAGCGTGCTGCGATTGCTTTTGTTTGTATTTGTATGTTTTTTTGATCATGATTGCCACTCTCCTTTGCCAAAAGGAAAAAGAAGAAGGAGAAGAAAAGAGAACCGGGGTGTTTCTTCTTCTTCTTCTTCTTCTTCTTTTACCTGATTGACGCGATGCTGACGAAAAGGGGGGTTTTTTAGACATCTTCTTCTTCGCCTGTTCGTGGGGACCGGTGGCGTGGGTCGTTACAGGTGAATTGTACTCATTGAATGTCCGAGCAAAGTGTTTGTCTATGACTACTGCGACGAATTGGTATGAAAATCCCCTTGCATGAGTTGATATTTCGAAAAAGAAAAAAGAACGATTTGCTAACCTTTGGAACCTATTATTCGCTTTGCAGGTTACTCAACTTTGCAATTGTAAGTACCTAAGTTATTACTTACTTCCGTCAACTTCACCATTCGTGACAGGGAAAAAAAAACAAAATTTCTAATCTCGCGCGTCCAGGCGTATTCGACACCATACATGGTCAACGAAGAACACGCAAATCTCCAATCCAAAGTCTTCTTCATCTGGGGCAGGTAAGCAGGCCCCCCCCCTAAAAAAAAACTCCCCCAAACCAATCCCAATCCCATCTGCGTATACCAAAAACTAACCCCAAAACACCCAGTTTCTGCTTCGTCTGCATCGCATTCGTCTGGTTCTTCATCTACGAAACCAAAGGCCTCTCCCTCGAACAAGTCGACGAGCTGTACAGTCGAGTCGACAAAGCCTGGCTCAGCACCAAATTCCGCCCCGAAGTCAGTTTTTTGGAAGTCGATGCTTTGCAGAAATCGGGGAGAAATGTGAGTATTACGGAAGTCGCCGATGAGAGTGCTAGGAAGAAGAGTGTGACGCATGTTGAGGCCGATGGGGCTGTGAAGGAGGGGTGAAAATTTTTGGAATGGGGGATGGGGGATGGGATGGGAGGGTGGTTGTAATAGGTGGTGTGGGGGTGGAGGGCACTTACTCACTCACTACCTGACTGGACTGGACGGACGGACTCTCGAGAGAGAGAAGTGTTTTGTTTGGTTTGAACAAATTAGCATTAGAGGTGGAGATGGAGAAAGAAATATATGTATACAGCTGAGGTATTGCGCTGTGTACTTACCTACCTACCTACCTGATGCATAATGTAGGAACTAGCATCCTACTGATTTTCTTTCTTTTTTTTTCTTTACTTTTTTTTAAAAAAAAAGAAAGTAGTACATTGGCATTAAAATTTTCGAACCTAACCCTACAATCTAACCCTATTTTCTTCCTACAGTATTAAGAAATAAAATAAGACAAAAAAGTTTCAAATAGAATGTTTTTTGGTATCAAATGTCCATTTCCCCCACTACTCCTCCCGCTGAACTTTAACTCCTCGCTTCGCAAAAACTTTAGTGAAGAAAAAAAAGAAGAAAACAAAAAAGACTCGAATTTCTTAGCCAAACACCTCCATCAAGAAATCATAGCGAATCTTGAGTCCCATATCGCGTGCCTGTGCCGTGAGCTGATGGCATTGATCCGAGAGGATTTCGCCCACGACGGGAGCGCCACAGTACTGTTTTGAAAAAAAAATCTATGTTAGAAATGGGATGGATGTGCAACACTAGGTATGCATGGGGGGATGGATGGATGGATTGATTTGATGGCGGGGAAAGAAAACTTACAAAAACACCAACTTTCTTCTCCGTGAGACCATCTTCGACGAGATTTTGAAAATGTTCATTGAGAATCTTTTCAAAATCCGGTCGTCCAAAGTGACTTCTCTGCTTCAAGCCCGTCAAAGCCGAGTAGGGCGCGGCTTTGGTGCGGTAGCCATCGAGAATGTATCGAAAGACGTGGGTGGAAATGTTTTTCCGCTTAGCGGTGATGTGGGTGTGGATGTTGAGGTCGAGTTTGCTTTGCTCTCGCAGGGGGCCGGCGCCTACAATTGCTCGATTGAGCAGGTCGGAGAACCAGAGGAGATTGTTCTTTTCGCGGACGGTCCAGTGGAAGTCGACGCGACGTTCGGGATTGTTGCAGCGAGGTCGTGTAGTACCCGACTGAGTACTCTCGAAAGCAGTCGGGTCGTCTGTGGGAGCCTTCTCGGTGTTCGTCTTGGCCTCAAGGCCGTTTTCGCCTTCAATGACGGGTGTGGAAGCTTGTGACGAGCGGCGAGAGCGCGAGTAGTGACGAGAGGCACGCCTTGACGAGAGCCCTCTCGATGCAGAGCGCGAGCTACGTCGCGATTGCCATGGATCTCTACTGTCCTTGTAATTCTCCTCGAGATCCGTCAGGATGGCAGAGAAGGGAGTGATGCCGATACCGCCACCGACGATGATCGAGTAGTCGTAGTCGTAGAATCGCTGAGCTGGGGCACCAAAAGGCCCGTCAATACCCACCTTGATGTCCTCCTGCTTCAAGCCCAGTTCTCGTAGCCCTTCGGTCCAATCGCCTTCTACTTTGATGTGAACCTGCATTTCGTTGCCGCGGCATGCAGAGATTGTGAATGGATGCCATTGAAAGACGCTGATTTGAGGGACTTGCAGCAGGAGATATTGGCCAGCGTTGTACGACCAGTTGGTCCCATCCTTTGTCCTGATAGTCACAGAGACTGCATCGTCGTCGAGTACTTTGAGTGTCGCCGGCATGCTCAAGAAACCCCGAATGAATCTTCGGGCACGCTCAAATATGACCAGCAGCGCCGGGAAGGCCAGAAAGTAGCCGAGCATGGGTGCCTGCAGGAGAGCAGCAGTTCCGTGGGCACAGAGAAGGCCAATCAAGGGAAACATGAGCAGATGTGCAAGCTGAAATACTTCATAGTTCCATTTTCGCACCACAGGCATACTCATCAGACTGATCAGCCAGAATAAGCCCAGGGACACGAGCCCGCTCCATCCCGGAAGTGTACGTACAAAGTCTACGTATCGCTTGGGTGTGGCCTCAGGCCCCAGGTATGCTGCCAGATCATCCTGTTGTGCGGGTCGAGAGCCGTACAGAAAAGAACCGGTGAGATGACCGATGGCATGGAGCGTGGCAAAGAATAGACCGGCAATGGACATGATGATGTGGAACTTTTGGCTGAGGTCCCAGTTGATGACTCTGCTGATCAGCCAGCTACGCCGCAGGAATGTGGACAGGTGCCTGCTCATCGATAGAAGCATTAAGACGAAGGTCGGATAGATCACACCAGCGCTGGCTTTCGCCAGTATCACGCCCCATCCCAGAGCTCGTCGTGCGGGCTGGTTCTGAATGTAGATGATCATCTGCCAGAGTCCAAATGCGACCATCCACGCCACGACAAAGGCGATGAAGATGATGTTCGGCCCATGAACAGCCAAGTAAGCGCGAAGTCGTCTTCGATAGGGAAGCTTCTTTTCCTCTTCCTGCGCCTCTCTATCGGCCTCTTTCGAGTCGCTCTGCTTCTGGCTCGGAATGTTCCAGGTCTGGACGTGCCGTATAAAGTCTTCTTTGCTCAACTTCGCGCCGCACTCTGGCATGAGCTGGCATAAAAACGCATGCAGCCCATCTCCATTGTCGCCGATGCTCTTCTCAGCATCGCGTCGCGCCGGGTGCAGAATGTGATGTTTTTGCAGCTGTGGTGCGATCTCTTCATGTACTTCATGCAGTTTCTTGTCGAGCTCTTCGAAATTGACGTACCCATCGTTGTTGCGATCCAAGTCCTTGAAGAAGTCCTCAATTTCTTCATCTGTCAATGATTTGTAGTTTTTCGAGATGATGGGCTTCAACTGCTCCATTGGGGAGGTATGGAGGATCAATGCGAGAAGAAGTCTCCTACCGGTCTGGCTGCCTTGGATCGGGCGCGGTCATCATCATAAATACTCATCACACAGCTCTTCCCGCTCCTCGGAGTGAAGAATAGCGCCATTGGAGCCAAGTGTCGCTGTAGCTTGGGGGGACCAAACAAGAAGCTGGTATCTGATTCGACATGGCTGGGTTGGCCAGTGAAAGTGTGCTCCCGCGAGGCTGATAGAGTTCACGAAGCGTGAGAGCACGTCGTGCCAACCTTCATGTCGTACGCCAAGACGATATGGTGACGGTCTAGACACATTGCTCTTTGGCAGTTGTGCCATCCAATGCCTTGAAAGAGTATAATCTGAAAAAAGAAATTATTTGGTGCGCCACAATGTGGTGAATTGTTTTGAACAGCAAGATGTGTTACCGTGCAGTGTTTCATGGATTCATTCATTCTCTAGGTCGTCAAGCATAATGTAGTCGCTTCATCATATCTCATGTTCATTCATCATATGCACTTCCGACCTGGGATCGAGCGAAGGGTGTAGGCCCAAGTCGTGCATGCTGCGCGCAATCTTCACTGTCGCATCTGTCTTCTTCGTGGTGTCCATCATACTCGCGCGCAGATTTTGCGCAAAAACGTCTGTCACGGCGCCTGATATGTCAACCTCGCGCACTCCTCGCAACTCGCCAAAGGGCTCGAGCATCTCCTCGAGATCTTCATTGACCCGTATGCTGCCTTCGCGCTTTCTGATGATGTCGCTCTTGACTTGGTCCAGAACGGCATTTCCATTCACGACCCGGATGGCGACTTTGGCGAGTCGCCTGTCTTGCTGGTGGTGAACTTCTGCCCGTTCCGCCTCGTTCTCGGACTTCATCTCAGGTGCAGGTAAAAGTTGAGGACTCAATCCATTGACGAGGCGTTGGACTTGTTTTCGTAGTCCATGGGTCAAACCTTTGCCGCTCACGTTGTACTTGATCATGCCCGTGTACGAGTCGACGTGGTCGAGATTGACGACGACACGTTTGACGAGTTTCATATACCTCGCAGGCAAGAGTTCCAAAAAGTCATACTTTCTTTGCGGAGTCATTCCAGAGAGCAGCAGCCAGTTGAAGCGGAACGAGACACTGAGATATGTGATGAAGAGAAGAAATGTGTTGTCCCCATACAGCATACCTGCACATTCATCATGTATTTGTCGACACACGGACAGCAGGCGGATATTGCCCTTTTGCCAGACTATGTGCGCTGCCCTGGAATACCCTGTGTCGCTCTGCGGAACCATCATTCCACGAGTGAAGCGCTTCTTGACGGCAGAGAAGTTGCGGGCATGCTGGGCCAATGGATTGGGCTTCGAGTGCTCAATTGTGCGTGGCAGCAGATATCTGTATATATGTTCTCTTATCTCCCGAGGCAACCTCAGAAAGGGAAACCTGCTGGCTTTCAATGGACTGCGTGAGCGTCGCTCCAATTCGTCGAAGCTCTCATGGCGAAAAAGGAGAGGCGAGCGGGGGGCGATGGTGGTGGCGATGGTTGTCGGGGCAAAGTGTGGTGAGATGTAGTAGTCTCTGCAGTTGTAGTGCCCTGTGTCCATAGCAGATGTAGAAAGTAAACAAAGCAGCTGAAAGGAGACCGAGGCGGAAGTGAATTATATCTCCCCGAGGACCCCGACGGTAGAACTACCTCCTAATTCCAGTCTCCAGAAGACGGATGATGATAATGAGGGGCGTGGAGCCGGGGTGAGTTCCCCTGGCTCGTGCTCTACGCTAGTGGATGCTTGTGAGCTATTGACGAAACCACTTTCTCGTTCCCTCTGCAATCTCTCCTTCTCTTCTCCTTCTTCTTCTTCTTCTCTTCACATCATCCAACATGCAGACCATCAGCCCGAGTGCCCTTCGTGGGCCGGCATCAATGCTCGAGAATGTCGCCTCTGGATGCTTGCTATCCTCTTTCCATAGCCCCATTGAGTTTGGGGTCATCGTCTCCTAACTCATACCCTCACCGCGCCAGACGAGCTCCTTGAAGTCGTCTGGTATCCCAGAACACTGTAATCAAGCTACCAACATCCTGCACTACGAGACAAAAGTACCCTAGCATCAGCGCCGACGCTCATCTGATTGCACCCAAGTTGCTTATTGTCGACCATTTGCAACGATGCATTTCGACTCTCTGCCGAACGAGTTGCTATCCACCATCTTTCTCTCTCTACCCAGCATATCATCCGCCATTTCGCTCGCCTCGACTTGTCATCGATTCCACAGCGCCTACCACTCCTCCAAAAAGCTCCTCATCTTGCAAGAAGCTGCCAATGCCGAGCTGGGCCCCGTTCAAGACATTGTCCAGCTGTTGACTCAGAACGCATCTCAACCAGCGCACGTCCAGCGCAACGTACCCATCTCCGAGGCCTTTCTTCGCCAGATCGTCAAAGCGGGACGTGTGGCTCAGCGCTATGAAGAGATCTATATATTCAAAAAGTGGAAGACAGACTACGCCAATCGCCGCGTGTTAAACAGTCAGGAGAAATACAACTTGAGGCGTGCCATATACCGTCTGTGGCTCTTCGATAAAGCCTTCCACACATCTGCGCATGTCCGAACGTGCCGCAGTCTGCCCGAGGTCGTGCGACTCCGAGCTGCTCTCTTGCACAATTGGACGACTGCGGAGCTCGCCGAGATGCTCGACGTGCATCTCATCCTCCGCGACGTGATCGCCAACAACGTGTGTCCCTCCAACGGCAAAATCAGACAAAAGTTCTCCAAGCGCTTTCCCGACAGCAACCAACAGCTGTTGTTCAACATTCATCTCAACTACCCTCCTGCTCCTCCGCCGTTGATGCCAGACACCTGGTACCACAATTCCCAGATTGGCTCTTCGCGATACCAATCACGGCTCGCGCCGTCTCGCTGGCATGAGCCCGGCGCAGAGGGCTGGGGCGATGACATCTCGCACTATTATGTCGTCGAAGACATGCTGAAGCTCGATCCTGAGCAGATCCTGTACTTGCGCGATAATTGTCCTCTCAAGTCGCAAGTCGAAGTGCATGTGCGGGGGCTCGGGGATTGGTTTGTCGATAATGGAGAGACGTTCTCGGAGACTGTCGCCTTCGTCCTGAAACAGAGAGGTGCCGATCTCGAGCAGATGAAGATTGCGATTGAGGATGGAGATTGTGGGATCGCTGTCTCGGAAGAATGACTTCAGTGATTGCTTTAGTGCTTGGAGTGTGCTTCTTTAGCTCGTAATCTCGACAATCATGTTCACCTTGAAGCTTTTGATTTCATTTGCGCTGTCGACGCTGATTGGGATAGTGCTGCGTATCCGGCTTAGTAATATTAGCTGGATGAGTAAGTCAGATTACGAGTGAATGAACACATGATTGATCAACTCGACCGGTCTGTAGATAGTAGCAGTCACTTAATACCCGTCTCTAGGTCGAAAGTCGCCAAGATTCACAAGATCTCGCTTCATATTCTTATCTAGCTACATATATGTGGATGCGTAGTGGAACCCGAAAACAGCACAACATGTCATACTGACCGAAACTCACCCAGTCCCGCAGGCAGTGGAAGGTCCATGTAATTAACTCAGGTATAGGTATGCTTAAATAGCTCGATCTTAGGTGACTGGCCATCCATGACAACTCGACTCTTTCGCCCGCTCGAACGTCACCTATTTTTAACTTCTACAGTGGTACATCAACCTCACTCGCAACTGAGACCTCCCCCAAGACAAAAAGACCACAAAATGGATCCCTACACTACAGACCCCAGCAAACTCTTCAGCGTGGAGGGAATGGTCGTAGTGATTACCGGAGGAGGCGTGAGTAACGGATTCTCCCCCCAAAAAGCTGCTCTCAAAACTTCCGTACTGGCTGGCTAGCTGACCGAAACCACAGACCGGAATCGGTCTCATGATGACCAAAGCCTTCGCTCACAACGGCGCCTCCAAAGTCTACATCATCGGGCGCCGCAAAGAAAAGCTCTCAGCAGCCGTCCTCGAAGCCGGATCTCGCGGAAACGTCATCCCCATCGTCGGAGACGTAACCAACCCACAAAGTCTCCAATCCATCTCCTCCCAAATCCAGTCCGAAGCAGGCTTCATCAACCTCCTCATCTGCAACAGCGGAGTCTACTCGCCCTCGATCGCCAACCCAGCGCAAGTCCCCATTTCCGAATTCGTCCAAAAAGCATTCTCACAAGGCCCCGAAGTCTGGAATGACAGTTTCGCCACAAATTCCACTTCAGTAGCATTTACCGCTTTTGCATTTCTCCCGCTTCTGCACGCGGGGAATTTGCGAGGGAATTGCGCGGGTCGCCAAAGTCAAATTCTCGTCACGAGTAGTATTGCGGGCTATTTGCGAAATCCTCAAGCTGTTGGGGCGTATCCCGTGACCAAGGCTGCTACGACACATTTGGTGAAGGGGTTGGCGGGTGCGTTGGTGCCGTATTCCATTCGAGTGAATGCTCTGGCGCCGGGGTTGTTTCCTTCGGATTTGGCGGCGGAGTTGATTGCGAAGGGGGGAACTCCGCTGAAGGAGGATCCTTGTGTGGAAGGGGCGTTTGCGAAGAGTTTTATTCCTGCGCAGAGAGTTGGTGTGTATTTTTTTTCTTCCCTTCCCCCTTCCCCTATACATATTCTACTTTTCTCTCGAGACAGAGTACAGTACAGTACACACGTTACATACATATCTTTCTTTCACTAATGCTTCTTTCCTCCTTTCTAGGTTCACCGGCCGACATGGCAGGTACAGTCCTCTATCTCGCCTCGGCAGCAGGCGCGTACGTGAATGGAAATATCCAAGTCATCGATGGAGGTCGAATTGCCATTATGCACGGGACGTATTAATGTAGATTGAGATTTTCTTTCTTGAGAGCTACCTGATATATACATACCTTGATGGAATTGAAATTTCACCACCAAAAAGGCCCGTGAGGCGAGGAGGGGGATCGAAACTACCTCTCTCTCTCTCTAAAAGTCCCTAATCTTCTGTCCAAACCCCCTCCATCTTCCCTTTTGCATCATAAGTGTAGAATTACGATTGGGAGAAATATTGGGGGGGGGGGCTGTTTGGACACATCGAAGTTGACGTTGAATGTGTTGGATCTTATAAACTTATCGAGGATGTGCCGCCAAAGTACAATGTTGACGCTCCTCGTTGGGAACGGCACTCGGAAATTTTCATAAAGTGGTAGCTAATTCGTATTTAGTGATACATTCATCATAAATTGCTACTTATAATCTCCGGCCTGGACAGGCTTCATTCTCTATACTATTATTACTCTTGCAACTCCTTGTCTACCGCCTCGAATCCGTTGAGGAATCCAGCAAACATCAAAACACCAAGACCCGGGTCGAGTGCTCCTGTCGTTGCTCTAATCGAGTGCATGCTCAGCTGCGGAAGACCAGCATCAATGGCACGAATGCCAAGTGCAGAAGAGAGCATAGGACCGACCGTGCCGCCTGAGCGGCTATCGTTCCTGATTTGGAAAACCTGGAGCTGCGCGCCAACCATATCTGCACAGCGCTTGAGAATGGTGGTCGAAACAGAGTCTGTTGTCATGTGGCCATTGGAGTCGGCTGCAATTGCAATACCGACATTAAGATGGGGGGCGTGGTTAGCCAGATAGACCTCGGTGAAGTTTGGATTGACCGCATGTGAGACGTCGGAGGAGACCATGAAGGAATTGGCATAAGTTCTGCCCATCACGTCTGAGCCTGGGGTATGACCGCACAGAGCGCCAACGGCACGCTCAAGGGTGATAGGAAGGAAGTTGCCCTTGGCGCCTTGTCGTAGTAGAGAACCAATTTCCTCGTCATCGAAGAGACCAACCACCTTGATCAAAGAGCTGTGTTCGGTGTCGGACGCTTGACTCTCAATCAGAGCTTGCAGCGCCGCCCATGAGCATAGCTTGTCATCTATGCGGCCGGCTGATATCAGCTCCTTGTTGAGCCCGATTACCGTGGCTGGCTGCACATCAAAGAGCTCTAGCTCCCAGTTGACAATGTTATGGGTCTCGGCGCTGTTAAGACCAAGAGCATTTCCAATGGCCTTGACCAATGCAGGTGGCTGGGTCTGAACGAAGCTGTTGACGGGGCTGCCACTGCATAGGAGTGATGGTCGTGCGAAGGGATCTGCAGGCGCCAGAGGAGCAGTGGCCCGCTCATCAGCAGTGTCCAGGCCAATGATTGGTACCATGCGCGTCTCCTTGTTGGGGTTGATAAATGGCTCCGCTGCAGGGGCGCCAAAGTGTTCGGCAAGCGATGGAATCTTGGCAATTGGCCAGTCCAGCTTCACCAGCTTGGTCACAATCTTTCCGCCCTCCTTGATGTGTACTCGGCCGCCAATGCCCAAATCACGATCCCACCACGTTCTGCCCAAGCCACCTGCGTACGGTGCCACTCCGAGCTGAAGGTAGCCTGCCTTGTTAGGCACTTGACTGACAGGCTTGAGCTTAGCTGTGAGAGCATCGACGTGTCCAGCGAGAATCGCGGCACCATTTCCAGGCTGATAGTTGGCACCGACCACAAAGGCGATCATCGAAGAGCCGTTGCGCTCGACAAAGTACCTAAAATAATGACTGCGGTCAGCGAGCTTCTCAGATACTGGATTGGAACTCATCTCTGTCTGTTTTGAGCTTGCCGCCCTAGCTCATAAGAGCCAGTGTGAGAAACTGAGGCCAGATCATGCCTCGAGAAAATTGCTTCTACTTACTTGCCCGAACACTCAATCTTCCAAGTGTCCCTCTCGGAAATCTCGGTAAAACCTGCGTCTTTGAGTTGCTTCTTCAAAGCGTCCACGGCATGGAACACGGTTGGATTATCAGTCAAGAAATCGCAAAAGGGCTTTGTATACGCCGCCGCGTTCTCTCGTGTGGCCTGTCTGAAGCGCGGTGCATGAATCTTGGCATCCTGGAGTGCACGATCCATAGCCTCAATGAAGCTGTTGATGTTTTCCATCTGCGCAGGCTCCTGGTTGAGGTTGCTTCTAGAGACATTGTTGTGGTGCATCACATTGGCCTGCCCCTGCCTTGCCATGAGCAGTCGTTTCTTGTTCTGCTGCTCGCGCATCATCATATCCATGATATAGTTGTCGTGGGCGGCACTCATAGAATCATCCGCTTGAGGAAGCTGTGAGCTGGAAGCCTGTCGTGCCTGGCATTGTTGCTGTCTTTCTCGCGCTTCTTCCCTTTCTTGACGTCTTGCTTGCGCTTCTTGTCTCTCCTGCAATCGTTTCTGCTGCATCATCGGAGCCATCCGCTCGAGATGGTGCAACTGCTCCTGTAGATCATGCACAGCATTCCGTGTGATATTCGTAGAATACCGCGACTGGGGCAGCTGAAACACATCGCGTGCGTCCTGCGAAGCCTGCTGCGAGCTGACTCCTTGTCGTGCCTGTTCATCGAAAGGCTCGAATATGGGTCTCTGCCACGACACCATGGGCGGCAGGTAGTCTTGACCTAGCTGCTCATCTTCCTCGTGAACGGTAGGCTGGGCGGAGTCGGCTGCTTGTTGGACGCTGCGGTCTGGGAGGTTGCTACGGAGTGACTGCATCGAGGCGGCGTTTCGGACCATGCTAATAAGCGGTCTGTAGGGGGATGAACGACGGGCAGGCTTCCAAGATGTCTCTTTTCCCAAAGCGATTGTATGTTGGTAGATGGTGGTTTATGGGAGCTGGTGGTGGTAGATGATGGGACAGGGGGAGTGTGTTGTAGTTCTACAGCCGAGAGATCAGCAGGGCAACAAGGGAGGTAGGAGGTAGGAGAGATAGAGCGAGCTGTTGTGGGTCATGAGGCACAAGCACAGACACATGAACCCCGGACAGGCACACATTTGTGGCGCAAATGGCGAGCTGTTTCTGAAACAGCCACCTTTTGACGGATAAATAGCTTCGGTCTAGACACCGTCTTTGCATTTTTCCATCTTCATCGACAGGTACCTCCTACAGACTCCCAGGCTTCTCGAACAGATAATGGCACACTCCCCACTCTTCTCCGCCGTTCCACGCAAACAACTCTGCACATGCCAAGTAAAACACCTGCCATCTATAGAACCACTTCGCCGTCTCTTGCTTCCCATACGTTTCCTCGAGGTGTGGCCATATCTGTTTTTTATTCGCGTTCATCGTGGTCAACCAGTCCTCACACGTCTTTGCATAATGCTTCCCGCTCACCCACCACTGTCTCTCTAACCGGAGATCGCGCTGGAAGAAGTGCAGCAGGTCTGCCGAAGGCATTGTGCCACCGGTGAAGAAGTGGTCGGTCATCCAGCCAGACTCAAAGTCATACGGCGAAGACTTGTTGGCGAAGATGTGGACAAAGAGTTTGCCACTTGGTTTCAGGAGAGTAGAGACCTTGGCAAGGAGTAATTCATAGTTCTTCATGTGTTCGAAAAGCTCAATCGATAGAACGCGGTCGAATTGCCCTTCGAGAGGAGTGCCGGAGAAGTCGTAGGTTGCAATGTCTCCCGTCACGATTTCGAGGTTCGACAGGTTTTTCCGCTTGGCTTCCGCGTCAATGTGCTCCTTCTGAGTGCGAGAGTTGGAGAAGCCTGTGATCTTCGACTTTGGCAGCATCTCTGCGAGGTACAGAGATAGAGAGCCCCAGCCGCAACTAGCACAAGACATTAGACAGATCAATGTGGACAAAGTGGTAACTGCCTACCCAAGATCAAAGATCCGCATGCCGTCCTTCAGCTGGGCTTTCTCAATATAGCTTTCCAGCATCGCGATCTCAGCCTGGGCAAGCGTCTCGGTGCCTTTCGGGTACAGACAAGAACTGTACTTCATTCTTGGTCCAAGCATGCCAGTCAAAACGCCAGTGCCGACTTCGTAGTGCTGCTCATTGGCTGTTGCAGTCTCTATCGCTATAGGTCGGCTTCGTAGAAGCTCGACATACTTCATCTTGGTCTCATAGCTTTCTGCTAGGCTCGTAGTCTTGATCTGGTTGATACGCTGCTGTAGCTGACTTCGAATGCCTCGCCGTAGGAGGAATTCGGGTAGATATCCCCCATCTACGACGGCTTCGACCAGGGCGTCTGCTTGTCATCAGCGGCGTGTCATGAAGATCCATGGAGAACTTACCGTAACTCATATCAGCGCTATGATATAGGTATGCTATGTATCTGGAGCAAAAATGTGCCAACACGTCCCGTCAATGTGCTCTTAGTCAGCATATCATGGTAGCACAATCCTCCGTTACAAGAGCGGTGACATCATTGACTCTAATACAGTCGTTCCAATGCCTGCTCCCGGGTCGAGAAGGTCGTAATAAATGTGAAAAGATTATAAGTATGTAGATGTAGCAATAAATATTGATTTTCAGACACGTAGAGCAAAAGACAACGCGCCGAAAAAGATTTTCCTCTCATTGGGATTTTTTAGTTTCGCGCATCGAAACGACATAGCCAGACGATGATGCTACACATGAACTGTAAATCGTGAAGACATGTACTGTACTCTGGATCCAACTGACTACGAATCCGTTGCTTTTGAATTGATTCTCAGATCCAAGCGGGATTCATCGTGAAAGGACTTGAGAAGGTGATATCGTCAAGAGGAGGTAGGTAAGGTACGGTAAGGTATAGTGATCTGTACGGTCAGCTGTTCACGCACTCCAGCTGGGTATTCAACTGCTTGATTGCAGCTTCAACTTCTGCGCCAACCGGATCTTTCTGTACTTACATACTCGTCCCACCCGACCATCTGCCTAAGTTACTCAGCATGTTCGCGACATGATAGGAACAGTACAGCCATTGCGCTTAAATATGATACAAATGCTACCGAATGCTACAACATGCGACGCTCTTCCCAAGAGCATATATCCATTCTCGTCTCTGCAAACCAGAACCAATCTCAAGATGTTGGTATGCAGAGAAGCATGCGTACGTCTCGTGCTAATGCGTGCTCAACTCTCAGTTCGTGAACGAGGCTTCAGCTAACTTTTTATGTTCAGTTCCTAAGACTCGCTACTGGCGATCAAGCGCCATTGCCATTGCCATTAATCGTTGGCATACCATGACCACTTTCATCGTTTGCAGCTGCGAGTGCTGCAGCTTTGCTCTTCTGCTTCAGCGTGAGTGGGAACGGGTAATCTTCGGTATCCTCCTGTAACAACACATCAGTCAGTATATGCCTGTCTTCATGGCATCGTATACGCGAAGCACTCACCTCTTCTGGCAGCTTCCACGCAATGTAATCCTCCGTGCTGAGACCTTCACGACCTTCCTGGATCGAGGCAAAATCTCCGGGTGTCATCATGCCGCTGCGGTCTCTCGGACTGCCTGGTGCAGAAAGTGGTCGGGTAATCTTGATGCTCTCCGTTCCATCGAAGAAACCCACTTCGTCATCATCCTCGCCGAAGCTGTCAGGATATGCTCGCCTGAGTGCAAGTTGTCGCGCCTTGACGTATTCCATGCCCATTCTCTTCCAGTCAAGCAAATCACTAAGTCGCTCGGTTCGATTCCTCTGGTTGATACGTTGTCGCCGACTCTTTCTCGTGAACTCGTACATGTACTCGGTGAGCTGATTCACACTGTCGTCGATGCCCTTCAGCCTTCGGTCCACAATGTATATGCCGTAGTCTGAAGCGTTCTCAATGAGCTCCTCCATGTAGCAACCGAAGCCGGATAAGTTCGTGGTGATCGATGGCACTCCCATGACAGTGCATTCAGCTGGCGTATAACCCCAGGGTTCGTAGTATGAGCTGAAGATACCCATGTGCGTGCCTCGTACGAAATCATCGTAGTCCATTGGTAGTACTGGATTCGCAGAGCTCAAGAATTCTGGGTGGAAGACGACCTTGACGCGGTCTGAAGGGTGGTTGAATAGCTGGCAGCGTCGCATTTGGTTGAGAATGGGATCCTCGGCATCGTTGACCAAGTTGTGTGTGACGATTGGAGGGAGTGTGTGGCGCTTCATGGCGAACAGTCTCCTTCGCAGCATGATCTTGTCCTGTGCACTGAGCAGGTCCTTCTCATCCGGTGGATCTTGGCCTTCCTGCCACGTAATTGACTTTTCAAACAGCTTCTTGCCAATCTCCTTCTCAATGTGCCCAAGAGTGTCCTTCAGTGACTTCACCACCGCTTGGCCTTTCAGAGCCTCCACTGCGAGAGACTGGGTTTGCGCTGGGAAGATCATGAATGCTACCACAGTCATGTCCGAGCCCGCAGCCTTCATGCGATGGTTGAGACGAGCAAGAGACTCAATGAACATATCAACACCCTTATTTCTGTATTCATAGCGACCTGCTGTGAAGAAGTAGAGGGTCTTTTCGGGATCGAAGTCGTTGTGTCCGTAGAAGTGGCCGCGCACGAAATCGGTAATGCGGTCCTTGTTGGTCTGGTGCAAGTTCTGGAACTCGTGGGTAGCGGAGAACTTTTTGACGTTCAGTCCGTTGGGCAGAACGCCATCTGGCTTGCGCTTCAACAGATGCTCGCTCTCGTAAGCCGTGATATGGCTGACAGTGGTGAAGACATCTGCAGCGTGAGCGGCGCCGCGTTCTATGCAGTACCGGTGATAAATGCCACGCTTTCCGGCCTCGGCATCAACGTCGAAGTACTGTAGATTGTTGTAGAAGTCGACAGATCCGGCACACAAGTATCGCCCGAGAAGTGTAGCATGTGTGGTGAAGATGGTCGTCACGTCGATCTTCCGCTTTTTGCACAAAGGAAGTGCAACACCTGCGAGCCATTCGTGGAATTGTGCAATGACGGCGCGCTCCTTCTCGTGGAAGACGTACTGTGGAAGATCAGCTTGGACGTTGTCAGCGAAAGATGGAAATGGTGTATCTTACCTCGCCCAGGAACCAGGCAATCAAGTAGCCAAACACGATAGCCTCGTTGGTCTCGTGGTCATCGGGAGGGCTGGGGATGCCAGCTGTTGACCACAGATCGCCTTTCCACTCGTCCAGCTTGTAGTAGCCAGTCCCCGTGTCGAACAAGAGCACTCGCGGTGCGCCGTCGATGAGCCATCGCCCGTACATGGTCTTGATACCTCTCTCATTCATGCTCTTGAGCGTGGCTATCATCGCCGGATCTCTGGGTTCGATCTCTTCCACCTCGACAGCTGCCGACGCGCGGTTGAGCGGACCAAGCAGGGTGTAGCTCGAGCCATACTCTGCAGTGGTGACTTGCGCCTTGGACTTTAGCACACTGTAAATTCCACCGACGCGATTAGCCACCTCGGTGGCCACCTCGAAAAGCACATGGTTGTGCACGTCTCTCCGCGGTTGCTCGGCCATGGTGTCTATGCGCAAAGATGCTGGCGGGTTGCGATGGTAAGGACTGGGAAAGGTCAAACGCGAAGGGTGAAGGGTCGAAAAGAGTGCCGCTCGGCAGGTGCAGGTGAAGGTGCAGGTGCTCTGGAACTGTCGTATAAAGGCAGTGGATTAGTGGGACGGTTCGGGCCTCTGGCAGCTGGTCAGCTGGATGGAAAAGACAGGTGCGTCGGACTGGAGATCTGGGCAAGGTAGGAGGTAAGGTAGTTGCTGGTGGGGCATCGTCGTCTCCACGATATGCCATGTGCTGGCGGGTGGAGCATTGTATCTCGCACCTCTCCTGGAGAAGGTGATGGAGGAGGAGGAGGAGCGGGAGGGGGAGGAGGAGGAGGAGGGCAAGTCGCCAGGAACGGGAGCTGCTTTGGGACGTACGTACGTTTGGAATGCTTCGGATCGATTCGTCCGGTCTGGTGCTGCCAGAAGGTCTCTCAACAGGAAGCAATGGCTCCAGTTGCTCTGCAAATGATGTCGGAAGGTGGCAGAGGACAGCAGATGGAATGGCTAGCAACGGTACGGTCTGCAAAGAGCACTGCAAATGGCGTCGGTGCAAGCTGCAAAGACGGAACGGTAGCGGTACCCACTAGGACGAGAGGTACATGTACATGTACTGCAGCCGAGAGGCTGGTCAAGATGGTCAATTGTGAATGGCCGGGCACCGCAACGTCCTCTCCTCTCACCTTCACAATGCAATGGTGATCCCTGCAGAAGAAGCGCGCAGTGAAGTGAACAATGATGTAACACGGCAGCTAACATGGATGGTCTGTCTGTCATGTGCGCTTTGGCGACGCTCTTATTGTATGCCCTGGGCAGCCTAGCTATAGCCTACAAGCTCTATGTAATGGAAGCCGACGAGCAGCTGGCCATGTATGGATGATGAGACTCGTGGCCTGGGCTCTCACGGCAGCAATACCGTTGGTTCTATCACTTATTAGGTTGTGTATAAAATGTCTATTTGGTTCCAGCGTTGTGAGGCACAACGGTTGAGGAGTGAGAGTGAGGACTGGCTGTTCGAGCACATGCCACAACCTGGAAGCTCCAAGCTCTCTCCACACTAAGGCACCTCCTAATGTACTGTGAGTCCACCACCTCCGCATCCGAGTCCCCGTCCAAAAGACCAGTAGACCTCCTTCTAACCCTTTCCGGCCGCCTTTCGCCGATGCCACCGCAACTGGGCACTCGGCCCTTCTTCGCTTTGTATGCCCCGGCGTCTCACGAGTCGCGCGGCATGTCAGTAGGTGAGGGGTCGCCTCGCATCGCATTGCAGACAATGATAATAAGAGTACAACGCGGTGCCATCTCTCAATCTTGTCGTGTTGAGAGACACTCGCGGGTCTCGGACTTCTGTGGGACTCCCTGTATATCAAAAGACTTTCCCAGCCAGCAGAGAGAGAGAGACAGACCATGGTACTTTGTACAACCTTCAATATCCGGCCGTGGAAGGCTGAAACTGAGCCGTGTGAGGCTGAGTCATCATCATTTCCTCGTACCATCAAAGCCGAGCACATGTCTCGGCATTGACCAGAGGCTTTTTTTACCTTTTTTACTTTTTTTATTTTTTTTTTATCTTTTTTTTTTGATAGGAGGTGGGAGGTGGGAGTGGTTGATGAACATAGATTAGATTAGGCATCTTCCCGGAGGTGAGAACTATTTGGTGAATTTGTGGTATTACAGTACTGATGTGTTATTGGCCACCCGTCTTCCTTCCGCTCTTGACATGGGCATAGCTCCTCGTCGACTAGGAACTTCTACCCTGCTCTACTCTGCCACCAGGAGACATCTACAGCTCAGGTGCCTTTCTTTCCGCATCAACCACACGCCCACACTCCGCTCGCCTTGTCGAATCTCCCTCCATCGAGAACACCTGTCCCAATACAAATCTCTTCCTCTCCGTTGGGGATGACAATCTGGTGCTTATTGTATCCCAATGCATCTCCGCTTCCGAGCACATCGCATGTTTCGGTATTGGCAAAGAGCGTGAATGTGCAGCTTCCGGTCGAGGTCTGGCCGATACTGATCGCGCTGCCTGATACCGTTGACTAGTGGTCAGTAGGGTCTCAGATGTCCCATGAGTGGCTTCCGGGTTGAGAGGATACGTACAGATCAAGGGGATGCAGTACATGGTCTGGAAGCAAAGAATGAATCAGCCACGGGCATAAAGGCAAGATCGAAACCGTCTATACTTTGATGATGCCAGTACTCGTCCTGATGCCGCATCCATCAAGATCTGAGTTGGTGTAGGACGGCACTGGTCCGAGATCTGAACCTGCGGCTGAAGCCCGCCCAGTGAAGTAGCCGATCGAGGTGTTCGAGGCGAATGGCTGCGGAAATGTGCCTTGCGGCATAGCCAAAGCATTTGCTAGAACTGTGAAGGTGAGAGCGAGAGTAGGTGTGAGAAACATCGTGTCTATGCTGGAATGTATGTCAGGTCTTAGTAGGATCTGCCTTGGTAACGAAGCTGCTGATGCGACTAATCGTGAGAGGACACTGGAGAGAGGGAGAGAGAGAGGTTCAAGGACCTTTCCTATATCACTTTTCGCATTGGCAGGAACGTATCCCCGTTCCAGAACGGCGGCCACAACGGACTCGGCAACGGCGAGACAGAGCGATCATGGGGACCTCGCTCAAGAAGCATCACGCTCATCATCAGCACACCTAACATCAGGAATAGCTCAAAGTAAGTCCATACTATGCCTCTCGGAACGCGAAAATGATGGCCGAAGAGACACCTCAATCAAGATCCAGTCCGTGGCAAACATTAAGGCGCAGGCTTCTTATGCACTGCCACTCGGCGATGCGACGTTAGTTCTGATTCAGCACGCCCATAAAGTGATTCCGGGGCTTCTGGTCGGGATGTACAAAGGCTGCAGTGTCACCAAGCAATACCAGTACAGCAAGTTCTTGGAGTCGAGTACAGCACATCGACTCATCGAGCTACATTTGAACACTTCGAATGGGCCCGTGGTGTGGCACGAAAAGAACAAACAATGTAACAAGATCGGCATTCTCGGCTCTACTGTTTGCTGGTGATGATGGCCACAGAGCAGAAAACTCGCTGAAGGAATAAAAACAGGCAAACAATCACCTTGTGTCGCCATCGATTCCTGAAGCCGCTTGAGACATCAATCTACAGTCTGTCTATATGCGCCTCTGCAAAATATCTTTCATCGGCGTGCCGACTCTTTTCTTCCCGACGTCGCCAGCTGTCACTCGCTTTGGGCGTCGAGATCGCTCGTCGCCATACCGCGTTCACCGTTTTTCCCCTCGAATGTCTGACAGAATGGCCAAGCAGAGTCCACATGACAAACACCTTCGCATCCAGGTCCCACAGGCAAACCTCTCACTCGCCATGTCTCACAGCAAGCCACTTTGTCACCAAGGTCAGTGCATAATGATGCTTGAGGAAGTCGAATGAGTCCACCAGAGAGAGTATACCAGAGAACGTTGAAAGCCCAGTAGGTCAAGGCGAGGGTGATGACGGCCAGGTAGAGTTGTACGAAGCGAGAGTGAAGGCTCGGTATTGGGGGCATGATGTCAAACATGTCATTAGATGTGCAAGAAGGCACAACTCTGAGGAGAAAAAGAAGCAACTATGCTCTTATTATGAACGCACTTCACACCCTTCACCGCAGTTTCTCATCGATCACGATCAGATCCACACCGAGATGCGCTTCTTGTCTTCAATACCGTACTCCTCTCTCTCTGTCTCTCTTTGCCGGCTCATATCCTCCGACCTCCCCCAGTCATGGCTTCCACTCCACCATCCTCGCTCTACAAGGCATTCCCTCTCTCGGCTTCGCCGCTCCAACCAAGACCTGATACAATTCCTCCCCATCCACATCCTGCTTACCCTGGCGAAAAGAATGATCCTTTGCATAAAAGCTCCCATCTCGTCCAATATCTTTCAAACTCTTCTCATCCAACGCAACATCAAATTCAAATTGTCGACACGTCAACCCCAAAATAATCCTCGACTCCAACAGCGCCAAATTCTGACCCAAACAATCCCTCTTACCCATCTCAAACGACCGAAACGCCCCCTCGGGAATCCCACTCGCGTTTTCCGGAAGAAATCTCTCCGGTCGGAATTCTTTCGCTGTAGGTCCCCACACGTCTTCACTATGTCCCAAACCATAATGCACCAACCAAATCATCCAACCCTCTGTACTAAATTTCTCTCCCGTTTGCGGATCCGTGAGGAAGAGACCTTTTTTGCCTTTGCGAGGCGCTGAAGCCGCGGGAAAGAGTCGGAGGGCTTCTTTGATGACGCAGAGCGTGTATTCGAGTTTGTGGAGAATTTTGGGATCTTGTTTGATGCGCTCGGCGGCTTGCGAGACGGGACCGAGAATTGCTTCGTGTTCTTCGCGGATGCGTTGGAGGCATTGGGGGTGTTTTTGGAGGAGGTGGTAGGCGTAGCAGATGGTGGATGAGGTCGTGTCGTGGCCTGCGAAGAGGCAGACTCTGTAGGGAGAAAAGTTAGTGGGTGGTCTACCACTGAAGGGTAGAGAGAGTGTATGTATATTTTTTTTAAAAAAAAGAAAGAAAAAAAAAGATTATTACTGACCTGATCTGGGTAATGGCTCCTTCGCGAAACTCAGCATCCATGACTTGCGGTAGGTTAGTCGTTGCAGAAGAGTCCAATTTCTCCTCTACATCCCCACCACTAGAAATATAACTGTCGAGTGCCAGATCAATAATCGTACGTTTCCTCTGATTTTTTTCATTCACCACCTCTTTCGACGCAAACCGCTCATCCAGCATTTTCCCAATATATCGTTTCATAATCCGATCATTCTTCCAACGCTTGTACATTCCATACGGATGCCACATGGCAAAAGGATTGAGTGTCTCATTGGGTAGGTAGTGCACTTGTTCGCGCAACGCATTGATGCACTCGTCTTCTCCGCGTTGCATGTTGAAGCGGACATCTAATACTACTTTGCCAATGACATCGACCGTGAGGCGTGTGGTGTCTTCTTCGAGTCGGAAGAGATCTTGTTTGTGTGCGTGTTCGGTGAGTTTTTCGACGTAGACTAATGCGTCATCTACGATGCCGGGAACGAGGGTGAGGAGATGTTGGGTGCTGAATCCTATAATGTGTTTTTTCGAATAAGTTTTCTTGATGTTAGCCTCCCCCAATAAAAAATCGGTTGTAATGTTCACGTGGAAATTCAGAGAGAGAGAGAAGAAACTTGCCAGGATTAAACATCGTCCTCCATTTTTTCCAAACGTTTCCATTCGCCGATACCATATCATCCTTTCCCGCGAGCGCATACAGGAAATGCGGCAGCGAGTCTGCCTTCTCTGTCGTATGTTCGACAGTGAAGTACTGACAAATCGCCGGATCCATAATGGCAATCATGGGAGAATTTACGGGCCAGACGTCCAAAAACATGAAACTGCGCGTGTAATTGAACTTCTTCCGGACTGGAAAAGGGGGAGGCGAGGGCGGAGACACGCTCGATTGGTAAGCAGATGTTCGGTTCTTCTTGATGAAAAGAAAAATGACTGGTCTCCGACCGGGTATAAGGTGTGGTGGTGGTGGTGGTACCCAGCCAGGGCAGAAGAAACAAAGAAAAAGAAGAAGAAGAAGTAGCATCATCGCCCTCTTCTTCTTCTTCTTCTTCTTCTTGCTACTGCTTGCTTGCTTGCTCGGCTCTTCAACTTGCTCGCTCCTTTGTCACTTACTAAAAGTAGGAAACACTTTCGCAAATGCCAAAAAATAAGGCGAAGAAATATATCAGCAAGTGGTAAAATTTTCGCATCATCGTGTGGAGGCGGGCGAGACCTACCGTGAGGATGGACTCTGCGAGGCAGACTCATTGCCACTTCGCCCATAGTTTTCAAATCGCCCCAAAGCCATGATGTTGCTGGTGGACCTGGCTGAAAAAAAGAAAATCAAGAAGAAAAAATTGAATACTGTTAGCTTTTGATTGGGTATACACCATCGCTATGAGAAAGAAAGAACAAAAAAACAAAAGCTGGAGAAAGAAGAGAACTTACCAGACTACGACGCTGTCTTCGGACTTGATAGCCTTTGACGAGGAATTTGAGAACATAGCCCACGAGAATCGCCCCAAAGGCTGCCTGAACCAGGTTGGATTCCAGCAGCTCATACATCTTTCCTCTCTGTCTTCTTCTTTTCTTCTTCGGTTTCGCCTTCTAATCCAGTAATGGTCTCAAGGCCTCCTCGGGCAAAGAAAGGAGCTCGCTCAGCCTTGCTGTGTAAGGTATGTATACATATACGTATACGAAGAGAAACAGAATGCGACTCCTCGACGTGAAGAGATACGTCGCTTATATATCATGCATGAGAAAGAAGTAGGTCCTGTATGTAGTAGGTAGGTAGGTAAGTAGGTAGTAGGCATCAGATCGCTGCCTACCTCCTATGTAACACAACATACCTGTCCCCTCCCTCCCTATAGTACCTAGAAGCATACAACCAAAATAAATAAAAAATCTTGCCCTACTTCCGACTAAGCATGACAAGGAAGTCTTTAATGGAAGATCATTTCCTAGTGCTTACTAGTTATGCATGACATCGCACAAAAAATAAAATAAAATAAAACAAAATACAAAACAAAATAAAATAAACTCAGTACCCGACTCGAAAAGAAAAGAATGTTGCATATATTCGTGACGATCCCGGCGGGGGCGGCAAAGCTATGTATATACCTAGGTAGGTACAGTAAGGTATGTCTTCATCTTCTTCTATCAAAGTGTGCACATCTAACACGAGATTCTAATAAATGCATACATACCTGACATACCTGACATACCTAAAAAAATCCGACGAGGCCACCAATTCAAAAACCCCCCAAAAAAGTCTTTTTGTATACCTGGCGGAAAGTTTCGTTTCCAGCAAGAAAGATCCCGGGGGGGAATTTAGGAGGGTATTGTCTGAAAGTACATGTTTGATGTACATGTACCTCTCCCCGTTAGTCTCCGTAGTCCGTCTCCGTATGTACTATGTACACACCAAGGAACAAGGATCGGGCAAATCTTTTGGGGGTTGCACGGTATGGTATGGTTATTGGTATTGGTATTGGTATGCGTTCGGAGACAGACTGGAAATGGAGTGAGAAATGAATTACTAAACAATCATATGTACGAATGCATGAGGGCTCGTGAGAGGTGTTGTTGAAATGGAATGCAAATGGAAGTGGACCGGGTGGACGTCATAGGGGAGAAGGCGAAAACGTTTGAATAGGAGGGACCTCATACATGAAGCTGGAAAAGGGCACAACTTTCATGGAATCAACATCTTTCATCTGGTACGGTATCTACTTGCTGATTATGCACTCGGCCCAGTCAGTCATCGACTGGGCTTGATGATGTCCGCGGGTATCACTGCGTATGTATGCCATCCGTTTCGCTCAATGCTTCGTCCATTCGTAAGCGCGCCCAAAAACGCGAAAATGCATGCATGACTGGTCATCTAGAAGACGGAGCCCTTGCGCTCCGTCTCCTCCAGAACTTCCTTCATGCCACCCTCCTTGAGACCCATCTGGCTGGCAAAGGTGGTTGATGGTCGCCATGCCGCCGAAGTACGTGGCGTGGTCTCGGCCATCATCTGGTCGACCTGCTCGAGCGACAGGCCCTTGGTCTCTGGAACCAAGAAGTAGGAGTACACGAAAGCACATGTACAGAGCCCACCCCAGATGAAGAAGACGCTGGATTTCAAATCAGCCTCATCGGTGGCCACCATGTATGGAGTGATGACAGCGATGATGGTGTTCCAGAGCCAGTTGGATGCGGTCGAGAGAGCAACACCACGAGAGCGGATTGGCAGCGGGAAGATCTCGCCGATCAAGATCCAGGCACCTGGGCCCCAAGTCGATGCAAAGAAGAAGATGAAGATGGCGATGAAAGCAATCTGGGCGTTGACAGCAGGGACGTTGTTGGCACGGGTCAGCGGGTCACCGCCGTCAGGGTTGGGAATGTTGTAGGTGTGGTTGAAGCCGACTGTAACACCAATGATGGCGACGAGGAACTGGCAGATCAACATGCCGAGAGCACCCCAAATGAGGAGTGGACGACGACCGAACTTCTCCACCGTGTAGAAGGAGATGGGTGTGGAGCACACGTTGACCAGAGTGAAGATCAGCGAGATCAGGAATGTGTTGGAGATGGCACCGGTCGATGCGAGGAAAGGAGTCGAGTAGTAGAAGATGAAGTTCACGCCAGTCCACTGTTGCATCATCTGCAGAGAAGTACCGAGAATGGTCTTGCGCAGGTTGGAGTTCGACTTGAAGACGGATCCGGAGAAGCAGTTAGCCCAGCTGCCGGCCCATCCAGTTGCAGGAATGATGGAACGCTCGTATTCCTCGTTGGCAACGATCTCGGCAAGCTCAGCCTCGACATACTCGCTCTCGCCCGGCTGGCCACGGAGGCGGGAAAGGGCATCGCGAGCTTGCTCAACACGGCCGCGCTTGACGAAGTAACGTGGAGAGTCTGGCAGAAACATGAGACCGCCTCCAAGGATGACACCCCAGGCAAATTGAATGCCGATTGGAATGCGGTATTCGCTCTGGTCGGTGCGGTTGCGGACAGCGTAGTTGACACAGGACGCGAGGAGCAGACCAACGGTGATGCAGAATTGGTATCCAGCCACGAGAGCTCCACGGACCTTCTTGGGGCAGATCTCCGACATGTACAGGATGACAATGGCAGACTCGAATCCGACACCGAGACCGGCGATGAGACGACCTGCGACGATCACGCCCAGGGCATCGCCACCGACTCCAGTGCACATCTGGATGACGACTCCTAAGATTCTTGTCAGCGCGTGCGCAACACTCTGATGGCTACGACGGTGAAGTGCCGCCTCCGATTCCACTTACCGATGATGTAGATGAAGCAACCAGCGATGACAGTCCACTTGCGTCCGATGATGTCTGCGACATCACCAGCGATGATGGCGCCGAAGAAGGTGCCGGCGGAGAGGATGGAGGTGATGAGAGACAGGTAGCTGCCGCGAAGAGCTTCGGTACCGGGAGTTTCGATGAGGTTGATGAAGACTTGCGAGCCGGTGACACCGTTGATGTAACCCGAGTCGTATCCGAAGAAGATACCACCGAACGAGGCGAAAGCGCAGATGAGGTAGGCCTTGAAGGTGACTGGCGCTTCAATGCGGTTGACGTCGCCCGTGGTGGCGAGGTCGCTCAGTCCAGGCATGGTGTGCTGGTGGTGTCCCGCAGGACAGTGTCGGGAGCGGTATGTGTTCTTGTTCGGGTCGGTAGTAGGTGTGATGGACGCGAGGAGTGGAAGTAGTAGTAGTGTGGACGGAGGTGGATGGTGGTTCGTGGTTTGTTGTCGATGGGTGAGGAAAGGCAGGGGCGCGATGAAGAACAGCGGCAGGAGGGCGACAAGGCAGGTTTATTAAAGAACACAACAGCGGGCGCCGAAAGCGTGTTCTCGCCGCTCGCGATCCTGTGAGGCCCCCGCAAAAAGTGAATTGGCGCACGTGAGCGCAAGTGAAATAATGCACGGACTCACTTTTTTGCACGCATCTGGCGAGATTGCATGTGGCCTCCAATCCCTCCATTGCCCCCCAATGCCCGCTATTCCCGCTAACACTCACACCGAATGGAGGCCCGCGCGGAGAGCGCCCAGACTCCAGGTTCTTCTCCAACATGACCAATGACCTCGGCGCCCTACGGCGATAGCGTGCCCTAGTGGTCTCTCGTGCAGGCCAGCCCTAAGCACTTTATGCACCCGCCTCTCACATCAGATCCACTTCACCTCGAGCCAGCTGTGAAGCCGTGAGATAGCCAGGCTTGTCATTCCCTCCCTTTGCCGTGCCGACGCGGCGACTCGGAACTCGAATGCAGCGCCTGTCGCGCATCGCATCGCATTCACTCGACGACTGCGACAGCCTGGCTGCCTGCGGACGAGGTGTCCCCTAGGAGGAATGCAAGCGATGCTTGCAAGCACGCACTGCCCACACATGTCCAATTTTGCATTCCACGCACTCTCTGGTACAAACTACCTACCTACCATGCCCAGGCGAACTACTGCCCCCCGCCCGCCCGGGTTCCCGCGGTTCGGTGCAGGTCCGATTCTCGCTAGACGCAAAATTGGAGGCTTCGGCGTCCTTTGTCGGCCGTTACACTACTGTGAAAGGATTCTAGGCGCGTGGTACAGCAACAATAGGCCACATGATGGGCTTGCGGACCGCCGTGTGACGCTACAGGTCACGAACTACTCTTCATGATATTGCCACCTGTGCACCGGTGCCGAATCACTTCGCCTGACAATGCCCAGCCAAGTGAGCCAAGGTGCGAAGACATGTGGAAGCTTATTCATTCTATAGGGCGTCTTGAGACTGTCTAGCCGAAACCTTGGGATCGAGATAGGATCTGAGATGTCCAACAAGTGGTGTGATACATGTGCCATTAATTGTTGTTGTTGTTGTTGTTGAACACACCTCAGACAGACATCACCCACGTGTTTCGACACAACATGTCGTTTATTATGATGCAGAGCTGGAGGGACACCTATGCACTCCAGGAGTCCAGTGCTCCACTCCATGCACTACGACCGTACACGGTACTAGCAGATCCCAGACGCAAGGATCCGATCAATCATAATAATAATAATGACACCGACAAGTATAATAAAATGGGGAAAGGCCCGTTTTGAGCAACGTGGCCGTGTTATACCATCTAGGTCGTGCCATGCGGCGCGCACATGGTCCGTTAGCTCCTACGGCGGGGGACGCGCCCGCGTGCTGCAAATTCTGACAATGAGGCGCACTAACCTAGGAGGTAGCGAGCAGCCGAAGTCGCTGGATGTGAAGCACTGAAGCTTCGTAGGCACCGGCACCGGGTACGCCCAGGCCAGGGACTCTAGAACTTCGAGAATGCTTCGATGACATATCCATGGCAGCTCTTAGTGCAACGTTACGGCACGTGAGAGCCAATCATAGTGTACCGCGAGTGTGTGAACAACCATAGAGACGGGAGACAGAGAGAGAGCCCAGAGAGACAGAGGAGGCTTCCCGCCAGACGTGCCCATCCACCAGGCGGTCGGAACTGGAGCAATGTATCGCCTCACCCACCCTCCACACCACCTCTCCACGCTACTACCTGACCTGACTCTCCCTCTCCACACCCCCCTCCCCTCCCCTCCACTGTGGACAATACGACACATCGTGTCAAACGCGATTCCTGGGGCTCCGCTTCATGTGCTTTCTCCGCTTCCTCTGATCCCTCGAACTACTGCGGGTTATCGGCCCGGTTTAGGCCTTGGCAACATGGAGGCGCTACGAGCTAGACCGACAGATCCCACTTCGGTATCCTACATTGGACGAGGCTTTTTTGATACCTCCTAAAGTCCTTGTGCACGGGTCGGGAACAGGAGGATCCCCAGCCCTCTTCGGTTGATTGCGTTTCAGCTGTTCAGATTCCGAACCGGCAGCATGGAGCGGTAAGTAGAGAATCTCGTAATAAGACTGCCATCAACAAAGAGCACTACCTTACCCTACTAGGCTACTACCTTACCTAGGTACTGTACCTACGAGGTACCGACGCATTCATAAAGGCTTCTTTGTTATTACATTTGTGCATATCTACGGCTTTCAGCTCCAGCTCCTCAGGGAGGGGGTAGTCGATCATATCTGGAATCATGGTAGCTGTAAACCCTGCATGCAGTCAAGCAGTGAACTGCATAGAGAACGTCGAGCTTGGCGTGCGACTGCTGAGACGACTGTCGTGTGACCTCTGTCTGCGGTGTGACCTCTTGATCGTCGTTTTGCGCCAGTCAAAGAATTTGCCATTTAAGCTTTTTGCGTCTCTAGCACAAGAGATTGAGTTTTATAGTGAACAAGTCAGTGCTCCCGAGACTACTGTACTTTGGACGCCACGTCTAGTAGTAGTCCTGTAGAGCTAGAACTACCCCTAGGAGGTACGGCGAGATGCGCCTTCAAGCGTTTCTAGCCTGCTGATTCCACCGACAGCACTCCTCAAACGTCACCCCCTTGCCGCCAAAGATGTCGAGAGCGCTCCCGATGGTGAGATCAACCTTGCCGCTGCTGAGGCGGTCGACGAGTTCCAAATCCGCAATGCTCCGGCCACCGCCAGCGTACGTGACTGGTATCGTACAGATCTCCGCCAGGTACTTGACCAGTCCTTCATCGATGCCGGCTTGCAAGCCTTCGGCATCGGCTGCATGGATTAGGAATTCACTACAGTAGGGTTCCAGCAATGTGATGTTCTCTGCAGTACTCCACGTGTCAGCCCTGCCTAGTCACTAGTCCTACCGTACTGCCGGCGTCCTGTCCTTCTCCTCGTAGCGTGAAAAAAAATATGCGTACCTTGATTGATCTCGAACTCCGTAATGGTCTGCCATCGGTCCATCGCAACTCTCCATCCTTGACCCACGCGGCGGCAGCTGAGGTCAATGACAAGCTTTTCTTTATCGCCATCTAGCGCTGCAAGCACCGATTGAAGTCTGTCCAGCGCGAAGGAACCGGACGGAAATAAGAAGGAAGTGATGATGACCTACTGTGGAAGGTGAGCGCTTGATTGGATGTTGTCTGTTGCACTGCTTGTTCAGCATCGTACCCTTTCTGCGCCTGCATCTATCCATTGCTTCGCGTTGGAGTCCTTGATACCACCGCCAATTTGCAGTCCGCCGGGCCAGACAGCGAGGGCTTCGCGCGCTGCTTCGTCATTACCAGGCCCGAGCATGATGACATGTCCACCTCGAAGGTTGTGCTTCTTGTAGAGTTCGGCATAGTATGCTGAAGGGTGCTCGGAAGTGAAATTGGTCTTCAAGCCTGTATTGTCTGTGGACAACGTCCCTCCCACGATTTGCTTGACGCTCCCCGCGTGTAGGTCTATACATGGACGGAATTGAGTCATGATCGGAGAGCAGTCGTGTATGTCGATACCTGATTCTTGATCACCTCAGTGCTGTTGTTCTTGTCTGAACCGAATGGAGTCTCTGGATTTGATGGGGTTGAAAAAGCTTGGCGACGCGAATCCTCCACTTCCAGCGCCCGCCACAAGTTCACGACGAGCACTCAAAAGTGAACAAGCATACCAATTCGCCGTCCAAAATGGCAGTCACACTTGGCAAACGAAAGCGGACAGCCCCAGAGAAACGCGAAAAGGTACCCAAGCGATTACCGAAGCAAGCGACAGAATCAGACGACAACGACGACGACGCAGAGGCCCGAGCGCTTTTGAAGAAAGCTTTCGAGGCGAAATTTGAGCCTCTGCACGTGCAGCCCATACCAAGCAAGCCACATACTGAAGTTGCAGAAGAAAACGACGAAGACGACAGCGATGCCGAGTCGGACTGGAGTGGACTGTCCGGCGACGAAGACCAAGTCGAAGTCATCGAGCATGTCATACCGACAATAGACTCCATCTTCGACGCCTCTGCCAAGAAATTTCTCTCCTCAAAACCGCCCACATCCGACACAGAAAATGATAATAGCAAAAGTCAAACAAAAGCAAAAAAAGCCGCTTCCACCACAGACGAAGATGGCACAGAGTCCACCAATCTCAAACACGACCTCGCACTCCAACGCCTCCTCAAAGAATCCCATCTCCTCGACGCCTCCTCATTCTCCTCTTCCTCCTTCTCCCCCACCGCCCCCGAGGGCAAAAACCGATTAAAAGCCCTCGACATGCGAATCCTCGACCTCGGAGCCAAAAACTCCACTCTCCAGCAAGAGAACATGCCCATGCACATCCGCAAGGGCATCGCAGGCAAAGCCGCAAATCGCGAAACCACGCGAAGAAGGGAGGCGAAAGAAAACGGAGTGATTTTGGAGAAATTCAAAAGCAGCGCGCCGTCCAAGGTACGGAAGCAGCGGCGAGAACGCGGTGTGGGAGGGGTGGGAATTGGGAAGATGCAAGGCAGCACGTTGAAATTGAGTTCGTATGATATTCGGAGTATTGAAGGAACGAGGACGAGGAGTTCTGGGTCTGGAAAGAGAGGAGGAAAGCGGCGGTGAGAAGTGAAATTTCTCTGGATATCGCAATTGCGAGAAAAACGTCTCGGGAATGGCTGGTCCTGTGCCAGAAACGTAGATCTAATGCTGGGTATGCGCAGTCACACCCGTGCCGAAATGGTACATACTTCATAATTCATGTGTGATGATGGCAAGGTATTGTGAACTGTTACGAAAACATCTTAGCATCCCCGTCAAATTCCGTCATTATCCAGCCCGTTCTTGAGTCCCAGTGATACATAGTCTTGTCTCGGAATATCAGACAGCTTTCACAATACGTTCATCGAGAGATATTTGGCATCCGGAGTTGTCCTCCGAAGTGGCTGAGGTCTGAAAAGCCCGAGATCATCTACTACGACGACTACCTGTACATGTGATGTACCTAGGAAATTCGGTATATTGCACCTGCTAGAAGGCTTCGTTTCGGTCGTATTTGTTGCGTACTTAATCTTACGGATGTGCATGTAGCTACATACCTCTTAGACTTGGGTCAACAGTCAAGCGTGAAAGCAAAAGTGACATGACAATCTACGACACTATTCCTTGAATACATCTCTACGCGGCGGACACATATTCTGTAAGCGGCGCTGTATACAGCATATAATCAACGCTGACGCTATGCTGCTGGTCCCAGCAATATAGACCGACAGTCGTAACAGAGTCGCACAATTGGAGCTCGAGTTTGTCTTTTCATTATTCGGTATTCCTGTCGAGTATGTGCCTGCATCTCTCCATTTACACGTAACCCTTGCGACCTCCAGTGAAGAACATCTTCACAATGAAGACCTGTAACCCTGCCATGGCGATCATGAATATCGTTTCCATCACATTCATGTTGAAGATTCTCTTTTCTGTGCTCCTGACCGTGCTGAAGTTTCGGTTCTCGCGCGTTCGGAAGTACTTTTGCTGTCTGTTGAGGGTAGAGACTTGGCCAGAAAGCTTCATGATGGTCTCTTCGACACTGCTTAGCTGTTCGACAGAGGCGCCGCCCTTGGTCGGTAGGTTGGCTCGAGGCTCGTTCTCGACCTGGGCGGGTGTTAGTGGGGATGATGGCCTGTCGCCGACTGCCCTTCTGTGAGCAGGAAGAAGACCTACTGAAATATCAAAGTCTACGACCTTGTCGGAAAAGGTGGAAAAGACATTGGCAAAGCAGAAGCGATACTCGCCCGTCTTGGTTGCCGTGAAGATAAAGTCGCCCTGTCGTTCTTTGGTGCCGCTGAGAATGGTCTTATCCTTGCCGGGCTGCTCTTCTGGGCCAAAGACGGAGTAGTCGACTGTCGCTTGCTGTCAGCTGCCATGCATGATGTTCCCTCTGCTTTTTCTCAGAGGTCAGTTCCCGTGGAAGATCAAGACAACGCACTGTCAAAGTCGCCGCCACTCTGCACAGCGAAGTAGAAAGCAATCTTGGCATTCGCCTCGTCCACCTGGGCGTAGAAGCACTCGTGCTCGTTCGGGTTGAATTTGTAGGTCAGGGCGGTGGCCGAAGCGTAGGAGGTGAGCAGTCCGAGCAGGGCGGTGGTGGAGAACAACATGGCGGCGGACACAAGGTGGTGTACAGTCGAATGGAAGGCAAAGGAGGTGAAGAGGAAGAAGAAGAGGTCGTGGCAGGTGTCGTCCCCTCGCGACTGGTCTGTCTGTCTCGCTGTCTGGTCTCGCTGTCTCTGTGCGCTTTCTTCTGTCGTTCTGGTGGCCGTGGCCTCTTTCTGACGGGACGGACCCTGGACAGACAGCTTTCCACACGCGACTCCGCGACTTTCGGGGGACGGGGGCCAATGACGGGAGAGAAAGCACGATTGATTGAGTTACCGCTAGCGGATGTACCCTTCTCTTGCCCCGGCCTTCTGGAATCTGGACCACCCTCACCACCCGAGCGGGCAACGCAGAAGTGCCAGCTGCTCTCCAATCGAATGCCTCTCAATCCACCCCTACCGCCCTCACCTGACGCCTTTACTGGTGGATCGATCGCCGCCTCTGAAAGCCTTCAGTCGCTCGAATCGCCTTCGATCACCTGGCTGTTCCAAGTACGAGTGAGGAAGACGAGCGTGCCTTTTCAGCAGGCAGGAATTTGATCGGATACAGACGCTCTTGTCTTCAAGCAGACATTATAGAGTCATTCAACTGTCTACGGAGCTGGGTTGGCACTCCAACAAAGGAGGCGGCATTTGATAATGAGGAAGAGCAAGTGCAGTTTGAATACATCAAGAAGGGCGATATTAGCTCGCTGAGAGCGGTTGAGAAGCATTCAGAAGCAGTGGAAGCAGTAGAGGCAAATGCACCGACAATATAGCCCTCAGAACGACATCCTTTCCATTCCCGACATGATCATCACTGATTCAGTTGGTAGTGCACGGCCAGACAGTCGTTGGTGCTGGTGCGAGGCCGTTCTCCATTGGTAACCACACCATTCACCTTCCAGCGCATTATTCACATTTTCCAGCCACTGCTCCCACATCCGGCCGTCCTGAGGCTGCCCATCGGGAGCCTTTACAGACTGGCACACCTTCTTGAAGCGTGCCATTTCTGAGATTCGAACGGTCCCCATTAAGACACAATTCAAGGTCCGGAGCGACCATTTCGGAACGGCGTAGCTTTTGGACTCGAACTCCATCACTCTGGATGAACCCTCTTTCAAATGAAAGCACCGACCGGGTCTCTGGTTCGGCTCAGTGGCCACACAAAGAAGTGTTCCGAGATAACGTGTGCCTTGCACTTCTGCGGCCGAGACTTCGTAGAACTTGGGCATCTTGAAGTTTGTTTTCTCTCGGTTCTGGTGGGCTTGCTTGGAATGGTCTTGAATTTATGCCTTAGGATGGTTCACTCTTTGACTGGTTTGGTACGCATGGCTTGTAGTTGAGATTGTGGGTCGCTCGTTACGGCCGAGAACCGCTCACTTCATTCTGTTGTTCTACTAAAATATCCACCTCGGCTACTCAAGTTCCAGGAATCCCCCTTGGCCCATCCTCTCCTCGCCTCGTGCTTCACTGTTCGAGCCATGCCAATCGAAAACGTCGCTTGACTTTCGTCCCTCCTGCAGAACACGCATACGAACATACTCCGTATCGTCTGCCTGGGCAGTCACCAGCGAGGAGTCCAGCTACTCATCAAATTGGACTTCATCGGCTGTTGCTGTGTTAGGAAACCAATGGTTGTAAGGGATACCTCGAATGACTTACCACTTTCCGGAGGGGTCGTGCTGCGGCCGCCAAAGTAGCCAGCAGGCTTTTGCTTCTTCTTCTTGTCGGGTTCGATTTCATCGGCTGCTACTGTATTAGGATTGGGAACTGTAAGAGATCCTCGGAACAACACACCTCTCTCTAGGAGAGTCAGGCTGCGACCGGTCAAGTCACCAGAGGTATCGCGAGCGGCTACACTACATTAGATCGTGGCACTGCAGCACAACAGCTAACAAGCATATACCAATCTCAGATTTGGACGCTAGCGGCGCAGCAGCGGCCAGAGCCACGAGGCTAGACAGGGACAACACTCGCAGAAAGTGCATTGCGACCGGATAATGGTTGTGTTAAACGTAGGGAGGAATGTTTGAACTGAGTGAGTCTCTGTGCAAAAGAAGGAGGGACCTATATATATATAAGGTACATATATATATTGCCGATGGCAAAACGGCAGAGACGACAAAGAGATATTCCAGCTCGCTATCGTGGCCATGGGGCCGCGTGATTCGGTTGATATCTACAATACTACCTTACACGCTTGATAACAATTCGCCAGGCCTTTAATGGGAAGACAGCAATCGCGGCAATCACAACTGGCGACAGTGACCAAGCTACAGGCCTCTCCCTTAGTTATCGCACAAGACAGATGCATCGAGAACGAATCCTGCGCTTCCTGCAATCGACGACACCTCGTATACCTAGGTATGTAGCTATCACCCTGGAACCTGCAAGGTGGGCATCCAAACTTTAACAAGCTCTGATCGAAAGCCTCTCGTTTCTACCAAAACCTGCTCTTTTGTAGGTCAGCGCATGTTTGTAGCCCACACCGGCGATAACAGAGCCTTGGATATAAGAGACACACTACTACCTATTCATCTGTCTACAAGACACCTTACAGTTTCTGGACTCCCACCAGGTCTAGTATACAGGCGACGCGAGAGCTTCTCGGCGTCTAGTCTGCTGGGCTCATGCCACATGGTAACAATCCGTGATGGCTTTACCGCCGCATAAGGTGAGGGCACGATCACGAACTACTCCCCTGTCCAGCACGTGAGGTCAGAGTGCGTGAATAAGCGAGTTTGTGAGACCACTGCACGATGGAGGGGGACCTGTCAGAGTCCTTGCGAGAAAGAAGGCGAGATGTCGACTGGCCTGGTTCTGACACTGGCCACGCCTAAAGTCAATCTCATCGTTCAGAATTTACAATTCATCTCTACTGGATACGCCTATCATACCTGAGGTGAGCTTGGACAAACGCCATTTGCAACGACGATGGCAGCGGCCTTCCGACAGGTACGAGTCATCCAACTGGAAAGAGAAGAGGACCACCTTCTCTCTGAAAAGGATGAGGGAAGCGAGGATGGTCTGTACATCCCCCATAAGGATTCACAAAGGCCATCGACTCCATCCCCGCACCTTTCGTTCGCAAAACTCTGGTATCTTCTCCTCCTTCTTTTCACAAATCTGGCATCCATCTTTTCTACCTACTGGTACTCCGAGAACCATTTCAGACGAACCTTCTCTCCGGACTTTTTCGGTGGTGAGTACTCTATAAGAGCATTTCTTTTCGTCGTTTTTAACGTGACTTCTCGCAGCCAAGAAAGTCTTTCCCGGTCTGGACCGTTCCCTCTCCGTCGTCAGCTTCAGCAACCATGTGGTCAACACAACCAGCCGATGGACCGCTCCACCTAGCAAAGAAGTGGACCACGCCTGGAGCGAACTCGGCATTCATGACAAGGGCTTCATGCTGCCAGGAAACGTGGGTCGAGAGTACGGATTAGACCCACGAAAGCATGTGTATGCTCCTAAAGGGACCATGTTGGAGGAAGAAGATGGATTTCCCGTGTTCATTCAGGCACTGCATGATGTGCATTGTTTGGTAAGTTCCCGTTTCCTACACTGAAATGAAGAGGCACTGGAATGACGTGAGATATTGCTAGAATGAGCTGCGAAGAGCTCTATACTTCAACAAAGCCTACTATAAGAAGTTTGAGAATGACACATTGACACCCGAGCCATTTCGCAGAAGCCATATCAGTAAGTCCATTCCTGCCTTCCGATCTTCTCGCCCGTGGTGTCAGATAAGAGCAATATTTTCTGACAGTCGAATGCGTGGTACCTTAGATCATTGCCTTGACAACGTCCGCGAACGTCTCATGTGTACGGCAGATGCCGGTATCATACCCTCGGTATGGACCAGCCGAGATGAAAACTGGCCACTATTTGGTAGCCGGCACAAGTGCCACAACTACGAGGCCCTGGTGGCATGGAATACGAAGTTGCACAGTACTGAACGAGAGCGAGCGGTCAATTGGAGCGTACAGCTGACTGCTCCTAATGATGCTATATTTTTTGACATCTGACTAGAGAATGGCCGTAAACCCTGAGACGGGAGACGTAAGAGTGTGACTGAAGGCATGGAGTGTGGAAGATCAAATGCGGGAGACGGAACGCAGTCGGGCGGCGAAGGATCGTCTAGTGGGGTGATGAAGAAAGGGCGCAGAGCGGGGGGCGACGAGGATGAGAAGTGAAGGATCATGGATGAGAAGTGAAAGATGAGGAGTGAAGGATGAGGAGTAATGATGGGTTCATGGTATGGATCGTGGAGCGCAGAACGCTTTTCGATAAAGAGTTGGTTGGAATCAGCCAGACCCGAGGGTTGCAATTCTTGATTGCAACCATAAGGTACTGTACCATACATCTAGCCATAGCTGATAACAGTCTTGTATTAGGTAAGTAGCTGTTCGTAACCTTGTCACAGTAGCTGCTCGTAAGTTCCAGCTTCCCTGCTATCCTAGGTACCTACAGTATCCTGATTCGCCTACAGTAGTGCCAGGCAGTCTACTAAGGGTCACCTGCTAGAAGCAGGCCATCATTGGCCTTACAGTATAGCCTGAAGTCGGATGATTTTTCCCTTTCAAATTAGCGCGAACTTTCATCTGACCTTACCTCTTCCTACCTCCAGGAGGTACAGCCTACTTACTGTGAGTCTACCTTCTACCTCCAGAGGCTGTCTACCAGACCAGGTATTGTATATCTCCTCTCCTAGACTCAATGATATGGCCTATCGCCTACGGGATTGCCTGTTGGTGGTGAGTAATGTCGACCAATCTCGCATACACGTAGTGCGTGCGTGTGTAGGATCCCTCTCTCTCTTTCTCTCTCTCTTTTTCCAAGTACCAGACGTATCTTATTATCCTTCTCGTTCACCTTCTTGTTGACCTTCTTGTTCTCCTTCTTGTTCTCCTTCTCCTTCTCTTTGAGCTTCTTCTCTGTCATTCTTCTTCATCCTTCTATCATCTCCTTTCCCCTTGTCTTTCTCCCTTGTCTTTCTCCCTTGTCTTTCTCCCTTGTTATTCCCCGCTCTCGCTCTCCCTTCTCCCTTCTCCCTCGCCTTCTTCTCTCTCTTCTGCATTTTGTCGATGGCAGCGGTTTTTTTGTTTCAGGTGGTAACGCATTAGGTCTAGTGGAGTTTGCGCCCCTCCCCCGCAAAGGATGCGCCAATCAGAGCCCATGCTTTCGATGGTCCTCCACTCCCTCGCTTCGGAAGGGAAGTCGGTCATTCAGAGACTTTCATACTCGGGCACACTTGTTCTACACTGGAGATACCTATACCCGTTTTACGATACAACACACTCCCATATTAGTGCTTGACGTCGTCTAGTACAATTCGACGGCACTCGGTTATGCTTGTCAGGAACGGCGTATCACCTGACCCGCTTGATACTGTAGGTGTATAGTGCAAACACCATTCCATCCGAAAAAGGATGAGAGGCAGCACCTGCATCAAAGAACAACTGACCTAGACCGCAAACGAGCTTCAGACATGCACTTGCCTCTTTGGTACGCTGGTAAGCATTCTCAGAACTGAGTCGCCCCTGGCGAAATCACATTCCAGCCGCATAAGTACATGCAGAAGATAAGGTTCACGTTCATCTGCTTTCCACAGCCATCAGAAACTGGAAATAACAGCAACAGTACGAGCAATGGGCGGCGCAGCCTTCGCACACGCGGCGGCGAATGGCCAGCCAACGCTACGAACGCCACGCATGAGCCCTGAGGTATATGAACACCTCAAACTCACATATCTGCGGCGACTGAAAGATTACTTCCCGGATCGTGAAGTCATCACTCTCAGAGAAGCACCAGAAAAGACTGACTTCGGCGACATCGATTTCACGATTGCTTCAGACAGGCCTGTCGACCCTATGCACCTAGCAAGCGCACTGGGTGCAGCAGCCTTTCTCTCCTACGGGGGACTCCACATGCTTGCCGTGCCCGTGGATGGCACAAAGCACCCTCGAATACCTGTAAAGTACACCGTCCTCAAGACCGCAGAGCCTGTTGACCAGCTCAGCGAGGAGACATATGCGCAGATCGACATTGATTTGGTGAAGCCCGACCTCTTTGCCTGGCACTCCTTTTACTCTTCCTATGGCGACCTTTCCAGTATACTTGGCCAGATTGTGAGCAATCTCGGTTTCACAGTCACGGATAAGGGAATGATGCTGCGTCTTCGCGAGCTTGATGACGCCAAAGATAATTCTGTCCAGCTCCAAATCAGTGATAAGCAAGGCATGCTCTTCCTCTCTAATGACCCTGATCAGGTAATGGAGTTTCTGGGCTTGAACTTACGAATTTATCAAGCTGGCTTTAGCAGCATGAACGACTTCTACGCTTGGCTCGCGCGTTGCAGACTGCTTACGCCAGACTACGTCGGCAATCTACAATACAAGCGAAGGGACACATCCAATCAGCGACAAAAGGAGTACAAGCGACCCGCGATCAAAAGTTTCTTCGAAGAGTATCTTCCAGCGCACGTCGGAACAGAATGTGCCGAGATCGAAGATCCTGATATGTGGCGAGCAAATCTGGCTCGGCGCAGAGAGCAATGGCGAAATGAGGCCGTCCAATTCTTCAAGAAAAGAGAAGAACTCGAGCAGATGCGCGTTAAACTTGTCAAGTCGATAAGCAACCAGACTGCCGACTTCCTTGTCAAGCCTATAGTATCGGCAAATTATGGTGGAAACAAGCAGAAGGTCCATGAAATTGTCAGAGCGATGCGGCGCTGGGTAGGATTCGAGAATGGTCAGCCCCAGATTCTGGCAGAAAGTCACAGTGACGAAGAATCACAGCTGCATTTCTGGCTTGAAGGTGATGTCCTGCGAGATCCGGCAGCTGTGAACACTTGGATCGAGGAAAACTGGGCCCGGTGTAAGGCACTGGAGCGCGAGAACCGCAAGGGATAGGAAATGCAGACGCGAGAGCGTATCATGCGAATCAAAGGGTAGGTCACTGCCATGATTTCTACACACCTTCAGACTGCATTCTTTCCTTGGACACTATGTCGAGACGGGTTCTCATCATGGGCTTGTCCTTGGTCTTCTGGCAATTCTTATGCGTATCTAATGCCACTGCAATCGACTACGGTATCCGCTCTATCACAAGCGCGTCTAGCATCGAACTTGGGGAGATCGAGATGCTTGCCATCACCAGCGATGGCGGCTTGGAGACGAATTTTTCCTTAGCGTTTACCCAAAGGAAGGAAGAAGTTAGAGGACGCAAACACCTGATGAAAGGGGAAACGTGTGCTTGCGCAGAGGAGAATGGTTGATGCTTACCTGCGGGTGGCAGTTCGTCTCTCGCTTAGATAGTTACTCTGTTGCTTAATGACCATAGTGTATACATGTGACAGCCACAGATAAACGAAGAGCCATGAGAACAGGTATTTCCAAATGCACATTCCTCCTTGGGAAGACACCTCCTCACTCAAGTCGTGCCATGAAAGATGTATGCAAGCTATACTGTTCGGATGTCGGCTCGAGCCCTAACTTTGACATCGAAAAGGCACTAGCGCAATAGACCAGACATGGTAATGATCTGCGCGATTCTCCAGCTTGCTCGCCCACCTACTCAGAACTTCGCGAACTTGCTTGCACCTGCTTTCGCAGCTCCGAAGTCGAGGAACACCACAACAAAACGACCACACCCTTCCGCTGCTGCAATTGCCCGTATTGCATAATCGCACGACATTTACCGATCATCGACCAGAATCTTGTCAAGTTGCAGAGACGAACAGACGCGCTGGAAGCGACAGCAGCCTGTATCCGCGCGTGTCCTGCAAACTAAGAACTACATGTACTTGCACAGTACTTGACTTGAGCCATTATTGCTTCTTCCAACACCTTGCCCATCGATCTTCGAGCCACGAGCACCGTACGAATCGCACCGATACCGAAATCACAGTCACGACACTCCTCACCCACGAAACCGCTTCGAATTCGATCCGAATCACCTGCACACACACCATTCTCCCTGCGATGCTCTCCGCAACGTCCGCTTTGAGGTGATCAACTATTGAAGGCCTTCGAGGCCGCACCCATATCGAGTGACCATGGCCGACCGTGCTATGGACTCTTATGAGGCCAAGCTGACCGACGCCTCTCTTGACTTCAAGGCCAAATACGTGACGCTGGCGGAGCTGCGTGATGGTCTGGAGCAACTCTGTCAGACCTCGACATACGCAACCTTCTTGCAGAAATTCGTGCCCATTTTCCTGAACATCCTCTCCGGCCCGCCGGTCTTCACATCCACGTCTCACGAGCAGCGATGTCGACAATGCGTGCTGGAGATCATCCATCGCTTTCCCTTGTCCGGGGACAATGCCGCCATGGAGCCGTTTGCTGAGAAGATTGTGGATCAATGCCTGCAGTTGGTCAAGACGGACAACGAGGATAATTCGGTGCTCTGCCTCAAGATTGTTATGGACATCTGCAGATATCATACCAAGTCTACAGGTGTGGTAGAAAAGGCACAGCCCTTCCTGGATCTCATTGTGGACATCTTCGATAGCATGGAGCAGACGGTCAAGGACACGTTCGAGTCCACAACGCCTATTCCTGCTACGAGTAATGCGCCGGGCACACCAAACAATGGTGGTACTCCAGGATCACCGGTAGCTACCACATCGCACGCGCTGGCCACGGACGAACCGCAAACGACGCGACAGCTCGTCAAGGGAATGCACAGTTTCAAAGTGGTCGCAGAGTGCCCCATCATAGTCGTGAGCATATTCCAGGCTCATCGAAATCTAGCTGGCCCCAATGTCAAGAAGTTCACGCCTCGAATCAAGCAGACTCTGATGTTGGAGGCTGGCCCGCAGAGGAAGGCACACGAGGAGGCAAAGCAGAATGGGACGGTCTTCACGGGGCTTGCGCGAGAGATCAAGGCCAAGGGACAATCAGTTGCATTTGGAGATCTTGTCACTGCACAGGTCAAGACCATGTCTTTTCTGGCCTACCTGCTCCGGGCATATTCGCAAAACCTCACCGACTTCCTGGCCCAGCTTCCGGAGCTGACAGTACGTTTACTGCGTGATGTGCCCCGAGCGCATACCGCTGTTCGCAAGGAGCTCTTAGTTGCGATCAGGCACATTATCAACTTCAACTTCAGGGATGTGTTCTTGCCTGTCATTCTGCCCCTGCTAGATCCTCACACGCTCGTCGGCGATTCTCTGACGGCAGACATTACATTGCGGCCGCTGGCGTATACCATGCTGGCAGATCTGATCCACCATGTCAGAGAGAAACTCAGCGCCAAGCAGATCTCGAGAGTCGTACAGGTGTACGTGGGGCATCTGACAGGTGAGGATGGCGTGGAAGTGCCGGGCACCAGTTATCAAACGATGAGCGCGAAGCTTCTGCTCAATATGGCCGAGTGCATGTCGAAGGTGGAAGATAAGAAAAACGCACGATTTCTGATGATGAGCGTTTTGAACGGCATCGCAGACAAGTTTGGGGCTATGAATCGTGCATACCCCAATGCTGTCAAGCTATACAGGCAACAGCGGGAGAACAACCAGCACGGAACAGATGTTGTGCCCGAGAACTACCTGTCTGACAAGGACTCGAAGCCGGACTGGGACGAAACTGACATATTCAGCGCCATGCCCATCAAGGCCATCAATCCCAAAGACAGAGCGACAGATCCAGTTACTGAGAACAAATTTCTGTTCAAGAACCTTCTGCAAGGACTCAAACAGTTCTTTTATCAGCTCCGAAACAGTAATCCACCTCGGATCAAGGAAGAAGTTGATACTAGCAACGCACCACCTCACTGGGCCGAGCTATCTTCTGGTTTCGAGGCCGAAGAGGTCGAGGTTCTGATCAAGCTGTTCCGCGAAGGCGCCAAGTGCTTTCAGTACTACGCACCTTTGGAACCGAGCGCAGAGAGCACGGTGCCCAACGAGCCGAGCTCGAGCATTGCCACTACTGCTAACAGCAAGGAAGAAAAGGATCTGCTCGAGACATTCGCTACCATCTTCCATCACCTGGATCCTGCCACGTTCCATGAGATTTTCACTTCTGGCAACCCATCAGGCATTGAGTTCCTCTACGAGCAGAGCTTCCATCATGCAGCACTCCTTCATACACCGCAGTTCTTGTTGGCTAGTGAGGCGACGAGTCCGGCATTCTGTGGCATGCTGCTGAAATTCCTGATGAGTAAGCTGGAAGAGGTTGGCGAAGACGACGACACCAAGACTTCTGTACTTCTGCGACTTTTCAAACTATCCTTCATGGCAGTGACATTGTTCAGCCAGCACAATGAAGGAGTCTTGTTACCCCACGTCCGCGAGCTCATTACACGCTCCATCGAGTTATCCATCACGGCCGCCAAGCCCCAGAACTACTTCCTGCTGCTACGTAGTCTGTTCCGCAGCATTGGAGGCGGCCGCTTCGAGCATCTCTACAAGGAGATTCTGCCCCTGCTAGAGATGCTGCTCGAGGTTCTCAACACCCAGCTTGCAGCGGCACCTGATGGTCTAGCTCGGGATCTTTTTGTCGAGCTTTCACTCACGGTACCTGCTAGGCTGAGCCACCTGCTGCCACATCTTGGGTATCTCATGCGGCCATTGACGGTCGCATTACGCTCCGGCGACCCGGCCAACCCAGGTCATCGGGCGTACTCCAACGATAGGTCTTCAAATGACAATCGCGGGCAAGGCTCCAGCGAGCTCACCGCGCAAGGTCTGCGCACGCTTGAGTTGTGCGTCGACAATCTTACGGCAGACTATCTTGATCCAATCATGCAGCCTTGGATGGAGGAGATTATGGGAAGTCTCTGGCGTATGCTGAAGCCAGTCAGCTTAACGGGAGCCACCATGACGCAGAATGGCCAGGGCCTCCTCGGTACTGGACACCAAGGCGCGCATACTGCTGTCAGAATTCTGGGCAAGCTAGGAGGAAGAAACAGGAAATTCTTGAACAATCCGGCTGAGCTTGAGTGGAAACCATATGCAGATGACGAAGCTAGCTACGACGTGAGGTTCATTGGGGCTATCAGCAACAACGGTGAACGCGCCATGCCAGCGCGCCTCGGCATCCAGACCGCTATCGACAAACTTCTGGAGAATCCGAAGACACCTGCGCAGAAGAAATCCGACGAATTCCACAAAAGACAGTCGTTCAAGTTCATCACATCACATATCAAGCTTATGATCGGGGCCGACAACTTGCCAGATGACCTTGCTAGACTAGTGCGGTTGCAAGCCGAGGACCTTGCGAGCAAGAACTTTGACTTCGGCTCAGATTTGTTTTCAGAGTCTCAGCGAACGAGATCTAATGCAAAACGTGACGCCCAGCAGGAGACTCTATTGAAGCTTTTGAAGGCTCTGATTCTCGCTAGCAGCATCGAGTATCTCAAAGAAGATGCCGAACGCTTCTTGCATGGCATTTGCCGCCATTTTGTGATTCTCGACCTTGGTATCGCTGTCGCGAATGAGAAGCATAGGAAGCGAGCGTTCGATGTTCGTGCAGGCGATGGACCAGTCTTCATCGAAACTGGCACTCTAGCGGACGCACTCTGCCAAAGTCTTGCATCTGACCAAAAGGTAGTGCGCGAGACGGCGGAGACGGCGATGCGAGAATGCCTCTCGATTGCCACAGTCGTTTTCGGCTCAGAGACCAAAGCCGAATGCCTACCATTCTTTGCAAAGTTGGCAGAGGCCTTCTGTCACGTCTGCTATGAAGAAGAATGGTTCACGAAGAACTCAGGCACGCTCGGCATCACGATCATGACCGATAGAGAGAAAATGAAATTCTCCGATGCCTGGGTCGTAAGCCGCATGCCCGAGCTTCTCAAGGCTCTGCTCTTCGTGATCAAGGACATGCCGCAAGATCTACCTGCCAACACGCGCATGCGAGCTAAAGATACCATCGTTACCCTTGTGACGCGTTTCGGCGAGAGTGGCATCGAAAAGAAGGAAGATCTTGAGAGGAAAGACAGCAAGCTGCATACTCATGCCAAGCACTTGATCTCCGAGGTCAATCACATGAATCGACATGTTCGCGAAGCTGCACAACATGCTTTGCGAGCTCTCGCCACTGCCTTCGGCATGCAACATTATGAGCTCCTGGCACCCGTTAAAGAGTCTCTGACGTTCGGCGTGTTTCTGAAGCCATTGCGAGCATTGCCATTCACTGCCCAGATTGGCTATGTTGATGCCATCAACTTTTTGCTTGACGTGCCCACTGACAAGGAGATCCTGGCGTTCGATGACAACCTGAATAGACTTCTGTTTGAGACATTGGCCTTGGTCGATGCTGAAGATGAAAGTCTGGCGCCCAAGCCTTATGAGTATCGCACTGCAGAGAGCATAGTGAGGCTCCGTGTGGCTGGACTGAAGCTCCTCGCCACCGCTATCAAGCTGCCAGGATTCAGTGCCAGCGCTGCTGCAACCCAGTCGGGCGGCACTCCACAGCAAGGTCAGCAACAGCCCGGTGGACAACATCGCGCTCGAGTCATCAGCATCTTCTTCAAGTCTCTGTATAGCAAGAACAAAGATGTCGCCGGAGCTGCGAATGCTGGCTTGAAGATAGTGCTCCAGTCGACCTCGAAACTGCCCAAGGACCTGCTCCAGAACGGGCTGCGTCCCATCCTGATGAATGTTCAAGATCCTAGGAAACTCTCGGTTGAAGGACTGGAAGGCCTGCGCACATTGCTACAATTGCTTCATAACTACTTCAAGGTAGAAATAGGGACTAGGTTGCTTGACCACATGGAAAAAATAGCCGACCGACCAACGCTGCAAAAGGTGTCGTTTCAGCTCATCGAGGCTCAACCCAAGATGAAGGTGGTCACTGCGATCTTCAGTGTGTTCCATTTGCTGCCCAGCCAGGCGGCCATGTTCCTCCAAAACCTGGTACAGCGGGTGCTTGATCTGGAGACCTCATTACGACGAACTAGAAGTAGCCCATTTCGAGAGCCACTCATCAGGTACCTGAACCACTATCCCGAGGAGGCATGGACGTACTTCAAGGCCCTCATGAAAGATGAGAGGCGTGGGCGCTTCTTTGCGCAGATCCTGGCCAATCCCGAGAGTGGCCCATTGCGCGAGAAAGTGATCAAGGAGATAGCTGGGCTTATCACCACATTTGATGGCATTACTGCGAATAACATGGATGCCGAGAAGGCTCAAGCTGCAGTCAACGCAATCCATATTGCAGATTCTATCTGCCACTTCCCTGCTCATGGCAAGCAGCTGATGGAGAATGCGGACGCCCGTAAAGCCCTCCTGAACGCAGCCAAGGCGCTGCAGACATGCGCCCAGCAAGGCAACATGTTCAACAATCTGCGTCTGGCCGTGATGCAAAGTGCAGAGCGAACTATGCACATCTTGACAGTCTATCTGGAGCAAGAAACCAGTGACATGACTTTCTTGTTTGACATATTCGACTCATGCGTCAAGGGCGAGCTACAGGCAACGCCTCTGCTCGTCACATACCTCTACAAGCATGTCATCACCAATGACTCTGTCGAGTTCCAGAGGAACATCGTACAGCGGTGCATCGAAATATACACATCAAAGGAAACAACTCAGAAGCTGAAGTGGTTTGTCTTTCACAACGTCGCAAATCCGATTTTTGCCAACGATGTGATGCGGAATTGGGAAAGCCTCTTCCGAGAAGAGCAAAAGGGCACCCTACTCCTGAACAAGGCAATGGCTGATGACATACACAACAAGCTGTGGAAGCCGCAGTCTGTTAGCGATATCTCTGACGACAACACACCGGGAGTTGATCACAGCCGTATGGAACTACTGCAGACGTCCGCATTCCTGATCAAGTACCATCACAATATGCTTCAAGACGCCAGGAAAGATTTGATCAAGTTTGGATGGAACTACATCCGCCTCGAAGACCACATCAACAAGTACGCGGCATACTGCCTGATCACATACTTCATTCATCACTACGATACTCCGCCAAAGATCGCGATGCAGGTTTATAACTCACTGTTGCGGGCACACCAGGCCGAGGGCAGAAATTTGGTGATGCAGTCACTCGAGATTCTGGAGCCAGTGCTGAAGAAGCGCCTTGGTGGCACTGAAGGACGAACAAGTATCTGGGCTCGTCTCCCGCGCAAGATTCTGAGCGAGGAAATTGGCAATGTCCAGCAGCTGACAAGCATCTATCACTTCATCGTGCGGCACCCCGACCTCTTCTACGACGCAAGAGAACAATTCGCACAGATGATCATCCCATCAATCAGTAAAGTGGCGCAATTACCTAGCCCTAGCGCAGAGAGTAGAAAGCTCGCGCTCAACCTGTTCACACTCATCTGGCAATGGGAAGAGCGCACGGTGAAGGAGCATGGCAGCCTTGCAGACGGTGATGGGCCGAAGAAGGCTGCCGTCGCAAACTCAGTGCTTCGCCTGGCTTTGATAAAGTACATGGTGCAGTTCATCGCAACATTACCAGAACGTTTCCCCGTCAATGCGCCCAGGAGCAAGGACAGCGCGCTCCCTCCACAGCACTCAAGTTCACACGAAATAGTGATGAAATCACTTGATCTACTCAGCAGGTTATTGTCCGCGCCTTACTGGGACGACCTAGATATAGACACGATGTTCCCGAAGGTGACGGAGCAGATTTTGTGCACAGATCACAAGCCAGAAGAGAAGATAGAGACGTGGACTACGCGTGTAGTGAACACTATCCAGATTGTCAAGGTCCTTCTGAACTCACGGTCTGATGAGTGGGTGGTCGCACGACTGCCACAGCTACAGAAACTGCTCGCAAAGCCATTGCGCTGCGAACTGCCAGACATACAAGACGCGCTCCACAACGCACATTTGCCCGAGACTGTGACGCCGATTCTCCCTCCAATCCTGAGCCGCGCACTGGCGACTATTCCAGTTCAGCAGCCAGACGAAGACCTGCCTGATGCTGATAGTCCAACGGAGGAGTTTCTGGGCTTCCTGACATCTCTGGTCAGTGACGTTCTGGGCAATGGCAGCCACGTGGCTGGCATTAACGTGCTGTGGCTTATGGCCCAACGGAGGCCAGAAGATGTGGACGCGCATAGCGCAGCACTCCTCAAGAACCTGCAGAGCAAGCTGGCCAAGGACCATCTGGCCACACTATACTCACCTCAGCAAGCAATGCAGCAAGGCGCGCCTCCGATTCCGACGCCGCAGGAAGGTGAGATTATCGTGAACATGATCATCAAGGTGATGGAGATGCTCTCTGCACGCATTAGCACGCTTGGCGAAAGCAGAAGACCTTACCTTAGTGTACTGGCCTCTCTGGTCGAGCGCAGTACGAATAATGCTCTTTGCGAGAAGATCTTGGAGCAGGTAGAAAACTGGGTTTTCAACCCGACTGAGCCAGTGCCGACCCTCAAGGAAAAGACTGCGGTCCTGCAGAAGATGCTTTTGTTCGAAACACGACAAGATCAGACGCTATATGCCAAATTCATGAACCTCGTGATCAGGATATACGAAGATCCAAAGATCACCAGATCAGAACTTGCAGTCAGAATGGAACATGCCTTTCTCATCGGACTCCGGAGCAGCGATGTTGACATGCGAACTCGATTCGTCTCGATCTACGATAGAGCTTTGTCGCGGGCTACAAACAATCGCTTCTTCAAGCTCATCAGCGAACAGCAGTGGGATGTCCTAGGCGAAAGTTTCTGGTTGAGTCAAGTTATTCAGCTCATGTTCGGAGCCCTTGACCAGAATGCGATACTGCATTTACATGTCGAGGACTTCACGTGCTTGTCGGCCAGCAAGGCCTTCAGCACATATACCAGCGATGCAAGACTGGCAGATGTTATGGTTGACGACGGTCTCGACGGTATACTTGCTGATGAAAAGCGATTCATGAATGAGATCAGCGTGGTGCGAGCACGAGACATCTTGGGCCCACTTGCTGAAATCCAGCACACTGACTGGAGTCTCGCACACGACATTTGGGTTGCCTACTTTCGGATGTGCTGGTCAACGCTGTCAAAGGATGATCGCGAGGACATCGAAGCAGGGTTGGTCGCCCTGCTGACCAAGGATTTCCACCAACGACAAATTGATCGCCGTCCGAACTGCGTTGCGACTTTACTGGAGGGAATCGCCCTGGCGAGACCGCATGTCAAGTTCCCGCCACACGCCATGAAGTACTTGGCTAAGAGTTATGATGCGTGGTACGTTGCTGCCACATATATGGAAGACCTTGCCATGAAGCCCATTGTCGACACATCCAATGTTCGAGAAAGCAACCTTGATGCACTCGTTGAGACGTATGCTGGCCTCGAAGAGGGCGACCTCTTCTACGGCACATGGAGGCGACGTGCATCATATGTCGAGACCAACGCTGCCTTGTCGTATGAGCAGAATGGCATATGGGACAAGGCCCAGGCCATGTACGAGCAGGCACAGATCAAGGCGCGAACCGGCTCTCTGCCTTACTCGCAGGGCGAATACATGCTTTGGGAAGATCAGTGGGTGTTGTGTGCTCAGAAACTTCAGCAGTGGGACATATTGGGCGAGTTCGCTAAGCACGAGAACATTAATGATCTCTATCTCGAGGCTATGTGGCGCAACTACGAATATTGGAACAGTGCGGATCAGCGAGACCAGCTGGAGACCTATATCAAGGCAGTCAGTGACGCACCCACCCCGAGGCGGATGTTCTTCCAGGCCTTCATCTCTCTGCTCAAGATGCACAACAAAACGGAGACGCCGCAGGAATTTGCCCGAATATGCGATGAGAATATTCAGCTCAGTATCAAGAATTGGCACAAACTTCCCCGACGCATCACGAATGCGCACATTGGTTTGTTGCAGAACTTCCAGCAGCTCGTAGAGCTGCACGATGCAAGTGTGATCTGTCAAAGTTTGGCGCAGACCAACGCTACAAATCTGGACGTCAAGAGTCAGGAGCTAAAGGTCCTGCTTAGTACATGGCGCGACCGTTTGCCCAATCTGTGGGACGACGTCAATGCATGGCAGGATCTCGTTACCTGGCGTCAACACATATTCAACCTCATCAATGGGACGTACTTGAGTCTGTTGCCACCTTCCAACGGCGGAAATGCGACTGGTAACAGCTATGCCTATCGAGGTTACCACGAGACGGCATGGATCATCAATCGCTTCGCACACGTGGCTCGCAAGCACCAGATGCCTGAAGTCTGCATCGCGCAACTTGGCAAAATCTACACATTGCCCAATATTGAAATTCAAGAAGCCTTCCTGAAGCTGCGGGAGCAAGCGAAGTGTCACTATCAGAACCGAGCTGAGCTGGGCAGTGGTCTGGACGTAATCAACAACACTAATCTTAATTATTTTGGTCAGGTTCAGAAAGCGGAGTTCTACACGCTCAAGGGGATGTTTTTGAGTCGGCTCAATCAGAAGGACGAGGCGAGTGATGCATTCGGCACTGCGTTGTTCTTCGACATCAAGCTGCCAAAGGCGTGGGCAGAGTGGGGACGTTATTCGGACAAATTGTTCAAGGAAGATCCCACGAATCTGGAGGCTGGGTCGAATGCGCTGAGTTGCTACCTCGAGGCTGCTGGACAATACAAGAGCGCCAAGTCGAGAAAGTTGCTTTCCAGAATCTTGTGGCTGCTGAGTCTCGATGACGCCACGGGACAATTGAGCAGCAAATTCCACGACTACCATGGCGATCACCCTTGGTGGTACTGGGTCACTTTCATTCCGCAATTGCTGAACAACCTATCAAGGACCGAGAGTGAAGCACTCATCGCACATCAGATCTTGACGAATCTCGCCAAGACGTACCCGCAAGCCTTGCACTTCCATCTTCGGACGAGCCACGAGGACATGCAAGTGATCCGAAAGAGCCAATTGCTGCGCGAGCAGAAGGAAAAGGCTGCCAAAGCGAGGAGAGAAGCTGCTGGTGGCCTCTCTTCCGACCCCGTCAAGACGGAGAGCCCAGCTAGACCGGGGAGTTCTGGTACGCCTGCTGCTGGTGCGAGTCGACCGACTACGAGCGCAGGCGATACTGCCATGCCAGATGCCGATAAAAAGGATGAAGAGGCGAAGAAGGAGAGCGAAGAGAAGAAAGAGGAAGAGAAGAAACCCAAGAAGCCTTGGGAACATACGGAGGCGCTCGTCATCACACTGAGAACTGCTTTCCCTCTGCTATACGCGTCCATGGAGGCCATGGTCGAGCAGATGCAGCGGCATTTCAAGTGCCCGCCAGACGAGGACGCGTACAGACTCATCGTTGCATTGCTCAACGATGCGCTCAGTTATGTGGGACGTTCACCTCAGTCCTTCACGCAAGAGCAGAGATTGCCACCGCAGACCGAAGCTAATATCACTCGGTTCGCTGAGAGCGTTTTGCCATCGCATATTCGGAAGTCATTCGAGGTAGACTTCGTCGCGAAGAAGCCCACGATGTACGAGTACGTGCACAAGCTACGTCGGTGGAGAGATAAGCTTGCGGAAACGCACGATCGCAAGGCTTCGACATTCCATCTTGCTCAAAACACACTTCTTAGTGGGTTTAGGTTCGTGTGGTTCGACGAAGTGGAGATTCCGGGACAGTACCTGCAGCACAAGGACAAGAACCAGGATTTTGTGAGAATCGAACGCTTCTTGCCCGTGGTCAATTTAGTACGAGGTGTTCTGGCGTGTCACCGGCGACTGACCATTCGTGGACACGATGGCAGTGTACACCCATTCTGCATTCAACATCCGGCACCTCGACACAGCAGGCGGGAAGAGCGCATTCTGCAACTCTTCCGAATCTTCAACAGCACCTTGTCGAAGAAAAAGGAGAGCAGGCGGAGGAACTTACAATTTCACCTCCCGCTCATGGTACCCTTGAGTCCGCAAATTCGTATGATCCAGGACGACGTGTCGTATATTGCGTTGCAAGGCATCTGGGAAGACTATTGCCGCCGGAACGAAGTAGAGAAGGACGAGCCCATCATGTTCACCATGGAGAAGATGCGATCTCTTTCCCAAGCCAAGCACGAGCAGTGGCTTAACATGCGCATCGAAGCACTCAACCACGTCCAAGAACGCTACGCGCCCAAAGAACTCGTCAGGGACTTCTTCGCTCAAACATATCCTTCGTACGATTCTTTCTGGCTCTTCCGCCGACAGTTCTCGTATCAGCTGGCAGCATTGACCTATATTACCTTCACCATGTTCATGACGATTCGGTATCCGACCAAATTACACATTTCCAGAAGTAGCGGGAACATTTGGGGATCTGAGCTGCTACCTTTCATGCTCAGCCAGAGACCTGCATTGCATCAACCGGAGCCGGTGCCATTCCGTTTGACACCAAATCTGCAAATTCTGATGGGACCCATTCATACCGAGGGTATCTTCACGTGCGCGCTGATGGCCATTGCGAGATGCCTGACGTCCGACGTCACGGCAGGTAGCGTTCCTGCTACCAATGGTGCCAATGGTGCCGCCAATGGTGCCAACGAGGCTGCCGCTAATGGGATTGGGGTTTCGAGCAGCGAACTTGAACATCACTTGAGCATTTTCATCCGAGATGAAATCTCTTTCTGGTATATGAGCAATCGACACACGGCCAAGGAGAACGAAATGCGAGAGCACGTGCAAAGGAATGCGGAGCAGATTGTGAACAAAGCGGTGGCTATTGCGAAAGAGCCCACGGGCAACAATCTTCCCGCCAGCCAGAGCGTGTTGGATCTGGTGGCACGGGCTACCAATCCGGAGAAATTGGCGCAGACGGATCTTTTGTGGATGCCGTGGTTGTGAGAGGGCAAGTCAAGGAGTCCAAGGTTTTAGCGAAGGCGTCTTGGAGTGAAGTGGTACCAGGGCAGAGCAATATCTGGTCACGAGAGATGGGCAGGATACCCAACCGTTTAGCGCGGCGTTGGTGGGGGAGACACTTGCGTATCATTGTGTTACTAGTGTATAGCATTAAAAACGTGATGCTTCATTTTCAGCCACACTCACCCTCGCTATCTCGTGAAGTCAAAGGCTTTGGTATTTGCACCTGAACTCAGCACCCATGATTGATAATAGTAGTGGTAGGAAGGAAGTAGTACAAAGAAGAGACCCCCCACATTACGTTTCTGAGAATTCCAACAGCGATCTCGACAATTGGCAGGAAGCCCGTCTCCCATTTCGATCCAAGTCGAGTCACTCCTACCAGAAATACTACATAACGGACAAGCATACCACCACTACCGTCATCACCATTACTGTGATTGCCCATCCAACCAGACCTATTGATGGCCATTGTCAGTCTAAGAAAAAAAAGTAAACATAAAGGAAAAAGAAGCCCTCCTTCTGAAGAATCATCTCAGTGAGCAAAAAACAGGTCAACTTCTCCTTCAGATATGCTCACAAGCGGTCGATTGCTTCATTTCAATTTCGGCAATCCATTGAATTATATTTGGGGAAAAAAGAGTGGGAATTGGCGAATATCATCATTCTTTTTGGGGGCCTTTTGGATAAAATCAAACAAATTGATCACCGCAAAACGTACGATATCCATCCATCCTCTTCCCACCTCATCTACTCGTGTAACCAATATGAATCAATACATCCCACAAAACATCATCATCAATCCGCCAATCGATCATTCATAAACTCTCCAATATCTCTCAAAGCAATTTCCGTCTGTTCTGTGCCTCCGACGGGGAAAAAGGTAAAACCGTGTGGAGCGCCAGGATAGAGTTTTAGAATGGATGCGGCTCCTGACATGGCCCATTTGGTTGCCATTAGGACGCTGTCGTCGAGGAGTACGTCGAGAGTGCCGCAGGTGAAGAGGGCGGGTGGGAGCTGTTTTGTTGGAGAAAGAAAAAGGGGGAGGGTTAGTGGTGGTAGTGAGGATTGATGGAAAGATTTTTTTTTTCTTTTTTCTCAAGTTAAAGTAGGTAGGTGGGTGGGTGGGTATGACTTACTTTCATTTTGTTGAGGTTTGCGTAAAAGGGACTGATCGATGGATCTCGACGCTCTTGGATGGATTTTCCGGGGAGATATGCTGCTATATATCTTGGGAAATGGACATGAAAGAGAATATCATAGGGTTAGCCACTAGCCACAACTCTCCAAAAAGGAAAAACAAACAAAAAAGAAAAAAAGAAAAGAAAAAACTCACTTCTCCAAAATATCCCGATCCAAAACCAATGGTAAATCAAAATGCTGCACCTGCGGCATCCCCCCGGAAAGATCATAACATCCAAAATTCAACACCAAACCCTTGAATCGAAAATCCGGCCGCGTCTCCAACAATTTCATCGTCGTCAATACTGCCAAATGCGCTCCTGCAGAATCTCCTCCGATGAATGTGAGGGGGGCGCCAAAGTGGGAGACGGCGTGGTCGATCAGGTATTCGCCGATGGAGAGACAGTCTTCGTTGGCGGCGGGGTAGGGGTGTTCGGGGGCGAGGCGGTAGCCGATGGAGATGACGATGAGGGAGGATGAGGTGGAGTAGGATTTGAGGAGGGAGTCCTGGGAGGGGGTTAGATTGAGGGTTGGGAGAGAGGGTTGTATATGTAAATGTGTTTGGTTGAGAGGTTTCTTTCTCTTTCTTTCTTTTCTTTCGAGAGGGAGAGTGACCAATTGATCCCCTTATCACTATTTTTGTTCACTCTCGATCGATCGACGAAAAAATTGAGAAGAAAACGGAAAAGAGAAGGAAAGGGAAAAAGAGAAAAAGAGAAAAAAAAGTAACAGGACAAGAATAGAGGAAAACAAAAACGACAGTATTCAGAACATATCAATGATCAGAAATAAAATCAGAATTGAATAAAAAAAAAATAAAAACAAAAAATAGAAAGAATAATCAACAGAAAAACCAATCCCCTCTCCTCTCCTCTCCTCTCCTTTCCACAACACCAAACCTCTCCAAAATATACATAAAAGAGAAAATCTCAACCTACCTGATACTTCTCACTCTGCAAAACCCACCCCCCACCATGAATATGACAAAAAACCCCCTTCACCTCCCCCTTTCCATCATCATCCTTTGATGGTCTAAAAATCCTCACCGGCACCCTCCTCCCCTCACCCTCATCCTCTTTCAAAATCAACTCCCCATCATCACCATCCAACACAACGGGCCTCGGCATGGCAGTTTTTCCCTCCCATCGCATTCGACGATACTGTTCTGCTCCGATTTCGTACCATTTCGGGCCGGAAGTGGTTTGCGCGATGAGATGCGTGTTGAAGGTGTGGGTTTGAGGGGAGATGGAGGTTGGGTGGAGTTTGAGGTGGAGGGTGGAGGGGGGGAGGGAGAGGTCGGATTGGAGGGGCATTTGTTTTTTTTTTTTTTTATCTTTATTTTATTTTTTAACTTGATTTTTGGGGAGTTGTGATCTTTTTGTTTTCTTGTGTTGATGGGGATGGGGATGGGGATGTGTATTTGTATTTGTATGGATGAGAATGGGGATTATGGGAGTGTTGTTGTTGTTGTTGTCGTCGTCGGTAATAGATGTCCCCGCATTAGCGGGTGAGGTTGAAGCGGGGTGGTTGTTTCTCGGAGCTTTGATTGGATTTGATTGGATTTGATGGGGTGACGTGTACAGTATACAGTTATAATGTAAAGGTCAGGAAAGAAGACGCTGTGAATCGATTCGTTTGCAGAGGTTGTGCTATATGTATGCCTGCCTGCCTGCGATACCTTTGCCTATTACTCACTCGTATCCGAATCTTCGCAGCAGCTCGCTCACTCAAAGTGGTATTATAATATTACAACCACAACACACCCACTGGCATTCTGGCGAGGAGAAATCACCCTCAAACAAGATAAAAGTCCTTGACCTGTACTGGAGGAGCGGTTTCACTATTCTGTCGGACTTCCTTCCTTATCAAGACATCAGCGTCCCCTCGACTGTGACTTCGAATGTGTGACTCCATGGTCGGTGATATGGGCGCGGAGGTGACACTGGCCTCTACCCGCTTCGAAGTGGACAGCTGTGAGAGAGTAAAGTGATCTCGGCTGTCCGCTCTGCGTGGAGGAGCTACTTGATCTTTCTTAAAGTACGACGTCAGTCTGTTCCACGGAAGCTTGTCGTGAGTCGTCGGAGAAGAAGGTGGCGTGGTCTTCTTCGCCATGCTGTGGATTCGCTGCTCATGTCTCCGACCTTCTGGAATCGTGTCGAGAAACGACAGCTTCCTGGGGCTGCTCTCACTGTCCGTCATGGATGTGGTGCTGTCAAAGCTGTCCATCGTGCCCGAGGATGTAGTGGCTACGCTGTTTTTGCGCTTGCTGAAGAGCATGCGAGCTCGACTGCTCATCGAAGTCATGGTCGAGGCGGCGGCACTTGTTCGTGGACTGCCGTGCCTCAGCCCGGGCCATATCCTTCCTGCGCCACATGCCAGGAGCCCATCCCGGTACATGCGCACTGCATCTTTGCCGAGTCCAAAGATCAGGAAGATGACGACGCCTCCCGCCAGCCACACGAAGCCGTCATAGGTGATCTGACCGTGCGTCGGTGCAGCGACCATGGCACTCCAGTCGTATGCGGTTGGATGGTGGACCTCCTTCCAGCTGAATGGGCCGAATCCTTGGGCAATGGTGGTGTAGATGAGGTAAATGTGTAATGGCAGGTAGCCGAATGCACAGATGGCGCACAGAATGTAGAGGCGAAGGAAGCGGGATTTGGTGGTCTGATTATTGGCCAGGATGGAGTGAAACTGCAGACGGTATCTGATCAGGCGGGTCACGACCAGTACTATGTCAAAGTCAGCGAGAGCACTGTACATATAATGAATGCAGTGGATGGACTGTCAGATGAAGTGCGAGGGAGTTTAGCAACTGACCACTGTAGTAGACGGCCAAAAGGGTCCAGAGAAGTGGTTGGAGCATGACGAGCAGGAGCATGGGCCAGCTAATGGACAAGGCCGGATGACAGCCAGTGATGCCAAAGACGTAGTAGCGAAAGGGCTGTACGATCCAGCTGCCGGGCATCTGGAGCAGTGGAAGGGCGACGCAGCAGATGAGATCGATGGCATATCCTCTTCGTTTCTGCGTCTTGGTCATGCCCCAGGTCGATCGTTCGGTATCCATGACTCGGGCCAGAGCTCGCAAGATGCAGCTAATGGCGGCGGGGAGGGCGGCCATGGTGTAGGATTGCAGCTTGACCTCAACATCGCACAAGCCGGTGCCGGAGAACCAGGTGGTGGGATCGTCATTGTGCCAGATCATAGCATTGACAAAGGAGATGAGATTGGCATAGAATGCACAGGCGACGAGGACGGTGGCACCGACGTTGCGATTCCGGAAGTGCCAGGTCAATGGGGGAAAGATGAGTGCGGCGACTAAGAGGGAAAAGGTGCCAAAGAGCATGGCGCGGGAGTAGGTGTATTGGGCCTGCTCGGGTGTGGGAGGCGGTGGGGCCATGGCGCTCATGTTGTGAGTGGTACTGCAGTGGGGATGCCTTGTGGTGGTGTTGTTTCGTGATGGAAAGAGTCCAGCAATGCCTGCACTCGATGTGGTGGGTACGAAAGTAGTGCAATGATGGACAGAGCAAGAAGACAGATGAGGAACAACGAATGTAGACGAGGTCGTCTCCGGGCAGCACGAATAGGAGGCTCAAGGGTGAATAGAATGAATAGGAATAGGAGGGCTTCTATAAGGATGAATAGCAATGAGACGATGTCTTCAATGGCGGCGTGGGCTATTGTCGAGGCGAGGCGGACAGGTAGCAGCATATCGATGGAGATGGGCTGTCGGTGAACATGGCTGGCAGGCAATGGACAGAGGTGAGATTCCGACTCGCCACTTGGATGTAGTCTGGTCTGGTCTGGTTTGGTTTGATTAGGTCAGGTCAGGTCAGACTTGGGTGGGCAGCATAATGGCAGCATAATAGCAGCCGCAGTAGGCGTAGTCGAGCATGAAGCAGTCTTTGAGGCGCACATGTCTTGGCGAGCAGGACTGGAAATGGGTGTCAATAGGAATTTTGGTCCGAGACGTCTATTGTCAGCTCGCGTGGGTAGTAGTAGTTCTATGAGGGACGTGTCTGACGTAGAAGAGGTAGCTTGTTCTAGTTGTACAGCGATGAAATAAAAGGACAGTGTGGGTGTATGGGGATGGAAGAAGAAGAAGAAGAAGAAGAAGAAGAAAGCGTGTCGGGATGAGTGGTGGCCAGGATGTCAGCGTCGCCAACGAGAAAGCAGCCAATCACAACAAAGGATCGACGAGCGTGCGATGGTGAGTTGGTAGGAGCGATGGACGGCTTGGCACTAATCGGAACATCACAGACGACCTCGTGCGCCCGTTCTCTGCACTCAGTCATCCCGCAGACTGCCCGACTCTTCTGTACCGACTATGCCTGTACATCGCCATGAAGGGCGGCGAAGAAGCAGAAGAAGAGGCAAAAGAAGAAGCAGAAGTAGCGGAAGAGGATGAGAAAGAGGAAGAGCCGACTTCTTCTTCTTCTCTCCATCTACTTCTACTATCCTCCATCCTCCTCCATCTCCATCTCCTCCTTCAACCTCATTTACGCTACATTCCGTCCCTTTCTCTCTCTCTTCTTCTCCTTCACCACATTTCCGCTGTAAGGGCTAGTCACGCGCTTGCCACCTGCCCCTTCAGCATTTACTGACGCCACACTCTCGCCCAGCAATCACAAAACTCTCTCACCAATCTTCTCAGCAGGCACGATGCTGTAAAGATTCTTCCCTCATCCACTTCATCCCATTCATTAACAGTGAGACCAACGAGAACGACGCCAAGCCAGCGGCAGAGAGCAACAACAACGACATCATGGCCGACGTCGACATCCAACCGCTCTCGCGCCACGACAGTCTGTTGTCTGTAGAATCAGAGCCCTCATCGCCCTTTCCTACCGAGCTGATCGGTAAACGAGTCCTGCTCGCCACCGAATCACTCGGCCCCGTCAATGGCGTGTCACGAACGACGCAGAGTCTGGTCGATTACCTGCGCAGCAATGGCGTGCATGTTGCCACCTGCGCCCCCTACTATAAAGGCCAGCCCATCACCGCCGACTCGAAGCCCCAAAGGCAACCCATCGTCAACAAGGACTGGACGCGAGCCATCGAAGCCAAAGCATCCTCGCTAGCTTCGAGAGCAATCGGTGGCGCCTGGTCTTGGCACGTTGATCGCGACGAGGAGGCGCGAAAGGAATCACAGCCACTGCTTCAGACGTCGCGGAAACCGCCCATGCTCAATCGTCAGAGGAGTGAAGATGCTCGACGCCATATCGAACGTGCTCGCAGACAACGAACGAATCCGGAGTTCCGCCTGCAAGGTTACCCTCTACCCTACAATCCCGATCTGACTGTCGCCTACCCATTCCGCTTGGGCAAAGTCTACGATCACACCTTCCAGCCGGATGTCATCTACTTGGCCAGTCCTGCCTCTGTAGGCTTCCAATTCTTACTCCAGCTGCGCCAGCTCGACAACCCACCTCCCACCCTACTCAATTTTCAAACCGATCTGGCTGCATACGCCGGCATTCTGTTCCCATCGCCGCTCGATCGATATGGCGCCTGGCTGCTGCACATTGCGCAGGGCTTTTTGTTCCGCGCCGCCGTGGTGCACACCATCTTTTACCCCTCCGCCTATGTGCGCAAGTACATGGAAGGCACAGGCGCGCCTTCCGAAAAGATGATACAGCTCGGCCGTGGCGTCGACACGCAGCTCTTCAACCCCGCGAGGCGCGATGATGCCTATCGACGTTCCATTGCACCGGACGGAGAGATCATCTTTTGCTGCATCTCTCGCATCGCGCCGGAAAAAGGCTTCGACTTCTTGGCACAAGCCGCTATAAAGCTGAGAGAGACGGGGCTCCAATTCAAGCTGCTCATTGTGGGTGGCAACAAGAATCCTGCCGTGATGAAAGAAGTACAAAGCTACTTCAAGACCATTCAGGATCACGTCGTCTTCACCGGCATGCTGCGCGGCGTGGAGCTCGCCAAAGCATATGCTGCCGCCGACGTCTTTCTGCATTGCTCCATCACAGAGACCTTTGGCTTGGTGGTGCTGGAGTCCATGGCTTCCGGCGTCCCTGTCATCGCACGTGATGAAGGGGGTCCGAGCGAGACGGTCAAACATGGCCGATCCGGCTACCTCGTGCCCCCTCATGATCTCGACACGTTTGTGAGATATGCGGAGGAGCTGGGCACGAACCACACGCTTCGGGCGGAGATGATCGACCACGCCCGCGAACAAGCCCTCAACACCACCTGGGACAAAATCAACAATCAGGTCGCTCGACGATTAGTAGATGCTGTGCGGTGAGTGTCCACACGTGATGACACATGAACCAGACGACTGACGCTGCAGCAGGACACACGGCTCCCGCGAATCTACGCCAGTGCACGGCTACTATGGTACGTGGGCCGCGACGTGTCGCGTATATCTTGCCGTCGGCATCGTCTGGATCTTTTGGTTCATCGCCGTAGTTCCGATGTTGATGTGCGGCTTTGTGCATGGTTTCTTTACATGATGTTTGCCCCATTGATCGGGCCCAGTGACACGGTCCTTTGCATGCGAAGCACCCAACGGCGTTCATTGGTGGTGCGTACTTGACACATCAGGGTGGCGTAATGCTTCGACTTGAATGAATATGACGAGAAACTGGTGGCATGTGTGATGATGATGATCTTCAGCGATATACCCAACAGCATTTGCGTCAGAATTGTGGCTACCTATATAAACATGGCGTTAATGGAATTCCCTTTTTTTGCTCCTGCCCCGCTCGGTTGTACGCACTGCATGAATAATCGTTTGTATCATTTGCAGTTTTGGCAGGTACGAGTGGAAAAGAAGAAAAGAGAAAAGAAATATGCGACGTTTCAATCGTACAGTATACTACCTTAGGTACTTAACAGTAAGTAAATCAGTGCGCAATTTTTCTTCTTTTGTTTCTTTTTTCTTTTTCTTTTTTTGTGGTCCTCTATTTCAGGTAGGTAGGCTACCTAAGCTACCTTACCCAACATAAGGTATAGACAAATCAAACCTACAGACAGAAAGACAGAAAGACAGACAGGCACCACCCATCTGAGGCAATGTAGCACGCAATGTAGCTAAGGTAGCCTTAGCCTTACCTACCTAACACCGTATGCTGTCTTTTTTTTCTCAAGTCTAGTCTATTTCAAAAGATAAAAATGGAGGAAAAGAAGAAAGGAAAAAGGAAGAATAGAAGTTTTAGAAAAGTCAGATAAGGTACCTAGGTAAGAAAGGGTCTGGTTACTGTATATACAGGTATGGATCAGTACCTTTTTGCTTCTCTTTCTGTTTGTTCTTGTTTATTCTTCTTCTTTTGCTTTTTGTTTTTTTTTTCTTTTGTTTTTGTTTGCTTTTTGTTTTAGTTTTAGTTTTTGTTTTTGTTTTTCTTTTTTTGTTTTTTCTTTTTCGGGAAAACTACGGAAAAGAGAGGGCGGGAGGGAAGGGAGGGGGGAAGGAAAGGGAGGGAGGGAGGGAGGGAGGGAGGGAGGAAGGAAAGGGAGGGAGGAAGGGAGGGAGGAAGGGAGGAAGGGAGGTAAGTCTGAGGGAGTTGGATCTGTTAGTCAGTCAGTCTGTCTGTCTGTCAGTCCGAGGTTCCATATCGACCACCTACCTCTTATGATTTTTAAGTTAGTTCTCGCGAGACGGTGAACTGGTAACTGATAACTAGGTACCTATACTACTACCGCCACTTACAGAGTACTTGTAGACGGCGTTCAAACCACGAGGTAGATGGATAAGGTAGATAGATAAATGGAGACCTAGCTCACTCATGGCAAGATTGAGTAGGAAGGTGAAGTCGCTCTTTTTTTGTTTTATTTTTGTCAATAGAAGTACTTTTGATCATTTCATTGGCTCCTCTGCTTCAATGACACCTAGTCTTCTTCAGGCAAGGATAAAATGGACAAATTAAGTGTGGACTGGTTTCCTGGTTGCTTATCTACATATAGATACATACATTCAGAGATGTATGTATGTGTAGGCGTGTGTGGTCGTGCGTGTGGTCGTGCGTGTGTGTGTGGTCGTGTGTGTGTATGGTCGTGTGTGTGTGTGGTCGTGTGTGTGGTCGTGTGTGTGGTCGTGTGTGTGGTCGTGTGTGTGGTCGTGCAACCACAGACCCGCTGGGTTTGTGGATCATATTCATACCTATCATACATGTCTCGCCCGGAGATGTGTAACGGTAGGACTCCAAGTCATTCTTGGTGGGAACCTCCGCCCGGGCAGACAGCTCGGCCTTCAAATAGAGACCGTATCATCGCAGCACCTAGTCGCTCCCTCGATACGAGTCCATACGCTGGTGGCTACTGTTGTTGGAGCCGCGAGCCTGCGCGGACCCAACACATAAAGTCGCTCCCGGCGACCATGTCCATCGCAGCTTCCCGCTGCTTTCCGCTGTCCGCTTTGTGGTCCAGCTCGTCCCAAACTGGCTCAAGGTGGCCGCTTCCGAGTCGCCACTGCTCCAGCCATCGGGGACGTTGCGGATGTGCATGTGGTGTGGATTCGGCTCGTCCTCGACCAAGAGACGCGGGAAGAGCTTCGTGAGGAGTGCTTTCAATGATAGCAGGCATGCGCACGAAATGCCCACATTCGCCTCGACGCTCGACCAGATGATTGCCCAAAGGCCAGACATGACGTGGTCTCCCTGATCGGAGGAAATCACAACGGATGCTATCCGGGCCACGCTGACAAAGCAGACCAGGAAGCCGAGGGTAAACATTCCTATAGTCGCGAGCTTCTGCTTTCGGGGGAGATGTAGACTGGCTATTGATGGCATGGGCAGAACCAGGACGGCGAAATCCAGGAAGATATCAATCGCTGCCACGGATAGCCAGTAGCTTTTCGCGCTTCTGCAGTGGCCAGCCAAGCTCGGATTCCAGAGTTTGGCAGTCGGCGTGCATAGGAAGATGCCGGCAAAGATGCCCCATGCGACCGCAGGGACAAGCAGGAACAGCATGAAGTAACACAGCGCCCTCGTATACCGCGCGTCGAAGATGCGTAAATACTGGGCCAAGATAGACGCCTTTGTCACGCTGACTGTGACTGTCCAGACACAGTTGCAGGAGAGAATGAACCTGGCGATCAAAGCAACCTCAGCAGAGCTGCGATCGCCGCCAGTGCTCTGGGAGACGCTCACTGTTGTCATGACACACATCGACCAGGAGAGCACCTGCTCCTCGTTAGCTTGTGTCGTAATGGTATCAACAGCAGATGAGTGCGCCTACCAGAGCAAACATGATGGCATAGTCGTCCAGACCAAAGCAATGGGAAATACGACACCTCGTGTAGCATCGCAGTCCTACGACGACGGTCGCGACGGATGTCATGACGACTGTTGGTATCAGAGCCTTATTGCCATCGTGGCGAGATCCCCCAATGCTTGCTGCGGTTGATGCCACTGGAGCCTCCCGGAGAGGTGTGGGAGCATTCATCATGGAAGTGGGACATCAGCATCCTCTCTAGATGCTCGCGCACCGTCCTCCGGAAACCCTCTGATATGGGACCATCTTGCGGAGCTGACTTGCTTTCAAAGGTGCATGTTGAGGGCTGAATAATAATTTCGCCAGGTCTTTCAGCAGGAAACGGGGAAGCCTGCTAGCCTGTTCCTATTCCATTCGTACCTCCCTCAAAATGACAACGCCTACGATCTGGTGAAGGAGGTCGAGCATGGTAGCTTGACGAAGTAATCCTGGGGTTCCGCAAGCTGGGGGTCCGGAGCCCATTGCCGCATGTCTTATTCGTTTGCTGCCCCAGTAAGGTTTGATTAACCCATGGGAATCAACGAAGCTGCTGACCATAGAGCGGAGAACGTGTCTGGGCCCTAGCCCAGCGGCTCCCATGTCATAGCAATGAGTATTGGATGTGATGTATGCCTCGTTGTAGGCTTGTGGCACACCACATGCGCATGGCGCACAGAGGGATCATCTCGATTTCGTGTGCAATCGAAAGTTGGCTTCGACTCGACTTTCCTTCACATTCCCCTAGACGCTGCAACTCTCCATGCCTCGCTCCACAGAGCCTTGTTCTGTTCCATTGATTGCTGAGGTTCGCAACAAAGGAGACGAGAAACGTCGAGCGGGGACTATGCCTGTAAGCCATGCCCACACCAACATGGCAATCTCGATTTTCGAGCGAACCCTAGGGCTGTGGGAGTGTTCACACACGTGACTATGCTCATGGCCGGATATGTCGTGTCCCAGAGCACGCCACCTCAATCGTCTGGCTGTACATGTCTGCTAGCGATACCAGAATCGCCAACTTCACTTTTATTTCGGAATGTCCTGCTTGGGTCTGGACATGCTCTGGAAAAGTGCCATTTTCATCTGCATGTAAGCCTGGACTGTGGGATCGACCTCATCGTACAAGACTCCATTTGGGTTGGTTGTTTTGGCCGGCACCGTAGCGGTCCATGACGCAATGTCGGAGGCTTTGTTGTCACCAAGGTATTGATGAGCGTGAGTAGTGCAGGAGGAGGTGTTGAGTGATGATGACCGAGTACTCGAGGCCGTGGAGCTGGCAGTGCTAGGCATCTTCCTCCGGATGTCCTGGGCCTTGGACGCTTGTCGTGGTTGACAGTGGTGGGTGGTTGCTGAGTTGGCGCCTTCCCTTCTGTCGCTGGGCGATGGCATGATATAAGGACCAGCAATGCAAGCAGCCTGGAGGTGACTAGCGTGATTAGACCGACGGCGTGGCAAATATCAAGTCAGGTGTGTGTGTTTTTTTTACGCACACTGCATGCAATTGTAATAATGGTCGAGGCTGACCAGTCTCACCATATGACCAACTCGCGGACCAGTGTCAGGCAAAGTTCACCAACCATTAGAGATTGGACAGCCAGCGCACTGGCATAATGGGATGATTGTGGTGCAAGACGGGCGAGTAGAGGATCTCCTGGGCGTTAGAAGCACAGTGGTACTATAGGATAAGTGTAGACGGGCTGCATTAGGAGGGAGTATCAGCCATCAACAGGCGCTGCTACGCCCAGGTGGGCCAGAGGTACGGCAGTCATATTTGACAAATTCCGTCGCTGACCCAGCAGCAGCAGCAGTATACACCGCTCGGCATGATGATAATGATGATGATGATGATGACGGTCCACACAGTAAGGCGAAAAGGCAGATTGCGTTTGGGGTAAGGTAGGCAGCAAACGGGGAGCCAACGATGAGTGTTGCTGTGATTTGGAATGGGCAACAACTTTCAATCGCAGAGCTTGTCCCGAGATGGATGCGACCCAACCCGAGACGTGCTCCTGTGGCTCAAGACGCTCAGTAATAACGCCAGGACATATGAAGAACTCGAGTACAGCAGCAACAGCAGCAGCGGCATCATCTTGAGTCCGCCCCGAAGAGACCATTCTCCGCCAGCCCCATCTTCATCGACCTTCCCAATGCTGCAGCGGACGTGATCTTAAGTGGTGGTGGTGGTGGTAATGGTGGTGGTGGCGGTGCTGGTGGTTCTGAATGTCGCCATTTAGCCGAAACGTGTGGCATAACAAGCTTTAGAGATCCCATCTCATTCGTATAATTATATCAAATACCTGTTGCGCCCCAGGCGGTATACCGGAGGCTTCCGGTCCGGTTTCTGCACCTGTGGGTTATCTATCGTAGGTAGTAGGAGCTGTAGGCTACAGGCAGGTCCAATCGATCCGTTGTCTATTGACACCTCCTACTGGATCGTTTTCTGAAAGATTGGCGTTCTTTGAGTTCTTCTTCAATTGCCCCAGTCACATGGCAAGCTGACTCATTACCCGTGCAACGAACGATACCTGAAGCCTGAAGGGAACAGACGCCACGGCAAGGATCATCATCTCTGCTCTGCTACGGAGGTACCTCACCTAGGTATGGTATACCGAAAAGAACAATACCATCTACCTCCTAGTACTGTTGATGTAGCACACAGCACTCAGGCACCCGCCACAAACCGGCGACTGACGGCGAGGTTGGAAGCCAACCCAAGGCTACAGGTATATAGCATTACTGATAGCCACCTCACTCAATTGAATCACCATAGATCTAATCATTTACATGGCAACAAATACCCCCCTTAGCAATGCCTCCCGGGAGGCGTCTTCCTACTCCCACGGATCTATCAGCGCCGACGCCATACAGATGGGAGTATATATAGTGCATAGTAGGCATATGCAAATATTCGGAATTGGAAAAAGCGACGACCGCCACTCGCCGCTAGTCCACATCGCCAGCCCGCATGGCACCGCCGGACTGCACATGGTATTTCAGTTCACTGCATCTCATCAACATAAGGTACCTGTAACCTAAGTATAGTAGGAAGTATAGCATACTATGTGTGCGCGACCTCTGAAGGTAATGACCGCCCCTGACCGGACACTTCATTTTCAGGGGCGGCTCATATTCCTGCGTCATACGAGATTCAGGTAACACAATACTACTTGATTGACGACTACTCATATTACTACATACTGCTGTCACCTAAACCGGAGTGACCGGACCCGACAAACTGCAGCAAAGTCATGTAGGCTGCCGAAAGCATCTGCCGCATTCGAAATAGGCTCAATTCAGGAGGTATGTACAGCACCTCCAGTATAATGTACCTACCTGGTACATGGTGAACACTGCCAAGACTGCGGTACACAGGTAACACAGGATTCAGGTGCGACAGATCGACCCAAGTAATAGTGATGACCTACATCTGCCATGTGCTTGTGCAGAACTCCCCAGTGTATCGCCGATGATACCCTGTCATGCTTTGTGACCCTTTGCCAGGCCTTTAATAAGGGTCTTATCGCACATTGACTCCTGAGCTCATGACGGCTATAATAAAAGATTCGACACGTGGAGCACTAGATGTGCGGAAGGCTCACACTGTCATGCATACAAAGAATTGTCAGCACCTCGTGGTACAGCACTTTTTAAACCCTGAGGTGGCGCGACACGAAGCGACATAGTGCGATCATGTCAGCGTCGCAGCACGCTGCAAAGCATAAAAAATGGAAAAATAACAAAAACAAATCCTGCACGTTCAATCAAATGCAATGTCAGCCAAGTCTACTACTGTACCCAGTCAGTAGGTACATGTACCTCTAGAGGCTCTAGAGGTACTCTCTCCGTGCCTGCGTTGTGGGAACGCGAGAACGCGAGAACGATGTGATGTGATGCTGCCTGCCCTGCGGTTGACAGATGTTCTCGGGAACGGCCACGGCATGCTGCACTGCTGCAGAACAACCTGGAAGTGGAGGACATCAATAATAATGCTACCTCCTATCTCCTAGTAGGTACCTACCAGGTATGCAGCAAGCACATTAGGGCTGTTCTTATTAAGTGACAGAGCCTCGCTGCCTCGCACAAATGCGAATTATCTCACTCAGACTCCAGACTAAGGTAGGAAGAAGACTAAGACTGTCGACTAAAGACGGTAGACCAATCAAATACATACCATGTACTCTGCATGAGCATGATACTACGACAAAGATAATGCACGACCAGCCCACACCGGATTATTTGTCGTGGGAACACGAGTATGGCACCCACATGCAAGCCTGCAGTGACAGCCACAATACTACTATACTGTACCAGGGCAAGAGTCCCTATCAGTCAGCTGGCAAACACATCGCCACATTACCGTCCAGCTTGTCCACCGAAGACACGAGGAAGGTAGCCCCATCGTCTAAATTGCCAGTAAGGAATATGGGATAAACGAACAATAGCAAAAATCAACCTCGTCCACATCAAAACAGGAACTTCCAGACTGAAGATCCTAACAAATTAACAAGACTATGAACCCCCCTCCACTCCAATCATCCCCTCTATCCAACAGCGGCCTCACGCGAATTGAAGACAAGTAATAGCAAAGTGTAAATCCCACCTCATATTCAACAATACCACCTCACACCTATTCATTACCTTGAGTAGGAGGAGGATACAACCATCCATCCCTATCAATCAGCACCTACCCGCACCTACCTACCTGACCTACCTGACCGTCCCACGTGCTAAAATGTGTTGTGTTCACCCACCTTACTTAGGTACCATTATACCGTCCCCATCCCAAGTACAACAAAATATACTACATGCACAAACCTGAGACGCAGTAGCCCGTCGTGAGGAAAACATAAACACCTAACGAACTATCCATTGGGTACATGCACCGACCGTACCGTATACAGTCGAAAGTGACATGTCGGTTGTACAGGTAGGGACTGTAGCATTTATTGGTAGCTACCTTACCTTACCTTACCTTACCTTACTGCTACTATGATCTGTGTCCTTGAGAGAACAGTACCTACCTTATGTGGGTAGGTAGGGAACATCGGTGAAAAGGTGGAGTGGGACTCTTCTTGAGGTGTGTACATGGAGGAGGAGGACGAGGACGACGTATAATCGACTCACTAGTAATGACTACCTTACCTGAGGTAGGTAGGTACGTGTAGCTCTCCAATCGTCTGCGTGGGTCCTGTTGGGAGGGAGAGAATTCAAGAGGCGAACACGAAGAACAAAGAGCACACAGATTCAGAAAGAACACTACCCGAAAAAAGAAGAGCACAGCCGTTTCATCCTCTACAAGGTAGCTAGCTATACAAACTCATTAAGAGAGATAGAGAGAGAGAAGAACTATCCTCCCAAAGGCGCTCCGCGCAGACTTTACGATTATTGCACAAAGTGACCCGCCAAAGCAGCGATAAAGGCAATGCGATGCAATGCAACCAGGGTATACGCATACTTCAATGTAGTAGTGTCATGTTCGATCCGTTCCAGTGTATTACTCTCGATCCCTCTCCATGTCCTTCTTCTCATGAAGCAGACAGTGTTCTCATGTCTAGCGTCTCGTGAAACCGAAGCTCGGCGACCACGGTCTGGAAATCTAGGCCGCAGCCGCGCTCACGGGAGCTGGAGTCGTCTTCTCTTCCGGTACGCTCGTCGTGTCCTCTGCCGCGCCATTCGTCGTAGGTGTAGCATCCTCGACCTTGTTGCTGCTTGTGATCTCCTTCAATTCAGACGTAGCGGAGTGCTCCTTAAGCTGGCTCTCCAGTGCTGCAATCTTCTTCTCCGCCTCACTCCTGGCTTGCTCGGCTTGCTCAAGTTTCGTCTCTGCTGCTGTAAGCTGCTCGGCTTTCTTGGACGCGGCCGCGGCATCAGACTTGGCCGACTCGAGATCCTTCTCGGCGGCTGAGAGCTTAGTCTGGAGGTCGGTCGCCGCATTGGAGGACTTTTCGAGGTCGGCGATCTTGGCCTGGAGAGTGGATTTCTCCTACAAGTGATGTTAGCAATGCGACTAGCATTCAATGTCCGCGGAAATGTCTGGTCTTACCTCCTGTGCTGCCTTGAGCTCCTGCTCGGCCTGGCTTGCTTTTCCGCTGCTCTCCTCCGCCTGCTTCTGAAGCTCAGCCAGCTTCATCTCCGCCTCTTGCTGCTTCTTCTTCAGGTCTGCACTCTCTTGCTCGACAGTCTTCACCTTGGCAGAAGCATCGTCGGCCAGCTTCTTCGTCTTCTCAAGCTCCGCCGTGTGTTCTGCCTGCAGCTTCTTCGCCTCTTCCTCCGAGCTCGATGACTTTGCCTTGAGATCTGCTACTTCAGTCTTTAACTTCTCGACCTCGGTAGAGCCAGCACTCTCCAGGCTTTTGATCTTCGCCTCGTCCGCTTTGAATGCTTCCTTCAGAGCAGAAAGCTCCTCAAATAGCCTGTTATGCGATATCTGGAGGCTGTTCTTCTCAGTTCGTGCAGACTCAAAGTCCTTCTTGGCGGCTTGAATGGCGGCCTGCGAAGAATTCTTGAGCTCCTCGTGCTCGCTCTGCAGAGCGGAGAGCTTGTTCTGGTGATCGCTCAGCTCTTGAGCGGCAGCGGCACCCTCTTCGGATGTCTTCTTGAGGTTGGAGTTGGATTGTTCGAGTTGGGAGACCTTATCTTGCGAGGCAGCGAGTTGTTTCTGGACGGCAGCGAGACGCTCTTCAGCAGATTTGCTGGCAGAATCGGCGTTCTCTTGGACTGAAGCAAGTTTTGCTTGTGCGGCCTCGAGCTCCTTTTGAGCGGTGGAAAGCTTGGCCTCGTAGTCCTTGACTGATGCTTCACTGGAAGATTGGAGAGCGGTAATCTTTTCCTGATGATCGGCGAGCTCCTTCTTCGCGGCGCTGAGAGATGTGTCGGCGTCTTGCTTGACGACTTTCAGCTCATTCTGCAACCCGGTGTGCGCAGTCTGCAGAGTCGTGTGCTTCTCGGTCGACTCATTCAACTGAGCCTGGAACGAGGCAAGCTCAGCCTTCAAGCTCGTCTCCAACTGTTCCCTCGAGTCCTTGGCCTCTTGCAGTTCCTTACGTGCGGCACTGGCCTCTTGCTCCAATTGCTTGTTGCTCGATTCCAAGGTCGACAGCTTCTCTTGCACCGTCTTCAGCTCGCTTCGCGCATGATCGCGCTCTTGTGTGACCGAGTGCGACACTCGTTCCAGCGCTTGCTTCTGAGCATTGGCAGCCTTCTTGTTGTCGTCCAGCTCTAGTACGAGCTTCTGCTTCTCGGCATCGAATTGCGCCAACTGTGCCTCCAGCTGTGTGACCTTTTCTTTCAGTACGGCAATCTCTTTCGTGACGGCCTCTGACTGTGTGCGGGATTCTTTAAGCTCCTTCTCCTTGGCAGCGAGCTCCTGTTCCTTGGTCTGGAGCTGTGCATTGCTGGCTTTCAGCTGCTCTTCCACCTCTTGAAGCTTCTCCTTAGGCACGCCGGGTGTCGAAATAAAGTTGCCCATAATGCAGTCGATGGGGTGGAGGGAGTTTCAATGTTGAGGGAGGTGGGATCCGTAGGTAGGCAGAAATAAGTACCGTAATGTATAGACTGCCCCGTGCTTTAGGTGTCAATGACCGAGGAGGACTCTGACTCTGTAGGCAAGAGGTAGGTAATTGCGGTACGTATCAGAAGTTACGCTGGAGGAGGCAGAGGCAGCAGTGCAAACTGGAAGTGAAGATCAAGTCGTCACCGCTGTGCGTTGACTGGCAGTCGCTGTGTGTTGTTGTTTGCTGGGATCTCTTCGGGGCGTCAATCGAAGAATTTCGATCCTTGCAATTTAGCGCACGGTAGTAGCAGCTACACTAGAAGAAGTAGGACTAGGAGGTGGACGGGAGGTGCTCGAGCTTCACGTCTGTGCCTAAAATGCAATCCCCTCGCTCGACGCTGGCTGGCTATGAACGGGAATTGCACCGAACTACATGTACCTGACTTACTGCTCAAGGGATACAGCACCGACTTGCCCTGTGTACCTCCTACCTCCTAGTGCTTTGTCAACATGGTGGTTGAAGTTACCGTGGTTGATGATGGTCCGCCGCGGCGCCGTCTACCTATCAGGACCTGCCAGATGCCCGGAGCTTGAGTGGAATGAGGCGTATCGCTCTGCAGGGGTGGTCCTTTACTGCTCTGCCAAGCCTGACGTGGCGTCCATGTATAGGTAAAAGGTGCACGTACTTGGGAGGTGACGATACCTCCTATGATGGAAGAAAAGAGGGAGTTGGGCTCTGGCTGTACGGCTCAGGGTGGGAGGGGAGGTACATGTAAGTAGCAGTACGAAGTCGCAGTGTCACATGCTGATCAGTGTCCTTGCATTTCTAGCTTCAACGCAGGGCACACGGTTCATGCATGCCGTGGATTTTGACACAATAATGTGGAGTTTGATATACCTTCTTCACAACGGCAATCTGCAGACGCGTGCGAAGTCATGATATTTCATTCAAATGCAAATCATATGAGAGTATACGCTCAATGCCATGCTATGCCATGTCTCAACATCATCATCACTCATTAATCCACGCCCGGAGCGGGGGGCTGCGGCGTGCTAGGCTTTTCCTCGCTCGCGGCTTGTCCAACACGCGCAGGCTCTCTTCTCTTCTGGGCGAAAGGGTTGTTTCCACCCATCAACATGTTGCTCATCATGTCGAACATCGGATTGCTCTGGCTAGGAATCTTGATACCAAAATACATCTCTCCCACCTGTAGGAGCGGCTCATCCCAAGCCGGCACTTCTTTCAGGTGTGCAGCATAATGTTGTTTGAGCTGCTTGAACAAGTCCGAACTGCCTCGCTGCACGGCCAGTAGCAGTAGACCGAGAAAGTTCAGAAGTGGTAGTGAGGGGTATATCCTGATATCCGAGCTCGGGCTTGATATCGACTGTACGCCGAGTCCGGGATGTGAGGTACTCAAACGAGACGTGAAGAGCAGGAGCGCCTTGTTTGCAGCCCTCGTGTTGCCGATGACCAGGTACGGAAAGACAGCTCGCGCAGCATAGTGACTAGCTGTGCTGGGTTCGTCATCGCTATACCACGTGTACTCAAGATCTGCAAAGACTTGTGCGCTATCGCTCGTGCCCAGTGTCAAGTGTCGTTCCGCATCGTAGACTTCCCCCTCTTCTGCGTATAGTGTTCCAATGACATGGTGGAGCTCCGGGTCGCCTGCTGGAAATTCGCCATTCTTGCTGGACCATTCTACAATCCCTGTCACGAATTTCTTCTTGCCAGGCTCGTTCGGTGGGAATGCACGTAAGAGTGACATGAGACGAGCCTTGTTGGCAGTGTCTGGTTTCAACTCGCCTTTGCCATATACTTCGATCAGGTATATGCTGAGATCTGCGCCGGATCCGCCTTGACCAGCTTTGAGCAGCATAAGGGCGCCATTGTAGAGGATATCGATGGCAGCAGGAGGGTCAGATTTGACGTAGCGGTTGGCGATGGTTCGGAGCTGTTGATGCGCCTCGTAGTAGTCGCCTTCTTCGATTCTTGGTCGCTGTCAGTTGGAACTTGAAAGGACGGTTTGTAAGACGGCATACTTGGCCTTCTGACGTGCCAGCACCTTCTGGATCTTGGCAGACATTTTCTCAGCGGTGGCAAGGTAGGTAGGTTGTCACGGTGAATTAGGATACATGTATGGCAGAGGTGAACACTCATCTTGCAAGCTTGAAAGTTGGGCGTGTGATCGTCATTCTGGCGAGCCTCAGGCAGACAAGGATTTGACCTCACTTTCTAGCCCAATTCTGTCAGCTCCTCTCAACCCCATCGTTGTTGAGAGTCACGCATGCATGTTTCTGAATGCATCACTATCGACAAACGCAGCCACCTTCGGACTACAGGTAGGGTCTGGTAGTTCTGTCAATCGCAAAGGATATGGTGCCAGACGTCAAAACGTGCAACCCGTTACGGATGGTTACTGTCCTTGACTTTCGTGTCGTCAAGCAAGAGTCATCTGATGCTGGGCATGGCACAACATAGCCTCACATACTCACACTTCCAAATTGGCGTGGCGCACACAAATCTTCGAGTCATATATCTGGCAAGTGGTGAGTACTGTAGGAGAAGTCTCGATTTTTGGCTTTGATGCACCCCACGTTTGTTGAGAACTTCTTGTATGCACATATGGATCTCCTGTCTGCAAAATCCGGTATGACAGATGTGAAAAGGTCTGCACAGAATCCCCTCTTGCACCACACAAACAGCAACAAGGACCAAGCCGGAAATAACAGGCACTATGACACGTATGGATGCCCCGCATACCCATATACGAACCGCCAGCATGGAGTGCGTTGACAACGATTGACCAGGTCAGCAACGTATGTCAGAACCCGCAGTTATTCCTTCTCGACAGATCTTGAAAGGATTCTGCCGCGGCGTGTGGCTGCAGATATCGAGGGAACTATGATTGCTGTAAAGCACGAAGATAGAGGACCAGGACGAACGTATAGAGGGTGGCACAAGGGCCGCATACTCTCTGGTGCTTCGATTGCGCCAAAGAGATTACATAAAATCAACCTGGAAGCTGGCATAGAAGCCTCCGCCTCGCGCACAGACCCTCTAACACAGTCAACACAGTGTGGATGGTCCGCCTAAACACGTGATCTGATGACTGAGCCTGGCAGCAGGGTCTGGTCTTGGCGCGTCATCTGGAATTCTATCGCGTCGCGTCGCGGCTTCTCTATCCACATGTACCTTACCCAGCAGACGCCGTGGGCACCTTGCATTCCAGGTCCACCCATTATCAGAGAAGGGCTACTTCGTCAATTCGCAATCAGAAGCGCAATGTCGTTAAAGTCCAGCCAGCGCAGCGCGCTCAAGTCTCATCTGAACGCGGACAGGTTCAATAACACGACATCGTGCCTCACAGCACAGAGAGGCATGTCATGAGCACATAGTCATTCAGCGACTACACTACCGAACTACGCTTTCTTATGCCCAGCCAGACTTCGTCTGGCTTCTTCGAAAACCCCTCATGCGATTCTATTTGCTGCTGGTACAGCTCAAAATCGTATCTATGGAAGGCGGTTCCGACGATGAGCGCCAGCTCCATATGAGCGACATTCTGCCCCACACAAGCACGCGGTCCAAAGCTGAAGGGGTTGAAGCATATCTTCTGGCGTGGCGTCAGGTTCTCAGGAAGCCATCTATCAGGCTTGAACTCCTCCACATCGGGTCCCCAGACGTCTGCGTCGTGGTGTATGGAAAAGCTGGGGACCGACATCACAGTGCCACGCGGAAAGAAAGTTCCCTGGTAACTGACCCCTGCCGACGTCACGATTCGAGGAAGACCAATCGCTGAGGTGGAATGCAGCCTCATGGCTTCGTCTATGCAACGTCTCAGGAAAGGCAGATTCTTCACCTGGTCGTGCGATGCGATTTCCGCGTCGGCAGGAATGGTAGAGTCAAGTTCTGCTTGGAGGCGTGGCACGATGCTGCCCGGTGCTGCCCGCTCTCCGTGGAGGATCCAGTAGAACGTAGCCGCAGCCGTATTTGAGACAGTGTCGCTGCCAGCGATCAGCTGCGTCAAGGCTTCCGAAACCAGTTCATCTTGCGACATGGGATTCCCGCTGCTGTCCTTAGCATTGACCAGCATATCAAGGATATCGTGGCGTTCGCTTTGGTGCTGTCCCTTCTCGCTCGCTTGCAGTCTCTTATTCACGGCAACAGTGGCGATACCATGTAGATTGCGGACAGACTCGAGGCCTTTTCGAAGGAATGGGTCCGGCAAATACTTGGCCCATGGTCGCAGTGGGAGTAGAAGACCTAGAGTTGAGCTCACTTCACCTCTTCGGTTCAGCGTCTCGGCGCCAGGTGCTAGAACGATTGGACCGTTTGGTTCGAGTTGTGCCTCGCACTCGTCTTTGCCCTTTGAGACCATCCCAAATGGCGCGCCGAACGCGAGGTCGCCGATGATGTCGAACGCAATATACGTGCACCAAGGCATCATGTTGATCCTGGCGAATCCGGTTCTCTCGGTCGGCTGCGACGAGATGCGATCCAATTGCTCAACCCATCGCCGAAGATTGCCAGCCATGTGCGTCTCAAAGGCATGCACAGATGACGGCGAAAAAGCGTGTGCGATGATCTTGCGCTTCCGCGTATGCTCTGCCCGATCACGAACATTGAACACACCTGGCACGCCAGAAACGAAGGCCTCGTAGAAGTGGCTGCTAGCAAGTCAGTCTCCGATACGTAAGAGGATTTGTCGCTCAACGTACTCCTTCAAAAACCCATTTCCGTGAGCATAGACGGTCTGCAAGCCTTCAGGTTCCGCGATCGACATGTGGTTGTAGCCAACCCGAACAACTTTGCCATACTTCTTGTGGGCATAGTCAACCCAGGCGAACTTCTTGCCGTTCCTTGCGCCCAGTGCCAGCCATAAATTCGTGAATTTGGCTAGAAATGGGCCTGGGATATCCTGGAGGTGCTTGTAGGTCGTGAAGTACGGCAGCACGTAGTAAAGCACGAGCCAGACAGGCGCCAGCACCGCAGCGATAACAAGATACTTTTGGAATGCCATTGTCATGCTTGACGAAGGGTGCGGTGTCGTCTGTCAAGCTTCCAACCACGAGACATATACTGCTTACATTCCGACGAACATGATACCGTGCTGAGCTGCATTCGCCTCCGAGATACGGGTGGAACTTGGTCCACTCTTGCCGTGCAATTAATTGTATATGCGACGAAGCACAACACCAGCCACTGGCCGTCCGGGTTCGCGCACGGCGTGCAGCTGCACCACTCCCCGCCCCCACTCTTGGTCGCTGCAGGGGTTATGCCTATCCGGAACGTGGATGCATAGCGATGATCATGAACACGACATGGACGCAGCGCGTGCTGATGATGAGTAACACGAGCGAGATGTGCTTTTGGTCGAATCCGCCCTGGACCATTCAACTGAATTGGACAGCTCGAACCAGCCAAAGTCCTGCCAACCGAAACACTCAGCGCCAACACCCACACCATGGCAAGTCTAGAGATGTTCCCAGATATTGAAGTCCTGTCACAGCGTCATTTGCCAGAGAACAATCGAACCAATGTATGCTGCAACATATTCAGGCAGAGCGCAGCGGGAGCTGACATCAGTACTAGATCGTTGTTGTTGGAGCGGGACTTGGTGGTCTTGGCGCAGCCATTGCCTTGCTACTTGCTGGACACAATGTACATGTTCTGGAATCGGCTTCACAGATTGGAGAAGTAGGAGCAGGCATTCAAGCTCTACCAAACTCGAGTCGAGTGCTCATACAATGGGGCCTTGGGCCCACCTTGGCGAAGCTGGCCACCGTCCCGGTGCAGGTGGAAATGTTAGGCTGGAAAGGCAACGCGATCACACAGTACGACTTCGGCGCAGCAACTAAGGAGTATGGCGCGCCATTCTGGGACTTCCATCGAGCCGATCTTCACGGAGCGATGCTGGACAGAGCTCGAGAATTAGGCTGTACCTTCCAGACGAAGGCGCGAGTCGTCGACGTTGACACCTCACAAATGACTAGTGCGACTGTTCTGCTCTCATCAGGCGAGAAAATTGTTGCAGACCTTGTGATAGGGGCTGACGGCATTCACTCAAAATGTCGTGAGATCATGCTCGGTGGACCTAGCCCTCCAGTGGCGACCGGTGATCTAGCTTATCGTGTTCTTCTCGGTACTGAAGGCATGCAGAACGATCCAGATCTGGCACCCTTCTTGAAGACTCACCATGTGCGATATTGGATGGGACCGGGTGCGCACGCAGTCAGCTACGTCCTACGAAATGGCCAACAGATCAATGTTGTACTTTTGGTGCCCGATGATATGCCCGCAGGAGCTAGCACGGTCGATGGCAATGTCGAAGAGATGCAAGCACTTTTCCAGCAATGGGACCCACGAATCCCGAAGCTGCTGCAGTATTGTCAATCCGTCCAGAAATGGAGGCTATGCTTTCGTCCAGGTCTAGAACGACCGTGGTCGAATGAGGCTGGCACTTTTGCACTTCTAGGGGACTCTGTGCACGCAACTTTACCCTACCTCGCAAGTGGTGCAGGAATGGCATTGGAAGATGGTGCTGTACTCGGACATTGCTTCTCACGCGTCAGCGACAAGCGCACACATGCCAAAAAGCAGGCGCTGGCCGTGTATGAGCAATGCCGGAGAACTCGGACCGAAAGAATTGTAGAGCGTGGCAACGTCCAACAATACCTATATCATGTTGACGATGGCGCTGAGCAAGAAGCCAGAGATGCTCGCTTCCGAGCGTTTGCACAAATTGAGAAGCTCGTCGAGGAAGATGGTATGTCGACAGCAGAGATTCAGCTACCAGACGGTTTGGAGATTGGCTCTGATCCCCTCGCATGGAGGCGCTTCGGTGTTGGCAGTTGGCTGATCAACTACGACTGCTTGGCGGACGTACAAAGAAATTGGCTACATTTGCAAAGCACAGAACCACAATTTAGATCGTCTCTGTGAAGCTATCAGTATCAATGATAATCAGCTTTCTGCTTGACACGCCCCTATTCGCAGAGCGTCTTACACCAAGAAATGCAAAGTTTGGGAGATTTTTTCCCAAAGAGAGCCTCTCTAGTGAAATCGAGATATACTCCGTCAAGTCGAAAATCGATAATCAACCCAGCCTACCTTAGTGAAACGACTCGAGTGCGGGCGCCACTTCACGTCGCTTCTCACCGACATCTTGCTTGTCCTCGGGGTGCATTCTGGGTTCGAATGTTCACCAAATAGGCGCTGATTGTTTCGATCGACATGACTAGGCGGAGATGTTCATGCAGACATACGGTGCAGCAGAAGCTTGATTTCACGAAACTACGTTCAAAATCGCTTTGCATGTCTACATTTTCAGGAACTCACTGTAGTACTGCTGTAACCACAACGAGGCTTCCGTCTCGATGGCTTGCCCTTGAGCAGCATCAAACGATGCTATGCTTCCCACGTACCCATCGGGGCGAACGTTGACGATTGCCACATTCGTATCACTCATTTCGCCAACCCACTTCTCGGCGCAACTCTTGCTCCCAGAGTCCTTCTTCTGCGCCAGATCATCAAGATATATCGTCCATTTGCTGTTCTTCAGAATCGGCGGCAGATCTGCGATTTCGAAGCTGGAATTGGCCGCACTCGTCACCAATGCAAATGTGAAAAGCTTGCTCGTCGTGGTATATCGTGCTGGCTGGAGATACGCATCCCGCGGAGATGTCGACGCGGGCTTCTTCTGGTACGATGACTGCGCTGCAGTGGATACCGAGGAAAGCAGAGATTGCGTAATACTGGAATCCATGGCCGAGAGGAAAGGCATTACCTTTGCCACATTCGAGCAGAAGAAGTATACTTTGAACTGTCCCAGCATCGGGACGTCGAGCTGGATATCTACCGGGTTTGCATCGATGTATCTGGTGACTTTTGCTGGTGGGAGGAGGCATCCTGGCTGTATCATACATTTGGATGTAGGCCCATTCAATACGTTTTGGTCGTACTCCACACCTACACCGGAAATGAAGCGCACGTGCTTCAGGAAATTCTGCGCCAGAGCTGCTGGGTCGCCATCGTGGAAGGCGTTCGCATGCTCCAGATCGAAGCTAATCAGGTCCTGGGCAATTTTTCGCCGTTCTTGTTCGTAGGTGGAAAGAATCTGATGTTTTGCGAGCCCGCGAATACAAAGATTGAGTTTCCATGCGAGGTTCAAGGAATCGTGCATCGAAGTATTCATGCCTTGAGCCGCCTTCGGTGAGTGCGTGTGGCTTGCATCTCCAGCTATAAGGACTCTCTGACTCTCGTCAGTGAAACGATTCGCCACGCGCTGGCCAATCTGATATATTCCAAACCATTCGACGCTGGTCCAAGAAAGTGCAAAGGGTTGCAGAATCTGTCGGGCTCGTTGCATGACATAGTCCTGCGTGGCCTCGGCCTTGGAGATGGCAGCACCGTCTTCTGACTTGAGCTCAATATAAAGTCTGGTCATGTTGCGCTCGCGAGGTATGCACAAGACGCTGCCATACTTGTGAGAATAAACCACTGCTTTGCTCCAGAGGTCTGGAAAGTCGGTGTCAATCTCGCCATCGAGGACAGCCCAGATGGCTTCCGAAGAGGCTCCTTCTGCAATTGCTCCTGGAATGCTGCGTCGAACTTGCGAGTGCGCTCCATCGCAGCCGACCAGGTAGTCCGTCTTAATGCTCTGCTTGTCTCCGGTCTGCTTGTCTCGATACGTGATCCTAAGCGATTGGCCGTCATGCTCATATGACAAGAACTCGGAGTTACGCTGCACCTGCACCCCTCTACTCTGCAGGTCGTCCAAGAACACTTCTTCAACCATTCCTTGATGCACCAGTAAGATATATGGGTCCAGCAAATCTACGACGGGCGGATAGTGCACTTCTCGACCCGTTCTTCGCAAGGTACTGTCTGAGGACGAGCTCCAAAAACATATGTCATATATCCTGACGCCTCTTTCGAGTAAGGGGCCTGCAAGTCGCATCTGTCGCAGTGTTTCGATTGTCTTGGGCTGCAATCCATCTGCCCGGCCAGTCGACGTCTTGTCCGGTCTGTCGTCCAGAATGGTCGTCTTGATCCCGAATCGAACCAGATTTGCGGCCAGCATCAGACCAGCCGGACCGGCTCCCACAACGACTACTTCACTGCAGTCTTCCAGCAGGCCATTGTCTGCGTTTTCCATGAGTATACCAGGCGACATATTGTGAGTGAGCTTTGGAGTTTTGCCGTTTCGGTAATGGCCGAGAGGAAACGGATCGGGAGACTGTTTTTTGCCGGCCATTCTGGAGGTTTGCCATTATTGTTTAAACGTGGACGTGTGTAATCGATTCGCCACTCTCCTTCTCCTCCTCCTCCATCTTGCAACTCGCGTGACTTTCGCGAAGGTGGTGGTGTATGCTATAGCACTAGCATTAGCTCGCATGCCAATGCCGCCAATCCCTGCGATACGATAGCTTGAGCTCGATAGGCCAACTCCAAGCACCGCAACTCGAACTGCAGCAGAACTTGCAGAAGAAGTGAGGGCCAAACTCAAGTTCCACTTTCGCTGTTTGTGCCGTACACTAGTTCTACGGCATCTGCAGCATGCTAATCATTAGCCTGCTACGTGAATCCATGTAGAAGGATTACACAGGGCACAGGCTGCTGATTGCACAACGGATACGGTGTGAAAGGATGACCACAGGAAGCTTGTCAATCACAATGTCAAGCAGCTTGGTCATGGATCGAACTCACTAGCAGCACAAGCAAGCCCTTCTACAGCCGCGAAGACAACATGGGCCTCTTATCGGTGGCCAGTGTTCTAGATCGGGCGGGCAGCTTCACCAACGCTCCCATCTTCCTCTCGTTCCTCTCGTTCGACAAACGCCTTCTCTGTCATTCGACAACTGACGTCCTACAAGTCTAGACACGCATCATTTGGGGATAGAAGTCCTTGGGAGTTCAGAATGGGCAAAAAGCGAGTTCTGGTCAGCTACGGTATGGTATGGCTGTGTGCATGATCCTGTCTACCGAGCTGATCATTTGGAACATGAAGGAGTGGACATCGATGCGGTAGCCGGCTGGCTGGGGTCATATGGCGGCGAAGACAGTACCTCTGACATCTCGAGAGGACTGTGGGCAGGCACCATCGGGACGCAAAGGCTGTTGAAACTGTTCGAAAAGTACAACATCAAAGCTACTTGGTTCATTCCCGGACACAGTCTGGAGACATTTCCAGAGGACTGCGCAGCGGTGAGGGATGCCGGCCATGAGATTGGCCTTCATGGCTATAGCCACGAGAATCCTGCGGACATGACCTTCGAACAACAGCGAGACGTGCTGGATCATACGTATAAGCTGCTGACGAACTTCTGTGGTAAGCCACCTCGAGGGAGTGTTGCTCCTTGGTGGGAAACGAGCAAAGAGGGTACCGAGCTCATGCTGTCGTATGGCATCGAGTATGATCATTCGATGTCTCATGAGGATTGTCAGATGTACTGGCTACGCACGGGTGATCAATGGACAAAGATCGACTACACCAAACAGGCGAAGGAGTGGATGAAACCACTTGTGAAGGGAGAGTCTACTGGTCTCGTCGAGATACCCGGATCCTGGTATATAGACGACTTGCCTCCCATGTGAGTAAAGCTGCTCGATCGCGCTGTCGGTCGTTGTGCTGATGATACGTCAGGATGTTCATCAAGAAGTCTGCAAACAGTCATGGCTGGGTACGTTGAATATATTCCGGCCTTACCGACGACAAAGGCGAAGATCATCACTGACTTTGAGACCACAGGTCAATCCGAGAGATGTAGAAGCCATATGGATGGTAAGATTACTGAAACCTGACCCAAGACATGGCATCATGCACTGACTGACTGGCTGATCTTTCCACAGGACCACTTCGACTACTATTACCGAGAGTACGACGAGTTTGTGTTTCCCATGACGATCCATCCAGATGTTTCCGGCAGACCTCACGTTCTGCTGATGCACGAGAGAATCATTGAGCATATCAACAAGCACGAGGGCGTAGAATGGTACGTGTCCACCCACCCACACACACCCTTCGACCAACTTCTTGTCGTACATGGCTGACGTGGCTGTAGGGTCACCATGGAACAAATGTGTGATGATTTCAAGAGCAAGAATAGTCCTCCGGCGGGTGCCATGATGCCAGCTTCGAAGGAAGAGGTATTGAAGAAGCTGCAGTCGCAGTAGTGACAAAGTCTTGAGATGCTTCTGGTGGTGTCAATCGGAGCTGTCACGATGGAAGAAGACATGAGTGTTGAGATGTCTGTGAAAGTAGATATCACGTTGAAAAAGCATTCTTCACTCGACCGTAACATTTGTGTGTAACATATAACATCTACCGATTCTCCATGTTATGGAGAGATGTTACAATGTAGCCTCGCTGTGGTATGGAATTTGTCCTCTACCTCCTGGTCTCCAACACTGTGCAATGCACAAATTTCTTATCGTAGGAGTGGGTCGTTATGCAGGTACCACGACTGACCCTGGAGTACTAGTAACTAGTAACAAGGTACGCCGCTGACAACTCCCACCCTTGTGTCGGCATGTGATGGCTATCAGAAAGTGGTCATGACATCCACATCCAACGCAGCTATAATAACTACACGATTATTCCGTTGGCTGTTTAAAAAAGCTCCCATCAAAAAATCATCTGCCCCAAACCCAACCGCACTCCTACGACCAACCACCACCACCACCAGCATCACCACCTTATCCTTCAAAAAAACATGCCTTCAGCTCTAACCCCACCTCCCTATCCTCCTCTCCGCGAAACAAAACTCTTCTCACCTCTCCGCCTCGGCCGCCTCAACCTCTCCCACCGCATCGTCCTCGCCCCCCTCACCCGCATGCGAAGCATCCGCTCCGACGACGGAATTTTCCTCCCAGGAGATTTAACTCTCGAATACTACACACAACGCGCCAGCAAAGGCGGTCTCCAATTCACCGAAGCCACAGACATTTCCCTCCACGCAAGCGGCTACCCCGGAGTTCCCGGAATTTTTGCCCAAAAGCAAATTGAGGCATGGAAGAAAATTACGGATGCGGTGCATGCGAAGGGAGGGTTTATTTTTTGTCAATTGTGGCATACGGGGAGAGCTTCGCCGGCGAGTTTTCGTGGGGGGGAAAGGGCTTTGGGGGCGAGTGAGATTCCTATTCGCGGGAAGGCGTTGGATGGGACGGAGTATGAGGAGAATCCGCCGAGAGTTGCGACGGAAGAGGAGATTCAGAGTGTGGTTGAGGCGTTTGCGAGTGCGGCGAGGAATGCTGTTGAGGCTGGGTTTGATGGTGTGTGGTTTTTTTCTTTCTTTCTTTTATGCTTCAAGTTTCACGGTGCATTGATTACATTCGGCTGACTAGAGAATCTTTTGTTACACAGGAGTTGAAATTCATGGGGCGAATGGCTATCTTCTTGATCAGTTTCTGCATGACAATGTCAATCAGCGAACCGATGCGTATGGTGGATCAATTGAGAATCGATGCCGCTTTCCGTTGGAGGTGATCACAGCGGTTTCTCAAGCGATTGGCTCAGACCGAGTCGGTATCAGACTGTCACCGTTCAACTACTTCCAGCAAGTCTTGATATTTCATAATGTGCCTGAGCATCAATTCTAACGAGCCATGCAGAGATACCAAGGATAGCAACCCAATCGCTCACTGGTCCTACCTCTGCGAGCAAATCATCAAATTACCCACAGAACTTCGACCCGCCTACGTCCACAGCGTAGAGCCTCGCTTCGACGAAGTGCTCGACGAGCAAGCCAAGTTGGACGCTCTATCAGCATACGAGACGGGCACGCCCGAAATCACTCGCAAGACAGCATACTCGCTAGACCCATTCCGAAAGATTCTGAACAAAGGCAATGTGTCATTGATTGCAGCCGGTGCTTTCAATCGTGACAATGCTTTGCCCAAACTCGAGGCAGATGCTGCAGATCTGATTGTCTTTGGTCGCTGGTTTATAGCCAACCCAGACCTCCCTCGACGACTAGCAGACGGTTTGGAGTTGAATCCGTATGATCGAGATACATTCTATGGCGCGGATCCTCCGAGTAAAGGCTATGTGGATTATCCCTTCTTTGGAACATCCTCGTGAGTTTGATATGAGAGCGTTTAGCGCGGAAAACAGGGGTTGTGATGAGGGAAGTGAATAAGTACATTTTATGTCGATTGTTTGTGCAGCTCCTGAAGTGGGGACAAAAAAAAAGTAGAAACTACCCCTGTCCTCTTGGCAGGTCTCTCCTCGTCTTCCCCACTTCACTTCCCATGCGCCCCCACTTTCGGCCCTCTGCCCTGAACAACACCCGCTGCCCTATCTATCTCTCCCACACCTTTTCCAAAGCATCGCCATCATTCGTAGCCGGAACATGCAAGTAGAGTACCGGGCAACGTTGTATAGCTCTCAATTGTGCTCTCAGTGTCGAATCTCACCTTTCCAAAAGCAACACCATCACCACCACCATCACCACCACCACTCTCCCACCGCTTAATCATCATCATTCATCACCACCCACCCATCCATCACCTTACACGTCCTACCCTCTCTCCCTCCACCACTCACGCCGTATCGTCGTCTTCTTCGTCGGGGTCCTATTCGGCTATACTTCCCCCCCTTCTCCTTTCTTTTAGGACTGTACCGAAAAAGAAATGTCCCCGAATAGATGGTATTGCCAATATAATGGATGTGGACGTGATTTTGGTCGTCGTGAGCATTTGGAACGACATTCGCTGAATCATGCGGATGGAGAATTTACTTGTGAGAGATGTCGAGCACATTTTAAACGGGCGGATTTACTTGGTGAGATTTACTTTCTTTTTTTTTTCTTTTTTTTCTTTTTTTGTTCGATAGTTTACTGTGGTGTTGAGATGGGTCGAGAGTGGGGATTCTTTTGGTGATATTGATTTGATCGGTGAGCAGAGGTACACTACAACCAGGGTTGCACTTCTACTCTCTCCTTCGTATTGACTACAGGCTGTGTGACTCTAGCAAAGGTCGGCAATGAAAGACCCCTTCGAGCCTTCATATATTATTAGAAGCCATTCTGAGTCCATGCTGATAGCTTGGCAGAAAGACACATAGCTCGACATCGGCGCAAGGACGCTGAAGGTAGTCAGCTCATGACTCGCAAGAGACTCTGGAAGGACGCCAGCGGGAATATTGTAGCCAAAAGACCAGCCTTGGACGAGGGAGCCGTCCGCTCGACTAAGCAAGCTTCCACAAGTCTGCGTGGCACAAGCCAACACTTTCCTCCTTCGCCTCCTGGCAGTGCGTCGTCTATTGAACCTGCATCTGCCGGGTTGTTGAACGCAACAGGAGTACCAAATGAGGAGGCAGTAGCTCAAGAACCATATGGGACTTCGTTGAATACTCAGATCCACGATTTCGACACAGACAATTTGTTCTGGGAGTCTTCGATGCCCCTGGCTTACAACCCAACATTGAGCAACGAGCTATTCGACGATATCTTCCTGCCGGATACTGCAAGTTCTTTCAACATGCCTTACACCACGCAAAACAACTACAATTGGCTTTTCGATATGTCCCTCAGTTTCTCGTCTGGACATTTGCAGCCTCAGCCTCAGCCTCATGTGCCTGTAGCGCCGGTGATTGGGACCAATATAGCCACGGAGCAACCTTTTCCCAGCCCAGCTACGACACAAAACTCCAGTACGATAGATTTCGACCCGAAGCAATCGCTTCCAAACACCCTGGACGAGCACACTTCCCTAATTTCAGTTGGAAGTGGAATCTCGCATCAGGTGCAGGGTCGTCAAGATCAGCCAATCGTTACCTCGTCTCCTAGCTCACGGTCTAGTCGCGATGCCATCAGCGTAGCTTCAAGTGGACGCAGAAGAGCAGCAGCAACACAGCCCAGCTGCCAGGACATGTCCAAGGAAAACGTCTCGCAACCGAGCCAGGAGTTCCAACTACCTCCTGAATGTCCATTGTCACGACTCGATGCTCGCACTCGACTTCCACGTCTGGATGAATTGAGCAGAGAGCGCCTCATCGATCTGGTAGAGCGTTGTTCGCCCACCTTACCCGACGGCAGCGAAATCGTCTTCGACAATCCTCTCCTCTCTCTATCGAGCTTACAAGGCTATCTAGATCTCTTCTTCACCCGCTTCAACACATCCTACCCACTCATCCATCTCGCAACTTTCGAGCCCAACGAAGTCGAACCCATTCTCCTTCTCACCATCCTCTTACTGGGCGCCACATATGCAGATAAAAGCGCCCATCAGCTCGCAGTGTGTATTCACGATGTTCTTCGTCCTCAAATTTTCGCAAATCCGGGCTTTAGCGCGAAGCCGGATTTGTGGGTTTTGCAATCTATTCTTTTGACAGAATGTTTGGGCAAGTCTCGGGCGGGTCAGAAACAACATGATATGAGCCATTTGTTTCATGGCATGTTGATCAATTTGATTCGGCGAAGTGATTGTCAGACTGCACATCCGGATATGAGTGTAGCGAATAACGATCAGGATCTTGATAAGCTGTGGAAGGACTGGGCGGGTCTGGAGCAGAAAAAAAGATTGGCGCAGATATGTTTCGTGATGGTGAGTGCTGTTTCACTTGCAACAGCTGTGTGATCTATCACGAAGCATTTGCTAATATTCTCTCATTTTCCAGGATGTGGAACATGCGGTACTCTTCAGTCAGTCTCTATGTATGTCCGCTTTCGAGCTACGTACAACTTTACCCTGCTCGCAAGTCCTGTGGGAAGCAAATTCCGCAGAAAACTGGCGTCTAACTCTCCAACAAGTAAGCACACACATATTCCACTCTGCGTGCTCTCCGAGACGATAACTCGAAAACTCACGCGCTTGCAGAAATCCAACCGTCCTCCTCCCTTACTTCTAGCCGTCCTCAAAACCTACTTGACGCCCACAGATGCAAGTAAACGAATCCTTCTCGACTCTCTCTCCCGAACCATCATTCTCCACGCTCTCATGTCGATCTCCTGGGACATGAACCGACGAGATCAAACTTCCCTCGGAGTCATTGGAGGAGGAGCAGACGCTGGAGATGGAACTTGGCAGAATCGAATTTCCCAATCTTATAATGTCTGGAAACAGGATTTGGACTCTTTTTGCGCGAATATGCTCACCACTACTACTAGAACCACAAGAAGAAGGAGAAGAAGAAAAGACCACCTCCCCCCAGATGACGCCGACGATGACAACGACTACGACGACGACGACGACGTGGAATGTTGCATGATGAAGCAGCAGCAGCAGCAGCAGCAGCAGCAGTATGCAAGCTATCAAAACTTCGCCGTCGCATACAATTCTCTCTATCATGCCGCTCAAATTACATTACTAGCAGAGATTTTGGATCTGCAGATTTATGCTGGTGCGAGACATATTCTCGGTATGTATACACTACACCATACACACACACACACACACACACACAAGAGAGTTGAAAACGCTCAGAGGCTTTGTTCATCCACCCATTTACACCCAAATCACGTACTAAACTCTAACACTAATCTCTTCTTCTTCTTCTTCCTCCTCTCCCAGGCCGCCCCGTAACCCGACCAGACTACACCCGTTCGCAACGCGTCGTAAAAAAATGGGCCAACGAAACCCCTCTAAAAGCTGCCCAAGCCGCTTGGCATGCAGCTTTTATTCTTTATGAAGCGAATTTTTCTCCCCTTCCTTCTTCTTCTTCTTCTTCTGAAGGAAAAACAGGAGGAAAAGGAGAAGGAAAAGAAAGAGAGGGAAATGGGATTATCATCGATTCCTTCCATCATCCTTGGGTGCTGTTTCTTGCGACGTTGACGATTTGGAGTTTTTATCATGCGCGGCCGAGAGGGGCGTGTGGGGTACGCAAGGATAGTAGGGGTGAGAAGGATGATGTTGGGGAGGATGGGGAGGAGGAGGAGGATGAAGAGGAGATTATATGGGATGCCAAAATTCATATGCATCAATTGTTGGAGTATATGATTCGATCGGAACCGAGGGAACTTTTGAATTTTTCGCCTGTGACGGGGAGGAGGAATTGTGAGTATTTTTTTTTTCTTTTTTCTTCATTCATTTTTTCGCCGAAATCAAGGATGCTGGTATATCATCATTATCATCATCAGAAAATACTGAGCTCCTTTACTGACTCATTTAACCCATGTATTAGGCACCGCCGGTTTAACAGCCATCGTCGTCGGACAATTAAGTAAAATCCGCTGGGGAGTGGTACATGACGGAATGGTGATATTGAAGGGATTGGTGCCGTGGCGCTTGATTAATGAAAGTGGGAGTATCTAGTAGAATTTGATGACATGACATACATACATACTCTTACGCCGAAGAGGGAAATATGTCTTGGATGTCAGCTGAAATACAAAGTTGGAGTAGTTCACACTTTTGTCGTTATATATCACTGAGATGAATCATATCCTACCTCCTAGAACTAGCTATATCTTTTCCAAAAGGCCTGGCTATATGTGGATCATCGGCACTATTGAATTGGGTTTGACAGACAGTAGAATCGATGAAGCAGAGCTGACGCATACCTACACACCGTCGAGCAATTCGGAAAATGTCTAGAGAAAAAAAAAACGAAACCTGCACTTATAGAGACGAATAGATTGACTGGAATCTGTAATAATGCAAAGAAAAAAAAAGAAAACGCACACACAGCATATACCAAACGAAACCCCCCCAAAAAACCCATTTCTGATACCTTTTTATTTAAAAAGAAAAAGGAAAAACCAATCCTAATATGTAGCCCTCAGACGCTTGACAAGATGTTCTCCACAATTCACGGCAGAATATTTCCTCGGATTCTCTGCACTAAACGTGCCTGGAATAGCATCAATAATGCTATCGTGATTGGGGTGACAAAAGTAAGGAATCTAGAGCAGTCGGTGGCATGGATTTTATAGTTGTTAGCCATTATTCATATGTAAAGAGTCTTTGCGGCAGAAAAAAAGAAAAAAGAAAAAAAAGGAAAAAAAAGAAAGAAAGAAAAAACATCCACGAACCGTATATCTCGCCGGATGCACCGTCGACTTGGTCGGAGGTTCCACAACCCGATGCACAGTACTTTTAATCACATCATTCGACCAACGAGCAAGTAAATCTCCCGCATTCACGACCACCGTCCCCTCAATAGGCGTCGCATTCACAAATTTCCCCGTCGGAGATTTCACTTGTAAACCTCCCGCCATGTCCTGAAATAAACATGTAATAGATCCATAATCCGTGTGTGCGCCCGCTCGAACTTGCTCCACGACATTATCGTCGTTTTCTTGTTGTTCTTGTCGACGACGAAAAACATCCGCAGGAACTTCCGGATAATGCAAAAGTCGCAAGGTATTATCTCCCGCATCACAATAACGATCGAACCATTTCTCTTCAAGATTTAATCCGACGGCAATGGCACGCATGATGTTGATGTGCAGAATTTTGCATTCGTCGAAAAATTGGAGCATTTGTTCGCGGAAACGGATACCGGCTGCATCTTGTCGTGGCCAAGGGTTGGGCATTCCGGGTTCGCCTTCTTTGCCGATTTCGAGAGATTCTTTTAAATCAGAGCCTTCTTTGGCGCGGACTGCTTCGATTTCTTCGGGGGTTTCTGCGTCGGTGACTTTTTCGCGGCCGGGTTGACTGTAGCCTCTATTTGCCTGAATAGAAAGTAAAAAAAAGTCATAAGCAAGATCTTTCAGCCTCGGTAGCAGCAGCAGCAGCAACAGCAGGAGGAGTGAAATAATCAAATTCTTCCCAAAATAAAAATAAAAAACATACCTCCGGAGTAGTCCAAGCAAGAGCATCCTTCTCGCCTCTCGGACGCTTGAAAAATTTCGCAGATTCCGCAAACGTCTTCTCGAGCACATCTTCGGGCACACCATGTTTGCTCAAATACACGAAACCCGCAGTCTGAAAGCCAGCGAGAATGGCTTGGGCGGTGGATTTTTTGGTTGCGGCATCGCCGGTCAAGAATGCGGAGAAGTCGATGAGTGGGATTTCTAGATTGGCTTCGGAGACGGCGGTGGATACGGCGTGGGGTTTCATTGTTGGGTGGTGATGAAAGAGGAACCTAAGGGTAGAGAGTCTTGTGGTGGATGATGATGATGATGATGATGATGATGATGATGATGATGATGATGGAAAGCTGATAGTCGTGATATCTATAGACAACTACATGTTCTATGCTCGGTCAGCAATGATATGAGTACCTAGACACGGGCAGCGGTTTTTTCGGCCCCGCCACCTTCAGCAATAGCCGCGCCTAGCACCACAGTAAAGCACAGAGTTGTAAGAGTTGGTAAAAATGGGGTTCAGTAGATGAAGTGGAGAGATCAGAGGACAATAATGGGACGGAAATGCACATCGAAGCGAGAAGGGGGGCGTGATAAGTGTTATCAAGAATCTGCACGCTGCCTATCAATGATTATTATCAGCCAGCCCTACATAGGCAAACCCCCCAGTCGTGAATGATTTTGTCCACTCTTGCTCAGCCGAATACCAATTACCAAAGCTGAGTGAAACTGTCTGATCTCTGTCAGGTACCTGTACTTCTACCTCTAATTGAATAGGCCTTTTTGATAAAATGCGTAGAGATATTCGACGAGAGAAGAATGAAGTAGATTTTCATTATATCCGACATTATCCGCTGTTACTTGCCGCTTTCCAGAAGCCCCAGTAGAGAGCCTGCTCAAGTACAGGTACTGAGGTACATACCTGATATATATATTGTCAATAATTTAAAAGAGAAAAAAAAACGAGAGGCGAATATCCACTAGCAGACAGACCTCCCCTCGTCTCATATATCCCCCCCAAAAAAGAGAAAAATCAAGTCATCAAAGGTTAGGTACCTGTACGCAAGTTCCTGTGAATACCTAAGCAAAGCATCATACCTCCTCCCTCCTACCTCCTCCCTCCTTCTCGTTCAAGGAAGCACAAGCAGGCCAGCTCGGCGGCATAAACGGCACAACCGCCAACGAGAGCATCAAAAACACACGCTCCGCTCCCCAATGAAGGGCTCCCATTTCAGCAGCTACCGCGTTGGCCCATTTGTGAACCAGAGAAACGGATGGACTAAAAGCCGTATTTGGTATCATTCGAGAGCTTAAGCATGGTAGTTCCAGAACCTCCGAAGACTTGACATCATCTCTTCCGATGGATGATGGATGAGCTTGATCAAAGTCTTATTTTTTTGGGGCCCTGTGAGAAAAGAGAATCTCGTTGTTCCTCAACAACGACAACGACAACAGCAATAAGAACATCGTCATACATACAACCCATAGGTCCAAGACACCTCACACCTCATCTTTTTGTTGCTTCATCACAATATGGGAGGAGGAGAAGTGAGTGATCTGATACTTCAAAACTGCAGTTTCTGTCCCAAATAGAGATATACACACATACACACAAATAGAGCTGACAGTCGCCCGCCCACAGCAGCAAACCCTCAGTGCCGAGGATAGAAAGATCCTGGAAGATGCGCATCGCAATTTGAACAACCCCGATCATCCTGCGAACAAAGATCATCCCAAGGTGGGCGCTGCTACTTCTTCTCCTTCTGTCATCATCATCATCGTCATTATCACTTTCATGGCGCTGATCATGGCTTCTTCGTTCTAGCACCACGAGTTCCTGAAGAAATTGGGTAACAAATTCGGCAATGCTGCAGTCTTCGGTGCGGGAGCCACATTCGGCTCAGACATGATCAATTCATTGCTTGGGCGCTGATTGAGGGGAACAATGGGCAAGGAAATAGGTCGCATGTAGCATCTGGGTGCCATGGTAGCCATTTTTCCACGCCTATTCATTCGGCAATTCAACAGATGTGTGTGGTTTCGAAAAATGGAGGCTGTCCTGGCAATTTGTGTGGAAGGAAAGTGCAGTGCAATAGAGTGCCTTCCATCACCGCGAATCGAACCCTGCAATTCGCAATAAAACTCACCAGTGGTCGTGAATTCGATGGGGAAATTCCCATCTCTCCTGTTCGAGTCAGCTCATTCCCCGACTTGCCTCAACAATCAGCCTCTGAACTGTATGCTGTTCACATGTGCTCGAATGTCTTCCAGTAGTGTATTTTCGTTTCATATGCCCAGCTCGCCTGGAGCGCGGCAGACGACGGAGTGCGAATGATTCGGAAACAGAAAACCTTGGCGCGGAGCTCAGGGTGTAGACCACAGCCCATGTGCTCGGGGCACGCAAAAGAGGCTCGATCCTCTGCGATACCCATGGTATCATGCTGTATGGAGCGAGCGCAGTCGGAACTCACCCTGCTGCTCTTACACGGCAGTCGTGTTGCTCGTATGCAGCTGTGGAGCTGGTACAGAACAGCATGGCAAAGAATTGCCAAAAGAATGGTCACAGCCTGGCTGGAGTCGAACTCGTACCCCGAAACAACAAAAAAAGTGTTCTCGGATGTATATTATACATCTGCTTTGCTATCCCTACACAACCATTTGAGTTAGCATGTGTTTCTGAGCGGTGTACGGTACAGCTAGGCGTCACATTAGAGGCTGGCAAGGCCTATTTAGCAGAACCGGGTCTGAGCGTCTTAACGCGCTCGTATGATGGACTGTACTCGCACCACGGACCCAGTTCTGGTGATTAAGCAAGATCTGGAAGCAAATATATATCCTCAATATTCGGCCCCGCCTCTCCCGCGCCACAGCGACCGAATTTGCCCTACACCGCTGTATCTTTCCAACCACGACAGGTATGGAGATACGGATTGTTGGAGCTTCGAGATGTAGTGCCATGCATCCTCAGCAGCAGATTCGTTTATCAATCATGGTGATGTGTGGTATCCGGTGCATTGTATGGGCTGCTTGGCGCGGCTTCGGCGTCACAGCCGTAGATCCGCGGGGCCGGCGGTCGCTGTACCTGATCTTTCCACTTGGCGGCCAGCAGGTCTGACTGTTGACACCAACAACAAAGTGTCGAAGACCAGCCGCCATTGCAGCACGAGCACAAGAGAAGGGATCAACCGAGGCGGTGGCCAAGATGCCATGGATTGACTCCTCGGTCACAGCGCTTAACTGCTGGCTTGGGGCAGACGAGGCATGGCCACGTCGCACCCCAGGACCACCTCCGAACCGCCCTCACAAAAAGCGAACAGCAGAGATCGACACAGATTGAACGGTGCAGCAGTCGAGCAAGAGGCATGCATGCGAAACCTTTGGGTAACGGGCTCAGAGAATGGCAGGAACCGCGCGCTCATGAGATGGGAAAAAGATGATGCCGGCCGTGTCGAGGACGGAAGCCTTTGAGGCTGGATATCGAATCGTAGGCACAAGGGAGAGAGAGAGAGAGCCCATGTCTGATCCAATGACAAAATCCCCCAATGTGTGGTAGCCAGGAGCTGCCGGGCAGTTGCAAAGAGATAGCATGTAGCAAAAGAGCATCCTGCAGAGATGGAGCAAAACTATCGACACTTCCTTCATGAATGAATGTGACCTAGTCTCTCGGCCAGAATGCGTATCGAGTGACTGCCAGCCTGCCTTGTAATGTCGAGAAGGCGCTATGGCATCTGCAAATTACGTGGAAGCAGAGACTCCTTGGGTGCCTTCCTCATAAATGCAGCATGTCCCATCCTCTCTTATTTTTGGATGCCAAGCACCTCGCTTCAGCAGCGTACAGCACGCTTGCTTGCCACATGCGATTGCTATCAGTGACGAGAAGTGCCTGGAACAAAAATGAAGGCCAGATTCTTTGAGTTTAATTCAGGTAGATCACAGGCACGGCGTCCTCATGGGAAGGATCCGCAGGCCAGCACCGCGGCAAGTCCTACTATGAGACACCGAACGACCCAGGAGCAGCAGCGGCGGCGGCGGCAACGGCGTCGGCGACAGCAGGTCCTACCGATCAGCGGCAGCGCAGGAAGATCGAGCGAGACCAGGAGAAGCACGATGCATTGGAACCAGCGCGTGAGGCCAGAGCACAACACGGACAGAAAGAATCCAGCGACCCAGACAGCACATTAAGATCAAGGTCAAGATCTCATATCACCGGCCTCAGCAACAATGGTATACAGCCGGGAGAGTCGTGTTCAGCTATGCAGAAGCAAGTCATATACGAGCAGTAACAGCAAGCCAAAATCCACTTCAGCAATGCGGTACAGCCTAATCAAGGCAACCAAGCCAAAGTACCAGCTATGGAAGACAATGATCGCGTGACGAGCAAGAGCTAGCAAGCACATAGTTGCCTCTTAAGTTCCTGGGCACCATTGAGACTCCAATTGCGAATATGCCTCGTGGATGGAGCAGCGACGTGAACAGATTCAATGTGACGGACCAGCGACAAAGATTCGAAAAAGCCCCAAGGCTGTGCTGCAAAGTCAAGCAGATGACTGCGATGAGCTAGGCGACTGGCGGCCGTCGTCAAGAACCAGAAGGTAATATAAACAGAGTGCCGTGTATACGCTGCAGCTGTCCTCTGGCCTGTGATAGTGGGGTCCATGAACGCAATTGGAAGAATGTTTGAACGGGTCGTATTCGTTGACAGCACAATCATGCATTCCTGGAAGGGGTCGTAAGAGCTGAAGGCGGGAATCAATCCTGGCTGCAGATCTGATGTTCGCACTCGGCCGGCGCTTGGGCCGCGTTTCCTGTGATACATATTCGACGACATGCGCTCTGGCTGGACTCTTCGCACTGGAGAGCATGCATCATGGTGTCTGTATTCCTCATCGTCCTGCCGCCGAACCTGCACTTGAATGTGGATGGGACATCAACTGGCCGGTTCTCTGATGTCTCGGCGAGAGAAACCGGTCCCGTCTGTCCACATGCTGGCGCCAGTGGCCTCTTGTCATATCCGATTCACGGCAGCGAAGCGCTGTACGTGGGATATTCTCGTGATGCGTGGAATGGAACTCTGTGGCTGGGCAGATACGACAATAAGGTATCTCCTAGAGATAAGGTACTCCCCATGGAGCTCGTCAAATTCATGAGATGCCTGTTCATCTTGCGCTGATGCCATTCGCGGAGGCACTGTCCTTCGAGAGTCAACAAGTGCGAGGGGTGTGAAATTTCGGTCTCCCAAGTTGTCGGCAGATCCAGGCGTGCCTGGCACCTAGGGCAATGAGGCCGAACGGGACAATTATCCAAATGCATCATGCTTGCCGAATGCCAGCAGTCTCGACTGTGGTATGCAAATACTAGTCCAAGATGCCAATAATTGGGCAGCCGAAAACAGCACATCAAAGCAAAGCAGATCGCAAAGCCATCCTCTAGAGCGGAGTGGGCTCCCTATCACGCCACCAACAGCATGATCGCCGGCCAATCCTTTGATCTAGTGTTGCATGGTAGTATATGATCTCGGTCAACATCCAATATACCTGTCCAGCATGTTCACTCCAATGGCAGATGCCGTCGGCTCGAGCGATTCGACGCTGCTCTGCACGAAATGGCACATGCAGAATCATAGGCCAGAGCTCATTCCTCGAGATCGCGAGGCGCATTCTCTATCCTCTCTTGGGCTCGCGCTCTGAAGCTCAGCAGTAATCGCAGCAAGTCTCCGGTTGATGACCATTGTGCCATTCATCCGCGAAGAGAGATGACACCTGGCGACGCGATGAACTCCAAAGCAGTCGGTCTTGCGCCGGCATCACCGCCATCGATGCTCCACTTCAGCTGAAACTTTGAAATCGGCGTTGTCGATTGTCGCGCTGGAGTGCATCTCTAGCAGCCGCCGAGCGTCCACTCCCAGAACGAGGCCAGAGTAGTGTCATCCAGTTTGACGTAGCATGCTGCCAGTGTCCACCCTGCTTGCTACCATCCAACATGCTTCCCCTCTCGCGTGGCTCGTCATAAGCAGGGTGTGGTGCGATCAATCGGCGGTCCCGATCCATATTATGTAGCGACTTGCCGTGATCCACCATGTCGTTGAACACAGCTCGCTGTGGACGTACCACGGCGTGAATTGCCGCCAGAAGTACCTGTAGCGCTTCGACTGGCTGTGGCTCCGGGCAGGTGGAATGGCTCAGTAATGCCCGGGTTCGTCGGTCGAGGAGATGGTTCGAGTGTCGAGTTCGGGTCGCGGTCGGCGATCTGATCGGACATGTCGAGCGGATTGAGGTAGTGTCGAGTCGGGAGAGGCGCATAGCAGACTGCGGCTAATGCGTCCTACGTGAAGCCAGAGCTCATGTCAAGACCACACCGTCGTTGCTGCCACCGTCACCGTCGCAGCTCGTCGATGTTGGTTGCCCATCACTTTGTGCCCGTCGATATCGCTGGAAAGACCCACTAGCACCATCGTAGTTGGAGAGCAGGAGCCGCGCTGCCATGCACGAGAAGCTCGCGCCGCCGTCGACTGCGAGGTTGTGGCCAGCCTGACTGAGCTTTCCGGTCCAGATCGTCCTCCCGGCTCGACGCGCTCAAACTGGGGGCTCTGTCCTTCACCCTGACCGTCCGCGGCGCTCCATGAGGGTTATCTGGTGGTGATGGACTGATGGTGAACTTCACTGTTGTCCGGGCATCTGAGGCACGTGCTGGCATCCGGGTGAAAGCCAAGACTTAGGCCGGCGCCGGTTAAGCAGTCATTCTCGGGGCCGAAGCCACTTCAACCTCACTCAACACATGCCCTCTCCAGAACACAACACCAGACCCAGGGAGTAGTACACACAGAGTCGGAGATTGGACAACAGTACCGTGCGAACAATTTGCACCGACTGGGTTGTTCACACGAGGCCTACCGATGAAGCTATCACAAGCGCAAGCTGACGGGTCGAACTACGAGCTGACGTTCAGCTATGGTCTGCATAGGCTCATTTAAGGTTCCTCGCCGCGGGAGCTCTACCAAGATCTCTCACAACGCTAGCAAGGGGCGGACGGCTGCCCTGTGCTCAGTCCTGCTCAGCCCTGGGACGCAGCCGGGCGAGCTCGGGACGCTGTGGGGAGAGGCTCTGATTCCATGAGAGTTGTCCCGTGTGGGCTATAGCAGCCACAACACCACCACGTAGCGCAACATCGCACTCTCGCGACGAAACAGCACATTCGAATTCAGCACGACCGACTAGTTTCTTCGGCCATTCGAGCCTGGGCGCAGGAACGTGGTTTCCGCCAGTGCGAGCATTGCGAGACATGGCAGACGGTGAAGCATACGAAGCACAAAAAAGCATGAGCGGGAGGCTATATAGCACTATGTGCGTGCTTGTAGCCAAAGTTCGCAGGGCCTACCACGGATGAATACCTGATGGACAGAGACTACGGGCAAGCTGCGGCGAAGACGGTGGACAGCAATACAATAGGAGACTCTGCACATCGTGTAAGAGCGCACATTCATATCAAGCGCCTCATGTCGCTTCGCATTTATCTATCATACGTCCTCGATCTCGCTGTGTACTTTGCACAAAGCTGTGCTTCTGAATTATCTGCCATCGATACAGAGAAAGAGCCTGCCTTACACCGTGGCAGTACACAGAGTCTACATTACGAGCTCATCATAATTTTGGACGATACGTGCGTGCCGAGCGACGGCTGCAGGATATACTCTCCTGCTAACGTCTGACGAGATATAAAGAACACTGGAGGCTGCTTGTCGAGTGTCTGGTTTCAACGACATACCACTTATATTGGTAACTTCATAACACGGCGACCCCTTTTCCACGGAGCTATCATCCCAAGGATACTTCATCCACGGACAACGCAGGTGTATGCGCAGCATGTTACTTCCGCCGCCGTAACAAGTACCGAAGCCGACGCTGTCGAACTTCTGACAGCCTACATAGAGAGCGAAATGTCTTGCCGAAATGTCCCCTATCGACTACGCAGATGCTACACCTTACTCCTCTTCTTCTCCTCCGCACCTTTCTTCTGGTGCTGGAAGCACCCATATCGTGCGCCGAGAATTCGAACCTCCAGGGTTATGCTGTCGAAGGGGTAAACTTCGCGGTATACGTACATTCTGCACGAGGAATTCTGTTGTTTTAGGAGTGCTACTACTTTGCACTTTCACTTCGAACGAGAACGAGAGTACCGTGATAGGCTCCGTTATATATATGATATCCCTCAAGGCTTTCCGAACCAAGAGTGGGCCTGCGATGCGAACGAATTCTTCCAGGCTGGCTGGCTGCCAAAGCTTTCGTGAAGGGGTATCATTATTATAAGGACTTGGAAGTCTGGCGTCGTCCTGATGGAAAGCTCCTCGATGTGTTGTTGTGGTTGGGCTTGTAATTATGAGATTCCGCTCACTTGAACCGTCAGCTGGTATGTCTCTTGGCCTGCTCATGCCATCGACTTCTTGTGGGGCCCCCTGATTCTGTAGATCAATGCGTTCTCCATTGGAAGCACTCCCATCTGTGCTCTCGCTACCTATGCTCACGTCGTAGACTTTGATCGCAGGCGCTTCTGGTGCGTGTACTGAGCTGAGTCGCTCTGCTCCTGGTACTCGAATACTTCCATCCATCTTTGCTTCCGAGTGTCCGCGTTCGTCCGCGCTAGGCTTTCCATGTGGCCGAGTAAGTATAGAATGATCTTTCGGTAAAGGCTTGAAGTACAATCGACGCTTGACAGATCTGTGAGCATCAATCACATTGTACCCAGAACGACACAATTCCGCTTCCATACGTCGAACAGCAGTAGCACGAGCCAAGCCTTGACGACGGAGTGCCTTGTATTGATAGCGAGTCCAAGCAGCATGTTCATCAATCGCACGTAAATACTCTTGAATCTCCTGCACTGCCTGATCCACCGGTATCCCCAATTTGCGATGCCATCTCACCGCAATCTGAAACACCGCTTCATCACGATTCAAATTCCTCTTCACCAACCGCAAAACCTGCTGCGTAACATCAATTGCACGCTCTTCCGAAGCCAATTCCCACTCCACTTCCGCCTCCCGTTGCGCCCTTCTCGCTTCCTCCATCTGCGCCTTCTCCGCCTCCTTTTTCGCAAGAATCTCTTTGAGCAATCGCGCTCGCGACTGATCCCCTTCTCCATACACCAAGGGCATAAAAATTTCAAAAATCCCTAATAGACAATATGCCAAATCTTCTATTCGAGTCGTGCGACGATTCGCCATCCAGGAAAATTTTTCTTCGTCATTGTAGTTTTTGCGCGCTGAGCAGTCGTAGAGGACATTTTGCGGAATTCTGGTGATTTCACTCACTAGGGAAGTGGTGTCGTGGATGGAACCGAGGGAGTGAGGATCGTGGATTTCGATATGGCCTTTGTGGCCGATTACTTTCCAGTTTTGGTCGAGAAAGACGACTTTGGCTGGTGCGATGAGTTCTTGTAATGTCCAGCCTCTTTTGAACCATTTACTTCGCTTGAGAGGAGTTGCCAGGGGGAATTTTTCGTCGTCGGGCTTTGAAAGGAAACTACTAGTATCACTACTACTATTACTACTACTACTGTGCTGCCCAATATCATCATCAGGACAAACATCATCGAGATATGCAAGACAGCATTCCGCATTCGCATACCATCGAAACATGCAATTGATAGATTCGTGCAATTCCGCCGAACTACTCTTATCAATGCAGACGGTATCGATCCAGAGCCAATCGACTCCCGTAGAAGATTCTCTGACGAGTTTGCAAAAACTTTGGACTTTGTGGTAGCCGACACTGTCGCGGATGTGGGGACGTTGTTTCAAAACATCTTTGTACTGCGGTTCGCCGTGCTTGCTCCAGCGGTGCGAGGCGATGATGTAGCGGGGAATGCTCTGGATGTCATCGTGGTAGAATTCTTCGAAGCGTAGGGTGTGGACGTTGAGGAGACGCATTTTGCTTTCTTCCTTGGGAGGCTTGATTGGGAGAGGGGGTGGTGCCTTGGTGTGCACTAGTACTAGCAAGAAAGGATGCCTGGGAAGGTTCAGCAAGTTTCAATCGGGTCGTTCGCAATATCACGCGCTGATCAAGTTATCATGCATTCGAACAAGACGTGGCTGACAATGAATGGGATCGCTAAACGATTAGCGTCTGCAGGCACATCAATCCTAGAATGCGCAACTATATCATATCGCATACCTGCATACATGGGATCACAATCGAGAGGTGGCCTTGGCTGAACATTTCAATTTGCGCCTCTCAGCATATCTCATTCGGGAGTTCTATGTCGGCATGAAATCTCCAGCTCGACTGGAGATTTTCAACTTTCAGCTTGCATGGCCCTCCAGATAAGACCGGCCTACTCGTTCCCATTCCATTGCATTGCACATGGGCATGCATCAACTAGAAAGGCGCCATCAAAATTCCTCCCCGGAATCGCGTTTCCTCAAGGCCGCTCCATAAGGAGACTCCTACTTCTCCTCTGGGGTGAGCTTCAAGAATTCGCTCTTCTGCGCCTTCTTTCCTCGGGGCTTGCTGACACGAGTCTTCTTGTTGTCACGCTGGCTCGACTTGATAGCAGATGCGCGTGCAACGGCCTCGGCACGAAGATCTGGACGGTAGCCCTTCTTGGCGGTGGAGTTGACAATGCTGGTGTAGAGCTTGCGAGAAGGTGTGGAAGCAGAGAAGGAGGCAGTCTGGTATTGGGCAGCTGGCTTGTTGCCGCGCGAGGCCAGCTTGGTAGTCAGGAGGACAGTGTTGTCGTCTGCGTTGATACCGATGGCCTTTGTCATATCCAGTAAGCAGATGTGCATGCATACCTACCGTGTTCTCAAGTGTGGTGGCATACCTTGTCGTTGACATATCCGACGTACTTGCGGCTGTGCTTGTTGACGAGGTTGAGCGGGTCGCGGGAGAAGACGACCTGCTTGCCAGACCCGAGGCGGCGCTTCACGAGGAAGGAGTTGGTGTTCCCTATCAGACCAATGTCCACCGATCAGCACATGTTTTCCTACAATCCTCATCGATTTCATGCATCCATCGGTCCAATGTTTCCATGTCGCATCCTCCTCATTCCTCCCGATTGCTGCGTGTGTGGTGGGTTGGCTTCGACGTACGGGTTACCTCCCAGATGAGGTCGCTGCTCAGGTTCTCGTATTGGCTCGACATTTTGGCGTGTGGTTTGGACGTGACGTGCTGAATCGGTCAATGCGAACGTGGTGGTGCTCGCCAGTGGAGTTTCTGTGAGTGTGTTTCTTGGCAAAAAGATGATCGGCGGCAAGTGCGCCGACTGGACTAGATTGGACTGGACTTCGCGATCACTAGAACTGCTTTGGACTCTGGGACTTTGCTGCCGCCAAACACTTCCGCCAGAACCGTATCGCATCAAACACCGCTCCTCCACGACTCGCATCAAACAGACGAAATGGCGTGGTTGGCGCTATCAGAAGAGAGCAAGGTACGGAGATGGGCAGGCAGAGAATCTCTGCGAGGAGCAAGAGCTGATCGAGTAACAGGAGCGCATCGCGAGGGTCATCGACCTCTCCAGAGTAGCAATCCATTAGTAGGGCCACCACCTGTGAAGAAAGAGACTGTCATATCTGATTGAACATCGTACAGTGGCTACCTTCCTCTGATCATCTACCTGGGCTACACACGAAGCAATCCACGACCGTCATTGATCAGGTATGTCGAATTGGGTGTTGAAGATGGAGGTGTACTGGGCTGATTGATCGCAGACTCTTTTCTCCTCTGGCGCAATAGACGACTCTGGAAGGACTGTACAGATACGAGGGCGCCGACTTGTACAATATTTGGACTGGGATGAGCATCGGACTCTGCGAGGGTCGGGTCAAGAGAAGCAGAAAAGCATAGCAATGGCGCATAGGGTGTGCCGCAGGTACAAATTCTGCATGATACCAACTTTCTACTCAGATGCTTCATGAGACTATTCGGATGCTGCAGACATCGAGTGCCTGCTGTTCAATGATTTTCTGTCGCATGATCCACTTCTGAAGCTATGCCATACTACGTATAAAATACAAGTCAAGGGGGTATCTTGCATATCATGCTTGTGAAGAAGACCTGGTCTAATCAGACCATTTCCTAGCCCTTTCAAATGCCGCAACACCATCGCTAGGCTCCACCTTATCCTTCGGAATGCTAGCGCTACCATCTGAATTGGTCTTGCGATGCTTGTTCGCTTGAATCGATCGCCTGCTTTGATCAGAAGGACCAGATTCGCCCAAGTGAGGCCCATGAGGGCCGGTCCGACCACTATCTACCATCTCCTGTGTGCGCTTCATAACTGGAGGCTCTGGCACCATAAAAGCGGATCCAGAACGATGTGTAAGATTGGAGAAGCCTGTGGGGTCGGAACGCTGTGTCATGACAGCCGCGACAGAAGACGAGCTTTCATCTCCAACACTGTCCTTCTTTACATGATGCCGTGCCGTGTCTTGGAACGGCTCGTTGTCAAATGACGTCTGCGCTGGCACAGCAGCATTCTATCTCTGCTGCCTCAACGCTGGTGCAGGTAACCCGGCGGGCGGTGGTGGCAGAGCCGAGTGTCCTGGCAAGCCCATGGGAGGTGGAGGAAGAGTCGCAGGAGGTGGTCCGCCAGGGAAGCCGGGCTGCATGCCTGGTGCAATACTAGGACCTCCATAACCAGCATTGGTTGCCGGAGGTCGAGCTGGAAGACCAGCTGCTGAAGGCGGAGCTTGGAGAGGAGATTGATTGTAGTTCCGCGGCGGCTGATTTGGAAGAGATGGAGGTGGTTGGGGCATGGCATTCGGTGGCACTCCATATGGCGAAGGAGGCATGTGCGAAGGTGTCGGAGGTGCATTGTATCCTGGATACCCTCCGTATGCTGGTGGAGGTTGAGGAGTCGGTCTCGCTCCCATTCCATTGGGCGGTCCAACGGGATACCCATTGGCCCCAGTCATGTTCACAGGCGTCATGCTTTGCGGTGCATTCGGTGCTCCATTGGGCATAATAAGCGCAGCGGGCAGCGCAGGAATGGCAAGTTCGACGCCATGTTTTCTCGCCTGCGCAGCCAGTGCTCTCTCTGCATCGTCACCATGTCGCTCGCCCTTGCCATCCTTCTTATACGCGTACTGCACTGTGATTTCCTTGTTCATGAGATACTGTCCGTGCATATGCTCAATTGCCTGATCAGAGGCTTCAAAGGCGGCGTAGCTCACGAAACCGTAACCTTTGGAAAGGTTCGACTCGTCTCTTGCCACCTTCGGTGCAGCCACGAGGGGACCAAATCTGCTGAATGTCTCGTAAAGCACCTTCTCGTCCACCATGTTGTCCAAATTGCCCACGAAAAGCTCTGCTCCCACGCCAGCACCACCTCCCAATCCTCCTCCTTCGCCATTCGGACCTCTCCTGTCGGCAGAAGCCTTGTTGACTCTGATCGGCTTTCCGTATAGGCGAATCTGGTTCATGATTTTGCAGGCATAGTCGGCATCGTCTTCACTGCCAAACTCGACGAAGCCATATCCTTGGTGTGACTGTGTGACTCGATCTTTGGGCAAATGCACATTAATGACGGGACCCGCCTGCAACATCAGCTCCCATATCAGCGGATCGGTGCATCGCTCGTCGAGATTGCCAATGTAGAGTGTGCTGTCCTTATCTTGCTCCCAGTGGCGAGAACCAGACATGTTGTTGGGGGTAGGTGTGGATGTTGTGGTTGTTGGCGCAAAGGACAAAAGTTGCTACGTGAAGGAGATATTGACTGAGAGTGCTTACGTAACTCCAAATCAAGGATGTAGCTTGTGAGCACTGAGCAGGAGCCTGGAGGTTGGCTCCACTTCCTTTCCTACCTGGTACGTTACCTAGTAGCTCTATACCAGTCCCTTGTTCAAACCGTCGCATGCGCCGGCGACAGTTTTGAGGGCAGGGAGCCCCAGAACCTCTTCTACTTCACTTCTGTACTGATTACCGACTCAGAGCCACAATCATCTACCACATCGAGCACATCTGCGCCCAAAATGGCCTACCTCTTCTACACCTTTGTCTTCTTATTCCTCGTAGTCGCGACTGGTAACTACGTCTCTACTCGCATCTATTGTCATACTATTTCTAACACCGCTTCAGCCCTTTACGCAACGCGCAATGTTTGGAAACCATACGCGCCTCCCATCCCGTACCTGACCGCTCCAGGCGAAATTCCCGACTGGGCGTACAACATCTACGATCGCATAATGGCCTACATCGATCGCTGGCGCTACTCCGCGTTGCCCTCCTCCTTCCAAAATGAAGCAGAACAAGGCTTCCACTCTTCAAACTTCGATATTGCAGAAAACATCGAAGGAGAAGATAGTAGATCTGGCCTGTCGGGACAGCAGAAAGCGGAAATTTACGGAATCATGAGAAGACAGGGTGTCACTTTTGATGAGGCGAGAAGATTATACACCGAGAGACAATTTGCAGCCGCGGGAATAGGACCGGATGGGAGGCCGTTGGATCGGAAGGCGGTGGTATTTTCTTGATTCCATTGTGTCCCATGTCAAAGGGAAGAGGGCATGGGCTTCTAAGAGGATTTGAGTCACAGTACTGTAAGGTCTACCGAGCATCTTCTTGTTAGTCTCTCCTGCTTGGAGCAAGCTAGCGGAAGGCTGTGAACGTTGAGTTGGAGTTGGGGAAGGGAAACAGCGATCCATGCTCAACTATCGCAAAAGCCATCTACCGTTAGTACATGAATGCGAACGCGGGTCGTCTTCACACTTCGATGATCATCAACCTCCCTAAGATCGATCCCTCTTCGTGAACTGATCAAACCTGTCCCTAATACCAAAATGTGGCATGCTCGGCTTCCCTCTCAATTCCTGAAAGTCCGGCATGAGGGACATCCTCTTCTCCTTCGCAGCACCTCCAGAGGGCTCATTATACACTTTCTCCAGTAGTTCTGCTCCTTTGATCTTGTCCACCTTGTCGAATCGCGTCTGACTCTTGGAAGAATCGAAGAACTCTTCGCCTTTGCCTTCAGCGGCGAGCATCATCAGATCAGTAGTTTGCCGCAATGAAATAAGACTTTCCAGTAGCACAGGCGCCTCGGGGAGGGCTTCGACAAATTCAACGAGATCGTCGATGTCGAGCTTGAATGCAGTCGCAGCCTGAGGAGAGATATGTCGCACGTTCTGGTCCAGAGGTAACTGAAGGAGTGCCTGGCTGATGTGGTTTAAGGCCTCGAAGTAAATGAGCTCTTTGATCTGTTCTGGCAAGCCGAGGAGAACGGAACTCATGATGTTCGACAGATATCTAGTCAGCTCCTGGATGTAGGGGCTGGCGGTATCTGGTGTATAAGTGCTCGTCCACTCGTACTCTGCAGTGTCGATCAAGTCATCAATTTTGCTGTTCACGAGCTCGAATATGCGCTTCTCGGCTTTTTTCTTGGCAGAATTGAACTGGTTTGTCGCGTTGAGTTTGATAGGTCCGGCAGCACTACTGCTCGATCGTGCTTCGACCAGGAGGCCTTCCAGATCAGTGCATGCCTGTTCGAAGTGATCTAGGTTGGTCAAGATCTGGACAATCTGGCCTGGATACTGAGAGGACAATCGATCTACCAGGCTACGACACACCTTGTCGACCAACAACTCATCCAGGCTCTCCTTTAACGTCTTGTCTATGACCGTAGTATGGCGAAAATGGTCATCCGAGAACAGGTAGATTTGGTTGAGAAAGTTGCGGATATCAATGCAGACGAGAGGATACATCTGACTGAACGGAAGCACACATGGATATGTTATCTCCTCGGCATTCTCCTGGCCTGCTGGCGGCGTGTACCAGGATACTGAGATGACTTTGGTGTACTCGTCGGCGTTATTGATCGGCATCGGCATGTAATCATCAGTGCTCACAATCTGTCACACCATTAGCTCGAGTCAATGGCTGTGATCCGAAGGACTAACCTCTTGAAAGTCATCGCTGAATCGTCTCTTCAGCAGCGAGCTGTACTTGTCAAACAAAGTCAGGAGTAATCCGTCTAGGCTGGCAACAGAATACCCCCAGCTGTCCATGGTCTGGATGAAGAGCGCAATGACACCCTTCACCTTCAAAAGCCTCTCGTCGTTGTCAATATGATGCAGTGCGGTGCTGATAAGCGACACCGATGATTGGCACATGCTCTCCCAAAGCTCGTCAATATCACTTTGAGATCGAAAGTTCTCGCTCTTTCGCATGGTAGCTTTCTCAACGATGGCAAATCCGGCAATCCCCTCAAGCAGACCGCTCAGACTACTGTTGTCGTCCTCGAGCAGGTTGATGGTCTGTGGAATGAGCAGATCCTTCTGCCTTCGTCGGGTCGCAGCATAATCCGCACGAAACTTCTCGGTCTCGCCCAGAGCATCATGTATATGCAAGCACTCGAATAGAGGCGAGAAGTCAACTTGTACTTCCTCATTATTGAGAACATCGAACTCCTGATCCTCGTCAGCGACTAGCTCGACTGCAGAATTCAACCCGAAGGATCCCATGTAGGCATCCCTATCTCCGCGTTCTTTCTGACGAGCTCGTCTCATCTCGGTATGGTAAAAAGCTACCTCGCCCAAGAACTGAGAAGTCTCCCGAATACGGTAGAGCCAGGTGTGTAGGTCCTGGGTGACGGCTTCTGCGATCATACGCTGCGTTGCGGGCACAGAACGCTCAATCATTTCGGCAATCTTGTACCTGGTGACTTCACGAAGGTGCACATTTTGCAATTCGTCAAGCGCACGAAGTGCAGCGTAATGATTCTTCTTCCCGAGCAAGTCATGGACCTGGTTAGCTAGACGGAGCACTTCGAGGCAGTCTTTCAGTGCTTGCGTTGCATCGTCAATATTCTGACGCACGCTGCGAGAGTCGACGAGTGCCTTTTTCTGCTCTGCTAGCTTCTCTGTACTGGCCTCGATGCTTCTGCTGAGCTCCATGATCTCAGAAGTCAACGTGACAGTTTCCTCCCGCACCGACTGCAGCTGATTGACACTGGTGATGAACTCTTGGTGATTGGAGTTACATATTGACTCAATCTGAGATTCCCGATCGGCAGAGACATGGTTGAGTGCATGAATTAGAGGCGTTACTTGTGTTTGCGTCTCGGCATGTTTGAGAAGCGGTATGAGCTGATCCAGGTAGTCTGACTCCGAGGATGACAGGATTATCTGAGGCACAAGTCAGTGCATCTTCCTAGGAGATCAAGAGTACCATTACGAGCACGGTGCTCGCTGTCTGCATTGCTGGCACACTTCGACCGCGGTCCAAGCCGAGCTCAATATGACCCATCAAGCGTTCCAGCAGACATCGAGTCAATGCAGCTCTCATGAGAGCTTAACGCCGGGCTATTACTTTGAAACTACATACCTGCTGCACCGCTCCAGTCAGATCATCGTACTGCTCGGCGATAAGTCCTGGCATAGCAAGCAGGAAGAGCGGAGCTATTCGCCCGCAAACGAGAGAACCTCCGGAGAAGCTTGCAGCGGCGTGCCAATGGCTCTCACCACCTCGCTTCGATCACTCAGCGCGAGGTCCTCTATGTCGTAAACGGGTACAAGCTTCTAAGTTAATCAAAGTACTTTCCAGGGCCCAGACACTTTGCAGCAGCTATACGCCTTCTTCAACCTCTGAGAACTGCGCAAGTCTGGTCTGACGCAAGGGATATATTGAGATACTAGTAACGTAAGGTCCTGGTCAGCAAAATATCGTGGTATGTGGTGGGCAGCGACATCCATATCGCAGTTGGTCACAGGGACCGACGCAGCACGTACAGGTACTTGACAAGATCATACGCGATCCTGGTATTACTGTTTCTCGAGATCAAGCTCAGTACGCGAAGATGATGCAGGAAGCGTCAGCGTGCTGGGCTCAATACCGCGTGTTTGGGACGAGGGGATTATACTCAGATGCGAACGCGTGAGGTTCCCAGCTGCTCCCCGTTGCTTCCCGAATCTCCAAAACGCTTGGCAAGTACCCCTGTCCAGCAGGGACCCAGCGTTGTGGTTAGTTCCCGGCGCTAAAAATCGATCAGACCCACTCCGTGAGCTCTCGCACGTGCCCAATATCAAAATCCGGCTGAAGATGGAAGCATAGTATTCATACGTGGGAAGAGGAATTCCACTATATCACTAAATCACGTCCAAACTAAGCAGATTCTTCGTCCATAATGAATGACCCTATCGTGCCGTATCGATTCATCTATACTGCGAGGCCCTGCTCGCAGCGACTAGACCGTCGTGGCGACTATGAGCAGTCGCGCTGAACACATGGCAGGTACGAGTGGGCCATGTGAAAGTCGGGGCCATTTACGGTCAGGGCGAGTAGCTTCAACAAGCTGTATAATGAGCATTTCTCATGCTATAGATACACAACGAGTTGGCTGGTCCTCGCCGCAGTCTGCTCTCCCTCATGCTACCCATATATCGTGCTGGAAGGTGGCTGATGTTGCACCTTCAAAGTCGAGGGCAAAGCAATCCTTCTTGTCCAGTCGTGCACGTGGACGTTATACCCTGTAGCTCTTGCCGAGCATCCTCCCTCCCGTTCTCCACATAAGGAAGTGCATATATCTTCGCCCTCGCTCGCTCTTCCTTTCTCTTTTCTTCTCCCCAGTACAAACCAGTCTTTCTCCAGGAAAACATTGGCAGCAACACCCTTTTCTGTCCAGTATATCCTCCCCCTACACTCAGCAATACACCCCCAGCTGCATATCAATCTTCCAGTTGGTCGACCATCGACTCACCGTCTCCGTTGGTCGTCGTTTGGTATTGCTACCATCCACCATCCCAACCATCACTTCAGAGGCACGTACAACGCATACAGTACAGCTCTCATAGAAGCAGCCTCAGCTACTACACTCGCTGTAAGTCCTCTCGCCAGCTTTTTTGTCGGTGCACCACTAACTTGCTCGCAGAGAAAAGTTTCTGCAAGTCGATCGTCGCAACCTCTCTAAGAAACATCATCTACACCGAGACAAGATGGTTTCCAACAACCGCAACGCGGGTGGCATGACCAAGCGTGAGGCTGATCTCCGCATCGCCGTTCCACGGCCGTCATCGTAAGTCCTCTCCTTTCGCTGTTCCCGTCACCGCCTTGACCCAACTAACCACAGACATAGGTCCAAGCAGAGCTCAGCTCACCAGCCAGGCAAGCCGACTGCCCAGTCTTCGCATGCATCGGCATCGTCGCAAGAGTCCAAGCACGGCAATGTCAACGGGATTGGCAACTGCCTCATCATCCCTCAGAAGAGTTCGCAGCAGCTGAGTGGTGAAGCAAGCAAGTTCGAGCCCGAGACCAAGTCGACCCAGGGCCCATTTCTTCGTGCTCTCCTCCACGACAGTACTCCAGAGGACACCACGTTGGTCATGGTCACCAACAACAGTGGTTCCGCACCGGTCATCTATCAAGAGATATCGCCGATCGGTACTCGTTCTGAGCATGAGGGCAGCACGTTTCCGAAGATCTTCTCCACTGACACTGGTGGCACATTCATCGGCAGCCACTATGTACAAATCCAGAACATCCAGAGCGTCGAAGACCTCAACGATGGCATCAAGAAGACTGCCAACGAGGTACGCCGCTGCCTGCCCCCTTGTTGCATTGACTTGGCTGACATGACCTTGCAGTGGGACCATACCCAGAAGCTGGACATCTTCGACACCAAGGTGGCCATGCCCGAGCATCGAGGCACACCATCGGCATTCATCGCGTTCGACGATCTCCGTGATGCTGATCTTCTGCGCGAACGCACCGATGCCTGCAAGCCGCAGTGGCAGGTCAACTACGTGACTCACGGCGAGTACGACCAAGCAATCAACAGTATTGACAATGCCCCATCCAAAGCTCGCTTCTTCGAGGGCCAAGCCCTGTTCGTTGCCCGACCAGCAGACCACTCAGCATCCAAGAACGAGCTGAATATCCCCGAGCTTGCTGAAGGTCTCATCAAGCTTGCGGGCCAGTTTGGTGAAGTCGTCGCCTTCAACGATGTTACTCAGGAGAATGCTGGAGAGTACCACTTTCGTCTTGAGTATTACAAGATGACCGCTGCGCGCCGTCTGCTCAACAACGTGAACGAAATGGACTGTGAGACCGTTGGTGTGAGTACATTCTGCAACCATCGGGCTGAACATTGCTGACATGACTGCAGCCTTTCTACGTGATCGCGCAGCCATACAACCACGCTCGCTCCAGCGACGTTGACCACGACAACGAGTCGTACTACACTGGCACCGGGTCCCAATACGCCGGCACCGAGTCTCGCTACGCCAGCACGCCTCACCTGCCTATGCCCAGCGAAGTTGGCGAGATTGAAGTCAGCCCGAGCGGACGTACAGCTTGGCGATATGGCCCAGATGGAGACATCATTACCGAGATGCCTTCGAAGGTCGTTCCCAAGGTCGTTAAAGACCATGCCTTCGGCACTGGCTTCCGTCAAGAGCAAGTATACCGTGGCGGTCGATACCCTCCGCCGGTCCAGGCTTCAAACCAAGGCTTTCAAGGTCATCACGGCCACCCAGCTCAACATGGCTACCTGGCTCCTCAAGTCTTTCCAGGTCCTTACGTCCATCCAGGTCCTCACGGCTACCAAGATCCTTACAGCCATCCAGGTCCTCAGAGCTTTCCAGGTTCCGACGTCTGCCCAGGTCCTCCCGTCTGCCCAGGTCGTCACGTCTGCCCAGATCGTCACCCCTATCCAGCTCCGCACGGCTATGCAACTCATCACAGCTTTCCACCTCAGCACGTCGCCTCATCTCATCACGGCTCCCAAGGTGCCAACTACACGTACTCGGGCCAGTACAGCACCGGCGCTTCGGGTGGACCTTCTCGGCGCAACGATACATTCCACCGTACACCAATGCACAACATCCACGGCCGTCGAGGATCCAACCAACGCGACACCGGCACAGAGCCACAGTCGATCAACGTCGACACCATCCTGAAGGGCTACGATGTGCGCACCACCGTGATGCTTCGCAACATCCCAAACTGGTGGCACTGGACCCAACTCAAAGAACGCCTTGACGGCGTCATCCCAAACCAGTACGACTTCTCGTACCTGCGCATCGATTTCCAGCGCGACATGAACGTCAGCTACGGCTTCATCAACTTCATCGACGCCAACCTCATCCCGCCCTTCATCAAGGCCATGCATAATACAGAGTGGCAAAAGGGCCACCGCCCTAAGCGGGTCTTCGAGTGTTCGTACGCGACGATCCAGGGGGTTGACTGCCTCATCGAGAAGTTCCGCAACTCGGCCGTCATGGACGAGACCCCCATTCACCGCCCCAAGCTGTGGTATACAGCCCTCGACAACGTCCATCCGGCCTTCATCGGCTATGAGCGGCCCTTTCCAGGGCCAAACAACATGTCAAAGGCTCAGCGGAGCCACGACAACGCCGGCGCCGTTGGTCTGTTCCCCCCTCGCTCGGGGCACCGAAGCGACCGCTCCCACCGCTCCCAGTGGGACCGTGGCACCGGCCACCAGCAGCAAGAGGACGCCGCGCTCTGGGGCTACCAGAACTACGTTGCCGGCCCGCCGGCTGTCCACCCTGCCGCCACCATGCCACCACCGCGCAGCATGATGCAGTACCAGCCCGGCTCGGGCTTAGGAGAGCAAGAGGTGCCGCGTGCCTTCTCCGCCGCTGCCCGCCACCAGGAGGGCTCTGCTGGCGCTGCTCGCGGTGGCCGCGCTGTCGGCGGACAGCAGAATACCCGCCGTTAGAGGGGGCCTGGGCAAATACTTGTGTGTGTGTGTGTGTGTGTGTGTGTGTGTGTGTGGTCGGTCG